TCTTTTAATATGCTCTCTATGTTCCATTACTATCTTTGTTCTCTCATGTCCTTTAATCTTTTTTCTATAAATATAATATAGCATTGATACCATGAGACTCAATATTATTTTATTTTTATTGATTCTACTATGTATCCTCTTTTTCCTTTTTAGCTTCTTTTTTCTCTTCAAATTTTTCTAATTTAGGAACTCTCTTTGCTTGATTACCAACTTACACAACCTCCATTTTGCCAGGATAACGAACTTAGCCTTTATGTTCTTGTAAGTATTATTTGGACAATCTAAATATTGTAGATATAAGATACTTATCTTTATAATTATTTCTTAATTAGGCATGTATTTCCTTTCTAAACAATTCAAACTATCCAACCTACTCTTCTTTTTTGGTATCTTCCTTTTTTGGTTCTTCTCTTTTAGGCTCTTATTTAAAGATTTATTGATTTTCATCAAGAATTTTATTATCAATTTCTTGTATTTGAAACTCTTTTTCTCCTTAATCTGTCATCAAAACATCGTATAATAAAAGTTAACCAGGAAGAAAGGTTTCAAATAACATTTTGTTTTATTTAAGAGAATCTAGAAACTTCTTGCCTTCAATCAAACCTAGTTCATCATTTTTAATTTCAATCTGTTTATCCATTTTAATAGTAGCCCATGAAAACTTTCTCATAGCTCTTTTGAAAGCCAATTCATTTTATAATGCTTATGAATCACTAGTTATAAGAGAAGTTTCCCTTGTAAAATTCTTTTCTATTCTTTTAATCATTTATTGAATATCATCAATAGATAGACATCCATCTTCATCAACATCACTTAAATCAAATATCAATTCCAATTTCTTCTCTAATTCCATTCTTGCTAATACTCCAAGAGATAGTACTAAATCTTAGATTTCAATTTTATCATCAAATTCCAATTAAAATCCTGAAATAATTATTGATAGTACTTTCAAATAGCTTTTCAAACAATGTTTCGAATTTCTTTCCAACCCAAATTTCAAAATATGTTTTCTCCTACTAAGATTTCTCTTATTATGCTTTTTCAAATATTGGTTAAACATTATTTGATCTAAACCATCTTTCAAACAAACTATCCAATGCAGAAATCTTCATCTTTTTTTTATCTGAATTATAATTAGTTCCAAACCATTTAAGAAATTATTAATCATAATTCTACTTAAACCAATTTTCAAAGGCTTAATCTGGTGGTTGATGTTTTTCTGATTAATTATCTCGTCTCTAAGCAGGTTCTCTAACCAATTGTGTATCTGGATCAAATCTATATGATTCTGCGCATGATCTCTCAACGATGGCTTCAAAATCATTCTTCATTTTATTCTAATATCTTGTGAATTCTTCAGGAGCCAAAATCAAAAAGAATTAAGAGGATATATAACTGTATTCTCTACTTTTGACGTGTAATTTCAGTTATTTTAACATTTCTTTAGTGAAGTTAGATTTGGTCATTTTACCTTCTGATAAGTTACCTGATTCTCTGAATTCCTAATTTTGTGTATTAATCATACCTTCCATATCTTTTTGATGAATACGTCCGATAAGAGTTTTTAAAATACTTCGCAAACTGCTGGATTAAGTGGTTCCTTAACTTATTAATTCATTATTTATTAAAATGATTGCCAATTAAAGAGCCATTTAAAAAAAGAGAAATATCCATAATATTATTGATAATGATGATGAAATAGGAGAGGTAGCAGAGTGGGCTGGAGTTTCAGCTGCTTAGGCAAAAGATGATGATGATTTCGATTTTGACAATAAATAAGTCTTCTAATAATCAAACGACCATATCGAATAAGCCAGATAAAAAATCAATTAGAAATTAAATAAGAAAGGAACTAATGTAAATTAAAGAAATGGACCTTTAGTCAATAATCTCAAAGACAAGGCTAAAAGTTTAGCATTATAGAATAATCAAAGCAATGAAGCCCCAATTTAACAACAATGTTAGTCTAGTGATGATGAAAATGAGAAACCTAGGGTTGATAAAGGTGAAGAGAGTCCAGATAAAAAGGTTTTTAGATTGTCAGAGAGAAGCATTGGCAAAATAGAAGAAGAATTCGAATAAGCCAATAAAGTGAGAATGATGGATTTAGAAAAGAAGAAAAATGAAGTGAAACAAATAAGTTTCATTGAGGTTTGGGATTAAATGAAGGGTTCTTAAGATATCCGAGACCAGATTGAATTTATCTAAAAAAAGACATCATTTTTAGATAAACTATTTGGATGTTTCAGTATCCATTTGAAAAGTAGTAGACTAATTTAAGAAAAAAATCAAGTACTATAATTCTAAACAAGGTTTGCTTAATGTCGTAATTGTAATTCGATGATAATAACGAGTCTCATTTTAGAATTCTTTACACAATCTATTGCCAACTCATGACTACTGACTATTGTCTTAGATATGGTTCTCATTGGGAAATGATTGGATTTTAAGGCACTGATCCAGCCACAGATCTTAGAGGAGCTGGTATCCTTGGATTGCTACAAATACTTGCGTTCATATCAGAATATAAAATATATTTCAAGTAAACTCTGAAGATCTTTCAAGATATCAACATCCCATTCAGCATTACTCTAATCAACATTACAACCTTTGTATTAGTTAGTCTCAAAGACAATAAATTAAATTAACTAATAAATTAAGAAGATTCTGTTATCAGTGTTATAAATAAACTCTACTTTGCTGGGTTCCATTTATTAACCAAAATTCTTAAGAAGTATGTATTATGATATAATTATTAAAGAGAATAAATAACGTTCCATACGATAGGTGTTCATTTGACACATATAAGAAAGTAAATACATGAACAACCACAGAAACTGATCAGAGAATTTCATTCAGATATTCAAAGATTTTATAAAATTAATAACGTCTGACTGATTTATCTATAATCATTCATTTTTAAAACACTATTGTTATATGTTCTATATTTATTCATTTTCTAAAAGCAATACAATAAGCTTTGCTTGCAAGATCATAAAATTTCTAAGCATCTTCATCAATAGAGATTACTTTAAATCCTATTTGAATCTATAATCCAAATGGATGTTGATCTTGAAGTTTCTTTTTTTTCAAAATAAACTCCAAAATTGCAACCACTTAATTATCTTAGATTATTGGACCTGCAAACACAGGTAATATTGAGGATATGTCAATATTCTCATCAAAATTTTAATGTTTTGTAATCGAAGTGAGAATCTAAGGTCTTTGTGATTTGTACACTTAGTATGCACATCCTGATCTTATATCATAATATTATCCCTTCTTCTTGAATTTATTATTCTCAACATGTATTAAATTAGTTTAAGCTATTTAGAATATGCTATAAGCAGAGTCTTAGATCCTCATCTCAAAATCATCAAAATTTGTAGACTGACATAACTTGATAAATGAAGAGTAAAATAGATCTTGATATTTTAATTCCTTATACAATGCATCATAACTAAGTATGCTTGTTATAACTGACTTGCTTAGCATATTTACTAATAATCCATAGTATTAAATATCTATTATCATGTCATCATTAATATTTTAAATCTATGATAAATAACAAATAATTATACTTCTAATAAACCACATGGTTTCTTTGTATTCATCATGATCGGTAATAACAAAAAATTTTTACCATAGATTTTCGATCCTTCAGTTATGTAGAGAAGCTATTATTCTTTGGAGGGACTCTTTATTCCAAAATTCTCAAAAACAATTTTCTAGAATACACCTTCTGTCAACAATGCTACTTATTATTAACCATTGGGATCATGAGTGTAAGCCTTACATGTCATGCCATCTATAATCCATAGACGAACAGTTTCGGTTTGAAATATCATTTTGAATCCTTTACTAACGTGTATTTAGAAATCTTTGATATTTCTATAACTTATTAAAGTAATGAATTCATTCATAATCTAATTAATCTTTTCACTAAATTCTCTTTAACTTATAAATTAGTCTTTATAAATGAAATAATTACTTGCAATTAAATTGATTAAGTCTTTTCTTTATTGCATATTCTCTAATTAAATAACTTAATTTGTGAATACATCAGCTCCATGTTCAATCAAATCTATCAAGAAATCATTTTATTCAGATGTCAATTAGCTTAATCTGAATTCTAAACTCTAGGGTAGTTAATTTGGATCAAAAACATAATTGTTCACAAAGTTATCCTCGATTACTATATTATCTGATTTAGCTCCTACTCGTTTAGTTTTTAAATTATCCAACTTTTTGGATAATCTGTTGTTTTGTTAAATCAACTTCTGGTTCAATTCTTTTAATCTCTCAATTTCCTTTTCTCTTTTAATTACATTACGCTTTAATTGTTCATTATCTTTAACTAATTCAGATAATGTCATTCTCAATTCATCCTGATGGGTAGATAAATTCTTTTCTAAAATCATCTCTATTCTCTTTTCCAGACTTCGAACCTTTTTATAGTATTCTTCACAAAGTTATTTCTAATAAAGATAATCTCTCTGTAACTTCTATTATTCGATTTAAGTCAAATGTAATTTCTTAGATTAATCTATATTATCTTATTTAAAATGATTCTAAACCATATGAAATTAATTGTACTTATTGTTCTTTGAGTTATTGAATGATTTATTTTTATGAAATGGTTTCAAGAGTACTCTTTATTTAATATACTTATTTTTTTGGTTCAACTCAATTTCATTTTTGGAAGCTTATTGCAATGTTACTGCCATTTACTATAGACTTTGTAGTATTTTACCAACCTCAAAAGATTGATTAGATTTAAGAGATTCAGCCAATTAATCGATCCAATGCAGTCTTTATTCCAGAATCTATCTTTACTATGGACATTACCATATTTGTGTCTTAACTAGAGTCTAATCTTCTAGATAGATTGTTTGTGGTTGTTCTTTCATCTGGTTAGGTTTTGGTGAATTTTTAAACTGAAAAATCACACTACTTTTTTGGTGTACATTAGGGTTGGTTTATTTTGTTTAACTTAATTTTAGGTCCTTTGAATAATTTTAACATCTTACTCTCTAGAAAATAGGTATTAGAACTCATTTATTATAATTATATATATATATATTGTTGTTATTATTATCATTCTTCAACGATCTAGTTTTTCTGTTTTTCCATAGTTTCTAAATATTCTTTTCTTAAGTCGTAAAGCAAAGAGTTTGCTTATTGATAATGTTGAGTCACTTTGTTCTGTTCAATAAGATTTTATTATGATTGTCTAATATCTGATTGATTATTACTATTGTTATTTTGCAATTAAACCTTTCTATGATTCCCATCTCTTAATGACATAATTTTAAACTAAGGAATTAAATTCTCTTCGTCATCCGATTATCTTAATTACAAATTTTGAGTTTCTTCTTCTTCCATGATATTTTAATTTTATAAATAAATTAATCAAGTCGAATTTTTGGCAACACACAAATAAAAATATGTTTTTGTTATTATTAATTGCTCAAATCAAAGCAATAATTCCAACCACATATTAATAAGCTTTAGCAGCTATACAAGACGATCCAGATCATTTATCTTTGATGATGTTTATCAAACAAGACTCAGAAGATTCAAACAAAGCCTTGTAGATCTTAGAATAGCATTCCACTACTATGTTGGATATATTAAATGTAAATATATCAATTTCAATAGATAAACAGATCTAAGTAATAGATTGTGATCAAATTACTAAAGAAGAATTAAATCACTTACCTGCTTGTTAATACAAGGAAAGTTTGCCTTTTGCTATGTATTTGATACCACCTGCTAATTCTGATCCAACCAAAGGTCCTATCTAACCGATCTAAAAATTAATAACTAATTTCTCATTGTCAGCACTCAAGGAAGGATTCTTAGAAAATAGTCCCTAATTTTGGGAATTGATTAATGATGAACAATAATATGAACAATTCTTAAGTGATAAGAGATTAAACAAAGTGCTAACTAGAATAGCAACTAAACCTATTTGGTGGTATGGTATTACTTAAAAGTTCAGAGAGAGAATAGATGTAAAACAAACCTACTTATTTAGTTTGCTATTGTAAATCCCAGATTGTTGAGTCATGATCTTGTGATTCTGAAATTAATTAATGGTTAGTATGTTGAATAAACTTACAATGGTGCTAAATAATACGAAAGTTTAAGAGCGTATTTATCTGTCTTTGCAAGTGTATATTTTATTGGAATATTATAAGTCCTAAAGAATTATTAAGAGTTTGGATTCATCTAGAAATATTAATTCAACCTCAATAACAAATATCACTTCTGTCTAAAATATCAATTTTGATAATTAATGGGTCTTACTTTCCATCAATAATCATTAAAGATTGAATAGTGTTATATAAGATATGAAGGGAATTTTTAGTGTTTACAATCTAATTGATAATTCTAATTCAAAGTAATTGTTAATTTATCCTTTTTCATCCAAAAAGAATCCCATGTAGGTAGGTAATTAAAACACATTACAAATATGTGAAGAAATGATTGACTTTTTGAAATACAATGTCAATACTGATTCCATACAATTGTTGTCTGATATTAATTCATTACTTACAACAAAACAAATTGTGAATGCTTGGTTTTTTAATAAAAATTATAATAAATGCCATTAATTATGGGCATTGACATTTGCTAATAAATAAGAATACAAGAAAATTTTCACATTTCATATCATCTATGATCCAGATGATTAAATTAAAAAATAATTTAATATTCCTAAAATACCTTTCATAACAAGTTTAGAAATCACTGAGGGCTAGATTGCTTAAATAGATTATACTGAAAGCTTCAATTATTAAAATATTGAAGAATATATTGATAAATTATACTAAAGATATTAAGTTAAGAATAAGTAAAGTCAATAATACCCATAAAATAATAAAGAGTTTGAATTTCTTTGTACTCAAGAATCAGTAAAATGTATCATAACCATAATCGACAGGAATAATCAAGTTGATGAAGATGTCTTTATTAAATCCATGAAGACCATCAATAATAACAAATAAATCTGGATTATTCTATATGAAGATTGTCAATAACTGTTCATTTAGAAATATAAATTGTAAGTTCCATCCTTGATTTTATATGATGCCAACAATTATAAATATCAAATAATGAAGGAATAATTTAATTTTGTTAATATAGATAAATTCATTAAATCAAAGAAAAGGAATTGGAAAGAGTTGGATTATCAATTTTAAATACAGAAATGTTAAATTAGAAAAGATGATTTATGATACAATATTAATATAAATAAATAGTATTTTAATGTATTTAGTCTGATTATATTAACATTATATTAATTTTATTGAAAAATAATTTAAATGTTACAAACACTTTCGACTGAGTTAAATAATATGCAGGCCAAAAGTAAATAATAAGTTCAGAGAATAGAGAATTTATATATTGGTTTTTAAGAAATCTATCAACTATCAAATAATTTGAATAATCCAGGTTTAACTAAGCATGACATGCTAAGTTAGGTAAGACCAGAAGTTTTCAATTAAATATTAATATTTTTAGATATTAAACAAATTTTACAATTTAGATTGGTAAGCAGTAGGGCAAAAGAAACAGTAAAGTTAATTCTTCCAAAATATATAGATACTTTATAATCGTTAATAGCTGAATAATAAAATGACATATAAATCAAGTTCTAAAGTATATAACAAGCAGACAACGATCAAAATTAATAATAAGCTATGTAAGCGGCGTTAGATGGATTAGCAAGAATTAATAAATCTCATATTGTTGAGCTGAAATCCTTTGCCAGACCACATGAATTAGTTGAAAAAGTTATTAATCTAATTTGTTAGTTACTAGATCCATCATTTAAGGTACAAAAAGATAATTGGAAGGAATGCCAAAAATTCCTTAATCAATCAAATTTTATATCTTAAATTATAAATTTAGACATTAGTATTTTAAGTGATAAGCAGTTATAATAACTCGAATAAGTGAATAGTATTTCAGAATAATAAGCAAGGGCAATATCTATAGTTGCAAATTCTATTCTTAATTATTTGAAAGCTGTATTAGAAGTAAGATAGACTAAAGTTTACATGACATAAAAAGCGATAAAAGAATTAAACAGCAAAATAAAGAAAGAGCAATAATTGGTTGATTAGTTAGAAAAGATCATTAATAAATGAGAACCAGAAATTATAAAATAAAAAAAATTATTTTAACTTAGCATTAATTCAAGTCATTCCCATCCTCAATTCACTCATTTTTAACAAAATAAATGCTATTATTATTATATTTGAATATTACTTGTAACTCTTTTTAATTTCTGTCGTTCCAATAATAACACTTCTCAACTTTTTTTTATAAATTGCAAGAGGTGATATTGAATTTCCTTCTCACTTCTTCAAACATGTGTCTTTCTACTTGAGCATCTGATAATTTCAAACTTTATTTAATTTCTTTTAACTTGATGCATCAGAATAATTTGGATTAAGATACTTATTATTGCTAATTCAGGATTTCAACTAATATATATCAAAGTACTTTCTCGTTATGTTATTAATTTTCCACAAATTCTCCTATTCTTTGATCTAGTTCAATTCAATTATAAGATTTGTAAAGTATAATTTGCTCAAGAAGGGGAAAATGTTTCCATATTTAGCACAATAAAATACTTAAGTTGATTTCTTATATCAGTGTATTTCTATATTCAGTATCTATTACCAAATTTTGGCATCTATATAATATTATTAGTAGCATTGTTATTAGCAAGAATGCCAACGTTTTGTTAACCTTGATAAGGTTTAAGATATAAAAACACAAAATTTGATCATTTAATTAAATAATTAAAATGGCTTTAATCTTTATCATGATTTAAGTAGTTCTTTTTATTTATAAGAATTTAATAACTTTCTATCAATCTTAAACCAATATAAAAATTAGTAATAATATAATTAAATGGTAGCAAAATTCTCCTATTTTATTATTATAATATGTAGATCGAAAAAATAATGCTATTAATTAAATAAAAGGGAAAGAAGAGCCTCAAAATGATGGATATTTTGATAATTTTCATGAAATCATAATCAATAATCAAATGATTTAATTTGATCAACAATCACTTTTAGAGCCTTTGTTTAAGTTTCTGCAACTTCTTCTCTAATTTCTAAATATCCTGCTATTTCATCTATTAGCCCATTAAATTGTTTTTTGGTTATCAATCCTTAAATGTATTTTTGTAAAACTGGAATCTCAATCAATAATTGCTTAGATAAATAATCCAACTTTATGGTTGAATAACACTTCACATATCTCAAAATCTTGACCTCAACAATAATCTATTACATATAAGGTTTCAATAGTGCCAAAAAGGAATCCTTTTAGAATTACTAAGAAATAGAGAGTATTTTACTTCAGAGTTAATAATGCTGCTGAAAATCTGAACATTCTATTATTCATAAGATATTCTGAGGTCCTAGAATACTCTAACATTTAGATCTTAGTCATAGACTTTGCTCTTCATATCATCAAACAAGTTCATCTTAAAGTTTTCAAGAATGCTAACAACAGATGCATAAATAAGGGCCTATTTAGCTTCTGGTGAACTAGAATCTAAGAAATTATAGAAAGCTTCCATGAGTTTCTTTCTACTCTACTCATATTGTCTTTCTAGAGCCTTTTATTAACCGATAGTAAGATTGATAACTCCAGATATCTTGAATATAGATGATTGATACATATGATTCAAGCAAATCTAAATTGCATTTTAATAATTATCGATAAAGTGGTTTAATTTGGTTTTGACGATTTGTGCTTTTGTACAATAGAACTCTGTAGGCCAATAATTCAGCCAGAAAAGCTTTTTTTCTATCTTCATCCTGTATTTGGCTATTTTCCAATACAGATTGTATGTTCTTGAGTATAAAATAGATGTAGTACTTAAATTATTTCTTCCAATTTATTAAAGCTCCCTTTTTGGTAATAATCTTTGCATAATTTCATACTAGCTCCACAATATATTCCTATTTGGTTCATAGATTTTAACTTTTCTAGTAGGTTTGGTAGAACTGTAGATATAAGATGAGAATTATTGGAATTCATCAATGAATCTACTACAATTTTTAGTGCTTTGTCTCCTTCAGTCTTGTATTATTTGTCCAATAATTCTAGAAATCCTTGGATGTACTAGCACATTAGGTTATCATCAAATTTAGGTTTTTAAATTAATATCTAGATCAAATACTATGAAATATGTTGAAATTTGATACCTGATAACTCTTGAAGCTTCGTTATCTGGAATTAATATCTTTGGACTTTTCTTTTTCGATTATTTCATTAAAAAGCTGGTATGCTAAATCAGGATTAGTTTTCCATTCATCTTCTGCTGTATTATAATTATTCTCCAATTCTATTTCCTCCTAGTTGTCTTCTTAATCAATTTAGCCATCATCAAATCCAGGCTCGTAATTATAATCATCATATTCTTAATCAGACATTATATTGAGGAATTTTATTAATGAAAAAATAATAGGTGCTAGCCAAAGCAAAGGCTAAGACAAATGAAAAATAAAGCAAGCTGAATCAAAATTCCAATGATCGATATTACCCTGATCTATTGATAGATGAGGATGCTTATATTCGAAACAATTATAAGGTTGTTCGAGAATTGGGAAGAGGTGGGTATGGTGTGGTTTATAAAGGGTATGTTTAACAATATTTTAGATATGCATACCATAATGGATAAGAAGACAAGACAAAGAAGTATGCCATTAAAGTCAATTTCTCAACAGTGTCTCCAGAATTGATATTTGCTGAGATTGGATTTCTGAAGTTGGTGTAAGGCAAGGAGAACTTACCGTAATTGGTGAATTTGTTCCTGACAAATTAGAAAATTTACATAGTAACAGAATATTTTAGTTTTGCTCCATTCATTACATTTTTTTCTACTTTCAACATGTAGCAAATAAGAGACTATTTACGAGAATTATTAAAGGCTCTACTTGTGCTAAAATAGAATGGAATTTATCATAGAGATGTAAAGCCTGGGAATTTCCTTTACAACCCAAAAATCAAGAAAGGCATACTGATTGATTATGGATTGTCAGAAATCGATAAATCGTTTGTCAATAACATGATGGAGAGTGGTGGAAATCTGTCAGAATTAAGACAAAGAAAACAATTATATGAAGATATTATGAAAACAATCGCTTAAATTGGACACAATAAAATAGGCACAGAGAGTTTCATGCCATTGGAATCCATTTTACATTATCAAGAGTAATCCTATGAAGTTGATATCTGGGCTGTCGGAGTCATATTTCTATAGTTTCTGACTAGAAAATACAATCTATTTAGTAATGTGAGAATGGTTCACAAACCTGCAGTCTCTAAGAATCTATTTTATGTGAATTTCATCTTAGAGTTGACCTCACTATTTGGAGCTGAAGCAATTACTAAGATTTGCAACAAATTTGGTAATTGACATTTAATATAGAAAGGATACAATGTTAATTTACCATCTGTCGTTGCTAAGACCCCAATTAATTGGAGAAGTGTAATTCATGTCGAGGGATTTGATGACAAAGCAGAAGATTTACTTACTTAGTTATTAGAATTAGATCCTTAAAAAAGGATTAAAGTAGAGGATGCTCTATAACACCCATTCTTTTTTGAACAGTGAATTAATCAATGCATAATAATTAATTATATTATGAATTATTAAATTGTCATTTAAAAATATCAGAGCCCTCAGACTCCAGTTGTGCCATCGATTATCTTTACTAATAAAATTATTTTTATAAAGTTTCCTCTTCTGACAAATGCGATCTGAAAGTCTGTAATTAGAATTGTAATCTATAAAAATTATTAAGCTAATTTTACGTTTAAATTTCTTCTATCTTCGTCAATAATATCTAATCTAGCCCTTTTACATACTCATCCACATCTGAACCTGGCTTATCGATATTGTGTAACAACATCATTTCCTAATGTAAAATCAAATAGAAATAGTACTTATTTAACTAATTCAACCATTGAATCTATGTGAGATCGATGGTTAGAGATCAAATTCTCTTCTTCTTCCAATATTACACTAATCAATTATTCGTGTTTCTATCCAATCTTCATTAAATCATCTTCCATTGATTGATTTACTTCTATAAATATTTAAGTATTTTTACTTGATTTTCGTTCAACTGGTCCTGGGAATAGGTTTTCATTCACATATGGACGAGGTTCATTCAATTATGGAGTTGGTTTTTGAAAGGAATGCTTATTTTTGGTTTCATTAATTTTGAATTAGGGTTGTTATTATTATTATAAGGGAATCATGGGTTGAGGTTAAGGTGGAGGAGGTTAGATATAATTTTGATATGAATATTATTATTATTATGTTTATGATGATTGTTATGTCTATGGAATTTACATTCCAGGAATAGAATTTTATAAATTTAAAAATTAGGGTTGCTATTATTGTTAAAATAGATTTTGATTCTAATAATTTTGCAATGGATTATTCTTAAAAGGATTAAATTATTATTAGACTTAAGATTATTTCTTAACTGGTTATTATTGTCTTGGCAACATTAACTCTCTGGCTAATTTATCCAGAGATGTGACTTAATCCTTCAATTCTTTATCATTAGGTTTTTTTAATTCTTTCACTCTGTCTGCATATCTTAATGTATTCAATGTATGTTCAGATGATGAATTGGAAGGAGAGAAGTTACCAATCATCACAGTCTTACAATTTCCAACAAAGGAATCCTTTAATACCAGAGTCAATTTTGACCCTCTAAAAGGAGTATGGTTTTTGTTTAGATCCAATGCTCTAATGCATTCCTTTAGTGCTAACAATGATTTATTAATTTCAGCTCCATCAAATCTAGTCTGTTTATTAGTATCACTAACATCTGCCCCTCTTTCACTACCAGCTAAATCAATGAATGACAATTTGCCATGACATTTATTGCCATCTTTTAAGGATATCTACAATATTGCATGAGATCTTGATGAATCATTATTTGATGAATTTGATGCTGTAATCCTAGATGCACTCCCTTATTCAATAACTTTCATTAATTATTCTACAGATTACACTTTTCTCTCTTATAATCCTACTACATTAACATTTCCTTTTGCATCTTCTCTAGCATGTAAAAGTGTTCGTTCATTCAGCAAATCAAATAGTTTCCCACAATAAATTTCATAAAATGATATAGATATTTAGAGATGACCATAACATTCATTGTTTAATAGACAAAAAATGTCATAAGCCGCCAATAAATATAAACCAGGCACTCGCTCTGAATAATCACCAAGCATTGTATATGTCTTACCAGATCCTGTTTATCCATATGCAAAACAGGTTACTTTTGCCCTATTAAATGCTGCTTCAACTATTGGTCTTACGATTTGTAAATAAAGTTGTTCATTTGTTGTATTTTCATCAAAAGCAGCATCGAAATTAAATTAATGCTCCTCTATGTATTTGGTCAAATCAACTTTCGTTCTAAAATGATCCATCAATAATGAATACCTTTATTCTTTGACTACAACTTGACTTTATTAATTGGAAACATCGACAATATCGATATCGCCCTTGTTCATTTCCTTCTTATTTAATGGCCTCTTACGAACTGCTACTATAATCTTGGGTTCTCCTTATTCAATTAGCATTTTAAATTTTACTTTTTTTTGAATTTAATTTGTTATTTTTAGTTCGTTATCCATATTCATATATATATACTTGGGTATCCACTCTAATGACACTTCTATATTAGATTATGTATAAATCATTATTATTTAATAAAATAAAAGTAATAATATCATCTTAACTTTGATTTTAGCTTAGCCTAATATTCTAAGTTCTCCTTCTATACTTTTTCTAGCAATTAGGATTTTTCTAAGACTTTCTAGCGTAATCTTTCAATCTCCTTATCTTACAATTCACATTTACTCTAAAATTCATTGATAGTGATACTATTCATCTTTACTTCTTCTGATTATTTCTACAATTATTTATGTTATTGCACTAAATTTCTGTAATTCTCAGCTTACCTTGATAAATCACCTATCAAACTGTCATTCTATTATTTTAGAATATTGATTTCTCCTTCTTTAATCTATAAATTCTCTAAGATTTATTCTTGAGATTAATTTTTTCCATTAAGATTCATCAGATCTTTTAATTAGACTTACAATCTAAAGACTTACTCATCTTTCTATTTGATGATATTATTGAGTCTAGTGCATTCATCTCCTAACATATTAGTCTTACATTCCAATTCTCTAAAGTGTTATTAATATGATTATTGATTCTCTTTATATTAGGTTTCCAACTTCTGATTCATCAATTTCAACTGTTAATTCTATTCCTTGTAACCAAGTAATTCCTATTCTAAAAATTAGATCAGCATTTATTTTTATTTGTGAAGATCACTGATTTCATTCTAATGATTCTTCTCTTAATTTTCCAAAGAAGTTTATAATTTCTTAATTTAATTCTGCTCTTTAGTTTATTGCTATTATAAGAGACAGATCTACTCCTACGATTTTCCACACATAGAAGTCAATTCACTAATCTTTTATTATAATGAATCCTTATGTTCATTATAAGTTTAAGACAAATGCTCAAAATCACTTTCAATAAGCTTCAATTTGTTTTATAAAATGGATTCGCTTGCAGTCTTTGTTTCAGCTACATCCTTGAATTTACTCAATTCCTAAGATATTTCCTTATTCTATTCTCTTTACTAAGTCAATTTAGACTTCAATTCAACAACGTGTTGTTCCTATGAACCAATCACAGCTTATTGTTTTAATAAAGTGAATTCCTAATCCTTTGATTAAGAATCGAATTATTAAATAGCATATGACAACTTCTCCTCCAATATGTTATTATTTTTCTTTAGATTTATTAATTGAGTTTCCTAGAATTTAATTATAATATTTACCAATGCTTAAACAAGACTCTAATTCTTGTTGTCTGAACTAGAAATTTATGATAGGTTCTATTAGAGTCTAGCAATCTCTTGCTTTGCCTATTATTATTCTTATCTCAACGCTTGTCTGTGTTTTGATTCCTATTACTCCATCTGATATTTCAAATTGGCTATGTCTTATTTCCAGCTTAGGTCTATTTATCTTACTGAGTCATTGTGACTCTTCTCCTACAATTCACATTTGTGTTTATGGAAATCCAATTAATCCTATAATATTTATTAAGAATTCGTACTTTGAGTTCCTGGTTTTCCAGTGCTAATTTTGGATCTTGTTGCACAACTACTTGAGGTTCTTGAGTCTTTTCTTTCAACTTTTGATTCTCTATTTGTAATCTGTCTATTTCTTTAATAAAAGTTTCCAAATCCTATATTGAACAACTGGGCTTTGATTATTTAGAAGTCTATTGTGGAATTGTTACTGGAGATTAAGGAGGTAATTATGAATTTGATGATGTCAATGGTTGATAATTTGATACACCTGGTTTTATGAATGAGAATGGTTTTGCATCCTGCTTAGTTTCAGGTCGATTTTCTCTCTTATCGATTGAGTTATGTAGTGATAGCGGTTATCTATTGATTGAATTCATGGGGTAAATTATTAACGGATAAATATATAAATAAAATTTCTTATTATTTATCTCTCCTTTTAATATTGATTTTATTGATAAATTCAATTAAAATTATTTATTAATTACACTTCATCTGATTAATTCAACTCTGAATTACTCTTTACTAGTCTTATATATTCAATATTCTTTGTTTTTAATATTCTAAAGTAGAATTATGAAATAATAATCAAAATAATTGAGTGATATCCCAAAGATAATGATAGTTTGATAATTGATTAAGAAGTTAATTTAATATACATAAAGATTTCATTTCCTTAATTATCTTCTTCTTAAGATGGCTCAAGTTTTGATTGATAGAACTCTCCTAAACTTATTCATCTTTATCATTTTCTTCAATTTCTTTTTCTTCTATAGAATAAAATTTAGAAGCATATTTTTCTTTTCTAACTTACAGTTTCTTGATCTGAGGAATTTCCTTGTCAATCATTTCTTCTAAAGATGATGCATAAATAGTAATAAACAATGAAGTAAAGATACTTGCTATTTCATGCTTATTGGAGATTGACCTTTTAATATATTAAACTTTGATATATCATCATCTTTAGTATTCAAAATTTCATTAATTCCTTAAAGCAATAGTAAAAGTGAATTCGAATCCTAGATGTCTTTATTTTGTTTTCACCTACTTTATTTTATGATTATTGAGTTTCATTCTGCTAGAAAACAAACTCTATTTCCTTCTTTATTCTTCTATTTATTTATTGGATAATCTGTTTTACAATTCTAGGTTATCTTTAAAGTTCCTTAATCCTGTAGTTATTCTATCAATTTTTTAGCTTACTCATACACATTTTATTCTAGTTGATTCTGTATGATTTAATCCTTGAATTCTCCAAAAACTTATCTAAGCAATTTGATTTGTTTTTATTTGGACGTTCCTTAGATAGAATAATGAATAGGATTCATTTTATTGAATTGTTATCTATTCCCAATAACCTACTACTCTAATTGTTAAATAGTTAATTGAAGTTCTTGATTCTATTTTAATAATTAATCATTTTATTCTCTCTCTATCAAATGTTGATGATTGATCAGATTCATAACAGTTTACTAATCAAACGACTACTTTCTTAATTTATCTTGTTCAGCTTACAAATTTTAATTTAAAATTCAATTCCTTTTGAATTTTCTAACTTTCCTATAATTCTTATTTTAATTATTGAAGAGTCTTCTCTAAATGATTCTTTTCACTACTCCATTTTTATTCTTAAATTTGAAATTCATTTGAAAATTATGAGCATTATTCTTTTTTTATCACTTCTGATTCCTTCTTTAATTGATTAACTTAGACTTTTAACTTATTGTTCTCTAATTTCAACTTAGCTAATTCCACTTCATATTCTTTAAGTTAGGTATCAAAATCAGAAAGATCTGCTTCTTTAATTGACATTTATTTTTGAAATATAATAATAAAATAATGTAAATAGCTTTTGAATTCGTTTTTAATAATTTTATTAATGAAAATCTTGGTGCTTTGCTTAATAGCCTTAGCTATTGCAGATAAGTTCGATCAATTCAGAGCATTTGATTAAGATGAATTTGGCAGAACATTGATAGATACTCTCTAAATGCAAATGAGTACAGGTGAACCTATTGCTCGTTTCATTGAAATTATGAGAAACCTAGAAACCTCAATTGAGAACGAACAAAAGGAAGATGATAAAGCCAACAATGAATATTAGAATCAATGCACTGAAGACATTAAAGTATTACAATAAGAGAGTGCAAACTTGGAAAGAAGAACAGTCGAAATCCAATCAATTTTGGATGAATTAGAGCCATTAAGATCATACAAATAAGGTTAAGCTGATGCCAAGAATGCATGGAAGGTTGAAACGGAGAAGAAATTAGCTGATTTAGTAAAGAAGAGAGAAACAGAGAAGGCTGAGTTTGATAAAAAGGTAGAAGAACACGATTATGCAACATTCGTTATTGAAACAGTTAGAAGAATGTTTTCAGATAAAAATTAGAGTTTCTTATAAATGAACAACGAAGCATAATGGTAAAAAGTTAGAGATTACTTCATTAATGCTTCTGAATAAGCAAGTATTACAGATTGTTATATTTTTAGAGAAATTTGAAATCAAAAAGAGTTATTCCAAGATGTTCAATGTTTTTGCTGAAATTGCCAATGCTGCTTAAGCTGAAGACTTTTAGAATTCCCCAACTGTTAATAGAATTGTTAATTTATGTGATTTGATGCTTAAACAAATTGAAGACAGCAAGGCTTTGGAAACTAAGGCAGAATAAAAGAGATTGAATATGTTTGTATTGGAGAAAGGAAACTTTGATAAAGATTTGACAAGTTTGAACAATGCTCTTGCCTAATTGACTGCTGCCATCTTAGGTTTGGATAACAGAATCTAAGATCAAAAAAGAGACTTAAGTGACTACAATGCTAGATTGGATGCCAAAAACAAATAGAGTGAAGATAGAGGAGGTGAATGCAGAGAAAAGGCTTACAATTACTAATTAACCAGAGAGAAGAGGTACTTGCTATTTCATAACTCTATATTAGAGAATAGAAAAGACAATTGGTATCTCAAATCATTGGTGCCTTCTCAGCTAACTAAAGAGATTTCGCAGAGTACGTTAAACTTAGAGGATAGGCTGGAGATTTCAGAGGAAAGAACTTTTAGGTCTTGGGCAACCCCACGGAAGATTGAATATGAATAATATCATATTAAATTATTAGTAACTATGTTCTAGAATTTCTATAACGATTAATTCAGAAGAATTGTTCTTTCAGATAATGATTAATAATTATGAAGAATCACTACATCACCTTGGGAATAGAGAGGAATGCCCAGCAATAATAAATAAAGGAAGCATATCATAGATTAGCTTTAAAATGGCATCCAGTATGTTATATAATTAATCTATTATTAGGATAAGAATACAAACTGCAGAGCTTAGGCTATTACGCAATTCCAAGAGATTAACGAGGCCTATAACACACTATCTCAGTCAGAAAGCAAGAGGAAGTATGATAGTAAATTGGAACGACATGATCATTCATAAAAACTGAAATATTTTCTGGAACAAATTGAAGAAAGGAGCGAAGAATTTACATATTTAAATAAAGATGATTAAGATATTTTGAATCGATTCATCAATAGGATTAACAATAAAAGCAAAAGAATAAGGAAGTATTGATGAAAATATAAGTCTATTTATTTCTTTGATTCTTATAATTTAATGATTAAGTATGTGATAAATTTATGGTCATTAATTTTTATAATTATTTTTTGTGTAAACTATAAAATAGTCATTAAACTAATGAAAGTTAATCAAAGTGTTGAAACTAATGTAAATAAAAACACTGTTTATTCTGAGTAAGTTGCGGAAGAATAGGAAAATCAGTAAGAAAAGTCTTCTCTTAAATATATTGTGTTAATCTTAGCATGCCTCTTAATGTTTGGAAATAATTACTCTTTCGATAATCCCCAAGCTCTTCAGAGACAATTGACCCAGGACTTGGATATCAGCATCTCCAAATATAATCTTTTGTATACTGCTTTTTCATTTCCGAATATATTCCTAACTCTCATCGGTGGAATGATTATCGATGTTTTAGGTAAATTCAATATCTAATGCCCAAAGGTATAAGAGTCGCTATAACGGGATTCAGTGCGATAGTAGTGATTGCTTAGACCATCATAGCATTCGGAGGTTTATTTAAGAGTTTCTGGATAATGTTGGCAGGTAGAGTACTTTTTGGTAGTGCTTCCGAGAGTCTACTAATAGCACAGACAGCCATGATTGGTAAATGGTTTAGAGGGAAGGAATTATCGACAGCCATTGGTTATATTATGACCATGCCAGAAATAGCATCAGCAGCCAATTCCTTTGTCACACCCACAATCTACGATCATTTTAATGGCCTCACTTATCCATTATTCTTCAGTGTTTTTTTATGCTTTCTGTCATTCATTTGTGGAGTAGTTCTGTGTATTTTGGATAGAAACAACGATAAAAAGTAGAAAGGTAAACTAATAATGTAAACCAAAAGGGTTATAGTTCGTTTATAAAGATAATGCCAGTGAAAAGAGTGAATAGGTTGAAAAGGTATCCTTCAAAGATATCAAAAGTCTAAATGGTACCTTTTGGATCTTAATTTTGATATGCACACTTGCAATGGGAGCATATGTACCCTTCTTAGATGATGCTAATGATTTCCTTCAAGAAAAGTTCGAATTCAGTTATGTGTAATCTGGGAGGATCCTAACTTTGACATATCTAGCCGCTGGTATTAATGTAATATATATAGCTATTACTAGTCCATTCTTAGGTCCATATGTGGATAAGGTGGGCAAGAGACGATTTTTCATCTTAATCACTTGTCTCTTTTTTTCTGCCACTCATTTCCTCTTTGGTTTTATGAAGTCAGGCTATCATGATAAGCCTAATTGGTTTTCAATTATTCCATTGATAACATTGGGAATGTCATATTCCCTATATTGTTGTGTTTTAATACCATCAGTGTAGTATGTAGTCCAATAAAGAGTCATAGGAACTGCATTTGGAATTTTGGGGATGTTTACTAGTACATCTATGGCCTTATTCCCAATTTTGGCTGGGTATATAGTTGAGGAAGCCACTTCTAAGGAGGAAGGATATTCAACTGTTGGATTCTTCTATTGTGGAGTGTCAATATTTGGGCTCATCTTTACAATCTCGCTTTACTTTTTTGACAAACAAAGTTCGATTATTTTAGATTTTGTAAACCCTGAAAATCCGACTAAGGAGGAAAAAGAAATAATGAAAAGCATCAAATAAGCAAACAATGAGTAATTAGGGGTTTTCGAAGACATTGATGATGATTTATTGAAAATTGAAGGGGAGGAAAATGATGATGATGAAAATGTTAAAAATGATGGGTTTTGGGAGAAAAATCAAAGGTATCTTGTATCAAGTAAGGGATTTTCGACCCCTAAGTTGGCAGCTAATAAAACAGTGCATGAAAGAACTGGGTCACTGTATTATTGATAGTTAATTAATTATAATAAAATATGAATAAGAATAAATTATTAAGAGTAAAAACTTTAGATCATCTATTTAATTATTCTCCTTAAATTAAGTCATAAGTTGTAGAGGATAGTTTGTCCACTAAAAAGTTTAGAGTATTCACCTTCTCTGACAAATTACCATATCAAGAGAATATAGGTAAAATATCAACACCCAAACTTATGGTAAGTTTGCAGTCCAATAAATCATTCCAAAGTTTGACCAAACTAGAAAAAGCAATCCATTTTCACAATAGAAAGAATAGTTTTTAGCATCATACACATCTTAATTAACTACTTCATGATGATTAGTATTAAAAGATTATATCAATCAAAATGGAAGATGTAGATCCATTTTTCAAAAAGGCTTCACCTTTAAAATAAGAAATCAAACCCAATGAGCAGAAATAGAAGAATAATCTCTTAAGAAAACTATAAGTGCAAAAATAATTAAGGGATGATGAGTTTTAACACCAAAATTAAGAAAAAATTAGATTACTCAATTAATAGATTAATCACTCTCCAGGATCTCGATATTATAAAACATACATTCATAAACATGGTTATAGATAGCCAGAATTCTTAAATGATGTTGAAATTATTTAATGATAAATAGATCATTAAACAAAAATAATTCATTAATCAAGTGATTAAAAGGATTCCTGAAATGAAGTATTCTGCTTTTCATTTACTCTTTTCTATTTCCATTTATCAACTAAGTTATTAGATTATAGAAATTCTAATTTATTCTAAAATTATTATAATATTATTATACCATAGACAACTTTTATTCATTCTAAAAATACTCCATCGATGTTTATTGTGGAGTTTACCAAAAACCCTAAGCTTGCTACTATTACGGAGCAATATTTGGTGACAAATTCTCAGGATACGGACTCCTAATCAAAAGAGGTGATACACCCATATTATACGGATTATTACTATTATTATACAGATACATGGCTTAGGCAGGAGTGTATACCATAGGAGTTTGATTAATTTGCGGAAAAGGAGAAATTAGGTTATAATTTTAGTGATAATTCATTAAATATTATCCCATTAACATTTAAACAGGAGTTTATTAAATTTATGGTTACACTTCCTCTTAATAATTTCTAAATCCTTAGTATAAGTATTAATTGGATTATTAGATTGGAGATTGTTAAACTTATTTAAATCCAAATTAATCGTTTTTTAATTCTTCTATTTTTTAAAAGGAAGGTTAAATATTATAATATAAAGTATTAGGAGTTGAGAGTTCTTTTTTATTATTTTCATTTATTAATTACTATTAGAAATGTTACTGAATTTTCTATTATTGTTCAAATGTATATTATTATTACTATTATGGTTCTACTTAAATATCTTGTCTATTTTCTTCTATTTTAATTTTATTGCCTTGCTATTTTGATGTCATTTACAAATCCTTGGATGACTTAACTTTAATTTGCTGATCAATTTGTAAAACATCCTTAATAGCCTTTCTTTTCTTTGTTTAGACTTCGATTTGCTCGATTTTATTAGGTTCTTTTTGAGTAGTTTTAGATTTAACTTATCTCAAATAAGTCATTCTGATTTGGGACTCTTCTTTTTGTGGTTCTTAGATTTATTATTCATCTTGTTTATTCAAATACTCCTTTATTGCTTCTAATTCTTCAATATCATCATCATCTTCATCTTTGTATATTTTTTGGATTAGACTCTTAAATCTATTTTAAAGATGTAAATTATGACCTGTTTTTGACTTGATTTTCTGTTCTTCCATCCAAAAGACTAGAAATGAGTGACCATCTCTTCCCATTCTTAACGACCATGTTCAATAATTGAAGATCTTCTTATTGGCTCCAATTAGTTCTATTGATTTGATTAATTTTTGATACTTCTTCAGTTTTGGGTTTAAATAATTCATCCATCTCTCTCTAACCTATTTTGGGGTTCTGATGTATTATCCATTGTTTTAATTATACAATTCAAGAGCGATATGTGTCCAAATATGTTTTTCATCCTATTCACTTTATTACGAATGAGAATATTGAATACTTCATAAGCGATCGTATGATTTCATCCTCTTCTGGATCCCAATTTATACTCTTAGAAACTGGGTTAATAAGAGTTATCCATCTTTATTTAAGAGTGACTTCATCTATTTTTAGAATATTTGACAATTATCCCCATTCATCTTGAGTAGGATTGATAGTCTTCTTATTTTTCAATTAAAAGAATTTGCCCATAATCCAGATGAACATCATCTTGCATTATTTGTCCCATTTACGCTTGATGCTTGCTTTTTCTTCAGACAGTAATCTATAATGGTTTCATAATAAAATTATACTTTTGTGCAATTGAATCAAAATGTTTACTGTTAGGATTGATGAAGTTTTCTTTAATTTTGAATTAATTTCGAAATGGAAAGGAAAGCTCTGAATTTTTAAGAGAACCCAATTCTTGTAAAAATCCATTAAACATTAATTAAGTATAATTTATACTATAAAAAAGATAAAAACATAATTAAATCTAGGGAATGTGCAACTTATCATTTCAAAACATTATTAACACAACAATGTCCTATTCAATTTTACATTTTAAAAGCTATTAATCCTCAAAATGTATTAATTATCTTCCATCTCAAAATAGGAGAGTCTCGTCCTTTAAATTGAATAGAGAATTAGAAATTAATGTCTGGATTGTTTATAATTTGATGAAGTGATTTTCAATGATAAAACAAAATATTGGATGACGAATAGAATAGAAAAAAATAATCAACTCTTTTGATGGAAAACCATAGTCAAAGATGTTGGTTTGCTAGTCTAATTGAATTAAGTACAAAGATTTAGTATGATTTCTAAATTATTTAGCAGAGAACGACGATGTCAGTTAAAATTTTTTACCTTCATCACTATATCAATATTTGGCGTATTTGATCAGAAGAACGGAATATTCTTTCAGATAATCATAATGAAAATTGAGATGTAGATTATTAATTGATTTTAATGACTTTGATACTAATATAAATGTGAATTGAAAAACCAAAATTATTAATTAATTTAAACATGCTTTATAAACCTATACAATATCCTGAGTCTAGAGCTCTGGATAGGATTACACTACAACAACCGAAATCTCATTTATTGCCTGAAATCCAAATGAACTAACAATTTAAATCGCTCCAAAATATACCACATTCAAGTAGAGTGAATGATGGATTATTGTCTTACAGAAATAGTCTATTTGATCAAATATAAGAACCTCTGACGTAGAGATCAACTTACAATTCAATCATCAAGAATAAGAAATTCTCTTTGAACCAAGAACAATAGAGTTAAAAAAAAGGACTATTAGTCAAATTTGAAGATATGGGAATCTAAAATAATTAACCAAAAAGTATTTTGAAAAGGAAAAATTCGAACAGTAGTCAACACTCAGATGTTTTAGATTTCTTCGAATTAGTGGAAGAATAAGCTTTACCTGTACGGAACAAGAAGCATATTATTCTTGAACCTTTACAATCTACTCCTTCTCCACAAATGGCGAATGCTATTTCACCTAAAAGAGTCTCCTTCAATAAATAAATCTAAATAAAATTGATCAGTGATGATTATACTGAATCTAATGAAAAAAGAGTTTAAAGTAGACACCATTTACGTAGATAGATGACAGACTTCATAAATTGATAACATTCATATAAAAATTTATATTTAAATATATATATTATAATGTCAAACAATTAAATCATATACTAATAGTAAGAAGAACAAAGATCTCTCTTTTCTCGATTGTGTGCTTGTTTGCAAATATTTAATGGCAAAAAGAAACGAGGAACGCAAAATCAATATCATGCAGAAATTGACACACCCAAATCATCCTTCATTGTATTAATAAACAATTAATTCTCAGTTTGGATAAAAGAAAACTATTGTCTTGGATTTAGATGAAACATTAGTGCACAGTCAATTTCAGCCAATGGATAATTGCGATCTTTGCTTAGATGTACAATTCTCCTTTTACATAAGATTGTCGTTTAATCATAAAATTTCAAAGTTTATGTGCTTGTACGACCTGGGGCTAAACAATTCATTGATGAACTAAGCAATTTTTATGACATTATCTTATGGACTGCAAGTCTCAAGGAATATGCTTAGCCCGTGATGGACTTTGTTGATCCAAACAAGAAGGCCATCGATAGATTATTTAGAGAAAGCTGCACCATTATCAAAGGGGGATTGACTAAGGACCTGAGTATATTGGGCAGAGATTTGAAAGATATTATCATTGTTGATGTAAGTATAACTTAATTTCATATAAGAATTCAATCCTATCATTCACACTGAATCCAGACAATGGTTTCAAAGTCAGGGACTTCTTCTATGATAAATCAGATAGAGAACTTGAATAGATTCTCCCATTTTTGGTCTGGATCTCATAAGTAATCTAAATTAAAATTAAATAAGCTTCCTGATGTGAGACCAGTGGCTACATAATATCAGTAATTTATAAATTCATCTCCTGAATAGTTAAATGAACGAAGGAATGGCAGCATTGTGCCACTTGATCAACAAAAGTTTTCAAGTCTCTCCAGATCTTTCACTATTCAAAGGGAAAAAATCAAGAAAGCTTCCATAATTAGAACTTTAACACTATCTCAAAATGACGATGAGGAATTCGATGAAATTGTCATCAAAAAACAAATCAAATAAGGTGTCATCTCAAAATAGGATCAAGCCAATGATAGTGAAAAGGAGACATTTGAAATTGGTAATTGATTATTATAAATGTCTTATATTATTATATAATTATATTAATAATAATATAATACAATTTGCAAATATGCATTAAATAACAACTCTTGAAACTGACACTCCCAAAAAATTGGTACAAAATCTCTTATATTTTGTAAGAATAAATTTTCTGTGAGATCATTGGCATTGCCCAGAATAACCTTGGTTGGTTTTGAAAAATCGCCTTATCATAGTGGAATTCACGAACACTCTAGTAATGTCCCTAAACGTTATAACAGATAGTATTATAAGATCCAGCAATCTGCCAAGGAACGAGATCTGATTAGCGATGTTAACTGAATTGGTTATTGTTTAGAAAGATGTATATGCCACGCTTTCAAATAATCATGAAGAACCTTACCTAGACCGTAAGCCTAAAGACCTTGTTGGAGACGACGCCTATAAATCTTACTATCACACTTTCAAAAATATCAAGCGAATTCTAGAATAGAATCAATTTGAGAATATCACAAGTAGTTCTTGCTAGAATGTATTTAGATTCCGTTTAAACCAATCTAATCCAAAGAGCAGAAAAGCTTAAAATATTACCTTGCAAAATGGGCCTCATCAAACTCAAAGGAGATAAGAATTCCATCGCAATTTAAAACCAGAAATTTGGTGACAAATATGTAGAGGTGTTGTCAGAAGGACTGAAAACATTGCCAACTATCCAAGATTTCAATTTCAATCGCAATAGAATCAAAGAACATGGAGCTTCGTAGTTGTTTCCATTAATCAGCAAACAAGCTAGAATTATTGAGTTTCAAACTAATTCCATCGGATAGAAAGGTCTTGAACCAATTCTATAATGTTTGCCATTGTAGACATGCAAGTATATTTGAATTGCAATCTCAAGGATCTAGATTCTCAATTTAGAAGATAATTAATTAGGAGACACATTAATTTCAGACTTGTGTAAGGCCATGAGTAAGAATCCATCTGTAGAGATGCTCAATATATCAAAGAATAATATTACAAATGCTGCATATTTATCGATAAAGTCAATGATTGAATAAAATGACACTCTTCTTGAATTATATTTGAGATGGAATTCAATTAAAGGATCTGGAGGTCTTGAAATATTCAAGGTCCTTCAAACCAATAAAAATATTAAGGTTCTAGACTTCTCTTATAATTTACTTGGAGCTGGGAATGTCATTATTACAGCTCTCAAAGACTTTATAATTGAAAATAAAACAGTATAACATTTGGATTTGTCTGCAAATGGATTCTCATACCAAGATTGCCTCTAAATTTCAGAAGCCTTAAAGTCAAATCACTCTATTTACGGATTCCACTTTAGAGGCAATTTTGGTTATGTGGATTCAAAAGGATTTCTAATTATAGACAACAATATGAAAAATTATAATTCTATCCATGTAGATCAAAGAATCAAAGGAGTATCTCCAAATCCAAAGCCATATGAACACTCTTCTCATTTTGAGAAATTAAAAGATGTTTGCTGGATTTGTGATGAATGGTAAATGAGTACTTTTGAGTGGATTCCCAGTATTTTTAATTAATTATTTTATAGATCAAAGTGGAGCATGTTCTGAAGAACCCATATTTATACATTTTGATTATGAAGGTTTTGAGCCTATATTTTTAGGGAAACCTGATTCAAATGGTAATTTTAAGACTCATCGAATGATTCCAAATGGAGATATAGAGTATTTCTACACTGCTAATTCCATTTAAATAGCCAGTCAATCTGCCCCAACCAAATAACATATTGAGAAGTTCAGAACCAAGGTTACAATAGCAGATCAAGTGATTAATGTGTTGATAGATGAAACTAACCTCGAAAAGTTCTCTAAATCCAAACCAGTCATCGAAGATTGGTATCCTACATATGATGTTTTACCAAGAACCTAGGATCCAATCTATATTCCAGCAAAAAGAAAGAAGCAAAAACGAATTTGGACTTATCCAATCTCAATTTGGGCTCCAAAGTATAAATTCGATACTGAAGAATTACTGAGGAAATGCTTTGAAAGAGATTGGGCTTGTTGTAAGATAGCGAAGTTTGTGAAGAAATAGGAGGAGTAGGATCAAGTAAAGGAAATGTTATGGCAAGCCTATAAACCAATGAGAGAGACTTATCGATTTTATGCAAGTGTAAATCCTACTGGAGATGTGTTTTCAATGTCAGTGAATCCAACTTCTGATTTTGTGAACTAATGTTAGTTGATAGATGGTAAACAATTGAAATTGGCTGATGTGGATCTGAAATTTATAGCAACTTGCAGTGCTTCATCTATAGATTGGAAGGGGAACTACAGAAACCCTGAAAGGTCTTTGGTGAGATATCAGATGATGGAATTCTTAGTTAGATTGTCAGATGATAAATATGTGAGATTCAATCCTTAGGTCAATATTGTTTAGGCAACTAGAATGATTTTGGATTAGTGTATGCCTCATTTGTCTTAATTTGATTGTCATAAATGGAGAGCTGAACGTTACTTTGTTGAGTAATGTGATGATGTTTGTAAGAAATACAAATGGGTTATCGATTATGTTTACATGAGGAATTCATAAAAGAAGGTTAAGCCAGGTTAACCGCCTTTTATGTGTTTGGATGAATTGAAAGACATTTGTAATAAAGCCAATTTGTATGATGAGAATTTTGTTGAAAGAGATGTAAATTTAGCTTTTAATTTATCCATGTTGACATAAGTTGATGAATTGGAAAGTGATAGATTGTTCTAAATGCAATGGATCGAGTTTATGGAGGCTGTTGCTAGGATTTCTGAAAAATATTCACCAATTGCAATTGGGAAGAAAGAGGAAGTAAATTTAAGTTTATAAAGTTTAGAAAGAGTGGAATTATGAATTAAGATTTTAATAGCCTTTATATTATAAACTCGAGGCCTTTATGGTTCATTTAATTAATACACTGGTTGATGATGAGACTAAAAAGAATTGGAAGTAGCCGACCATTTCTATGTTTGACGAAGTTGAAGAAGATGAATATTATTGAAATATGTAATGTTACATTTACGTGCGTATTATTTATAATAATTACATAATAAGTGCATCATAAAAGAGTTAATTATAAAAAATACAATGTTAGAAGCTGAAAGAAAATAGGGTCAATTCCCATTGTTGGAGATGTCACATTTACTTTATGGAGGCAAAGACCAATTTGATAGATTTCTTGAGAGATAAAGTTTCTTTGATGATCATCCAATGTTCAAAGTTAATCATGATTTCTACAATAAGTCAAGACAGGATCAAGTTTATATTTTAATATATAACTAAGATTCTTCTGAATGCTGAAAGAACAGTTGAAGCAATGAAGAAATTATCATTGGCTGATCCCAATTACTACACTCCAAATGTCTTATGTCCTTAGGGTATATTCATATCCACTGTCCATTATGCCATGGTTATACCTGCATTCTAGGTTTTGGCATCTGACGAATAGATTTCTAAATGGATGACCTCATTAAAGAATTTTAGTGCATTTGGATGTTATGCCTAAACTGAATTGGGCCATGGATCTGACGTATAGAACTTAAAGACTGTAGCTGTATTCGATAAACAAACATCGGAATTTGTGATCCATACTCCAAATATAGAAGCCACTAAATGTATTTCTAAGTTATTATGACTTAGTTTGGCCAGGAGAATTGGGATTGTACTGTGAGTTTGCCTTGGTATTTGCTCAATTGTAAGTCGACGGCAAAGGATATGGAGTACATCCCTTTTGGATCAGAATCAGAGATAAGGAGACTCACAAACCATTGTCAGGTATTGAAATTGGTGATATTGGTCCAAAAATGGGTTATGCAGTTAAGGATAATGGATTCATGAGTTTCGATCATTACAGAGCTCCTTTGGACAGTCTATTGAATAGGTACATAAAGGTGAGCAAAGACGGAAAAGTAGAGAGACAAGGAAATCCAAAAGTAGGATATGGAAGTATGATGTACATGAGAAACATTCTTTGTGATTAATATACTAAGTTTGGTGGCAGAGCTTTGGCAATTGCTGTTCGTTATTCTTTATACAGAAAACAATTTAAAGATGATAATAAATAGGAAATTAGAATCTTAGATTATTAATGCTAATAATAAAAGTTATTCCCATTATTGGCTGAATTCTATGCTTGTGTTTTTGGAAGTGTTAAAATAAAGGAATTAGTAAATGAGAATTTCAATAGAATTTCTTAAAAAAATGATTTCAGTTTACTTGGATTGACTCATGCTGTGTTAAGTGGAGCCAAGGCCAATTATACATATTTCGTATCAAATTGTGCAGAATGGTGTAGATTGAGTTGTGGAGGACATGGATTTGCTCATTATTCAGGGTTGCCAATCATTTTCTTTGAAATGTCTCCAAATGTAATACATAATATTAATTTAATTTAGATTACTTTAGAAGGAGAAAACACTATCTTGAATTTATAATTAGCGAGATACTTACTTAAACAATTGCAACATGTGGTCTAAAAACCAAGTGCAGTACCTGAATTTTTCAAGTTCTTGTCCTTAGAAACAGCCAAATTCGATGATGTCACAACAATTGAAAGTTTAATTACTCTTTTAGGTTTGAATTGTGCCAATCTTACAAAATATGCAGCCTAAAAGTTGATGTCTCATCCTGACATGAAAGAGAGTTGGGACACCAAATCTGGCATCGCCTTAGCCAAAGCTGCATCCACATTCATTCCTTACTTTAATATGCTTTGTTTCTTAGATACTATTAATAACAAAGCAAAAGAAACTAAGGAAATTCTAACTGTTTTAGCTAGAATATATGGTATCACCATGTTATTGAATAACATGCAAGGATTATTATTAAGTAATATAATTTATCATAGAAATAGAAAATTAACTTAGCAGTCAATAAATAAAAGCACTCTAAGATACCAGGGAATCACTATACCCAATCATCAGAGTAAATGCTTTATGTTTAGTGGAAGCACAAGGATTGTCTGATAACTCATTGTAAAGTTTGATTGCTCCAAGAGAGGGCGATGTTTATATGAACATGTACAACTTCGCTTCAAAAGAAAATTCATTAAATAAATAACAAGTGCACAATGGCATCAATTACATTCAAAAAATGAGAGAAGTAAATGCTAAATTATGATTTCTAACATTATCACAATTCATATTAAAAGAATATAACAATTGCCGTAATGTCATCTATTCCTTCACTATGAGCTTTCCATCCAGCCACTGATTCTTGAACTATCTTCTAACATGCTCCCTAAGCATCATTCTTCTGATAAAACGGATACACCATATCAGCTATCTAGATTATTTAGACTCATAATACACTCTAATTCTCCAAAAACTCCCATATTCCATCAGATCCTAAAACTATAAATATATCCTCCTTATTGTCAATCTCTACTGATTTGATATCTGGAGTTTAAGACACTCCTATAGCTGCAGCAACAGTGTCTCCTAAACTTCTGCTCATTGCCAATCCAGGGAATTAGGCTCCTCTTGCCCATACTCTCGATGGTCCTATAGGTGCTCCATTAGGTAAATGATATGTATCGACTACTCCTCCATTCTACTCAATTCTGATTCTTTCATTCTCCTAATGTGGTTTATGATCTATTGACAATTCAACTACATTTAAATTGTTGGTATTGCTGTTCCTTTTAACCAAGATTGCTCTGCTATCTCCTACCCATCCACAATGAATAGTATTTTCTCTTATTAATATTACTGTCAAAGTAGTCCCTGAAAATTAACAACCAAATTCTGTCTAAAATTTCATCTTCTGATGCATCTCAAAGAATACCTTCTGAAAATCAAATACCTTATAAAATTTAGTTAAATTATCTACATACATAACATTATTATACATTTTAACAACTCTTTAATAAACGAACTCACGTAATCTCCATCCATCCCATGTCCATCCATCACTGCAAAGCCATAATTATTATCATCCAATTATAAACATAACTCTCGATCTTAATTCGTTTTCTCTTAAATCCCATCAAACCCTGCTCTAGATTAACTACAATGTGTAATCTTTATTTTATTCTTTCCTTATTATTAGATGGTCTAATTCTCCTCTCTTTAACTCTTAATTGGGAGAGTCTGAGTTAATGAACTCTATTATCCTTGTAGCTGTTATTTAGTTTTAGAATCTAATATAAGTCTGTTTTTTAAAAGAGGTGGCTTTTTTGTTAAATCAGCCCCTGATGTTGATTTTTCCATTTACTTCTAATAGCCTTTTAAGTCTGGCAACTTGATGGTCAATCTTTGGGCAGGAACACTCTAGATCAAATTAGATTACGGTTTTAAGCTATTCTGATTTTAATCTTCAACTGTAGATTATTGTACTCTTGAATCACTTCTGTCTCTTTTCTGTGTAAAATGGTAATTAGGCTTAGTCACTGGCTATTCTTTCCTATTTTCTGAGGAAGATCGATTGATTATAGGTTTGAGTTGTTATCCAAATTTTTAGAACATGACAAATTAATTTATATAAAATTCACTTTTAAAGTAAATGGAAACTATCTTCAATTTTGTATTTGGGCAACACATAATTAAAAGTATTTGCTTAAGGTATGAATCTACCTCCTATGGCATGTTATCCTTCAAATTCCTTTATGGCCTTCAAAGGCAATCCCAAGGAGATCACAAACTGTGGCACATACGCATTATACAGATTTCCATTGTCAGTATGCCATCCAACTGGCAGATTGATAGCCAGCACTTTTTTGCTTACTTCTGAAAAGGCATGCATAAATTCTCTCACTGGCGTTTTGGGTTATTCAATTGAATTCAGTGTGATAGCATCCACAACTAGATCGTAATCGTTCAACCAATTTGCTAGAATATTCTTGGTCATTTAAACATTTAATTGTTCTTATAGATTTTGAAGAATGTCAAAATGCAGTGTAGCTGAATGCGATTTACATTGCATTGCCAATCTACTTCTCAGGGGATCATTAGGGTATAACAATACAACATCGACTTCTACTTTTCTCTATGCCAAATATCGAGCAGCTGCCAATCCAAAATATCCGTTTTGATACGAGGATCCTGAGAAATCCTATCCGATAATAAAAATAACTCTCTTAAGAGGCACATCTATCCTTGATAAATACAGGATGTATTCTGCAACACTCTAACCTCCTATTTCTGCCAATTAAGCCTTAGTATATCCGTATTCCTTTCCCATCAATGATCCCATTAAATTTTGAAACTCGCTACCTTTTAAATATGATAATGTAGGGGCAGGTAATGATGCTTGGTCTTGAGCCAAGAGAGGGTTAAACAAAGTTAGAAAAAATATTAACATTTGTTAATATTTAATTAATAAAAATTGAATAAAAGGTATGAATTGAAATATTTTAAATTCAGTGTTGGTGGATATAATAAGATTCATTTATAATAAAAGCGATCTTTGAATCTCTATGATTATATAGCCATATATGAGAAAATAGAAGTAAATAACAGACTTAAATTTGAATTGATCGATTAATTGAATGATATTATAACTTTTTATGTTGAGACATAAAATATATATAAAAATATTATTGATATCATTAAAATAACCTTGTTATATTCAATTTATTTATCTTAATGGTATTAAAATATGATAATAATAAAAATAAATTGACTCATTACCTTATGAACTAATTACTTGGGAATCTTAAAAAAGTGAAATTATTCCATTAATCTAGTTTGTTCATTCTTTTTAAGATATAGATTCAATAATAAGGATTTTTAATGATTAATTATCTTTATCATAATAGCACTTTGCTTACTTTAAGTTATCTTATTATCTAAAATTTGACATTATGAATTCTATACAATTATAAATAATCTAAAGTTAAAAAAGTGATTATTATTAAATATTAATGAATAATTACAAAGCAGTTCAAATTTAAATAATTGATTAATAATGTTAGCAATTACAAGACAGCATCTCTGATTTGGGATGCTATTACTCGTTAATCAAAAAAGATGCTAAATTTATTGATGTTGCTTTATTTGCTGATTCGAATAATTGTGTAAAAATATCATTAAGTGATCCGGAATCATTAATCAGCATGATCATTAAAAATTTAACAGATAAGTCTGTAAAGATATCTATTAATATCGTAGGTGTTAGGCAGATTGAAATTGTCAGTGAGAGAGATATTGGAATATAAATAAGAGTATACATAATGGTATGAATTTTAAAGTGAGTGTTCGACACAGATAAAGGTATAGTTCAAATTCATATTACTACAAAATGATGTAGCCTCCCCATCACCAATTAAGAGTTCTTTAAACAATTCTCAACAATATTCGCTTTCATCAAATAGTTATTAAGAATAGAGTGCGAATAGTTCAGAAAAGAAATAAATGATTCATCCTCATTATCTAACTGTAGGATAGGAACATGATTATCCTGTGATATCTCAATTTCCTACTTCTCCAACCTTTAAGAGAATGATAGATGCAGCCACTCAAGTAGAATGCGAAAATCAAGACCTCTTCACGTTGAAATTGGATAAGGAACAACTAATAGAATAATACTAATAGAGTTAGAATTAGCTAATGAAATTACAATAAGAATACTTGCAATAAAACAGTCTATATAAGGAGTATGATTCATAGATTAAATTATAACTTGAAGAGATCTAAAAAATGAAGATTTAAATTCAAAATTATCAAAAAGAAATATTGCTATTTAGATAAAATGAATAACAATAGTAATAACAAAAATCATAACCCCTAGATGATGCATTAATTGAATAAATCAAAAAGCTAAAAGTCACAATTAAATAATTGGAGGAATAAAATTAAAAACAGAAATTAGAACTAGCCAATCAATTGGAGATATCAACTAATCAATAAAATTAATTGAATGCCATAACTGAAAAATTAGACAGGAATGATAGCATTCTTTAGTTAACAGAGGAGTAGAATGTATAATTATTTAATATGAATATAGAAATATATCTTAAGTCTGAATTAATAATTGGTTTAGCGAGAATAATAATAGAACATTATTATTCAAGAGCAACAGTTGAATGTCGATTAGTTAGAGAAACAATTGAAAGAATAAAATAATCAAATAGATAAATTGAATTACACTATCAAAAAGGAGAATTTATTTAATTCTGTACTCTAAAGAGTTTAAGAATAGCAATTGTAATCTTACATGAAAATAATTGGTCCCCTAAATGAGTATTTAGATCAATCTAAGGACAGATTACTTTATAATTGATTATTTAATACATATAAATAGCATTTCATCATACTAGAGATTGAATATATTCATCATTTTCATCTTCATCCCATAATTACTGTTGAATCTTCCAAATTTAGAGTATGTTTTTCTCTTATTCTACACTTGCCAATAGATGTTTATGATTGGCATTCCAAGATAAATCATTAACCTTAGATCTATGTCCTCCATGATAAAACTAATATGATTATACACATATCTACCAACAATTCAGATGGACCATCTTTTTCATCTTCAGCCTTGATTTCGTTTCCAATTTTGTAATAATCCCACACAATGATTTTAGAATCAACAGATCCAGATGCAAGCAAATTTCTTTAATGAGGGGACCATTAAAGACTATAAATGGCATCTTCATGATTTGAAAATGTATGGATGTCCTCCTCTGGTTTATTCATATCGAACATTTTAACTTGAGCATCGTTAGATCCTGTGGCGAATAAATTAGATTAGAAATTATTAAATTGAACACAATTTACTTCTTGTGAATGTGCTTCTTATTATATTGAAACTCCTGATGATGTTCGAATATCACAACTACATTATTGGAATACTAAAGTACATAGCAAATGTTTTATCGTCAGAACAAGAGATGAAAATGTTTGGATCTTGAGGATGCCAACACACATCTTCAACTTCGCCTTTATGGAAATTGTATTGCTTTATCAATTGTCCTGTATTTGAATCCCAATAGTATATGTTATGATCATAACTTGCAGATAATAAATGACCGCTATTATTGAGATTCCAAGACAACCCATAACCTTCTTTCGTCTGTCCTTTTAAGGCTTATATTTTTGATTATTTGCTTAAATCGTAAATACCTAAGTGCATCTATTAGATTGATACCAACTTCACCATCTCCTGCTTAAGCTGCTAAAATGTATTGATTATTTGGTTATTATCGAACTCTGTTGATTTCTACTTCCACTGGAATTTGCAATTCTTCTTATACCTTTCCAACTGCTTATGTTTTCCCTTTAAATAGTGTTTTATATGTACAAATGTTATTCAGCAAGGTGTTATCCAATTATTCATCTAATTTCTTAGGAATAGCAACTTTAAGCAATTTGATATAATCCTACTCTTAATTATTGGTCTGAGTGGCCACTATCAATCTATGTACTTCGTTGTCGTTTTGATCACTAAGATATTAATGCAAAAGACATTTCAAGTTCATCCAACCAACAAACTGTGAGGGATGGCCAATTGTTTTGATGATTGATGCAGATTTCATACATGAATGGGATGTTCTACTTCCAATTTCGGTACTACTCCTCGTAATTTCTCTCCTCTTGGATCTCATTTTCTGCACTCATATTTAGGCGCGATTTTATTAAATATAATATAGTATAAATTCCCACTCAAAAATAGTTTTAATGGTGTTAAAGTATTATTATTTAATTATGGACGCTGCTGAAGTATAACATGATGGTTCCTCACCATCCAAGAAAGTTAAATCAAATCCTAATGCTCTGAATTCTCTTAGAGATGTATTTACCATCCTTACTAGTTCTAGCATACTGTAGTTGTAGCTGATACCGGCAAGATCAATGACATCCAGAAATTCTAACCTCAAGATGCCACCACCAACCCAAGTCTAATCCTTGAAGCAGCCAAATTACCAGAATATCAAGCCTTGATTGATGATGCCATCCAAAAAGGAATCAAAGCTTATCAAGTCTCCAAACAACCAGTGTATGTCTCTTCCTTACCTTTAGTTAAAAATAACCAAAAAGAACAAATTCCAGAAAGAAGAAGGACGAACCAGAAAATAATGAAATAGTTGAACCAGAATTACCATAATTCAATTTTAATACATTGAATCCAGAAGAACAGAAAATTGTTATTGGATTGGTAACTGACCAATTGAGTGTCAATTTCGGATTGGAAATCCTCAAGTTAGTTCCTGGTTATGTCTCGACTGAAGTTGATGCTCGTTTGAGTTATGACAAATAAGCAACCATTGATAAAGCCAAAAGAATTATCGCCCTCTATGAGCAGGCTGGCATTACGAAGGAGAGAATCCTTATTAAAATTGCTAGCACCTGGGAAGGAATATAAGCAGCTAAAGCATTGAAAAAAGAAGGAATATCATGCAATATGACACTCATTTTTAATTATTACCAAGCTTTGGCATGTGCTTAAGCAGGTGTCAGATTGATTTCCCCATTCGTAGGCAGAATTTTAGATTGGTTCACTAAAAATAAGACTGGTGAAGATTATTCTAGATAAAATCATCCTGGAGTCAAATTAGTAACCAGCATCTGGAATAGCTTTAAAAAATTCAAATATGATACTATTGTCATGGTATTTTTCATATTTGATATTTAATTTAGGCAGCATCCTTACGTTTGGTAGATGAAGCTGCTGAATTATGCGGTTGTGATAGAATGACCATCCCTATCAAATTGCTAAATGATTTATAAGGTTTAGAAGGGACAGTATTGGAACCCAAATTAAAAGTCGAAAATTTAGATAAATTAAATATTGAGAAAGTCATTGTTGATGAAAAAACTTATAGATGGGAAATGAACTGTACATTTTTATTATTAAACTATAGAGGATGCTATGGGAACTGATAAATTAAATGAAGGAATTAGAAAGTTTGCTTAAGATTTAGAGGCTTTGGAAAATGTAATCAAATAAAAATTAACATAAAATAACTAATGAAACAGTTAACACATTAATATATATAAAAAAATAATAGTATCAAATATTAAGTAAGTTAAATTTGTAAATTAACATTTCTATTTCACCCTTCCCACCAATTCGTTTGTAATATGTGAAATCCTCTTCTCCTGTTATAGAAATTTGTATCATTGGAAAATCGAACTTTTTTTGTCTGGTTATTTTAGAAAACAGTGTAAGTTTATCTAATTGTTTTCTTTCCCATTGATAGGCTTTAAGAAATTGATCTATTTTATTTTAAAATACTTTTTAAACTTTTTGAAGTCTTACGGCTACCACTTTGACTTCGCTCATCTAAAGAATGACATTCACTAAAAAAGATTTCTAATGCATCTTATTATTATTATTTCTTTTTAATCCTAATCTTAGGAGTGCCAATACTTGCATTATTACTTGCTATTTCTTCCCTACTTTATTTCATCTTTTTTTAAGCGCTTTTTCTAATCAAATTACTTTATGTCATCACCAATTGATCTTTCAAAGGGGTGGTTGGACTTTTACAAATATTTGACTTTTATGAAACAGTATCACCGTCTCCTTTTTTTGGAGCAAATTAAGAGGTTTGTCTTGGTAAATAGGGATTAGAAGTTGATTTAACATACATTGATTCAACCTTGATCTGCTTAAGTTAGTTTTAGAAAGGAAATTAATTTTTCAGGTCTTAATGTTTATCACCCTATTCTTCATTCTATCTACCCTCTACTTGTAATTCTCTCAACATTTCAAATTCTTCTTATATTTGTTTGAGTTCCTCTTATTCTTGTAGCCAACTTATCGTATAAAATTTTAAATATACTTTTGGCGAATTACAAACTTTACTTCCACCTCTTAATCTTCTAGAAAACGATTTTTTCTATCAGTTTGAACAGCGACACCATCGATTTGTATTGGTTGAATAGATTAAGGGTTTTCTTAACAATTCTGAGTTATTTTATGATCATTTCTAATTGATTCATCTTTGATTAAGGATTATGGTGAACTATAAGGACCAGTTTTGGAATCTTCATTCGAATGATACTTCCTTTTTTACGATACTTTCTTGATAGCATTTATATTAAATTCTTTATCTTCTATTTATTATTGACAAATATTTTTGCATGTACTACCCATAAATTTTAATAAATTAATTAATTGAACTCGGGTTATTTTATTAAATCTCCGATTATACATAAGAATTCAAGTCAATTCTGATTATTTTGCTTCCAATTTTTGTTTATTATTTTTCATATTTGAGTGCATTTTTAGTAAAGTTACTTCTGTTTGTTGTTACACTAGAAAGAATAAATTAACCTCTGTTCCAATATAATTCTAAAAATTAAAATTAAATTAATAAATCATATCTAAGTCCAATATTATTAATCAGCATAAATATAAAATAAGAGCACACAAAATTTAAAAAGGGATTTTATATATTGAAAAAATTGAAATCAGGAGTTATTAGTATTTTTAAATTTAAATTATATTATATTGTAAGAAAATTATTAGAAGAATACTTCCAATATAATTTCTTTGTTCTATAAACATTCTTCCAATTCAAATGATCAAATTAATTATTTATTTAATACTAAAAACAACTTTTTAATTTATAAATAAAACTTAATAATAAAATAGATTATTTATTAAATTAATATTAAAATCTACATATAAAATCTTGTTTTGTAGAAAATAGTTTTATTGTTATTCTTGTTATTATACTATGTAATCCAAATATCTTCATTATTAGTTATCACAGATTTTCAGGAGTTAAAATTCATATCAAATAAATTGCAAAATTGTATCGATATCACTAATAACGTTTAATTGAATCTAGTTAATACAATTTTACATTTCATTTTAGTCTAAACCAACTTAAAAATGATCTAAAAATATTATTTTAAGTGAATAACAATCAAATAATGTGATATTAAAGCTCTTGTATCTCAATTCATTTTAAGTATTTTATCAACAAATAATTTACTGAAGTATGTATTTATTTTTAGAATTGATTATAAATACTCTTACAAAATTGAGATTTTCTATTTCTATTTAATAAAGAACAATAGTCTTATTGAATTTAAAGGATAATAAAATCAATGAATTAGTAATTATAAAACTAGAATAGATGATTAATAATAATAATTTATTTATTAACAACTAATTTTATTTGCATAATGATTGAAGAGGAAATCTCAGGATGGCTGGATGATGGCGATTAGCTTAATAGTATAAGGTTTAACAGAAATAAAGAAGAGAGGATAGATAAACCTCCCTTGCATTAAAATCTCCGTAGTTATAGCTTATGTTAAAAAAAAGATGACAACGAGAAATTGCTTAGCTCAAAATCAAGTCTTTATTGAAATGTATATTAGATCTCTTTTCTGATAAAGAGAATTCATCATAATTTGTAAAGTGTAGGATGTAGAAAAAATAAAATAGTACAATAGAGGAATTGAAAAAAGTGATGGAGTTTCTATCAATAAATGAACAATATAAATATGAGACTCACAGAGCATTTGATCCAAATGATGATAAATTCATCAAGCAATAGTAGTAACTTATAGAAAAATAAAAGTAATAATAAGAACTCAAAAAAAATAAGTTCAAACTCTAATTGGATATCAAGGATAATTATCAGACAATGCCAAAATCAAGAAGGTAATTGCAACCAATATCCGATGTCTTATAAACATAAAAAATTAACAGTGACAGATCACAAATTAACTAAATTCAATAGAGTGGTATTTAGGAATCTAAAAGTTAAACACAAACTAAATTTAAATTTCCGAAATTCATTATCTAACAATAAAAATATAAAAAACTGCATTATAAAACAGATGATTTCAATGGATATAAAGACTAATAGGAATAATAACCTAAACATTTTATTCAAATAAATAGAATATTTAGCAATAATAATTTAACGGATACAAAGCAAAGTATCATTTCCCCTAAATCTGTTACGCAAGCTAAATATTAGGTTCAGTTATAGCAGACGATAAACAATATCAATTAGGCAAGAGATAATGGATACGCATATGATTTATTGTACAGAAAAACACCTTCAAGTATAATACAAGACAATAAGGAAAAGTAGAAGTAGCTTAAATTGCTAGAGATAGCTCTAAAATGTAAGAATATAAAATGATATCTTATATATATACTACTATTATGAAATAGAAATAAATTTCTTCTCTCAAAATTATATTATATATTTCAATTAATGGATTATAATCTATTACAAACAATAAACAAGTATAATTTTTAAGTGCTACCACACTCTTCAATCTAAAAAGTGATAATATTATGTTGAATTTAATCAAGATATTGAAAATTTTATCTTAAAAATAAATAAAGTAATTAATAATTATAAAATTAAACAAAAAAAGAACATTGTTTAGTAGAGTTGAAGGAGTAAAATGGACTAATTGTAGGAAGAAACTTGAATTCAAAATCAAATAGAAATCTTGTAATTTGGAAAACTTTAAAATCAATAAAATGAAAAATAAAAATTGATCTTCCATAAGAATATAATGTTAAGAAATAAATAAGAATTGATATTAATTTAAAGATTCTTAATTACAAAGGAAATAATAAAATAATGATAAATTACTCATTATAACCATGGACTCTATTATACTTCTTTCATGGTTATTCTTTCTTTTGAATCTACTTTTAGCATGGCTGAAATTAATTATTTGGCTTAAAAGGAAACGAATGATGGATACTCTATTTTCCCTAAACATATTTTTTTCGATAAATCCTTCTCTGAATTTCCTCTAAAAGGGAACACTCCTGTTACAATTTTATAAAGGATTACTCCGCATGCCCAAACATCGACAGATTAATCATAAGAGCTTTTCTTGACTAATTCAGGAGCCATGTATTATGGAGTTCCACAGGAACAAGTTTGTTTTCCATTGATTTTGATAGAATATCCAAAATCTATGAGTTTAATTTTTTTTGTAGTATAATCTATTAAAAGATTCTCAAACTTTAGATCTCTATGACAGATATCTTATTCATGCATGTAAGAAACAGCATTTGAAATTTGACGAAATAAAATTTTGGCTTCATCCTCATTAATTCTTTTGAATGGCCTTCCTTTCATGAACATCTCTAAATTTGATGGGGATGAGTATTCCATGCTTAAATATATTGATTTATCATTCTCAAACATATGATATAAGTTAATTATATTAGGATGTTTGAGTTAATTTAAGATTTCTACTTCTCTTTCGAGATTTTTTAAATGCATATTATTCATTTTCTTTTTATCATAAATTTTAATAGCAACATCAATCTCTAATTCTTTGTGCCTGGCCATTTTAACTTCAGCAGTCGCTCCAATTCCAAGTGTTTTTATAAAGGTGTAACTATTGATTGATTGATATTCAGGTGGAATTTCAACAATTTAAGAGTATTCTTTTCTAATATTTTCGTTTTAAGGATTTTCTTCATAAATGGTTTATTAAGCATAGGTTGTTTTAAGAATATTTCTTAAATTGCTGCCTAGATTTTTAGAAACAGGAGTAGTCTTCTTTTTTTATTAGGCTAGAGTATTCTCTTGTTTTGGTGAGAACTATTTTTAAGTCTGTTGCGTCTTTAGAGGTGATCGATTAGTAGGTACTCTGCTATGATGAGATACTGAACGTCTTTAAGTATCCTCTCTATTTTTTAGGTATTTTTTTCTTAGATCGAATAATTTTGAATGTTAGCTAAACTAATTTGCTTGAGAGTATATCTATTAATTAGCTTTGTGATAATCTTATATGAATAAAGAGCATACTTAAAGACATGTACATAGCAGTTTCATGTGGTTATTCGAATTCTTGATGATAGAGTATTTCTGGAGTAGGTTGGAATGTAACTTATTGTTGCTATTCAAGTCTTAGCATTTACTTAACTATAATAATAAATTCAGTTAATTATATATGTTCTTATTATATATATATATACTATTATTATATATATATTCTCATTTCTTAGGTGGTGCTTTTGCTGCTGGCTTTGCTCCTCCTGCTGGTTTTGCTCCTCCTGCTGGTTTGGCTGCTGCGGCTGCTGTTTTTGCTGCAGCTGCTGCTTTGGAATCATCAGCTTCCTTTTGTTTTTTTTCTAAAATAATAATAAATGATAAACAAACCAGCTGCTTCTTGCTTGTCCAAGATTTATTTCTTCGAAGTTGGTGCAACTTCATCAGGCAAGATTTTAGAAATAACACCTGCAGCTACAGTCTTTCCTCCTTCTCTGAGTGCAAATCTTTGACCTTGGTAGAGTGGTAAGTTATAGGAGAGATTCAATTTGCAAGTGAAGTTATCTCCTGGCATACCGACTTTGATATTCTCTGGTAACTACAATGTAACAGCAACGTCAGCAGTTCTTACGAACATCTAAGATCAATAAGAAATTGGATTTACTTATGGACGATAACCATTGGGGAATGGTTTTTTACGACCTCCTTCTTCTTCCCTTCAAGATGTAAAGATTAGATTCAATGCAATTGTGAGTTGTCAAGGATCCTGGTTTGCACAAAACTTATCCTCTTCTAACATCATCTCTTGTAAGACCTCTGATCAAAATTCCGACATTGTCACCAGCCTCTCCGAAATCAAGTTGCTTTTTGAAGGTTTCAACACCAACAATTGCAGTTTATTTTGGTTTACCATATCCGACAACTTCGATGTTGTCCTTGGTTGATGCTTTACCTTAATCGATAGTTCCTGTCACAACTGTTCCTCTACCAGCAATGTGATATGTGCCTTCTATTGACATTAAGAATGGCTTATCAATTGTTCTTTATGGTATTTTGATCTCCTTGTCCATAGTCTCAAGTAATTGAAGAATGGACTTTTCTCCTAATTCTGGTTCTTGGTCATTGGATGCAAGCAATGCTGATCCTTTCACAATCTTTGCATTGTCTCCATCATATTCGTATTTGCTAAGAAGTTCTCTGATTTCCATCTCTACCAATTCATGGATTTCTGGATCTTTGGCTAAATCTATCTTATTCACAAACACAATAATAGTCTCCACACCAACTTGACGACATAGAAGCACATGTTCACGTGTTTAAGCCATGCAACCATCTGTGGCTGCCACGACCAAAATGGCAGCATCCATCTTGGCAGCTCCTGTAATCATGTTTTTGACGTAATCAATATGTCCTGGACAATCGACATGACTGTGAGATTAATTATAGCATCAATTATTACCCATAATGTCTAGTTTTGGTTTAATATTCCACTGTAGCACTATTGATGGTGATACCACGAGCCTTCTCTTCAGGAGCCTTATCAATTTTACCATATTCTTGGAACTCAGCGAGTCTATTTCCTTTATGATTTATAATTACTATTATTTAGCCAAGACTTTTGTGATGGCAGAGGTAAGTGTTGTTTTACCATGATCGATGTGTCCTATGGTACCGACATTAAGATGAGGTTTGTCTCTGATAAATTTGGCAAAGAGTGCGCGAGCAGTATTATTAAGGGCGAAAGGAGCTTGTACGGAGCGCAGAGTGTGGAGCATTCTTTAATTTTAATTACGGTTGAGATTTAAAATAATGTACTCTTTTGGAATAAAGATTTATTTATTTAATTAAAAATGCAGAGATTATAGGGTGCCACACTAAGTTTATGGAGCAGCTTTACTCCAGTACCTCAGTATGCATTCGCCACATTGAATCTGAAATAATTGAAATAGAGAATGAAGTCTGTGGGATCAATTAGAAAGATTACCAAGGCCATGAAGATGGTTGCTGCATCCAAGATGAAGCAAGATGTCTAAAGATTAGAAAATGGAAAGTACTTCGGAGTCCGATCACTCCAAGATTTATTTGCCCAAGAAACCTATCTATAGAAGAAGCAATTGACATTTAAGATCAATAAGACTCTGATTGTCCCAATCACATCAGACAAAGGACTTTGCGGTGGCATCAACTCATCAATCATTAGAGAAACCAGAAGCATTGTCAGATAAAATCGAAATGCCTACAAATTATTCCTGATTGGCGAAAAGGTATTCACTATCATTTTTACATTTTAGTCCTTGGGAGCCCTCTAAAGAGGTTTCCCTGAATTGCTCACTCAAGCAATAACAGCCATCTAAACACCAATCAATTTCGTGAATAGTTCTTCCATCGCACATCAGATTCAACTCAATGTCACAGATGATATTGATTAGATTTCCATCATTTTCAATTAATTCAAGAATGTGGTTCAATAAGTTATCAAGCGAGTTGATCTACTCAATAGAAAGAACTTCATTGCTCAATTCAGATTGGTTACTAAATATGATACTGCAGAACCTGAAAAGGAATTCGTCCAAAATTACATGTACGAATACTATGTAGCTACTGCCTTTTATCATGCTATGTTGAATAATTTTGCAAGTGAAACATCTTCTAGAATGAATGCTATGGAAAATGCTTCTAAGAATGCAGGAGAAATGCTTGATAAATTGACTCTTGAATACAATAAGGTTAGATAAGCCAAAATCACAGTAGAATTGTGTGAAATCATTTCAGGAGCCTCAGCTGTCTGAAAATCATAAAGAAATATATATAGAAAAACATTACATACCTATATTTACAATTTTCATCCTTAATTACTAACCCTCTTTTTCAATATATCAATTTGCATTCATTTTTAAAATATACTTATATATATATATACATCATTTGCGACAACCTTAGATAATACACACGAAACCTTTAGTCTCTGGATACTATTTTAAATATTGCTTATTTTTTTAAAGATTTTCGTTCATCTCAATGATATATCCATCATGTCCAGCCACTACATTATAGACTTCTCCGTTCTCCAAATGTACCTTCAACATCACTGTATCACTCTTAACCTTCAAGCCTCCCTTCTTTTTCTTACCCTTCACATGCTATTCCTTCTAAGTAAACTCAATCTCCTTAATATCGCTGTCGCTCTTCACTATTGGATGATTCTTATTTATTCCACTCAAGTATAAACGATTTGAATGCTAAAACACATATTAATGTTCCGAAAAGGATTTAACAAAATATCGATCAGTGAATTCAGCCAATCTTGCCTGCACATTTAGTGGAATCATCAAATCATCATCTTGATCCTGCCCTTATTATTATTATTGCTCCTCTCCTTATGGCTCCTCTAATTATTGCATTTAATTTAATTAGCTATTATTGGTTATAATTTTTAGTAAAACAAATGTATCTAAATCAATCCTAGACCATTCTGATCTAACTTGGCAGCTAACTCTAATATAAACTCTAATTTCCATATTGACTCATTATCAAACTCTTCTGTAATTCATTATTCTCATCCAACCATCCCATCCTCTTTCCCTTCTCCCAAATGCCTTATTTAATTGTTCCATCCTAAAACACCATCGTTCCTCTTCCATTCTGTAATCCTTCTGCAAAGCTCCCTTCATATCTCTTACCATCTGCCCAAGTGTAAACTCCAAAACCATCCTTCTTATCATTCTTAAACTCTCCTTAATAGGATTTCCCATCTGGCCATTTGTACACTCCATATCCATGCATAAAACCATTAAGAAACTATCCTTCATACGATCTTCCATTAGCCCATTGATACGCTCCTTGCCCATTGAATTAATTCTGTGCCCATTCACCCTAATATGTAGTTCCATCTGCCCAATAATAATTTCCTTCCCCATGTTTCATTCCTCTTGAATAATTTCCTTCATAACGCGATCCATCAGGCCACTCTTGCTTCCCAAATCCGTGCTGCACATCCTCTTTCCATTCTCCTTCATACTTTCCATTCAGTTTATAATAAAAAGTTCCAAATCCTTCTGCCTACCCTTCATTCCATTCTCCTTCATAAATGTCTCCATCTGCATGAATAAACTTCCCTCTTCCATGGGGTACATTGTTGTGAAATTCTCCCTCATATCTTGCTCCATCCGGCCCTTTGTTTATTTTATAATTATTATACATTCTTAGATTCCATGACCTTCTCGTATTGTGCCTTTCCATTGCCCCGTATAGAGAACTCCATCTGGAAATTAATAGGTGGGCCGTTCTTCTATTCTGTCTTCAATTTCAATTGGAACCTATTATTTCTGTATTGGAAGTGATTGTTAGGGTCGATAGCTCATTCTTACTGACTACACAAAGTCTTCTGATGGCCTATCAGTTAATTCGATGTTCTCAGTGTATAATTCATTATTTGTAGAATCAAATATAACTTCTGCCTTTGAACAATGATCTATTGCAGTACATTAATTTCCCATTTATAATATTTAATAATAAAATTTACAGCAAAAAATAAACTGAAAAATTAATGAAGCTTTAATTAATTACAAATTCATCGTAACATTATAAATAAATGGTCCATAAATAATTCAGGGTAATATCTTCACAAAAGAACTACCAAAAACTGAACTTTTCAGTCCAAAAATGAAGTTAAATCCCATTACATGATCAAGTAATTCTAAACTCTAAGAGTAAATTTAATGAATACAAAAGTTCTTTTTGCTGTTTGATTGTTCCAGGTTATTTTCCTTGCTCTAAGATTAACCTCTACTACCATGATATCGCCAAAACTTATTTCAATAAACTTGGACTATGAATTTTTTGTGTCTTTTAAACACGTTGTTACAATCCCTTCATTATTTAAGATGTAAGCACTTGATATGAGGAAAAATATATATACCCAATAAATGTACCTTCAAAGGCTTTATCATTTTAAAATACAATATTCTAATGACAAATACCAATCGACACAGCTTCGCCACACTAAACTTTAATTCTAGCAATAGAATTTTCAGTTATCACCTCCTCACTTAAAATATACCTTGTTTATAATAAAATGGATGAACTTCTTGCCTCTTTGTTTTGAAAGCTAAGCTAAATATCTTCATGTTTATTTTTCTTTGAGAATATAAAGTTCGATTACACTTAAGTAATAATCACTTGAGAATTGTTGTTATTGCTCTAACTCGTTTATTCTTAAGTAGAATTAATAATATATCCTGATAGAGGTTCTTCAATTACCTAAGATGGGCCTTCTTAAGATTATATCAATACCTTATGAACTTTATATCGATTTTATATCTTGTTTAAGTGCAGAAACTAAAGTGACAATATTAGGTATTTTGTCTAATATTAATTTATCTGATTTTTCTATTTTAATTATATTTTTTATGTCCCTTGTTAGATCCTAGTAGCTCTGGTTTTAGATTAATTCATCGCTTATCGATAATTCATTTATCATATCAGATAGTGTTGTTGCCAATTATTATAATTGAGTAATGAAGTCTTTGATAGTCTTGAGAGTATCTAATTTATTTTTTTTCATATTATTATAATCCTGAAGATCGATCGTATCTGATATATGGAAATTATGAAAATCTTTAACGCATCGAAAACAAGACAATCCTTATTTAGGACAACTGCTATTTATGCAAACTGCTATTATATCAGCTTATGTATGGTCACCATTTTAACAAGAGAGCATATCTGTAAATAAAATTAATAATATTAAATTTCTTACTAAATATCCAGAATAATTTTCAATCAAAGAATTATTCTATCTAATATGACCTAAGTATATGAATCCCAATAAATAAAGACTATATTATTTTGTAATAAGGATGAAGATTTAAAAGAATTTAACTATCTGTCTGCTTATAAAATATTTTAATGAGTTATATAAATTAGAAGAAAAATTGAATTTGCAATTTAAAAATTATGGGGTTGTTATATATAGTTATAATTTTAAGTATATAGTAAGAGTGAGCAAATGTCTATTTATATCAGTATCTTCAGGATAATATTTAAGATATTATGGGTTGATAAGGAGAAGGATAAATTCATTTATGGTCCACTTCAAAACATAAAAAGGTATGAAACTGGACAAAAGAAATCGAATAAATATTGCGATAGCTGTTTTAACAAAAACTTAGGGGAGTAGGACACAATAATCATTTTTACTTTATTTTATTCTTAATAAATATTGTGATTGGAACATTTAACCATTAACGTTTAGTCAGCATAATTAGAATGAAATTATGATATATAACAATCTCTAGATTGACTGGAATGTATTAGATTAGAAAGATATAAGGGAAAAGTAGGAGAATTCAGAATTTGTAATCGATATTTGACAATTGGATAGAGATTTTAATATTAAATTTTAGAGTTTACTATCAAAAAGAGTAATTTCAGGTGAAACACTTAAATGCACTAAAAAGAATTATGGGAGGATGATGAAAAGAAATAATTGGTTGATTTTATAATGAAAGTTAATTAATTTAATTTTTGGAGCCAAAATGGCAGCAAATTAAGATTAGATATTTGATGAATAATCATAAGAAGCCACTATTAATGAGGAATATAAGATATGGAAAAAGAATGCTCCATTTCTTTATGATTTGGCAATTAGTCATCCAGTTGAGTGGCCATCGTTGACTGTGTAGTGGCTGCCAAAGAAGGAAACTCCACCAGGTTAGGATTATTCAATTCATAAACTGATAATTGGAACAAATACTGCGGATAATGAGATGAATTAATTGATGATTGCTAAAGTACAGAGATCCAATAATACATTAGGTTCGATTGCCAAAAGATTCTGATGTGTAATAGGATCCTTCTGAATATAAATAGAATGAGCCAAGTGGAATTGGGAAGGCTACAGGGGAGAGTAGAATAGAAATTGATGTAAGAATAAACCATGAAGGCGAAGTGAATAGAGCAAGGTACATGCCATAAAAATCGAATATTATTGCCACCTTCACAACCAAAGGAGAAATCCATATATTCGATTACATAAAGCATCCATCATAGCCATCCAACAATTTGGTTAAGCCTGATTTGAAATTAGTAGGACATCAAAAAGAAGGGTATAAGATATCAAATTATCATAATAGATTTGGTATGTCTTGGAGTGAATAGAAATTGGGACATCTCGTAACTGGAGATTACGATGGCAAATTGTGTATTTGGGATGTTGAAACTAATTCACCAGAACCAAAATAAACATTTTAAGCAAATAATTTATAAATCGAAGATGTTTGTTGGCACAGATTTCATCCAGAAATCTTTGGTTCATGTGGAGATGATAGACATGTGAGAATGTAAGAATTATCATTTAAGTTATAGTTGGGATACTCGTAAACCATCACCATTGAGCGATATTCAAACTCATGCAGGTGATATCTACTGCTTAGATTTCAATCATTTTAATGAATACTGTTTTATTACTGGCTCAGAAGACAAGAGGATCAATCTTTTCGATATGAGAAACACTGAAAAACCATTCCACACTTTTGAAAGTCATGGTGATTAGATCTTATCTTTGAAATGGTCACCTCATAATATGAAAATATTTGTTAGTAGTTCAGCTGACAGGAGATGCATGATTTGGGATTTCGGAAGATGTGGAAGAGCACAAACACCAGAGGAAGCTTAAGATGGACCTCCTGAATTGTTGGTAATTCATCCATTAATTCAATTTAGTTTGTCCATGGTGGACACAGATCTAAGGTTTGTGATTTAGATTGGAATCTTAATGAAAAGTATATCATTTCTAGTGTCGAAGATAATAATATTTTGTAAGTTTGGTAATTGGGAGCGCATATTTATTAAGAATGATTTTATATATATATATATCAGTATTATTATCACAGTTTTTGCTGTTAAACCTATCTTCCTGAGGGTGGTTTTTATTCTAAAGGGTTTAAATTAGAAACTTTAATAAAATTTTTAATTACTTTTCTTAATTAAGGGTGGAGTAACTTGAGACGCATTTTAATTATTATTTGAATTATTATTGATATTGATTGCCTCGCATTAGTTGTTAAAGTTTGGAACAGTACTCCCTCGATTATCAATAGGATTCAAAATAACCTTTTGGTGGGTTCTCCTCTATTACTATTATTATTGTAAATCATCCCTTTGATTTCTAGTGTTTTTTCCTTCATAAAGTTCTAAAAGCTATTAATTTAATTTCGTTTTTTCGACAATGCTCATCCCCTTGTTATCAGAGTTTCCATTCATTCTTGGTTATGATTCACCTACTTTCAATATATAGTTATACCTTTCCTCTGTCTTCCAGGTGATGCAATTCTAGTGTTTTCTACATCTCTATAGCTAGATGGTAATGCTCTCTGATGGATTTCAACATGTCTTTCTTATTTTTCTACATCTATTAGGTCCATAGCTTTTTAATAAGGCAGATTTGGGAAGTTAACTTTCTTTGCTTTGATGTTAAATGGAGGTATTTTGTAATCTTCCGATTCGTCATCCCATTCGCAACTATGAGTAATTTTGTCTATTTCCTCTTGTTATAGAATCATCTTCAAAATTCCAGAATACAATTTGATTTCCTTAGATTACGATCTAATGGTATCCAAAAACTCTTCCTTATCATATTCAAAATCTTATTTCATTTCATTTTATTCTTATTATTGCTATTCATATTTATTCTTTAAATATTTGACGAGTTTTCTTAATTTATCAACTTCATCCTAAACACTATTGTATTTATTTTCAATCTCAAGCATTTCCTTTTCCTTTAATTCCTATTGAATTTTCAATTATTCATGTTCCTTCTTCTATTGTTCTATAGCCTATTGCATCTTCTTGTACTTTTTCTTGTCATCATCTGTTCCTTTCCCGCCCTTAATCATCATCTACTCCTTCTCCTTCAACAACTCTTCCAATCTCTACCTTGCCAATCTCTCTTGTTCTGCTTATTCGCTTTTTTACTTCATTTCATTCTCATATCTCTGTTTCTCCTATAGTAATTAATTATTAATCTCTTTGAATTGATTTATTTGTTCATGATGACTATTATCAACATTGTTTAATTTCCCATCCTTATCAACATTCTGTCGATCTCCATTGTCCTAGTTTTATCTGAGCAATAATTCTCTAAGTTTCTTAATTTCTTCAGCCTATTCCTTTAACATAGCATCTTTGGGATCTTCATTTACTTTTGGTTGATTCTTAATCATCTTGGCTCTGGAAGCATATCTTAGACTTGACAATGTCTCATCATAATTGAAATCAGAAGGAGATATGGCAGTGATCATAATGGTCTTGGTATTACCACCAAGTGAATCCTACAATAATCTAGTTAATTTAGAATCTCTGTATGGAATGTGTTGAGTTTTACCATCAACCAAGGCTGAAATCACATTCCCTAGGGCAGACAATGACAAATTAATTTTGGTTGCTTCTTTCAATCTGTCTCCTGTAGCCTAGGTCTTAGATTGTCTCTCACTTCCTGCTAGATCTACTAAGTTCAGTTTTCCAGCAATAATGCGTTCATTTCCCTTGTCATCAGTCATTGAACATTCCATGTACACTGTAAAAATACAATGACTCCTACTTGATTCCTTATTCATGGCTGTTGCCCCTACTGATCTATTCTATGCTCCCAAGGCCATATATTTATCCATATCTTATAATGTTTTCACAATGGGAATATTCAAATCCTTAACATAGAGTCCTTATTGTCCTTCCTTTAATTCGTATCTCTATTTAACATCCTTACTCAATAAATCATGTATTTCTTCATTGTAAATTTCAATGTATGAACACCTCAACAAGAACTTCTTATTGGAATCTGAATTGTTGTTGATGATGCTGATTATCTATTCAAATGTTCTTGGTATAATGCCTTTCATGTTATCCTAAGATTTATGTGATTGAATATACATTTAATGGATCTCCAATCATCGTGAACGTCTTTCCACAACCTAAATGATGACTCATATTGAATACCCGTTTGACCATAGGCAAAGATGGTACCGTTGTACCCTTCAGCAACTGACTCTACCAAATTAAATGCAGTCTATTAATATATCTAAATTTGAGGAGTCTCTGGTCCAAATACGTAATCATATGTAAACTGTTTCTTGTCATTGTCCTAACTCTAGCAATAGTATAATTTTCATTATTACTCTAAAGAGTTCTACAGAATTTGTACTTTCATAAACATTGACACATGGCTTGCTACCATTGTCTCTCTCCTTCTAATTGAAGGGTCTGACTCTAACTATAACCTTCACGCATTCAGCTGGCATAACAATATAACGATTGTAAATATTAATTAATATAATAATGTACCCTCAATAGTCCTCTTTAGCAAGATTACAGAGGGAACATCGTTTGATGCCTGTGGCGTTGTATTCTCCGTAAAAAGAGAATCTGCAGAGATTACTGCCTCGATATCCTGAGAGTGTGGATGTGGGAACCACTAGCAGTAAGTATTAGGGGAATGTGTCATTGCCTGCTTTGCCTCCACTGAAAAAGTTGAATAAGATAGAGTAGACAGTATAGATTTATAAGGGGAAAGTGAACAAATTGCCCTCTCTGCAATTAAGTGATCAATATTTGCAAAGGAAAAAACAGATATCAGAAACTGATGGGATGAGAAAATCGATCACGCCAGAGAGGAGACAAGGAAAAAGGAGTTCAGTTTAATTCGCAATGAGAACTAAGGCAGGATGTTAGCCTAACAAGGTGACAAAAATAAATCAGGATGCAGCCATATTGTGTCCAAAGAATTTAGAAAAGTTTAAAATGTTCTTATCAGTAGTATGGGATATAAGTTCTTTGCTGTTTGTGATGGACATGGATAATATGGTCACATGGTCTCCAATTAGATCAAATAATAATTGCCCAAGCATCTCGGAAAACTATTGAAAGAAGTGGGCAACTTAGAGAGCAACATCTTCAGGGCTTTCGAAATAACAAACAACGAATTGTGCAATTCAGAAATCGACACCAACTTGTCTGGATCAACAACTGTATCTTTGCTCATGATCAAAGACATTGTACATTCCTCAAATCAAATAGATTTACTCTGCAAATGTCGGGGATTCCAGAGCAATCATGTGTAGATTCGATGATGGATGGTAGGTAGTGGAATTGAGTCGGGATCACAAACCAGATGACCCACAAGAAAAAATAAGGATCTTGGATGCAGGAGGGAGAGTCGAATAATAGAAGGGTTGTGAATCTATTGTTATCTGTAGATTTCCATGGCAACGGCATTGGACCATTTAGAGTTTGGCTGTCTTACATCCAGGCTCCTGGGTTGGCAATGACCAGGTCATTTGGAGACAAAGTTGGTGCTTAAGCTGGAGTTATTGCTGAGCCTGAAATCTAAAAGTTCTCTATTAGTGCACAGGATCAATTCATTGTCGTTGCGTCGGATGGAGTGTGGGAGTATATGAGTAATGAAGAGGTACATTCCGAATCAATTAGGTGATGAGTGTTGTGATTCCATTTTTGGACAAAGATAATCCTGAACAAGCAGCTGAACGAGTTGTAATTGAAGCCACGTAGGCATGGAGAAGAGTAATTTTATTTTACTTATTTGCAGAACAGTTTAGCAAGGGACGATATTACTTGTATAGTTATATTCTTATAAAAATGAAAAATTTATTAATTATAAAATATCACAGCATTTATGTCTCAAGATCCTTTCCCCAATGAACCAAAACTCAATACTGCTAATGAAGTTGACTAGTATATCAAGACTCTTTAGCAATATCAGGACTCTTGTGAGAAATCTTCAGAATATATGCAGGCTGATGCTGCTCAGAAGAGAATTGTAGAGTTGAAGAAACAGTTGGTTTAAAGAAGGAGAAAAGAAATGCAATAAGCACACAGCCAATAGGAACAAGAAATTGAAAGGGCTCATCTCGACGATTTTAATTAATTCAACCAATTCTGGGATTAGAAGATGTAAAAATTTAATGATGAAGCTTCAGCTGTAGAATAGGAATTATTAAACAAATAATAAAATGAATATAATAAAGTCTCGGAGGAATTAGAAAGCACAATCTCTTAAAAGCCTAAAGAATCTTCTGACGTTCTCAATCTCAAAAAAAGAGAAGAATATTTGGCCAAATAAAAGAAGTATCCATTTCTATAATTTTTTGTTACGTTGATGCTCAGAAAATCAAAGAACAGAGACTCCTAATTGAGGATGCTGATTACTAGAAATACTAAATTGAAAGGACCAATAAAATTAATACCCAGTTGAAACAATTGAAAATGAGACATAAAAATGAAGTCAACAATCTTCAATAAAGAATCAAAGCAGGATAGGATGAATAAAAAAAAAATCGTAGCCTCGAACTCGAAAAGTACATTCTCCTCATACTATTATTCTTAGATTGCTCTAAAAATATCAAAACATCAAAAAAGAATTGGAAATCAAATAGAAGATGGACAAATTGGCTTTTGAAGGATAATTCACCAATAAAGGCAGTTCCAATTAAAGTGTTTACATGAGTTAAATGTGACTCTGTAAATTCATAAAGAAAATTATAATTGCCCATTTTTTATATATTAATCTTCTAATTTAAATTAAAAATTCAACAAAATGACTGACTCAGGTTTTGAATGCTCCCTCTGTATGAAATTGGCCATGTCAGCATAAATATGCGAAAAATGTGGATTTATGTATTGCAAACAATGTCTCCTAGAAATATTTGGTCATAACTATGAATGTGTCTAATGCCAATCCAAATAATTTAAACCTATTGAGTAGTCAGCCCTCTAAGAAGCCTATGAAGAAATTCTCACCAAATCACAAATCATACTACCTCCTAAAATTGATAAACCACCTCCAGAACCTCCAGTTGTTATAGAAAAATAAAAATTGTAAACATTCTTAAAAGAAAATTGTATAAACTTTGATATCTGTAAATCAAATATCAATCCAATATTCTAAAATGAATAAGTGTGTAGTTTAGAATGTCTATACTTTACCAAAATAATTCAACTCTACGAATAATAAGATTTTGCTAATATTAGAAAAGAAATAATTAATTTGGAAAAGTATTAAACTCTAAAAAATGTATAGCCAATTCCATAGGTAGGATTCAGCTAATATCTTAATGGAAATTCAATATTTACTTTTAATAGATGTGGTCCAGGAATACAGATAATTCAATCAACAGTAATATTGTAGGAGGAAGAATATACATTTAAAACTGCCACTAGTTCTGTTGGGTTCTAGAATGGAATTCACTTTTGGAAAATCATTCCTTTGGCAATGACTAAGAATGAAATGAAAATTGGAGTATCGACTTCTGATAAATATGATCTCAAAACAGCCTTTTCTGACTACAATTTTGGATATGCCTTCTACACAGTTGGGTAATTTAGAAATGGAAGTAATTCTAATGTAATTTCTGTAATTTAATCTAGGGATTTGAATACGGAGTCAAATTTACAAACACTGGCGAAGTCGGAGTCTTGCTTGACATGAATAGGGGAGTACTGGCATTCTCATACAATGGAAATTTTCTAGGAAAAGCCATAGCAACAGAAGCTCTTAAAAAAGGACCGATATATCCCTGCGTTGCATTACTTCATCAAGCAGGATTTGAATTTTAATGCGGTCTACCGGCCCCGTAAAATTTACTTGATTAATTTTTAAAATGATTTCTAATTAAATATAGAATTAATTCATTTAATTAATTAAGTCAAATATTGTATTTAAATGGAATCCAAGGGATGATTATCTTTCGTCAATTTAGCCTTATTTTTTACGAAAACCCTACTCGGAGACTAAAATGTCTTGTCTAAATGTAACGTTTAATGAGATGATTATCTTGAATTCGTAGTTTTTGGAGATGGCAATCCTACAAATTAAATCTATTAGATACTTGATGCCAAACTACACAATATTGCTTACTGATCCTTAAACATTTATTCAAACTACTCTTTGTATTGTTTTTAAAAGAAATTTGCCTTTTACTTAATAGAATTCATCAAATTATCCAACTAGATTTACGACTCTCCATAGGCCTTATCACACAACTTATAATAGAGTCCTTGAATAGTAATATTTATATCAGATGATAAGTCATCTGGAGCAATGTGATAACAAATGTAAGAGATTATTTAGACAAAGAAATTCATCCAATTCTATTCTTCTTTTATCATTTAACTATTAATAGATAACAATAAATGTTTACTTTTTTAGCTCCCTTATTTTATTTTAGATAGTATCCTTTAATTTATCATTCTCAGTCTAGAGTCTTCTGGTTTCAGTGTTCACAGATTATTAATGATTATTATTCATTAATTTAGGAATTTCTTGTTACAATTTTTGCATATCCTAAACTAAATTAGAAAACTGCTATTCTTTGAATTCTAACACTTAGTTCACATCCTATAATTTAGTTTATAATAGATTGTTAATATTCTCTAATTCTATGATATACATTTCCTATTCATGTAAATCAAATTACGATTATTATAATTGGGTGGCTATTTAAGATTTCTCCTCCTACAACTCCTTAAGATATTGTCTTAATTCTATTTCAGTACTCTGTTATCGGTCATATAGAGCAGAAAGCTTTTGTAAGTTTTTAACGTTTTCTTCATGATAATCTTAAGGCTGATATTCATATTGAGATTCATTGTGAATGCTTTGATCCCCATTCATTCCGATTATATCTTTGATTATTTGATATAACTGAACCTACTGAGGATTAGTTGAACTCTTTATTTATAACTATCTTTAAGTGTAATATTCTTATAATTATTCTATTCTGCTCTCCAAATAATCATTTTCCAATTGTAATTCTTTTATTTATTTCTTCTATATTTTATTTTCCTTATTAATATCCTCCAATTAAAGTTTACTCTAAAACACATAATGCTAAGACTTTTTTTTAATTGTTTTTGTTTTTTCTTTCTCCTATTTCAATAGTGTAGAAGTAGTCGATATAAAACTTTGCTGTAACTTATCTATTGTTTCTAAGAAGTTCTTTTTAGATCCTTCTAAATTCTAGTTTTATTTATTAATAAATAGTACTTTTCTTATTAGATTAATATCCACACTATATTGTTCAATTATGAATTGATTTTAGTTTTTAACACATCTATCCTTGTTTATCAGTAGATTTAAAATTTTAGCATACAAAAATTAGTCCTCTTTGTTTTCTGCCAATAATTCTAATCGAATTCCATTCTTAGCTTCAATTGCCAAAAAACAATCCTATTCAGCATTTGGGGGTAGAACAAAATTCTTCTTTATCAATTTATATCTAAATTAAACATGAATTGTTACTTATTGTAATTTGTATGAATCTATATGATTTAATCTATGGGGATAGTTTATTTGGCTGATGGAAATTTTGAAGTTTTAGACTTCCAACAAATTGAATCTAAGAATGAACAATAAAATATCATTCTTTAATCCCATTTCTTGCAATTAGAACGGGAAAATTTGATGAATTAGGTACCTTTCATAAGTTGTTAAAACTCTTTAAATTTTGCTTCAGTTTTTTGCTGTAAGTTCATGCAAACATCAAATTGAGTTGCTATCTAAACTATCTAATTATCAATGTCCTTTATATCTAGTCATATTCATAAAGCAAACCTTTTTCTAATTTTTAGACAATCAAATTATCTATCTTATAGGCTTATTGCCATTAACGCAAATCGTTCTCCAATGATTGTTCCAATATACTGCTGCGATCTAAACATTATGAATCTACTGAAAAATCATTTACAACTTTGATTTCAGAGATCTTTGACATTTCTCAAATTATTCAGAATTCAATACTCTAATCTGAAGTTTATGATTTAGTGTGGGTCGAATCTATGATAGTGTCGTCTTTATATCTTATTGCTTGATGCCTGTATAAATTGTGCTACTTATTGGGACATCTTTGTTAGTTCATCTTTAAATTTTGAATTTAACGAATATTATCTTTAATACTTTATTAAAAAACACAAATAATACAGATCAAATATATGCAATCTTAATTCCTCAAAAGATGTCAATTAACTATAATAAAAGATTATTTAACACCTTAAAGTAAATATTGAATTTATACTTCAAAAAGAGTTAGATTTGTTAAAAAAATCAACTGCTTTAAGAATATATAGGCTATTTGATTTACAATTCAGATTATTTGATCAAATCTAAAAATGGAATATATTAGATTAGATGCTTACTATTTATCAATTGTTTGTATCTTTTTGTGTATTTCTGAATTTAATAAATTTGACAAATCATAAAAAATAAGGTATCTCAACCTTTGACTTAAGAAAAACCTTAATAATTATGCTATGAATATTATGAAACTTCAATCTTAATAATAAACATCGTTAGATTTACAGATCCTCTAAGGGTCCATGTATTTTCAGCATATCAATTATTTATTTCATCTCAAAATATCCATCATTAACTTATTATTATCTATAAATGACATTAACTTTTATTCCTTTAATGTAAGAATATGTTTCGAGAACTTTCATTTATTTGTCCTTCCAATTCAATAATCTATTGATATACATATAAATATTAATTAAAAATATTCAGATTTGTTTTAATTGATTTCTAATTTTGTTTGATTGTTCTAATATCATGTTGTATTTCTCATTCATTCTTTATAGTCGCTCTAATTTTAATACAATTTCTTACAATTTAAATCCTCCTTTGAATTTTGTAGCCCATCCTTCTTTATAGACTTTTCCTCTTAAGATTAAGATCTAGTAGGTACTTTAACAGGACGAGGTGCAGATGCTTATTTGGGTGAAGTTAAAGGAGTGAATTTTGAACTTTAAGAGGTGTTCAATTTTCGACTTGTATTGCTACTAATTTATGGTTTGAATGTGCATTATTCCATTTCTTTACGTTATTTTTCTTTATCCGCAACCTTTTTCATTTATTATCTCTTCTCATATGTTGATTTCAAATCATCCTTCAAACCAGGACTTTATTTTAGTTACTAAGCTTTTGGTGAAATATTAGTTTATTGTATAAGAGATTACTGCTTTTTCCCTTTCTCCTTTACAATTTCCTTATCCAATTAAGCAATTTCATTAAGCAATTATTGCTTTTTGCTTTATAATTGTTAATGGAATGATTGCTGAAGGATGTTTGGACTTGCAGGAGTTACTTGAGATTATTTACTCGTATTAATATTTTCAATTATTTTACTTACTTTTGGATGTGGTTTTGGGACAGTTTGGATAGGTTAGTCTATTGATTTTCTTCGAAAAGTTTAAGATGTTCTGGATATATCTATTTATTAAGATTATGCAGTTGAATAATCTAATTGTTATTTCTTTAATGCACTTTTCAAAGTAGGCTTGCTTTAATCGATTCTCATTTTTGGTTTAAATTTTCCACTGTTTTTTGTTCTCTTTATTTATTCTTTAATAACTTTTTATCTTTCACAATAAGCTTTCTCTGCTTCTTCAGGAGGCATTTAACTATAAGTGTAGGTTTTCTGTGTTTTCTCTTCTTCAATAAGAGGAGCATTTTTAACCGTTGAATAGGAGTTTCCAACATTAAATAATCCACTATCTGAGTAGATGTTAATAATTTTTGAAGGTGATTACTCATTCTCATCCGTAGATTTGAGGGGAGAGCTAGCGACAATAAAGTTTTGTGTTTAAGAATTAGACGAAGTCTTTTTTTTAAATGTCAATGCTGATCCGTTTGTAAAGGCTGAACAAGCCACTTTAATCAACGGAGAAGCTGACATTTTTGAATAAATTAATTTAATTATATTATATAACAATGTTGGCTACTATTAAAAATTAACTAATACTTTTCAACCAGAATATTATTCTCTTAAGAATTTTAATTTCTCTATTTTTAAATTATTTATCAACAAAGACTGGATTAATCAATATAATCATTTTAAACTTTAAAACATCCTCTTATGAAGTAATAGATTAAAGATTATAACCAATATAATCTTGAATTTAAACTCTAAATATTTTAATCCTTAAGCTGATAAAAGATTACTATAAAAAGTCAAAAAATTTTATTGTTAAGCATCCATATTATGTAAAATAAAGAAAAAAAATTTGGAACATAGGAAGATAAGAATTATTTTGGTAAAATTCTGAAATATTTAAAATCAATTACAGAATAAGATTATAAGACAAATTAAGATAGATAAAGATATAATCTTTAGAGATATTATTTATTCAAAGCTTAAACTTTATTAATGATAAACAATAATTAGACTTGTGCAATCTTAATGTTATTGAATCAAACTCAAAGGTTTTTTCAATATTAAATATTTTCATAGGAAATATGAGGATATTTTGATTATATCATTATCATTTGTATCACATAGATTATACAAAATAATCATCTTAGAAAGATATCTGAATGTCGAAAGTAATAATTTTTAAAAACACAAAAAAACTATATATTTGATAATTTGGATATCAATAAAGGATAATTCACATAGGGTATTTTGCAAAATAAATTTATACTCAATTTTGAATAATTATGTAAATAACAATCATATATTTATTCACATTTAATAGAATAAGATATTATTATTACAAAACATAAAATACTATAGAAATTGATTAATTCAATCATAATATAATAATAAAAGTCTCATGTTTAGCAGAGTTACCAATAATAAGAATTTTGGCAACAACGATTATATATATTTTGTACCAATGATGTTGATAACACTACTTGTAGCAATTATAATGATTAACTAATTAAATTTATAAACTTAAGAGTCAAATATCTTTATAGATAAATATATTAATCTTAAATGCTGAGTTCTAAGGCTGGTGTTGATCATGTGTTACGCTAATTTGCTAATAAGAGAGTGCTAATAAGAGTAGATTTCAACGTGCCAATCAAAGAAGGCAAAGTGAAGAATGCAACAAGAATCCAAGGAGCTATTCCAACCATCAAGAAGATACTTGAATAGAATCCAAAGAATGTTACATTGATGTCACACATGGGAAGACCAGATGGAAAGAGGTGTTCTATATGAATATATTTTAGAGTTGAAAAAGACTCACTCAAAATAGTTGTTCCAAAGTTGGAAGAGTTACTAGGCACTAAAATCAACTTTGTTAACGATTGTGTAGGTTCAGAAGCTACTGAGGCTGCAAATGCTGGAAATGGACAAATCAATTTATTAGAAAATCTCAGATTCCACATTTAGGAGGAAGGAAAAGGCCTTGATGCAAATGGAGCAAAGATCAAGGCAGATAAAGAGAGTGTTAAGAAATTTAGAAAGGAATTATCCGCCTTGGGAGATATTTATGTAAATGATGCATTTGGTACTGCACATAGAGCCCACTCATCTATGGTTGGAATAGATCATAAAGTTAGAGTGGCTGGGTATTTGATGAAGAAAGAACTCGATTATTTTTCAAAGGCCTTGGAAACACCTCAAAGACCATTCCTTGTTATTTTAGGAGGTGCTAAAGTTGCTGATAAAATCCAGTTAATTAAATCTATGCTTGATAAAGTAGATGAGATGATCATTGGAGGAGGTATGGCATTTACATTCCTTAAAAAAATTCACAATGTTCCTATTGGAAAATCACTCTTCGATGAAGAAGGATATAAAATTGTTGATGAAATACTTACTAAAGCCAAGGAAAGGAATGTCAAAATTCATCTTCCAGTCGATTTCGTATGTGGTACAGGCTTGGAAGCATCCAGTCCTGTTGCATTACATGATCTTAAATCAGGAATACCAGATGGATGGTTGGGTTTGGATGCAGGTCAATTGACATAAAGAGAAAATGCTGAAGCTATTGGAAGAGCTAAAACAAGTTTATATTTTGTAGATTTTATTTTTAGTTGTTTGGAATGGACCATAAGGAGCATTTGAAATTGAGTAATTCAAGAATGGTTCTGTGAGTATGTTGAATGCCTTGGTTAAATAGACTTCAAGTGGTGCTACAACCATTGTTGGAGGAGGTGACACTGTCAATCTAGTTGGAGCTAATAAGGCCAATGATAAACTCAGTCATGTTTCCACTGGTGGAGGCGCTTCTTTGGAATTGTTGGAAGGAAAGATATTACCAGGTGTTGAATATCTTACCAATATCAAAGATTTATGATATATGATTCATATAACATAATTTAACATCATTAATAATTTAAATGGATAAGCAATTACTATAGCAAATCGATCTCATTATGTAAGATAGCGTTTAAGGAGCCTTGATTGTTGATTAATTTGGATTCCCTTTAGCCAATAAATCTTTGAATCCTCAATTAAGCCAATATGTCAAGAGTATAGCAGATTGTGCCACAGCTTTAAAAGACGAAGTACCCATCATAGCTATAGAAACTGGTGAAACAAAAACATATATAATCAAACCAGGATCTAAATTTAGTCTATGCTTGCTAGCTTGAATAATATATATATAATAAAAGGCATTAATTTATTGCTCTAGTAATGAAATTAACTTTTGATCCTTCTTCAAACACAAGCTTTATGAATTTAGCAAATAATAGAAGAGGATGATCATATCTACATTATATCTGCTTCTACTTAAAGTCTAGAAAGATTAAAAAATGGAATGACTGCATACTATAGTAAATGATAATTTAATAGCATTTAAGAATAGAGATTTGAAGAAGAGAAATATATTTGGTTCTATGTTGATATCCTCGTTAAGATATTCAATCTAGGATGATATTGTATAATTAAAAAAAAACATCAATAATCTCTTCTTCAAAATTAATTTATGCTAACCTTTAAAACTCAAATTCAATGCTTTATGAAAGTATTATATTGATAGAATAAGAAAAATTATATGGACTTGATTATTTTATTCATAATATTTTCATATTAATATTAGTTATTAGTGTAAGAGACAGCTTTGAGGATTAAGCGAATATAAATATTATGCTATTCTTATTAACAATATATTATCTTAGATTCAATATATATACCTATAGTAATGCAATTAGTAACATAATTCTTCCCTTTAACATTTAAATTGCAATATGTTCCAATTTGATTATTACTCTAATTTTGATATTAGGCATTCTGTTTCTTAGAGGCAACTATTCAGTGTGATAATGGAATATGGATATTTCAACCCATTTGTTTGTATCCATGATTTTTAATATAGAGGAGATTTCTTCGGGGATGATTCAGAATAGAGATTTAAGGAGTTCTTGAGTTGATTTTAGGATGTGGAAGATGTTTTTGAGTGTAGAGAAAGGGGGAGCGAATTAAAGTGGATTGGATGAAAGAGATGGTTTAGATGGTATTTAATGTATTAAATAATATATTATCGTTATGAACACTCAACTAAAAATATTACAATTCAAGTATGAAATAGGACAGCCTAGCCAGTATTATTTCTTGATTGCGTCAGGCAAGGAGCAATATTTCACAAGTACGTTTAAACTTCAACATGGTCTCAACGACTTTAGAGACAAGTTCACTTTGTCAGTCTCACAATTCATTGACTTTTAGCTGTGGGATTATTGGGGAGATCCTGTGATGAAAGGATTGGGGAGATTGGATATTCAGAAGGTTCTGAAGGAACGTAAGGATATGCACATAATATAAATCTGGACTGATGTGAAAGTGGGTGAGTTAATGATTTAACTTATATTTGAAGAGGAAATGTTATCACTTTAGTCTTCATTAAAAGAAAAATCATCATTTGGACTTCAGCCGAGCTTTTTGAGTTAGCAGGGAGCTTCCTTTTACGACAATTATCTTAATGATAAGCCTTTGGTGTATATGTCAGCTTCACGTAGTACTCAATACAGACCCACTCAGTCCCCGGTGTTATAGATAAAAAAATGATTATTTAATTTTATGGACTAAGAGAGTGTTTTCGATCTATCTTCTTTATCAGATTTTCGATCAGATTAAGGTCTACAATAATTGTATATTGTTAGAGGGAGATCTGAATAATTATAGGAATAGAGCAAATTGGTGAAGGAACACTTGCAAAGCTTGAATAATGAAATTAATGGAGGCTTCACTAATCCTTTGAAATCGTTGGTGAGTAAGCAGAAGAATAGATTCATAATGGATGGGTTTGATTTAGATTTGACATGTACATTTTTAAACTTAAATTCGAGACATCACTGAATAGGTGATTGCAATGGGGTTCCCAGCAATAGATTACGAAGCCATTTACAGAAATTCTATGGAAGACGTTCAAAGGTTTTTCAATTAGAGACATAAGAACCATTACAAGATTATTAATTTATGTTCGGAGAGAAAATATGATCATGCATATTTTGATGGCAATGTTTCAGAATATCCCTTCGACGATCATCAAGCGCCTCAATTTAATATGATCTATGAATTGTGTGCAGAAATCCACAACTATGTAACCCAAGACAAACAGAATGTTGTTGCCATTCATTGCAAAGCTGGCAAAGGCAGAACGGGAATCATGATTTGTTGCTACCTTCTTTTCTCGGAGTTGTTTAAAAGCAGCTTCGAGGCCATGAGATATTATGGCATGATGCGCACTAAAAATAATAAAGGAGTTACTATACCTTCTTAAATCAGATACATTCTATATTTTGAGAAGGCTCTTCAAATGGGGTACACAGTTCAAGATGTACCCCAACCCAAGATTCAAATTTTATAGATTCGCTTGATTACTATACCTTCAATGAACTACTCTAATTCATGTACTCCTTATATTCTCATTCAGAATTATCAGAATTAAGCTACTTTCACTAAATTTCAAATTGTAAATGATAGTTTTATTTTATTTACTGTTGATATAATAGTTGAAAAAGATACACGTATTATTTGTTATAATAAAACACTGATGGGCAAAGAAGTAATGTTTTAATTTTGGTTTCACACAGGTTTTATAGAATCCAATGGACTATTAGTTATTGATAAATATATGCTTGACAGAGCTGTTAAGGATAAAAAACACAAGATATTCTCGCCCAATTTCAGAGTGGAAGTACAAACTATTACACTACCCAATTGATTTTACTATTTTAATTATATAATGTAATCACTAGTGTTATCGGCTAGACTTCCTTCGTCTCCCTTATTGCACAAAAAGAAGTCTTCAGATTTTCAGACTCTCCACTCCAATTTGACCAGAGTTCAGTCTCCATCTGGCAACAAAGCCAATCAAGCATTTGGTAGATGTCAGACTGTCAAAACTTTGAACAGTGAAAGAGACCCAGTGGAACTAACCATCACGTTGATCTTGGATGGCCAGAAGTAATGCAATCGAATTAAACTAGATCGATTGTGCCCATAAGCATTTACTTGAATACTACAGATTTATATAAGAAATTAATAGCAAAGGTACTGCAAGTGAATCCAGCCATTGTAAATAAAATAAAACACTTTCAAACCCATTCCAGTGTCAAGAATTATAACATTGATTACTACTTATCGCTCGAACTATAGCCGTTAGAAGTATTTGAAGAATAAAGACATTTGAAATTAGAACCTTATTATTCAAACCCAGTTGGACAGCAAATGAGTATCGAAGATTACGACATCCTGAAATGCATCGGCGTTGGGTATGACTTAATAATTTATGGCAATAGTGGATTCTCAAGAGTCTATTTGGTAAGGAAACGAGACAATGGCTTGTTTTATGCCATGAAACTCATCGACAAGAACTTCATTCTCAAGTCTAACAAGGAAATAATCATTTGCAATGAAAAATATGTGATGGAACAATTAAATTCTCCGTATTTGGCCAAACTATTCTACTCTTTTGAAACTAAATTCTATCTAGTCTTTGTGATGGAGTAACTAATCCTATTAAACTTAGATATTGTGCAGGTGGTGAACTCTTCTATCATCTGAGAAAATGGAAAAGACTATCAGAACCATTGGCAAAACAGTATTTTGTTTAGGTTTGTTTAGCCATCAACGAGTTGCATAAATTCGGGATTGTCTACAGAGATATCAAACCTGAAAACATATTATTAGATTTAGATGGGTATATAAGACTATCAGATTTTGGATTATCTAAACCTAATATGAACAGAGATGAGACAGCCTATTCATTTTGTGGATCACCTGAGTATATGTCACCTGAGATGTTAAAGAGGGAAGGACATAATTATATGGTGGATATTTATTGTTTAGGTGCATTACTTTATGAATTTATATTTGGATCGCCTCCTTTCTATTGTAGAAACATAGACTAAATTTATAATAGTATTTTGAATGATAAACTCTAATTTCCTCCATTTAAAGACATCAATCCCGATCTGAAGGATTTGATTTCTAAATTATTAATAAAGGATCCTGCCAAACGTCTGGGAGCATAAAATGGTATCAAATCCATCTTATAACACAAATGGTTTCAGGATTGCGATATTGAAGGACTAGTTAAGCGAAAATGTGAGATCAGTTATCGTCCAATGCCGTTAAGGTATAACTTCGATGAATTGGAATTCAGCAAAGGAGATTATGAATTTTAGAAGAAGCTCTACGAAAATTTAAGAATAGAAAGAACTGTATGAATTATACTTAGATTGTTAGAGTAAATTCGCTCGTTCATTTCCGCATTTTGAATATGTGAATAAAAGGATAGTGGATCATAGACAGAATATTCTAGACCAGCTAACAAAGTCTAGATAGATTCAAGGACAATAAGGATTGCCTAAACAATAATAGAAGACTCAGATTTGTTTATCACCTGTGTCATTGGTGAAAGAACATTCGAATATTTAATCGTTGATTTCAGGATCCTTTAAGTAATCATCTTAATTTAAACGTTTCAATACAGATGTAGATCTGAAATAATTGATGAGAAAGGTTTGATTTTATTTATAATGATATATTATATTATTATTCAATTTAATTCTTCCTCTATTCCCAACAATCTTATGATATCCTTGCTATAACAAATCAATTTTTATTATTTCAATGACTCTTGTAAGTAATTTTCAACAAGTGTTGTTTTATGATATGTCTTCAAACTAAAGTAATTCACATAATTTCTATTCTTAATGAAGTAGTCGAAATCTCTTATAATTTATTGATTAAACTCCTTAACGTTATTAGACTTCTGATTCTGATTGATAAGAGTGATTAGAACAGTAAAGAACTTGGGCAATCTATCCTCAATTTTACATTTAACTACTTAATCGATATAATGTATGAGATATTGATAATGATATACCTCACATTATTATTTGAGGAAATCAACTGGAATTTCCCAATGCTTCAAGTTTCTGTCTATTTCTGGAATGAACATCTTCTCCTTGCTAAAGATTATTACAATTCGCTTTAATTTGCAACTTGATTCATTGATTCTATATCCTCCATCACTCCCATCATTTAAATTCTAATCTAGTAAATCTTTTTCTTGCTAACTTAATTTGCGAGTGTATCGAACTAAAACAATCCTAGGATTCCTTTAACACTCTGGAAATGTAAGTTTATTCAGTCCAATAACTATTTCCTTTCCATTTAAATGAATCATGGCAGACAAAAAATCAATTAGAAACTGACTCTTATCAAGAGAAGGACTGAATGCATTAATCACTAGACCTGATATCGATTGAGTATGCAACAGATTCATTAGATACTTAATGTTGCCAACCTTCTAACAAGGGGCTCTCCCGATTGATCTGCTAAACTAATAGATTCCATATAGAAATAAAGTTTATTCATTGAATAGATCTGTTATCTCCGAAAAGAGAGGGAAATAGAATTGCTCCCCTCTTTGGATTCTAGCAAAGTTTAATTGAACATTTGGATATTTAATCATGTTCAAATAGATCTTTTCATAAAAGACGCAATTTTTAGTGATGCAATTGGAATCTCCATTTAATTATAATAATATTCGATTGGCAGTCTTGCATTCTTGTACGATGTTAGAATTTAAATAGAATTTATCGTAATATTGCAAGGATTCTATGGCTATACATACTTTGAGTTCTTCTGGAATTAGTTATTAAAGAGTCTTTTCTAGCAGACAAGTGCAAGATATATAATACACAGGATCTGATGCAATAGATGTAGTGAGCAATTGTGGTTGCTCAAAGACAAACTCAATTTTAGGTAAAATCATCAAATCATCATCCTCATCTAATAAAATGGTTTAGGGTAGCTTTTGTTATGATGTTCCATTTCTCTAAATAGAATTTAGGGGATATGGTTTTTCATTCTTAATGGCAAATTCATCCTTTTTCATTTTGACAATGTCCTACTTTTACTTACGAGTAGCATCATGTAATTCGGTTAAAGAGGATCTCACCTTCAACATGGTATCCGATAATATATGACCACATCTTCTGAGCAATTTAAACTTTCTCTCAAATGATTCTTGGTCTGAAGGAGGTGGGAAATAATTCTTAGGAACCTTTTAATAGTTCTCTCCTCTAGAGGCAGTATTGAGTCTTTTGAGAGTTGCCTAAAAACTAACAGATTAAGAAAGATCTAGGACATCTTCTGCCTTACGAACAATTTCATTTAGTCTCAGATAGAGATGTTCTAATGTACGGTAAATTTCATCATTTATGTGGTCTGGTAGTATTTCCTCTGCTTACATTGATTTTAATTAATAATCATGGTCTTTCAAGTATTTGAGTAATATTAATTTTAAAAAATCATTAAAATAAATATATCACTATTCATTTTTTTCATTTTCATCATCACTCTAATACTCCTCTTCTTCTTCATCCATTTCATCTATTTCATCATGTTGCAACAATCCACCATACAATTTTATCAATTCCTCTGAATCTTCTCTCTCATCAAAGATCAATTGAAATTTATTATTTTCCAATAAATTGTCATAAAAAATAAGATGCTTTTTACAAGGTGGCCATACAGTAGCATCTGGCGGTGGAATAATCGTATCAATTGACAATCTCATAGCATTTTCAACCATCTAAGGTATTATTCTCTACAAGATTGGGCTACTAGTTTCCAAACAAGGATTAGTGTTGATCTCAATTAGGTATGGTTTGAATTGTGAATCAATCATAAAGTCCAATCCAAAAATCTCGAAATTAAACTCCTTCTTATGTGGAGCTAACTTACAATAAACTGATTTGATGCTAATTGTAGCTATCTCAATCAATTAAGGGTACAAGTCCTTATAAAAATTATATTTCTTTGGTTAATTCTCTAAATATCTTTGGAATTCAGACAATGACAATTTATTACCATTCTCGTATTTCCCATAAGTATCAGCATATTTCTAGATGGCATCATTTGTTAGATGAACGTAAAGATTAGCAGGGTCATCTAAATCGAATTCCTCTGATGAGGTTCTTATGTATCCATCTTCGTACCAATATGCTCTAAAAATATTATTCAATTGGGTGATAAGAAAGTAACACCTGATGTCAAATTTCCTTTTATTGTAGAGGAATGGTTTCTCTATGTATCTCTAAATTAAATATGAAAAGGGTTTTCCGTTTTGATGGACCTGCTTTTTACTTATGATTTTGTTTATCTCATTTAAATTTTAACAAACTATGATTCCTGTTCCTCTATTGGTAAATTCACCAGGCTTGACTATCCAAGTAGAGCCTCTAGATAGAAATGTAATAATACTTTGGCAATTTCTTGTAATGCTCTAGGAATTGCAAATAGACCTTGTCTCTGGATCCTTTTTGCACATGGAAAGTTATTGGTATGATGGAATGTAGATCCTATTTAGTCAATTCATAGTATCTTTTGAGATTGTGGTATAGGGCTTTCTTGTTGCCCAGATGATAATTCTTTTCTATATGATTATGAATCTAAATTTATTAGATTAAATTACCTTCAAAGAAGAATGCACTTTTAACAAAGAGAATCCTTTTTGATTTATTAATTTTAAGTACGCTTTTTGGTTTCTTTCTATTTGTTTATAATCAGTATCGTCGTTCATTAATCTGAACAAGGGGTCAATTTAGATTTTCTTCTTTATTTGAGTTAAGGATTAGGGTTGATTCAATTTCTTTCTCATCAATGATTTAATTTCATTCGTTGATGGGTTTTGAGTGTCCATGTAATTCTAAACTTTGATCTAAGTCCAAATGAAGTTACTTTCAGCATCAACTAACTCACTGTACTTATACTAGTTCCACCACCATCTCAATTTAAAAATTTCTTTGATTAGCAGAGAATTGTTTCCTCTGCCAATCTTAAATTTTAAATCAATCACAGTATCTTAAGGTAATGTGTAGAATCCACACTAAGTGGAAACCAAAAACAAGAAGTGTTAATAGTTTTACAATTTAGTTTAGAATAATTGTTCCCTGGATAATTGGGAGTATTCAGTTAATGAAAATTTAAAATTGTTACTCTAAATTTACGTTGTGCTGCTTTGGGGAGCCATTACTTTTGGAGGTACTGGACTGGCATTATTATTATAATTAATAGAATGTTTTTATTTAGTTTTTTGAGGGACTTTGCATTTAATTTTCTTTTCTATTTCTTCGGTAAATGATTATGACTTGTCTCTCTCTTTATCTTGGGACAGAGCCTTTTGTCTGATAGTCTGTTAGGTTAGTACAGTATTTTATTCCATTAATTTATTAAATGGTATTACTTATAGTCCCATAACACCCATAGCCTTTTCTGCTGAGATTCTATGTTGCATCCCTTACAAAATGCTCGTTAGAATCTATTTAGTATTATTAATATCGGATGGATAAAAGCCTTTGGAGATTCTGACTTGGCTGTTTTTAGTTTCTTCGATCTAGTCGCAGTTGCTTGTTTAGACCTTTCTTTTATCTCGTTTTTGAGGGGCACTATTAGTGAAAACCACACTGTAGGTGCCTTGGGTTTGAGGTTCTTGTGAGAGATTTCTTTGTATGGTAATAGCTAGGGTAAGATAGGAGGAGAGTGAGTACCTTACTGAATTCTTTGAACTGGTTTACGAGGGAGACTTGGTCGTCGGTATGATATTTTTTAATTGGAGGGCTATTCTTTTGTCAGTTCAGAAAATTTAATACTGCTCTTCTTATTGAGTTGATTGATTTTTTATTAAATAGTGAGTCCATTATTGAGCTTTCTTATGGGGGGAGTTCTTAGATAGGTTTCATCTTTCTGCATTATTTTATTGTGTTTTTATTATTAACTATTAATTTATAAAGAAACAATCATTTTCTCCTATTATAATTAAATTAAAATGATGTTCTTCAAGTAAGATTTTATAAGTGATATTGTTTAAGCTTTTAGCGATTCTTCGCTGGTTTTAGTTCGATGCTAGACCCTCTATTGGCCCAAGACAACTGTACCTTGGAGTCTATTCTTGACGATGACACTCTACAAGAAATCAAAATGAATGGTGCAACAAAATTTGGAAATTTGTAAGCATTTTAGATTTATTAGAGTGTGACAAAGAATATAGAAACATTTAGTAAGATGGTGGGATACTTGTGTGTGAATGAGGATGAGGAATATAACGAGAAGACTTAGATTAGGTAAAATGATTAAACTTAAAAATCATAAGATACCCCTTCATGATTAGTGAGGCGATAGGGAATGAGAACGTTCCAATCATAGATTATCTATTCGAAGCAGATAAATCGAGCCAAAATTATGAGCAGAATGAAGCAATTAGACAGGAATTCCTTCCCAAGATTTTCGATATCTTAGATAGGGATTACTTGAATGTGACTCTCGCCAGTTATTTATCCAAAGTGGTGTGTGCAATCATCAGAAGAAGAGGTTTTGACGTATTAATTGTGCATAATCATATAAGTTGTGGAGATTCCTTTCTCAGCCAGAACATAAATCAATTTTAAGTAATTTAATTAAGAACTTGGACGTATTCCATGTCGCCGAAATCATCGAAAAGTTGATCTTACTCGACACCAATCAGGAACAATAAGACAATCAATCTGTCTTCTTGGAGGAGAGAAGCGATCTTCTACGTCGAGTGATTCGAGTCTTCGAATACAAAACTCATCAAAATGACATCACTGATAATTGCAGTCATATAATCATTGAAATCCTCAACAAGACAGAACTGTTCCTTTCAGTCCTCAACATCCCTGATAAATTCTTCGCCATTGCTGTAACATCATCACCCTATTTCTAAGTTAAATTCCAGCTCAGCAGCTGTAGTTTCTGTGTTAATCACTCTACTTGAAGCCACTCATCGATACATACAACAGCAACAAGAGAAGAACCCCTCTTATCACTTTAGTTATAACTAATACTACCCCATAGCCTAAGAGTTCAAGAATGCCTTGTTGGCTGAAAAGATATCAATTAGTAATTTCTATTATTTATTCAAGGCGCTTTCAATACAACTTATGGAATATCATAATAGCCATTTAGTTAGATGAAATTGAAATTGCTACAATTGTATCTAACCATCTTAAGGTTTAATGATATCGACTTGATCAATTAATTTGATCATAAAGGAATTTATGCATCACTTATGAAGTTCATCATTGAATACGAATTCAACAATCAATTGCAAAATTACTTCTATGAAATTACAGTCTTCATTTTTGATAGGCCCCAATTCGAGGATATTCAAAATGAATTCTTATCCTTAGATCTTGCAACTTTCATTATGAAATACAATAGATACGAAAAAGAAATAGTAGGAGCCTTGAATTCTCAAATCAGAAGAGGTTATGTGGGTATTTTAAGTAAATTGGCCTATTATTTCACTAACAAATTTGAGAAGAATTAAGAATGGAATCAATATGTTGAGGAAGTGCTTGAATCTGTTAGAAATATCGAAAATCAATATATGTTGGGAGTGAATCCAAGACCTAAGATTCCTATTGACACAAATGATGAGGGCATGAATGAAATGTTTAGAGTACTATAATTATATAACATACTTAGAACTTTTAAAAGAACAAAATATCATAAAGCATTCAACAACAATCAATTCAATAATAAGATCAATAGACAACAGTGGAAGTGGAATAAGAAACAGAAGAATAGCAAAACGATGATGATCAAGATGAAAACGATTAGGACATCTAAAGAGAAGATGATTAAATAGAATCTGTCAACTCAAAGAAACCAGAGATGTTGATTGATGTCGAGGAAATTGAGAAAGTTATTAATAGTCCAGAAACCAGTCCTAAAGTTGGTAATCCAAACATTCATGTATTTTAGTTGAATAAATTATCTAATTCTAAGAACAAAACTTAAAGACATCTCCTTAAGCGAGTGAAATCATGACTGATCAAACTGTCAATAAATATTGGAAGGCTCATGAAGGTTTAGAACATCAAGAACCTGGTAGAAAGGGTTCATAGGATGATATTCACAAGCATTAATCTGATCACGATTAATTGAAACATGAAGAAACCCACAAAGACACTCAAGAACATCATGAAGTAGAACAGTAAATTCAACCTTAAGAGAATATGTAAATTGAAGTTCAAGAAATTAAGGTGGAAACAATTAATTCACCAGAAGAAAAATAATAATAATAGCAATTGGAAGAAGAATAATAAGAATAAGAAAATAAGTAATAAGAAGTCTAGGATGAATTAATCAGTTGATTCCATTATTAAATAAAAATCATACATTATTTTATGTTATTATTAATCAAAAACATTTATTACACGAATTATCTGAAAAAACCTGTTTATCAATCTATTAAAACTGGTTAATTCTGAATTCTTAATATAAGTATATCAACTTTATAAGCAAATTTTTATTTAATTCAGTATTATTTATAAATTAAATATATGAAAAATTCTTCTAGAATAAAAAACTCTCATCAAAGTAACGATTGCTGGGCTGCCTTGTTTTGTGGAATTATAGAAGTACTTATCAAAACTAATTAACATGAATAAATTTCACTCCTTTAACCAGCCATTAGTCAATATTCACTTTCAAGAATCAAAATTTTTAAAACTATTGAATTAATGAACTAAATTATAAGAAATCCGAATGTTGATCTCTTTTACACTCTAATCAATTAAGAAGAAGCATCTTAGGTAATGAAAATATTCATACAAACCAAATACAATATAATCCCTACATCAGTATGTAAAAAAGAAATTCTAGAACTCTTAAGTAATACTTTTAAAATAGATATTATATTTATCACTCAGAATACATCGATATCATTAGCAAACAGTGATAATTTAGAATTGGTTCTAAAAATAGTGTAATAATAATCAGAATTCACGATTGAGGCAGCATAGAAATCAAGAAGCCGATCATCCTCACTTTTGGATTATGTTTTAGAGATGAAACAACAATGTAATGGATGTTTAAGATAGTTTGAATAAGGAGAACTGTATAAGTCCCTAACTTGTAATCATACTTATTGTCAACAATGTTTGAAATTTTACTTTAAGCTTGGATAATCATTTATTTGCAAAGATTTCTTCTGTAAATTGGAACTAAGAAGAGAAGACTTTCCATTCTTATAGTTGTCTCCACTATAGGATATGACTGCTTAATAGAATAGATGTCTTCAATGCAAAGAATCTATCAACTAATTGTACACTAATAGGTGTGGACATACACATTGTGAATAATGCATTAGGGATCAATTGAATAAATCCAAATACTATCAATCCAACTTTTGCTTAGAACCATCATGTACTGAATTGTTGGCTAATGAAATAATCAATAATCAATCCAAAGACAATGATATTCAAACTGTTCTGTCAAGGAACAATTCAACAACTTAAAAGTTTACAGAATTTTGTTATTTTTGTTAATGTGAATAAGAGAAAGGTGTGAAAGGAGAGTGTGGACATTACTTTTGTAAGGCTTGTCTGGATTCCAAATATTAATATATTATTACCTATGGTTTACACAGGATTATTGATTGTCCATAATGTTCTACTAAATTCAACATTGAGAAGTCTTTGGATGAATATTACAACGCATTGGCATATCCCTAACCTCCTAGATTAAAAAGGATGAGGTCGAGTTCAGAATAATAAATAGAATCTTAATAGTAGTTTTTCTAGCAGAAGCCCTCCTTTGAAAGTCAGTAGAAAACTAGGGTACCCTCTTCATGTTTACCCTTAAATGGCTCGAGACATCAAGTGCCATATGTAGTTTCGAGTGGAATTTCAACTCCAAAAAGGGTTGTTACTTCTTCAAATAGAGCCAGTCGCAATCTTCCTCAATAAGCCCAATATTTTTAGAGAAGCCCATAATTCTTTTGATTTCTATAAATTGTATTTAGATATATTTTAAATTAATTTCATTTTTTAATATGAAGAAGGAATAAGATGATTAGGAAAGATAGCCAATACTTATTGAGAAGGACAATCAATATTTCGATTGGGAGTCGTTCAAGAAATAATACTATCAATAAGAGAATGTGTTACAGACTACTTTGAAATCATTAAATGAATTGCATAGTGAAATTTCAAGAAAATTAATTTAATTAGAGTATGCAATATTTGTAGCATCATAGTAAATCAGATCCAATTTGCGAAGAAGATGAATAAGAGAATCGAAAATAATTTCAATCTATAGATGTTAGAAAGTATTAAGATTAATTCGATGATCTAAATTTGACAATGAGTACAATGTCTCGGATGCTTAATCAATATGCAATCAGTCCAGAAGAAGTCTAAGCCAAGTTGAAGAATAACATGCTAAGAAGATTCAAAGAAATTCACTAAGAACACGAGAAAGAAGTTTTAAAATTGAAAGTACTACTTGAAAGCATAAATAGTAAGCAATCAAAACAAACACTTAAAAATATGAGCTATTCAAGGAAGCAATCAAAAACCAAAGTACAACAGGGAATTAAAAATATAAAAGAGATTATCAACTTAATGATTTTCTATCGAGAGGAGTGAATCAAGCATCTCATGTCCTCGATATGGCCTCAACAATTCATTCAAGTCTAGAAGATCAAGGTTACAGGGTATCCTCAATCCAGAATAAAGTCACTGATTACATGGGTACGTAATCTTTCTATGCATAGGCTAATTTGAAGGAATCAACTCATTGATTAATGGTATACGCTATCATAAAAATAAGGGTTAATTAATAATGATGGGTTTAATTTCATTCTTAGTTGTGATAATTTTATTTAAATTGATGTGATATAATTATCTATTACAATTGTAAAGAAGTAACAGTATCTACAATATTAGAAATTTAAATTATATAATTCTAAAATATACCCTATATCTCAATTATACAATTTATTACTCATCACTGAATATTTTGACTTAATGTTATTTTTCTATAATTTATTCAGATCTTTTGAGAATGAATATTTTATGTTCTATCACAAAGAGATTATCTCTCTATCCACTTTGTAACACATCCTATTATGTGTCAATCACTATTAAATACTAAGGTCTTATATAATCATAGATACATTAATTTTAATAGTAAAACTGTTTGAATACTTTGTAACACATACAATATCTTTTAATTAATTTTAAATTCTTATTTTTATATCTTATTTCCAGTTATTTATGATTTTTTGTATAATCTTAATAGAATTTAAAAACAATCTAAGATCTAGAAAAAACGAAGAATATTTAGAAAGCATAATCTTCATTTGAGTGAATTTCCTAATAAGAGATTGTTTATATTAGATTGGCAATTTCTTTTAATTTAATTAAGATTGGGGAACAATAAATGAAATATTTAACTAGGATTTAATAATATAAATAACTATGAGTAATAAAATTAGAAGTCATAATATAAATGACTATTATCATGATAGATTGGATCAATCTTTTAATAATGTGAATATCACTTTCATGAACACTCTTCGGGGTCCAATCTAAATCAATGATCTAAACAAAACAGTTCATGACATTCCAAGTTGTTTTGGCAGAAAAACTCTTTCAACTGAAAAAAGTCATACCACTAAGGATGTAGAAAAGATAGCAAATATTTCTATGGTATTATGTTAATCGAAATAGAGTATGAACACTTGATACGCAATAGAATTGGGGTTAAACCACTTTTAGGTTCTGTAATTTTCGAAACTTCTCTAAGAAATACCAAGAAGCGATCAATCTCATAAGTTTAAGAGTCTAAGCCACTAAAGTAAATCAACAAAAGAAAAACCACATTACCAAAAGTAATGAAGGATCCTTTTATTGAAATTTAAGAAAAAAACATCAATACATATCTACATTGTCTCAAAGAGGAAGGATAGGGAACAATTAAATCAGCTTAAGTAGAATGGGTAACTTCATTAAAATCAGAAAAAAAAAAGAGAAAAAAAAAATGAATACTAATGTTAAGATTATCTATATATATACATATAATTTATTGACCATTTTATTTTCATATTGTATTAGATAATTATTAAATTTATAATTATTATATGTTTAAATATGTATCATTCTTATTTACAGCAAAAGAAGATAGGGTTAATGCTTAGACATTCCAACCGTATTTATTGAGTGAATCAAATGTATAATTAACTAATCTTATATATCAAACAAGCAAATAAATTTAAATATTATGAATAATTTTAAGTTTAGTGTTAGTAATTGAATAAAAAATGCATTAATTATAAGAATTTGATGTTAATATCTTCTTCTAGTTCAATAAAATTTTATTTGCATAGTATTAACGATAGTTTAAATTCAATATTAATTAAAGATATTATTTTCATCATTTTAACGCTTAATCATTGATCAAATTAAGTTTTTCAAAATCTGCCTTTATTTTAATGTAAACATTCTTGAAAATTCCAAGAAATCTTTCATGTAATGTATATGTTGCATGGCATTTAAAAATTTATACATCAGAAATTATAGTTCCTAGTTTAAATGTGTAAATATAAAATCAAATTATGACTTGAGTTTATGAAAATCATTGTCACTTATTTTAGATATTTTAATAAAATGCATCTGAATAGAAAAAAATTATGAAATTAACAATAATTACAAGATATTAATACTATCAAAAGTACTACAAAAATTAATATACAATATTTTTAGTTAAATTTATTAATTATTACTCTCATTTTGCTTCACAATATTCTTGTGTATTAAATTTATTTGCTTATTAATTTAAATTTCTTGGTTTTATCCTCTTTCCAAATCTCTATACTTTCTTCTATAATTTTTTTAATATTCTTTTTTTTCTTCTCTATATTGTTTGACACTTACTCCTATTCCTATTCTCCGTCCTCGATAATTTAATATTGTAATCCATATCCTCTTCTTTTTAATAGCATTTTGATTTTAATATAATATTTTACCAAAAGAAAGTGAAGAAAGATAGCAAAAAAAGCCAAATTGATGATATATAAACTAATTATTGCAGCCTAATTAATGCTACTCCAATTTTAGTTAAATAAAAATGATGATAAAATATAAGAAGTGAAACTTACGAAATCTGATATGCTTTCCCATTTATTATTTTACTTGGATGTATAGGGATAGGTTTTTTGAACATTGAAAAAATTCTAAATTGTTTTTCTCAAGACAATAATAAAAACCAAAGGTAGCATTGAATACTAAATATAGAATAATTTCTTACTATCTTTTCATTGAAGGATATTAAAACAAAGATTAACAATTTAATTTATCTGAATATGAATTCATACAATAAAGCTCTTTTTCCATAAAATGAGTACATGATTCCCCAATTTATTAAAACGCGTGTTTTTTTATATTTTTTTGTTCTATATATGGCAAAATAAAAGTAAATACACACAAGAATAGGTGTTACAGTGATCAAGATTAAAAAAATAATTACAAAATTCTATTTCGAATCATAATTGTCCTTAAATAGATAGGATAAATTTGCATAAATGTATTTGGATCCTGAGATGGCCCGATAATACAATAATTAAACTAGTTCGATTAAAAAGCTTGGCTAAACATAAATAAAAACAAGTATCAGAAAATTTTAAACTGAGAATCTAAATTTATAACATATCAACTTTTTTTTTTTTTGATTAAACTGCTGAATTATCGAAATCATTAAGGTTAGAAGACATCCGCCAATAACAAAAACAAATGAATATATCAATCTTATGTATAAGTCATCTTCAAGCAAGCATTACAGATGCACCTTCAAACTTTATGCTGGCATTGTAATAGAATTAAAAGCAATAAAAAATGACAACAAAGGGTTCTCCATATTTGAGAATTTCATAATTGATATAAATTGCATATGGCAGATAATAATTAAAAACACTTAAGGGGTTATTTATTGTTTTTCTACAATATATGAATGACCTAATGTTCTCTTAAAATTCAAAAGAATATTTCTCTCCTTGCTTACATCTGAAATCCAACCCAAAGAAAGGATTATCAGAAATTAAGTCAAAATCACAAAGCCTGTTTCTACACGAATTGAAATATTTTCACATGATGAGCAATAGGATTTCCAATCTTTATAATAACTCTATTCCCAAAAAATCATATGGATATCGCATTCCTCACATAAAGCTCCAATTGACCCTTCAGTACAAAGCTCATTGCCAACTTAAAGTCCTCCTTTGCACTTTTTTCTCCTGCACGATTCCACTTGATCATTATTAATTTTAGGCCTCCAATAGTCCTCAAACAAATATATTTGGAATCCATGTGCTTCCTTCATTGTAATATAGTCTTTTTCCTTACAGGTACTACTATTAAGTTACAATTAATAGAAATTCAATGGACATTTAATGCAAATATCACCAAATTCATTATAGTATTCACCTAACCGGCAAAATATTGGTTAAAATTTAACAATTAATTGTAAATTCATCTATTTATATTTTACAAATGTATAAGGGTAATCATCTATATAAATTGGTTATTTAATGTGACTGCTAGTAAAAGTGAGATTCCTTATTTTATTAAGGTTTGGATTCTAACAAATTGTCAACTTTGACAAATCAAATCCTTGAAGTTCATTGTTAAAACTTCTGGTTTTATTAGTACTAGTTGAAGAAATTTCGCAACTATTGTTACTTGCTTATTCATTTTAAGTATCTGTATAAATGTTGAGACTTGAATAAATTTAGTGTTTAACTATATGTTAATCCTAATCTAGGAAATGGATCTAGATAATTTAATTTTGATAAGTATCTAAAGTATACCCACTCTAAAATAATATGGGAGTTGGAATTTAATATAGAGTTCCATTAATATATAAGGCCAGGTTTTAGGGAAATTAATTAATATTGTTCCCAAATAAAGTGGCCACATTTCTTCCGATCTAACTGCCAGTTTTGGCCACATCGTTGATATCAACTCCTTAAAGTGCTATACATCCCCCTATTGAAGCTCTATTGTCATAGCAACTAATATTAGCAACGTTGATTCGCTATTAGAAACCAGATTCAAAGTAAATGAATCCTCCTTTGCCTAAGGCTTCATTCTGAGTACAATATGAATTAGTAATATTAGTCGTCAATTCGTATATTGATATTCCACATCCATGGAAACAAGTATTATTTTCTGTAAATAATGATAACACAAAAACATGAGATTTATAGGTGGGATTAGGAATGACATATTAAAAATTTTATTCTGTTTCCAAAAGTCTCTAACTTTATTCTTGGATCGAAAATAAATCTTCCGATGGAACTATGCCTGTGTAATTGATGATTGCTTCTCTAGTCAAATTGGTTTGTATTTTAAGATTATGAATTTAATCTTGAGCAGTCTACATTTTGATGTGAGGTTCACATGATATTGCAAAACAACCATAATAAGCTGTAAGTGTATCTGTGCATCTACATTGATCTATGAAAACTGACTGGACTAATAGGCGATTATAGACTCTGGTAATCTAAACTAGACCGTCGATACATTCTGTACAGTGTATTTTATTGATTAAGACTCCTCTCAGAGTCAAAAATGTGGACGGCATTATACTATCGATTTTCATCAAAGAAGGTTAAATCTTAATTTGAGGGAAATCTGCTCTGACCTAGAGTATCTTACAAGTCATACTAAGTTTTTGAGTGTTACATTTCACACTTTCTAAACTAATTGATGTGATGTTAGCAAATTTTATTTCTTCGATATGAACAGGATTTAAGATTGGTTCTATTATCTCTATCAATGGATTATATGTTAATATGTAATTTTGAACAATAATTGATTACAATTTAATAAGTGACGAATATTTTACTGATAATAACCCCTAATATTGTAAATCTTATGAATTGACATTAATTAAAATTATTTCTCCAAAGTCTTATTCAATAGCTGAAGTTCTAATTAAAAATATGTATTTCTCAATTTGCTTTAGTAATCCCAAAGAATCAAAAAACTCTTCTTGTCTAGATTGAATGGCTTGGATATAGATATTCTCCATTCTTGTTTATTGGGTTTGCTTTTAATTTTTGTCATAGATAACTTTAAAGATGGCTCCACTTAAAGCGAAGCAATTTGAAAAAGTAGTTTCTTATATCAAAATTTATTGTTAAGATTAAAAGCTTAGTACATAAATAGCACCTCCTTCTTGTCTTGAAAAGCAATCTTCAAAGTTGGTGTCGATAATAGTCATATTTAATTTTGACTCCTTAGAGTCAATATATAAGCAACCTCCTTTTGAACCAATAGTACTATCTAATTAAGTAGAGGAGGCTTAAATTAAAGTGTTCTTTATTAATATCTGACCTTCTTTCAAAGATTTTATGAAAATGCTTCCTCCAAATTTTGCAGTCGAATTAAAGAAGGTGCAATTGTCCACTGTAGTCTAAAAGGATACTATTTTAAGATGTCCCCCTTCATTTTGTTAGTCACCAAATAGCACTCCTCTAGAGTATGGATCATTATTATTAAACATTGATACATTTCTAATAGTCGAAATGCCTGATTCTAAATGCAAGACAGCTCCTGATCCTTGGGCTGAATTGTATCCCCATTTACTATTTGTAAGTAGCAGGTTACCCAAACTACTTTACATGATCAATGTTGGATTGCTGGGAGTCAAACTACCTTGTATTAATAAAAAATGTTTATTTTATTAAAATTGCATTTGGGTTAATTACACGTTTTGTTTTTAATTAGATTAAATTATTATGGCAGATGATGGGATACTAGGTTGTGTAGTTGATACTGTGCAATATTTTACTATGATTTATTCAAGAGAGATGCTTTCTACTGAATTTAAAGTTGACGTATTGTATATCAGATTATTCCACGATGATATTCCTATGAATGAAGCATCTTATGCATGCAGATTCAGCAATTCAATATTTTTTATCTTAACAGATTTGTACAGATTATTAACAAATAGGCAATAATTATTTCTAATTTATAGGTTTTGTATTTGATGGCAACGGATGTCATAAAAGTAACTATTCCAAACCATATCAACATAGAGAATTGATAAATTAGAATTCTCTTTGCTTATAAAATCTTACACATATACAATATAGCTCTTTTCAATTTTAATAGCAGCACTTGTTGCAGCATTCAAAATTTTGAGATCGAATCCTTCTGTTTGAATTTAATTGATTTCAATATTCTTCATAGTGATATTGACAGGGATATCATAATCATTTTTTATGGCTGATATTAAAATCAAACACTGTGGAGTTAAGCAGATTACTTTTTCAAAGGTTATCTCTTCTAATACCAATTTCAACCTCTGATGATTAGGCTTTGAAATTTTTGACAATTCATGTTAAGTCTACAGCATCCTTCCTTTTGAAGTAAACTAGGTATTATAAACATAACATTTAGCCATTTAAATAGTAGTTATATGGAATAAGAAAGTGTGATTGACAAATGAATTTACAAGTGTAAAGTTAATTACATAGATTTGTTGCATGTTATTGAAATTAATGATACCTCTAGAATGATTGAATTTCGTGTTATTTACAAATAGGTTATTAATCCTTATTAATCCATTTAAGGTGTCATTAAATTTTGGACTTATAAAGCCTGCCCCATTTAGAAAATAAACATCATTAAAGCTGACTTATTAGACGAGAACCTGAAAATTAATTTATGATTATTGTGTTAAATTAATAAATTCTAAATCAAATAGAGCTTGATCTTCTATTCCCAAATCAGAGAACATCACATCATCAATATTCAAGTGAAAATATGGCAAAGGTATATTTGGTTCATAATTAAATCCAAATAGGTTAAATGTAAAATTTGTATCCTTCAAGTGCAAGTAATTTAAAGATTGAATCATAACTTGGTTTAATTGTAGATCATACACATTTGTAAAAATAAAATAAAATGGCGTGTATTTTTTATTTAAGAGTGACATCTGACTGTAAGGCGTTGTATACAATTTTGGGTTCAAATAATGTGTGTATGCAGCTTAATTTATAATTTATACTCTTTCTAACCTTACAATGAGACCATCATTCTTAATGAATTACAAACTAAATGGTTTTTGCAGTTTTTTAATATAAGGATACAAATCACAATCCACAGCTGGCATCATATTGATTCCAGATATTGTAACTTTCGAAAAATATTCAAAATAAATGTTATTTTACAAATACCAATTGATAGCATTATCATTTTCTACCTTGATGTTTAATTCAATTGATTCAGCTGAAAATACCATTTTCTTAAGATCAGTAGAAAAGTATGTATCCTTTTAAAAAAAACAGGAAGGATTGGATGAACTAAAAATGAGATTAATACTGATTTTATAAACAGCTCTAATATTTAAATCCTCGTAAAATTTTGTGATGTTACTTATGTAATCTTGAGTATTACTAAGAGATGCTTTATTTTCAAGGATTATGGTTACATTTTTAGATAGAGGTTTCTAGAATTAATTATTAGTTGACTAACCATTATTTTATTCTTAAAATAGAGTATTAATTTGCCATACTTTATCATTATTTATTTGTTATTCTTCTGAACAATCTGCTCTTACATCAATACTGATCTCTCTGTTTTTTTTTTATTCGCTAAGACATCTACAAATTTTAGTTTCCATTTAATCTAGACCAATAGTGCACTTAAAGGATAAAGTGGAATATATTTTTAATTCATTAGAAGGTTCATAGAACCTATTCTACCTTTCGATTTCCTCCTCTGTCCTTTCTCTACATCCAATAGTATTATTAGGACAGTCAATACAGTTGTTTCCATCACTAGATGAACTTCTCGAATTTTTATTGAGACATTAATCACAAAACCCTTTTTCACCTCTGGCTAAAAATGTTTCGCATTTATCTCCTCCTTTTTCACACTTTCGCAGATCTTCATTCAAAAAATGACCTCTCCCTTTCACATCATCATCATCAGGTATGCATTAATAACAAAATGGACCAAGGACAGTATTACTTTGAGAATCTTAGTAGTACTAAGCACTAAAGCACTCTGGATGATGAACAATATTTAAGGTTAAAGTGTAACATTTCATGCAATAACCATCTAGAGAACAAGGCTTACATTTGTTAGTTAAAGTATCGACATAATAGCCAACCTTACAAATTTAACACCGATATTAGTCTCCTTATTAGACGCAAGATTCACATTAAGAATCCTATAACATTTAGTCACAACCAGTCACACAATACCAGATTTACGATTTAGAATCGAATGATAGAATATAACCCTATTAACATTTTCTACAATGTTTTAAATCATAAGATCTTTCAAATGTCAAACATCCTGGCCCTGGATAATTCTGACTATCAAAAATCAAACATATTCCAGTTTCAGTTAAATAAAACCCATCTTTACAAAGAACACACTTCTCAATAAATATATCTATATATGTAGATATAGATATATATACCTTCCTAAGGTTAAACTTCAAAATTGATTGAGAGAGTTGAAAATGGTACTTTGCTTTAACTCTAGCTCTCAGTTTTATGGCATAATACACAATCATTTATCTTGCAATCGGAACAACTAGTCCCTATTGCATTAAACATTTAATTGTAAACTAGACACTCTCTACATCTTAACACATATTGAGATTCTAACAATTCTTGGGTTTCTTTCTCATTTTATGGTTCAATTATTTGTTTTCTATTTTTGGAAGGGTTAATGAGTTCCTTATTCGATAACCAATATGAATAATATTCACAACGTATGCATTGGATACCACATTGCACACATGATCTTCTATTCAAAGAAGGTATAAACTTTATTTGAGTTAGACTTTGGCATTGTTCACATCTCTAAGCTATTTAAAAAGCAATGTATAAATTTTCAAAGTATTATGTTTAATTTTCTAAAAAGTCCTTTAATAATAAACCTTCTTTTTTATTATATGCATCCCAAGAGTCGACATTCAAATCTATACCATTCTTACCGAAATAGCAAGTCTTGCATTATTCAAAACATGGGATGCAAAATACCTTAGTAGTTTTTGAATTCGCTGATTCTCTCAATATTAACTTACTAAATCCTTGGTTGCAAATCAAACATGTGTTTTAGTCACACGATAAACAATTCTATGGACACGATATACATAATTATCTTAGTTCATCAAATTCATAACCTTCCTTACAACTTACATACATATAATTAATGTCATTTTAGTATTCTTTTGGTACTAAAAAACATTTCTATGATTTTTCCTTACAAAAGTGATCACACCCATTGCAAATTATTGTAGAATACTATACTATCTGTTATTTACATTTATACTTTTCCTGGCTCAGATTCTACTACATAAAACAATTCTGCAGAAGATCTCTCCTTCTGATGATAAACTGAGTTGATTGTTGAATAAGTTAAGTAGTCGTAACTGCACACTCTATTAACATTCCTATGTAATCATAAATCGTTACCAAGTTCGACTATTATCAAGGCAATCACCACAATATAAATTTTCTTCATTCTCCATAAATGACTAGAATGGACTAACACGGTAATATACAATATTACCATTCCACACAAATTCGAGATCTTTCATTCAAAATTTCATCATTATCCTAAGGTAATTAGAAAACAAAATGATGAGCCTTGCAATAAGTGCATTCAGCATCCATACACTAAGTTTATGAGGTTTATGATGAGTCAGTTTCTGCAATCACCTTATACCATAATTGAAATATCAAAACAACAATTAAGTATATTTACATTAAAATTAAAAATAAGCTACATAAAATCTATTGATCAATTTGATTTATTCTACAATATCACGAACAATTTAATAAATTTGACCTTGAGCTATTATGAATCTGCCACTTATGATCATTTTATTTATACAAATCAATCCTAAAAATAATAAATTCTCATGCAATAAATTGTCTATTAATACTTTAAAACAAAGCATTCTTAAACATAAAACTATAGCCAATAATATTAATGAGTGTACATAATATCAAGACCAGAAATTATTTATAATATCCAAACCCATATAAAGATCCTATTTGAATAAATAGATATTCAGCTAATAAATCATTAATATAAATGCTAAATTCTCATAGACTTGAGAATTGTCTGATTAAAATTATACACTTAAGCCTAATCAAGCCAGTTAAAAAGGATGAGCGATATAAAGTAATGCTCAAACATTTATTCATAAGATACAATAACAACACAACTGAATGTTTATGCATCTTGAGTATATTAGACAATGATTCAAAATAGATTAAGAATATGATAAATTTACCTACAAATTTCTGATACTAGGTTACTTAAAAAAGATATGTTATCAATTTTTATTTTTTAATGATTATCCAAAGTTAAATTAATTAACATTAAATATCAGTTTTGCGATCTTGAAAAACATGATGATATTTAAATAAAACTGAACTAATCTTATATCATTAACTTGATTATAAGTAAAGAAAGAACGTTTAAAATTTATCCCAAAAATAAAAGTCAATTTAAATTTCAATGAAGAACTATGATATATTATTATGCAATGGATGTATGGGCTATTTTCCATTGATGTAAATGAAAGCAAAATATTCATAAATTAAATTTAGATGATAATAATCTCAAATTTCAATTTAAATATTGAATCATTAGCTTAACCTCTTTTGCTTTTCTAAAAATTCATCAATATTTTGGATTAAGGATTTAAAATGCAAGACGACTGTCTTTGCACCTTAAAGATCTAATTGATTGGCTTCTTTAGTTCTAAAAAAACACGGGGCGAACACTATTGATAAGTTATGTAGGCCCATCTAAATATTATTTAAATAGATACCTTATTTTCATTTTCAAATCCTGCAACAAATTTTATGAATTCTGCTAATCTGAATACGGTTAATCTGTTCACTTTGGATAAATGAGCAAAAAATATGCTAAACATATCAATAAATTCATTTGATGGTATTTCAGGACTGGTTTCTCTTAGAATTGCATAGATTTCAAATGGGAAGATAGGATTTTTCAAATTCACTAACGTGTTTTTTAACACTGTTGCTATTACATCAGGTTCTGAATTGTAAATAGCTTCATAATTTTCTGATAATAGTTGTTCTATTAATTTTGTTTCTAACTCATGTGAACCTGACAATCGAAATATTCCTTCTTAACGTAAGCAATCTATATTTTATGAATAATATTTTAATATCTCCTCAAGAAATATGGGAAGACCAGACTTTCCAATTGGATAGGTCTCCAAATCTCTGCCATAAAATGGTTATAATTCTTGATACTCGATTTAATTGCATAAGAACTTTTAGACTGACTAATGCAATTCAATTTCCAAGGTATTCAGAAAGGAAGTACTTGATTAATAAAATAGACATAATACTTGATTAATAAATGTAATTTATCTTTGAGTAGGCCTTTGAGTTAGAAAGGTATTGTTTTTTCCTTCTTTCCGTAATTTTAATTATTGCTAATAACAATTAACTTGTCAATTCTCTTCAATTGCGATTAATCCACCTTTCTCTTAAATAGTGATAAAGATTACTTTATAGTTTGTTTTATCAGAGCCTTAACACTTTTCGCATCCATTAATCCTTCATCTTAGGAACATATAATTAAGACAAAGCCTCTATGATTAAATCCATATTATACTTAAAAGGTCTGAATTGTTGTAAATAGGATTAAAACTTCTTCGCTATTTCTTCGTAATTTTTATTTTGAGCAATCAAATTATATAACAAAACATAAACGGGTTGCTGGTTTTTATCGATGCCTTAAGTATACTTGAATCGAAAATACCTGCTTTTAGTAATCCTTAAATTTCGTATGATTTACCCTAATTCATTTATAACAAAATTTATAAATATAGTTTTCTCTTTTCGTAGTTTAATAATGACCACCAGAATAATTAATGATTATTATATTCTTATATGAATAAATTAGAAATCTCTACATACTTATAATAACTCTACTTTGATATAGAATACCATTTTTATAAACATATATTTATTATTATGAATTTATCATACAAAATATTTATTATATTATTATAAAATGTGAATGGGAAATTTTTCGTTTAAATCAGTATTGTCCTTGTAGAGGTCAATTGAAAACTTGGTTTCTAAATTAATAATTAAATTTAAATGTTCCTTTAAACTAATGTCTTTTTTTTCAGATTACAGATTTTGGATATTACTAAATTAATCTTGCAATATGGATTGATTTCCCATATTTCTTAATTGATCTTGTAATATGGATATTTCAATTCTGCTAGTGGCTGAATTTTTAATAATATCCAATTCTTACCACGATAATTCTTGAGTAGATTATTTCATTTTGTTTTCTTAATGAAATAAATCAGTTCTTAATTTATGAAATGCAACCTGAATCTCTTACCGAAGACTTAAAACTTCCTGAGCTAGTTCCCCTTTATAATCTAAAAGGAACTATTTTAATTATCGTTATTTTTGCACTAATTCTGGAATATCATTATATTATTTAATTCGTGGATGTAATTCTAAAGGTCTTATATAGACAAAGGCAAGCGCATAATCTAATTAATATTTTGCTATCAATTGGATAATATAACATAAAAAGGTAAGTTGTGAATTACTCTCTATTTCCTTAAAAAAACAATAGCAGATCTTAAATCTGTTGAATAACACTTCCAATAATGTTTTGTTTATTTACAAATCTAACATTAGAATTTCATTTAATTTCTTATCCTAGGATTCTTTTTTGTCAAAATCTTAACAGAGTTATTCAGATTAAAATAAAAAGTTAACTGTTTCTTCCATTCCTGTCTAAGTCATTATTTGATGTTAAAATATTTCATCGTATGAAGTTCTTTCAGCCTCATCATAGACAATCATCTTCTCAAGTAGATCCTTTAATATACCACCTCTATGGAAATCAAGATCCGGAGCCTTAAATCGCTTGCTTTTAAGCTGTTTTAGGCTTTTCAATAGATTTTGTATCGAATTACAAGGATAAGGAAATTCCCCTTTATAGCAAATATTGTAAAACAGAACCCCATAGGAAAAGATATCACATTTTGATTTGCAATCTTAATTAAAGATCATCTGAGGTGCAGCATAATTCAAAGACCCCGTTTTTGTTATCACAGATTTATTTAACATATCCTCGATAAGCTTGCCCACTCCAAAGTCTCCTAACTTAAGAAAAGGATATTCTTTACTTTATATATTTTATTTTGAGTATCCTTCTTAATCAATATATTTTCAGGCTTTATATCTCTATGTATAATTTTTTAATTATAAAGAAATTTCATGCTACTGATAATTTGTCTGATTAATTCAAATACTTCTTATTCAGAATACCATACATTAAATGATTTCATTCTTTCAAATTCAGAATACAAATCTTCATCACATTATTCCATTACAATATATAAAGATATTTCATCCTTAAAAATATCAAATGTCTACACAATATTAATACATTTAGGGCCAGTTTAAAAATTACTTGAATTGTAATTCTTCAGTATCTCGCTAATCATTTCCTCATCTTAAATATCTTGAGATAAAAGTGGTATAATCTTTACACAATATTTCTAATAATCATAATCATTTTCTAATTTTTAACAGACATAAACCTCTCCATATTGTCCTTATCCTAGAATGTTGTTTTTATCAATTTTGTAGTAATCGTTAATATTTCGCATTAATGTATTTCTAAAAAAATTATATTAAGAATAATTCAATGTTTCTCTGTTAACAATTTATACATTATAACAAAATACCAAAAAATTCAATTATCATTAATTTGTTTGAAGATCTAAAACTATTAAATTCATTTGGGATTATCTTTCTATTTTATCAATTTTAATTCTATTATAATGCTTCACTTTATTATTTTTATTAAAAAATTACAAATACCAATTATATAATCATAGTATTATCATATTCTTGGTTGATAAAGGTTCGTTTAATTCATACATTTAATTTGGATCATAAGTATTTTTATTTTTATTGTTTTGGATTATTATTAATCAATACATTAATCTTTGGATCAAAAAAGGTTGAAATGAAATATTAGAATGCTGATATTTTTACATAGAAACCTATCTGTTTACTCTCTCAAATGCCTTTTGATAGTTCTGCTCACGGAATATATTCCATATCTTTAGATCAACGCATTGTGAATTTTAAAGAGTGCACTATTATTATATCTAAGAAAATCAACTATATTTGATCATTTCAATCTGAGATATGCTTATAATATGAGTTAGATAAATACAAAAGTCAAAGAGATTTGTAATTTATAAACAAATTGTATTTTATTCAGATAAAAGGATTTGTTTTGGTAAATTTTTGGTTTATTAATTATGTGAACATACATTATGATCTAGTGATGATTAGTTCTTGATGAAATGTACAGAATAGGAATAATGAATACATTCACCCTAGCCATCCATCCATCCATCTTAAGAGATAAAATAGATTACAATTTCAAATTACATCTGATTGATCTTAGTAAGATCTTACTTTGAAGTATTTTGTAAATGGCTTTCCTTCAATTTTGAACATAAAGTTAGACATAATTTTTGAGGTACACTAGAGTCTTTCTTAACCGCAAAAAGCAATAATAATTAATTATCTTACTTCCTATTTAATTAAAATAAAATGAAACAAAGAGAGAGATCCCATGGATATCTATATAAACAAATTTGCAAACATTTGAATGTGCCTATTTCATCAAGCTTGCTTAATGGTATTTAGGAGACAGAAATTGTTATAGCTTTAGACCAAATCAGTTAATAGGGTAAAAACATCAAGATTCAATAGATATTGAGCCTCTTTCTTTATTGTTGCCTCAATGCAAATTTAAGAGGATCATATTAAAAAGTATTTAAAAGAACCTCAAATTGAACAAGTCAATGGCTACTGATAATTATAAAATGGAATTACTTGAAATTTTGAGAGTGATAACGAAGCTGTTCACCAAGAGTTTGGACGTGGTCTCATTGGTAATTCGAGATATTAGAATGAATAGCGAACACATGCAGATAATAGCATAAGGAATAGCAGTTGTTTAATCTTTAAAGGAATTGCGTATAATATAATGCTTGATGACTTCCAATCATTTCAGTATTCTATAGCCATCGCTAATTCAGAATTCATCGCTTCATATCCTCGATTTCTCTCATAATTATCTAACACATCAAATTGGGGTATTATTGGGATAACTGCTCCAGGAGCATGGCAAACGAAGGGATAATGTGGAATATCTATACAGAATCAAAGGAGATTGTCCTGAAGAAGACATTTCTAAAATAGGATTAGAGGAACTGGATTTATCATATAATAAGTTAAACGATTAATTTGTGAAAGATGTGGTGCCATATTTGGAGAGAGATAGATGGGTGAAGTAAATCAATCTTAAATATAATGCAATTCAGAAGGAAGGCTTTGAGATTTTGATCTAATTACTGGATAAAAATTCAACCATCACAAGTTTGGATATAAGAAGAAATCTTGGATCTACATCGCAATTTTAGAAGGAGGTCTTAAAGAAGTTGATAAGGAATAAAAATACAAAAAATGATATTCAATAATAGAGATTAGATGACGAGAATGAAAATATTTCTGTCAATGTTTCTGCGATTCCATAAAACTTACAATCTGTTATTTCAGATCAAGAAAGTCCTGTGATGTCTTTTGGAGTATTCGAACCCAATAATCTCACTAAGCAGATGTCCAATAATTCTGGGAGATAGGATTAATTGAAATTGAAATCTGGATTAAAAAACAGTGATTCTGGTTGTTCTGATTGCAATCGTTTACAAATGAAATCGAAAAAGCAGTAGTAAATGATTTAGCTACTGAAATAAGAAGTTCAATTTTTAAGATTTCAACTTCAAAGCAAATCGTCAATGGCTGAATAATAATAGTAACAATAAACATAATAATAAGTTATAAATGAACTAAATTTCTCAGAAAATAATCATAATCCTCCTCCTTAAGAGATTGAATAAGAAGACATGGTCAATAAAATAGAATATATGATGAATGACTTAACTAGAATGATGGATGGATTAGATGTTTAGGGGAGTGTAACGAATAATCTGAATGCACATTTATCTAGTACTTTGATTGTATAGGATTATACAAGGGCAATATTTGAAAGAGAAGACAGAGCAAATGATTTAATCAATATTTTAGACGAGAATAGTAATAATAACTTATCATAATCTTCGGATGAAGAACAATAATGAAATTTTTCTTTTATTTTATATCATAATTCATAATTGCATATTTATTAACATCTAGGTAATTTATATCATTATAATTGTTCTACGGGTTCAGACAGTTGTGATTTTGGCTACTTTGGAATGTCTTACATTTCCAATTCAGCATCTCTGATTTATTGGGAATTAATCCACTCGTCAACATTCTGCTGTCTTTAGACTTGAGAATATTCACTATTGTAGCTGATTGCAAAAAATATAGCATAAAGCTTGGATCAATAAAGCAAATACCACAGCTGTAATAAATAATGCAAAGGCTCCTTCGATTCGACTATGAGGTACTACATAAACAGTTTCAGATCCAATGGCGATCATAAATCCCAAATATGTCATGAAGATGCATCCTGGAGCTGAGATAAACATGCAATATTAAGCACACGATACCATTAAATTTAATTATATAGATTGAAATTAATAAAATTAAAAGAAATTCTTATTCTTGAAAATATATTATGAACTTGTAATAATATTAGGGCAAAAATGTAAATCAATTTTTTAGCTTTTATGCTAACTTAGCTGATCTTGGTGTATTAGTAGTTGTTGGTTATTTGGTGATTCGAGATGAAGAAGTGCTCGACACAACCATTTAACTACTAGGAACACTCACAGGGTTATTATCAAAATCATATCCATTAAATAGATCTAACATATTCTAACTATCATACTTTATACTGAATTCCTCCTCAACATGATCTATTACTCTTCATTAATGGAATCATCAGAGTCTCGTCTACTATCAGAAGGCAGGTAGTTGTCTTCATTGCCCTAATAATCTGGTTTAATAATAAACATTAGGGATGAATGGGGCAATAATCTACTTGGTCAGAAGCTTTTCCCAACTAAAATCCCTAAACCATGGGTGTTCCTTCACTTCATCTGGCCCATTGTTACCCAATCGATTCTGTGGCTTCCTTTGCAAAAGCTAATTAAATATATATCACATAATACTTTATTTGTAAAATCAGCTGCCTCTAAACTCCATCCTGGAGGAATTTCTTGTCTCTTGATTGCTGCCTATTTGGCAAGCATTTGTTCTCGTATTTCCTGTCTGCTCCTTCCCAAATATGGTCTTCTGCCTAACATGCATTCATATATGATCACTCCCAAAGCAAAGTAATCTACTGCTACACCATGATTGTGTCCTATAAATAGAAAACTTAGATTTACTACACATAACTTCTGGAGCCATATAGCCGGGAGTTCCACTTGTATCTTGGGAATTCTCTGGTTTCCATATCCTGGCTATACCCAAATCAGTTAATCTAAGATATCCTAGGGCCATTAAATAAATGGACCATACCATTACTATCAAACACCAAGTTTTCTGGCTTTAGATCTCTATGCAATACTCCCTGTTGGTGCAGGTAATCCAATGCCACTATGATACACCCGCTGAAAAACTCTTGCTTTATATATATGTCTGTATACTTGTCTATTCTTCATTGAATTTCCTGTGTCTTCCTATGTGATATCTCAGATCTCCTCCCGAGAGCAAATCCATCACCAAATATAAGTATTCTCTATCTTGGAAGGAGTATTGCATGTTGATCAGAAAACTTGATTCATTTTCAATTTTTACTTATGTTTCAAACCACTCAATAACGTCTTTTCATTCATCACAGACTATACCGACTTCTTTTGAATGATTCTATATTTTAATCACTTCTTACTTTGGTTTAGACATCACCTTTAGAGCATAGAATTGCTTATTTTTCTTTTATCTAACCTTCCACACCTTCCCAAATCCACCTCTTCCGATTGCATCGATAAACTGAAAATTTTACACCGAAACCACTAAAATATCGATCACTATCAAATACCATTATTTTCCATAAGATCTTCCTTTTTTTCATTAATATTACAATTGCCCATACTTTTTATTTTTATTATTAATTATATGATTCTTTATACTTTAATTTCCAAAGGAAATCTAGTCTTGTCAGAATACACAGAATTGGAGGGGGATTTTACTGAAATGGCTCGTATTGTACTCAAAAGTGTGAAGCCCAATTAGTAAAAATAAATATTTAGTAAAGTATATGATGGTAAAACCTAGAATGAATATGTCTTTTGCATAACATGCATTTCCCATCTTCGATTTCTTTGTATGATCCATAATAGTTAAAACAAAGAAAAGGCATTTGCCTTCCTTGAAGCCATTCACCAAGAATATTCAAATTGCTCCAAAAGTATTTCGATTCTAAAATCAAAGATTCCGATTTTAATAATGGCCAATTCTCAGCTCAAATCTGCCGTATGATGAAAGGCTTCAATTAATTGGACCAAAAAGACGCATTGACTAACCTTGAAGAAACTGTTGAAGACCTAAACGAATCAGCATTTCAGAATCTTCGTAAAATGATCGGTATATATTCTTTCTAAATATTGATTAGAAAGAGAAGTTAGACTTGACGTATTAGTTAAAAAGACTGAAGAATTGACAAAGAATGCTGATATCATCTTTAAATATAGTAGAAATGTTCATAGGGCAACAAGAGGTAGCGAATTTAGACTCGGAGGAAAAGTCTTAATTCTGTCTTTGGTAATATTTGCAATTTTGAGCTTATACATCTATTATCAAATTTGACACTTATTTTTAAATATATTCGCTGTCATTCCCAATATAATTTATTGTATATATACTTTGTTTTATATTCAATATTGATAGAAATTATTATAAAATTCATTCTTTTATTATTATACTCTTGAATTCTTAATCTTTAGTAGAATATTTTTACATAAAAAAAATACATCTATATATTGAGGGGGCATCAAAATAGAACCATAACTCCTAAAGCTAATAATTATATAGACCATGATAAGTAAAAATATACAAATTAGATTCATTTGATAGCTACATATGGTTTGATTCCTAAAATTTAATAAAATGAATTTATAAATCCCTCGATTTAAATTTATAGGTATTAGTATAAAAAGAATGTATTCTATATATATAAAAATAGAACTAAAATTAATTTTCATGCATATTTTAAATTCAGGATGTAAACATTGGAGCAATTATTTGATTAAAATTAATTAAATATATATAATTTAAGGTTTAGTTATCAGTTATAATTTTGACATATTCTATTGATTAGCCATATTATTCTTTCATATTTCCCAGAATTAGAGTAAAATGCATTTGTATCTAATTTAAAATCATATTACAATATCTATGCTATATGTTTATGTTATTTCCACAATTTAAATCCTTATTTCAAAAGATTAGATTTATTTTTTGAGAGAATAAAAAAATGGTCTCGGAGGGGATCGAACCCTCGACCGTCAGCTTATTAGACTGACGCTCTAACCAACTGAGCTACGAGACCTGTCTTAATTATACTTTTAGATTTTTGAATTTAAGCTAGTAAGATTAAAGATCTAATCAGTGCAAACGATAAAATCCAATTAAATAGCCTAATTATTTTTAATATTAATAGAGATTAAAACATTTAAATGATAGAACAATAAATCATGATTCATTAATTATTTAATTATTTATGAAATTCCTCTCTATCAAAAATATATTTGAATTTAAAGACAATCATATAGATGGAGTCAGAAACAATCTATTCAAAAATATAAGTAATCAGAATTTAGATTTAAGATTAACTTTAGGGCTTGGGATTACCGGATGTTTGTATTGTAACTAAATAGTAGCCAACTCATGTGATGAAATCCACTTTTGAGACCTAATCCTCGTTTCATTTTATTTAAGGGTTGTGTCCTCAATCGTAGGCTGATGTTTTTGCATACCTTCAAACGATTTTACAAAATTTAGAAAAATCAGAGCATTAAGGCTTGTTCTCTAAAAATTAGACTATTTCAAAAGTAAAATAGTTCCTCTAGATAGTTAACTTATATTTGTTACGATATTTTTTCCAAGACTTTCTTGGTGTGCGAGATTTAAGTGTTTCTGGAAGGGCAACATAAATCAAAAACATTCGGAGTATAAGAGAATCAGCAATACATATTACCGACTAGGTAGCATTGGCAAGGAGTTTATATAAGTAGTATATTAAGAGCAATTGATGAAGAATTTAAGCTAGCAAGCGTTGGTAGATTCTTTAATAATATAAACTTAAAAAACAATATAAAGTTGTCTGAAGTAATACAGATGCTTTTAGAATTAATAACAACTAATGTAAGCCTTTTTTAAGACCTTGACAAAATTAGCTCAATAAAAGATTTTCCTGAACTTAAAGATGTTTTGTATTATTTATGTTGGCCTTTGGAAATTTTAGTTTCGTATTTAGAGAAATCTAATTAACTATAAATATTAATAATAGAATTAGATAACATAGAAGATAGCATAGTATTTTATTTGATTAAAAGCATTTTGTTCTATAAAATGAAGTAACTATGATATTTAAATTAGAAATTACGAAAAATCTCTATAATGCTTGGTACATATATCTTGTATCTGTTCACAATTTAATCTTGTTAAATACATATTTGGAAAGGTCCTCATTAAACTTGGTAGGCATAAATAAGCTTTCTTGATGCTAAAAGACACTTTAGTGAGCTCCTATGAGAATTAAATAGTTTGGATTACTTTGGTATGTATATCATCCTATTTTAGGCTTCAATATTTAGAAAGAAAAAAAATTATCAAGTATGTCTGAGCCTATTAAACAAAGCAGCAGAATTCTAGGTAAAAAGAACAAGAAAAAGTTTTTGGCGAGAAATTCACATATAGAATTATCGAGTATTGACTCAAGACTCTTCAATCGTTAATCTTACTGATTTAGATAAAGTCTATACTGTAATCAATCCTATTCAAGTAAATAAAATTGAAAGTTTCTCTTAATTGAGTAATCATCCAGTACTTGAATAGCTACTATTGAGACAGAGAACTTTAGATAAAAAAGAATTAAAAGTATTGAATTATTATATTAAAAGAGTTGGCTTCTTTAAGCTCAAAAATCGCTAAATAATCAGACCTAAAAAATTGACAAGTCAACAATTGAATTCATTTCATCAAATCAACTGCTTGAAAACAAATAAGCACTATCATTATTTCAAAAAGAAATAATTAGGCTTTCAAATTAGGTGGGACAAAAATAATTGCAAAAATACTTATAACTATATTTCTATAGTCCACCTCATAGTTCTTATTCTTTTTTTGATACTAAAATAGATAATAATTGTTTCCAAATAAAGTTAAAAAACAAGAATTTAAATAATTTGTAAAAAGTAATATTTTATTAATATCATAATAGAGAGATCCTGCTAACTACACTACAATTTCTTTAGGAGATATTGATTCGGATGAGGAAACGGAACCTGTATTTTTAAAGTAAAACTTAAACAAAACTTTTGACTTTACGAATGCTTGTTCTCAATCTACCTTGTAATCTCCAAATTCAAAAAAGAAGCAATCAAATACTAAAATTTCACAACAATTATTGCAAAAATCAGTTAGCAAAACATATTAGGTAATTCAAGAGAATGCTTTCGAGAGTGTTGAATCCGAAAGAGATTGTGCAAAACAATATAAAGAATTTGGTATTGGAATTTTTTAAAAAAAGAAAACAATGGAAACATTAAGTGAACAAAGTTTAACAAAAGATGTTAAAGTTAAAATGTTTGGATTGATTGATCATTTGGGTCAAAATATTCCTTAGGATAAACAAAATGAAATGTGTGATTAAATTAAAAGGAAAAAGGATACTTTACATACTGCACTTTTAGAATTTATAGATTAAATTTCGGTGACTTAAAACATTCTCGATGATTTATTTTACAACAGCAACCAAAAAACAAAGACTTTCTAAACATCTATACAATCATCTTTCAATTGTTCTGAAAAGCAAACTCCAAAACCAAAAATACCATAGATCTTTAAATCCTAATTAAAAGAATCTGTGATGAAAAAAAATTATCTGAAAAAAAAAATAGATATTAAAGATATTTATAATTTGTATGGATTATAGCTTTAAGATAATGATGAATGGTCAACCTATTTTTAATTTACTAAGCAAGAATCAATATTTCTTTATAAGTGTAGCAAGATAGCTATGAGACTCAAATAATAGGAATTAGCATAAAAACTTCTTGAAAAAATAAATGCCCGTGTTATTTCTGTTTAAATTTCGTATTCATTATTACAAATCTATAAGGATGATCATTCATAATTAATTTAATTGTAAGTACTTTATATATTTTAGAATCTAAAAAATAATGGTTGATTTCATAGAGTGTGGAATCTCAAAAATAGAATCAATGCCTTTATGGATTGAAATTCATTTGATTCGATTAATCAAATTAAAAGGATCTAATTATGTTTTGGGATTACTAGGATAATTAGAAAATGAAGATGCATTTTAATTGATGAAAAAGATTGTTCTATAAACTGAAAACCTTCTTTGAAAAAAATTTGTTGATTATTATTATTTTGTGTGTGTATTGTTATATTTAAATTACCATATTTTATTACAACAGCTAATTCAGATTATTTTTAGTTTTGTTAAATAACTTGTTTGATCTTATTAAAATATAAAGTTTTTATACCAAATAATTACTAAGAATCAATCAATAATTTAAACATAATACTATAAGAAACGTATTAATTTAAGATATACAATCAAACAATTGTTTATTGAACAGAATTTCTAGCCTAAAATCTAGACTTGTTGAAATTTAATTGAGCATATTCTTGAGTCTCACTTTTTTTTAATTTTGAGCTTTTTCGTATTGTTTGATTGGTTGGAATTTGAGAATCCTTTTTCAATACTTTGAAATTGGGAATAGCACTAATGTGAGGAGATTCATGGTCTACTTACAATTCATCTGGATACTTTTCAATTTCATTGATTTCTTTTTAAAGAGGCTTATTGCTTCTCTCTCCAGGTGTGGGACCTTATATTGACTTTTTTTTAGCTAATTATTATTCATCATTGTGAGTAATGTCACTTTAAAAATAAGGATGAGATAGAGCTGTTTCTGCACTAATTCTTTTTTCTGGATCAATTTCAAGCAGATTTTTCAAAAGATCTATTTCTTCTGGAGTTAGCTTATATAATTGAAGTATTTTTAGGTCAATGTTGCAGATTTTATTTAACCTTAGGATCTCGTTGGATGTTTTTCCTGGAAATAAGTCTCGGGTTGTAACTCTATTAAAATACTAAAAAACATTAGCTTTACAATTTAAAGAAAATACATCCAATACTAAAAAGATCTACCTTTTCATTATAGCTGTCTTTGAATTTTTCTGGTGCTGCATAACCAGGAGTTCCACAAACTCTTAAATCTTATGAAGGATTAATAGGCACAGCTAAATCAAATTCGGTTAATTTTAGTCCTTCTAAGGAATCTTTATTTTTGAATACGATATTTGTAGGTTTAATATCTCTATGCATTATATTACTGGAATGGATATCTCTAACAGCAGTAATTAATTGCTATAATATTGATAATTTATATTACTTTCATAATTATTAATATTTAAGTTTTATCCAAAGCGACATTCATAATTAATTCATACAAGTTAGCTCCCTCCAAATATTCTTAAATCAAATATACAGTATTCTCTCCATTAAATACTTCGTGTAGATTTTACACATAATCAGATCTAATATTTATTAAGCAAGAAATCTCGTTATGAATTCGTGTCTTATTTTAAATGCAATATGTACAATAGAATCTTCAAATTAATTTTTGGCAAGACATTTTATTTCGTATGAACTGCCATTTATCATGTCGATACATAAATATACCTAAATGTTGATTATGAATTACTTCATCAAAATTTCCTTCGCCTAACTAATGCATAGGTTTGTAAAGCTAACTAACTGATGAATACATAATTCTATTTCTTATAATTTATCGCAATTTAAAAAGGTCTTCATGAGATGATTGGAATTATTTCTCCATGTTGTTCCATATAATGCTAAAGCTTGTTAGTTATTTCATTTGATTTAACTGCCATGAAATGGTGTAATTTAAATCTAATTCAATGATGTATTTCGGATCCTTGCCAATCTATGTAATTTTTAATGCATACCTAACTTAGAGTAATCTTAGTTGAAAGCAACTGAAGAACATATTTCTAATCAAAAAAAGTATGCTATCGAATACAAATGAAGCTTAGCTAAGATTCCATAAATTAAATAATAGATTTTTATATTTCATTTAATTAGTTTGAACCTAAATGCTTTTTCTATTTTAGATAATCAAAGATGATTATTTCTAATTATTAAATTTTAATTTAAAGACTTTGATGAATCCAAGAAAATTAGAGCATCTTAATTCCAAATATTGAGTATTGCATTGTGTTTAAGATAAAAGATTTCTAGATTTTTTTTCATTTTTACCTCTCAAATATAAATTTGCTATTTATTGGATAAAAAATACAATAAATTAAATTATCAAAATTTATTACTTGCAAGTTTTCATTACTTTGGTATGATGTTTTAAGAATATATTTATTAGTTTTGATATCTAACTATTTTTAAATATAATCTAAATACTTTTAAGATCATTCATTTAATATGGTATTAGTCTATTAATTAAAATTTGCATCTAAATAATCAAGCAATTCTTTACTATTTGCAATGGATTGTAATGCTAATAATCAAGATATGCATTTATTCTAAAATATTGAATAAAATCCATTTAAATTTAATCTTAATTATCATATCAATACATATTTAGGTGTTTAATTAGATACCTATTCAATTGATATCAATACATTTACAATCATTTAAATACTAAAAAGTAAACTAATAAAATTTAGATTGTTTGAGAAAAAAAGAAAAATCAATAAAATAATAGTCTTTATTAAAAAACATTCAATTAGTTCGAAGGATTGAATCAAAAATCTATAGGGTATAATACCATATTGAGGATATTTAAATTATTGAATTAATAAAACGTTTTAGAGCACATGATATATAAATTGTTGTTGTCGGTTATAAAAAAGTGGTAGTGTCATTATGTTTTTTGATAATCAAAGATAGATATATTTAATTTGATATTAAATGATATCCTATTTATGATTGAAATAGTAAGATCAAATGTAAATTGAAAATTGATATATTTTCCATTTTATCTACATATTTCAAGACACCAAACAAAATCTTGGAATTTGGATCACATAATTAATTTTGAATTTTATCAATATATTGATTTATCACTTCTATTTATTAACATTCTGCTGGCCATACTGAGAATGATTGTTTGTATAAGGATGCAAATTATGATGGATAATTTAACATCGCTACTATCTATAAAGAATCATAAAGTTTATTTGGGTTATTTTAAGAACTAGGGGTTCTTGATAATTAGGTTTATTATAAATTTTAATTTTATTTGATAATTAAATGAGTGGAAATAAGAAGATGGATGCTTTGATTAGCATGAAAGCTGAAATCTAGGCATAAAAGGAAGGGCAAGAAAAAATATAAAAATTATGTTTTGAAAACATCAACATTGGATAATTTACAAATGAAACATTAAAATTATTGTCAAAATATAATGATTTAAGTAAAAATGATGAATAAAGAAAGTATGTTTGGAATTTAATGATTGCAAATTGTCATCTTTGGATAATTTGATAGGATTCCCAAATCTAACAAAATTACGATTATGCAATAATTATTTGGATAAGAATAGTCTCCAACATATTATTTAGCATTTTCCAAAAGTGACACACTTAGACATAAGTGGAAACAAAAAAATAAGCGAAGATGTATTTTATTATTTGAATAAAAAAAGGATCTTAAAGTTTTGGTTGACTTAAAAGAATTATAGCATTTAGTGTTTAATGACAAAGATACAAATAGAGCACTCTTGTTTGAATAGATTCCATAGTTGAGTTACATTGATCATAAGGACAAGGCTGGAAATGAGATTGAGGATGAGGAAAACGAAGATGAAGAAGATGAGGATGAAGAGGATGAAGATGAGGAAGATGAAGAGGAAGAAGATGATGAAGATGATGAAGATGAAGATGGAGAAAGTGCTGAAGAAGCAGAGGAATCTGAAGTTGAATAGGCAGTTTAGAAAAAGAAAAAAATATGATGAGAAAATATTAAAAATAAATATAGACTCATTTTTTAGATGGTTCAGTCAATAAACTTTAATAAAATTTTAGGTTGGTAACACTTTTTGTATTTTTGAGTGTATCATTTGAACATATCACTGATGATAGTTATGATTATGATTATTGGGATAATAGTGATTGTTAACTATTCTGAGAATTTTTAGTTCTCTTTCTTACTAAAGAATCGATTGTGTCTTTGGTAACTTAGGTAGATGAGTTTTTATCAAATTCATATACTTTGTATCTTTTCTATTGATAGAAAAAGGCACTTTCAAACATGGGCGTAAATTAAGTAATCAATTTCTGCTCCCTGTTTAATTATTCAAATAATATTCTATCGTTTGTTGTAGGCTATTTAAATGATAATTTGGTTATATCAGGAATGTAAGGAGGATCTATTTTTTTTTGAATGTACTTGGTAATGTCAATGTCTTAGAACCAAGGATGTGCCAGTATATCATCAATTCCATTCTTCGATCCCAATCTCTTACTTGGATCCTTAATCATCAATAACCGAATTAGGTCTTTGACTTCTGGACTTAACTTTTTGGGGAATGTCACCTATTCATTCAACAATCTGGTGTAAATGATGTTTTTATCTTCACAATAAAAGGGGGGGAGTCCCGTAACAAATTCATATAATAATGCTCCTAAACAATAATAATCAACTAAATAATTATGTCCATCATTATGGAACATCTCAGGCGCCATGTACTCGGGAGAACCACAAAATGAATATGCATTTTATTCTGGTTGCATGTTGGGTCTTGCCAAACCAAAATCAGCCAATTAAATATGTCCTGTTATATCAATTAACACATTTTCCGGTTTTAAATCACGATAGATCATTTGTTAGTGGTGTAGAAACCCAAGGGCTAAACAGACTTCTGTGATGTAAAATCTGGCTTTGTGACTCCGTCATCTTTTAAACTCTTTTCATATAACTAAACATTTCTCCACCAGGACAATAGTCAATGCCAAAGATTATCCAATTTTTGGTTTCAAATACAAATTATATCTTTGATGTGAATAACGAACCTTTGTTTGTAGTTTCTATAAGTATATCTCTTTCATTCTAAACTAAGTCCTGCTTCTCATTTTGGATGACAAAGCTTTTGCTGATAAACTTTAAGGCGACGAAATTACCATCAATTAATGATCGAGATAAAATAACTGTTGAGAATCCACCTCTGCCTATTACATGTAAAAACTAAAAGCAACTTAAATTCAATAGTTTTGGTGGAGATATACCAATAATGGGTTTCAACCTTATGGTTTTTCCAATCATGTGGATCATTGGGAGAGAGGGAATTGTGAGATAATAATCAAGCCCAATATTTTCATCCAATGTTGCAAATCCAATTACTTGGTAACTGCCTGATTTACTTTTTAATACACTCAGCATTTTATCCGTAGTTACATTGGGATTAAATCTGTGATTTTGGGTAACTTCTGAGGAGTAGTGAACGTAGACAGAAATTTCTTATTTAGGCATTTTATCAATGGATGAAGATTTCCCTCCTGCTTAAATAGAACTGGTTAGAAGATCTTCGACACTGCTTCTGCGAGTCATTGAACCTTTTTCTAAGATGAGTTTATTTTTGTTCGTCAATTTTTAGTTTAGAATTAAGTTGATTCCCTTTGATATTTATTGAAATGGGAAATTTGTTTCAGTTGGAACTTTCGAAGTTTTTACTTATGGTTTAGGTTTATCTCTAGAATTTGATCGCTGCTAACTATGCACTCTCTCTGTTAAGCTGCCATGATTAACCTTACGAGCAGAATCTTGTTTCACCAAATCCTTCAATATAATTTGCGACAGATTTCTTTGAATGAATTTTAAGGGAGATTGTGATGCATTTTTGCTAGTTTGATTCTTGGTACTCATCTAAAAGTTTTATATTACACGAGCGGGTGACATTATCTAACCACTTCGTTATCTCATTTATTGTTATCAAATAAAAAAAATTATTATTATTTACATTTATCGATAGGTAAAAATAAACAGATCAAAATTGCTATTGATATTCACATTCTATTTGTAATTGCCAAACAAATTAGCATCTTAATAGTATTTAGACTATTTATATTAATTAAATAAAAGAATGTCATTCTATATTATTACTATTCTTAAGTGAAAAGTGCCAATAACTTATTAATTCATAATGATAATTAGAATGAATTTGGTAATTAAATTTAACTTTTATCATATATAATTTTATTGATATTTCTAAAAATATCAACTCATTCTAATTTAATATTCTCCATTTTATGTAATATATCTGACCCATGGCAATGCATTGTATCCACTTTTATCTTGAATCTTTAAATATCTGACCTAGAATCCAGAGACAGTAAAGTAGGGAATTTCAAAAGTGATATTGATAGGCATCTTCTAAAATTTATCTCTGTTTGGTGACACAATCCTATATAAAAGTTTATATCTATATTTATACGTTGGGAGATGGAAAACAGCATTCATCATGAAGTCTCTTTAACCTCCAAATTACTTGATACTCCAACACATTGCCTCCTTATCAGGCATATAATTGACAGAACCATGAGCAGTTCTGAATTGAGGTTACTCGGCATCATCAGGTACTGGAACAAATATCTGACATTAATAATGAAAGTGTTACTTCCACATTGTTGGCTGTGCTCTTGGGCTTGAAATTGGACTTGGCTTTAACTAAGAATTCAATCTTTGTTGCTGATTTCCTCTCAATCAGGACATCCACTGAAAAGAGTGGCTTCACTCTTATATCTAATCTATAAGAAATCAATTCGAAATCGCCATCTGGAGGGATGAATTAAATGACTCTTTCATTTTCAAATTTAGACAATCTCACACATTAATGGAACTTGATATCATCAAATTCAACTGCTCTTGCTCTGGCTTGACGTCCTTGTGCTTCAAAAAATGCTTTATCGTTCAAACCCAATTTCAACTCAGGCATTCCACTCAACATACATTTCACCTACACTTATCCTATGATCTCACTCTTTATCACGTTTCCTTGTTGACCGATTAGCATATTCAATTTCTCAATGACATCCAAGAACACTTCATTCTTCTTGTATTTGATTCCCTCCTTTCTCCATGATATCTTATTAGAAACCAATGCAACCACATTGAAATTGGCTGGTTCTGGTTACTTTTTCTCTTTCAATTAGAAACTTTCAGTTTTTATGAATTCTTTCAAAATTTTAAATTCTGTCGTTTACGGATATCCATTATCAAGCATTTCATCTAGCAATTCATAAACTACTACAAAATTATCTCGAATTGACTCTTCCTCCACGTTTACAAAATATTCCTATAACACCTACACCAATCTGAATAAGAATGAAAAAATCATCAAACAATTAGCATTTTAAGAGCACACTGTCATAAATATTAAATTGTTATGCCTTATAAATATGTATGTATATCCATCCTTATCGATCATCACAGGCTTCTGAGTATATTCATCATATTCCAATAATTTTTTATTAAATGTTTCATGAATATTTGCAGGCAATTCATTTCTATATTGCCTTGAAATCAGAACTCTTCCCTTCTGATCCAAAATGTAAATCGATGAAATTCCAAACATTATTAATAATAAAACACGTCAAATTAAAATAATTTGTATATATGCACAATATCTAAGTTCTTCAAATAAATAATATTACTTATAATTAAAAAATAAATTTTAATTGTTCCATTATTCACAAATAGAATTTGCATATGATCTCAAAGTTAAGGTATACAATAAATGCATTTCTCCTATTATTGATTTGCCATATTTATGTTTGAGGAATTTAATTCATGAGAAAAAGTTCATTGTTCCTATGAAATTCTAGAATAAATATGAATTCTTTAAAGATATATGATTGTTTAGAAATTCAATACATGATTTAGAAAATTATTTTGTAAATGATATAGAACCAAGAAATTAAATATGGAAAAGAAGATTCAAAAATATAAAAATGTTACTTCTTATGAGAGTTGATGATCTTTAGTCTAAATTAATAATAAATTTTAATTCAAAATCCTTATTTAACTATTTGACCAGCTTTGGATAAATTAGCTGAAGACTTTTTACTCAAAATTGACATCAGTTCATTTTAAAGGGATACTGATAGATTGTTTTTTTAAGGAGGGGAGGAATCTGTTCTAAATTTATTGACTGATTATTCTTCAGATTGCTATAAGTATACTTATTATTGTTAAGCAGTTGAAAAGTTGACTTTTTCGGATAATTCCTATTCCAATTACTAAACATATTCATCCAATTAATAAACTCTAGTTTACAAGGAACTTAATTATTATTTATAATAGTCGATTTAACCTACAACTGAATTTTTCTTAAGAATATCTTCCTTTGCAAAATTTAAAATTTAATAGTAACTTTAAGAATTTATAGATCTCCCTTAATATTTCAAATCGTATTTATTTATTTAATACTTTAATTCCTTAAGCATCTTATTAACGATATTAAAATCTGTTTACTTTCCTTCTTCTATTTCATGAAATATTGGTATGAACTTTTCAAAGGTCTAATCAATGACTTCATTAGCTTCAAATTCAAGATTCACTACTTCATCTTTAATATACAAGGCCTTTTTCAGTTTCTTAACAAAAATAATTGCATATGCTACTTTTCTGAATCTCAAGTAAACATTGTTACTCCTAGCCTAGAATTCATTCCTAAGCAAAACAAAATAATGGATGTAATTTGAATATTGAATAAATTATGAGAACAAAAATTAACTTCTCTTATTTTTAAGTAAGTAGGATAATAAACTATAACTTAAAGCCACCTTATTTTAAGAAATAGCTTTTCTTACCAGTAGCTCCTCGAATTCGACTTAAAGTTAGATATATTAATTATTAAGTTCTTCAAATTCCTATGCCAAATCCTATTTCTATAATAAACACTATTAACTCAATTTCTCTTTTTCTAAAATTTATTGATCATATTGATGACATGATTCAACAAGCTGATTGATGTATTAGTTATCTTTTTATGCTTTTAAATTTTGCTATTCAAGAGCATCTTGCAATTAATTGATTTTGTCTTCCTATTATTCTATTATAATTTGATGCTCTAATTGCAATTAGTCTTTTGCCTTGATGTGTTCAGAATTCAATTGTTCAATTTTATATCTAAGCTACTCACCTACCTTGTGCATCTCTTAGATATTTTTGCAAACTTGATCATTTTCATCCTTCAATTGAGTATTCGTAGATATTAAACTTTGGATGATTTCTTTGATATCTATAAAGAATTCCTCAATTTGTATTTAATTATAACTATATTTCTTCTTCTTTTTAGGGACTGACCTACGACTGGAAGCAGATGAGGACTTTCTACCCTCATACAACCTTTCATAGACATTTGATTTCTTTTTGACAACCAAACACTCTGCAATAGTTTCATCAATTTACTATTAAATATAATTAAACAATTTTGAGAATTCTTTGTTTTGCTATTCCAATTAATTAGAGTACTCCTTTTGTTGTTTATAGTGATCATTCTAAATTTCGCATTCTTTCCTTAATTTTTCATTGGCCTTATTCATTTCATCAAATTATAATCCATAATTCTTCTCACATTCCATTGCAGTCTGAACTTAAATATTGAATTGCTCATTTAACTATTAATTCTTCTTTTCTAAATCCTCAAATTGAATCCTCATATATTTCAACTCAACTAACTCTTAATGTTGCTATTCCAATCTCTGTCGATATTCTTCTAACTCTTATTTCAATAGCTCATTCTCTGTTTCCAATTATTTGAGCATATTCATTACACTATTCTCAAACTTATTCTTTTCAGTTGTAACCTATTTTAATGATGATTCTGCTTCTTGTTTTTCTTTTTTTAAAATTGAATTTTTCTTAGTTAATTATTATAATTCATCCTCCAATCCCTTGACTGCATCCTTTATCAACGAGATCTATTCAGTAACCTCTTATTGAGCCATTTACTTTGTCGATATTTCCTAACTTTAAAATTTGACTTTTTCTAAAAGCTCCTAATTCTTATCTTACACTTCCTTCAATGCAACCAATAATTATTAGTTAAATTATTGCAGTTACTTGTTCTTTTTCTGCTAATTGTCAAACATTTGATCATGTTCTTCTTACAGTATAGCAAATTATCGATCCCCATACTCTTTTTATTTGATTGCCTAACTCAATTATTCCTCCAACTCTTGTAGTCTTTCCTAAAGTATATTGATTGTTTAGTCTTTTATCTAAACATCATTACTCAATAACTTAATCCTAGTGTAACTTTCCTAGATTGCTTAAACGCTATCGTTCATACTTAAATTTAAAATTATTTATAAATAACAATCTAATGTCATTTCATAAAAAATCTTGCACAATTCAAAATTGAGAAAGAAACATTGGATAGCACTCCTACTAAATATTGAACAGACCTTTTTCAATTATGAAATTTTTCTTGACCAACCTCTCTCCGATTTGAAAAATCAATACTATTATTAATGGCAACCTTGCATATAAGAATCTAAAAAGGATCTCATAATTGCTAATTCATTCAATATAAAGCTCTCTGTTTCAAAGTGAAAATAACTATAATAATTGCTTGAATCTCTTCTTCTAATTTAATATCTTACTATATATTCAGAATATTATCTAAATGCTTTTTATCTTAATTCACTCTCTTTGCATTGCCCCTTCAAAAATATATAGTAATCACATTAAAACCATTGTCATTTATGATTTAGCAATCTATTTTTTTGAAAGTTTCCATTAATAAAACTTTTATGTCTTTTGATATAAAATTGCTTAATATCTAATGCAATTAAATCTCTTATTGCTTCATTTTATTGAAGAAATAACTATATTTATTTAGTATAATTGTGAATGCAAAAAAACTGAAAAATTAAAATAAGCTCTTCACATATCTACATTATTTTTTGAAATATTCTGTATTTTTAAATTAAAGACATTAAAGTAGAATTACAAACATCATTTAAAATATAAAAGATTAATATTTTATAATATATATAATGTAAAAAAAGTCAAATTAAGTCATCAATATCTTGTATTGAAAATTCTAATTGTTATTAGCAACCCACATTTTGAAATTATTATAATAATCTTTAGAACAGACTAATTCTTAATTGCTTAGCTTTTTATGATTTTATTAATGGCTACTCAAATTCCTTATCGTCTAACAAGATAAAGACTTTGCTTTTGAGAATGCAAGAGATGCATTAAGGTTCTATAATCTTAGTTGATTAATCAACAATGCAATAATCGAAGGATTAGGATTACAAAATATCAGTACAATATTAACAAGATGAGAAATAAAATTGTTTATCTTCTAATTTCTTTTCAACTTCTGGTATATCCTTACAATTTTTAAACGAAAAAGAATATTTCTAATAATGTTCTGGAATTTTATCTTTTTCTCCTTGCAATCTCAAAACCCATTAACCTTCATTAGGAAAAGTATCAACAAAATCTTTAATTTAATCATCTACGACCTCTTGATCAGCAGCACAATACAATACTTTTTTATTTGTGTATCCTAATAAAAACAACAAATGACTCAACATTTTTCTCTTGCCATAACTACCTGATATCAAAGCAAAATCTTCAGCCAATAAACATAATTGAATAGCTTTTATTTAAAATTCATTTAAGTTTTTCTAAAACTTTTCCATGAGAATTGCATTAGCAACTTTTTAATTATCGTCCATTTCAGTAACCAGTCTGAATTTAGGTTCCATGCCAAAAATAAGTATCTCCTTTTTCCTTTAATAAATTTCCTTATTAGTTGCCAATTCAAAAATGATAAATTTAAAATGCTTAAAAGGATTCTTCTAGTATAATTTATGAATCAATTCATCATTGATTTGTAAATGATCTCCTAATTAGTCTATTTGTTCATATTCCAAGAAAATCTCCAAACCAATGGCGTAATCAAAATTTTGTTCATCCACTTCAATTTCTTCCACATCTGTTTAATTTTCAATTAAATTAATTATCTAAGTCCCCTAAACTAGCCATGCATTCTGAAAGTTGTACTTAACATTTTTTTATGTTCTAATACAAAAAAGATTTATCTTTGTTTTATCTTAAAAACACTATTTCAAAATTTCATTAGCTTATTATTTGAGATAATAATTTTTGGATTACAATGTTACTTGAATTCCAGTTTAGCAACTCTTTGTTGCTTAAATATAATATGTAGCTTAAGGGATGAGTATGGTTTATTCCTCTTACCTAATATTCTTCAACATCTCATTTAAATACTCCTTTGATTTTGATTGCAATTATTAATTAATATTATCGTAATATGGATTCTAAACAGTTAACTCTGATTACTCAGTTAAAATATGTAATCCATAACAAACAGATTTATCATCGCATTTCTCACATTTAAAATTAAGATCCCGTTCACTTCTAAGTTCATCTTTTAAATCAGGAAGTTTAGAATAACAATCCTTAGGTTTTTCAAACATGTAAGTTTCTGATATATATAAATTCCTATAAAAGAATAAATCGTTTATATCCATTTAATCACATGTAACAACTTCAAGTTCCAACTTGTTTAAGTACAATAATAATCCAAACTAACTCTACTATTTATAAAAGTTATTCATTAATAGTAGATAAGTTTGGACCTACAAATGATATGACTATTTCTTTGAGCCAGTTTTCAATTCTATAGGAATATAGCAAATTTAACATTCCTTAGAATTCTTACGAAATTCGACTTACACTACAACATCTATAAATCCTTTTAATCCATAAACCGAAGATGATATTAATTATTCGTTACTAACCCATTTCAAGATTTTAATTTTGAATACATCCGAACTTTTTTATTATTTTAAACTTATTGGCTACTACTTAATTACAAATTATTGTATCCATCTAAGTGTATTAACACACTTTGGAATGATATTAATTAACATTTCTCTTACTGTTTTTTTCTCTAAATGGTAAAATTCTTATATATATTTAGAATATAACTGACTTATTGGTTGCAAAAATGATTAAGGTAAATTCTCCACTACTAACTATTATAAGTCTTTTTAATGTTCATCAAGTTATTCAATATTTTCAAATAATGAATCATAGCTTTTGACATCCATAATAATGTTTTAAAAAAAATCATGAAGAATCTTACCACTAAGCATTTCTAGAGTAGTTCCAAAGCATTGGTTTTGAAAAAATTCTCTAGTAAACTATTTCCTTCTGCAAAAGTCTAGACCATTCAAAATTGATGGAGCTACTAATGTTTCAGGTTCTAAAGTAAATGAATTTTTATTTTGAATTTTTTATGTGAAGATTATTGCTCGTGAATCTATAAATTCACCATTTACTCTAATTTACATTCCCTTTCTAATTTGCTTTAGATTATTGTAATGGTCAAATAGAAATATCTCTATAGTTTTTTGATTGTCCCCAAAGTTAAATTTTTCGCACGCCAAAATTAATAAAAAATGGGAAGTTGGTTATTTCTAAATTCTTTTAAATATTGATAATATGTAGGAATCTATCTCAACTTAATTCGAGTTTAAGACATCCTTTACAATTAAATTGTAATTTGCATTCGACATACAATTTTCATTATTAATTAAGTTTTCTCGATTAACAACCTACGGTTTTTCCTATTATTATAATTTTTTTGTTGGCCTATTATCCTCTCTTAAAAACTCTTCCAACTCTGCATCAAAATTAGAAATTTTTTAAAACATTTTATGTAAAAATAAATAATTAACCGCCAAAAGTCCATAGCTTTAGACATAAATTATGACAAAATTTCAGTAATAGAAAATTGAAAATTCTTAAAACTCAAATTCCAAATATTTATTGTTGCTTAAGAACTCAATAATCTAATACTTTAGATGGCCTATTGATTAAATATTACAAGTATTCTGTTATTTAGATATTTAATAATCTTATAAGAATTTTATGTATTGCTATCAGATTATTAGAAACTTAATATTTCATATACTTAAATAGCAAATGGTATGTGTAATAATAAAATAAATTGAAATACTATCAAGATATAACACTAGAATGTAGATGCGTATCCTATTAGGGATGATTGAATTAATTAAAAGTAAAGAAACCTATAGCTAGCAAATACTTGTTCTTATTTTTGAATTACATTTCACAAGGATTTAATTAAAATTTATGATAAACTCCTTCAAGATTAATATTAATTTGCATTCACTTTATAATATTAAAAACTTTATTAATAATTATGAAAGTATAATGAAGTTGTGAAGATAGTGAATCCTCCTTTCACAGCCCTCATTAATTTATCAATTTAGCAATTTAATTTCACAATAGATAATTGAATTCTGAAAACTAAATTGAAAAATTTTTTGAAATTCCAACCATAAAATCTGCTGAAATAATGTGATTAAAAATGATTAAATATATACAAATATATTTAAAAAATAATTTTGTCAAAGTTTCAATTAAGTTAAATTTTACGAAATCATTTTAGAAAGTCATTAGATTCTTAATCACATTTCATGTGTTATTTTTACAGTTTTTTGGCATACTTGCAAACAGATATTATATTAATTTTATTACATCAACAACCCCTTTGATAAATTAAGTATTTAATTTGCACAAATTTCATAAAAAGAAGATTTGGGATTTAACTCTAAGCACTTGTATCACCTTTTAAGTGTTTTGAAATTGAGAATCTCATGGTCCATTGATTAATTTTTATAAAAATATATTTTTCACTTTTTCTTTTATACTTCCAAATTTTCTAGTATTAAGGATTATACCTCAGGTGAATTAGAATATAAGACTAAAGCAAATTTGCCTTGAGGAAAATTTGAGGATTACTAAAATAAGAATGATAATAAACCTCTGTTATCTATAGTTTTTTAAATTCTCCTTTTCCTTTAAATTACAATTTGGTCTTTCCCACCAAAATAGGCTTTCCTTAGGAATTGACTGTGATTTCTTTAGGAAATTTATCAGCTGAAAATCTTCATTAATGGAATAGGATACAATTTAATGTAGACAGTGTATTCTTCATTTTTTGCCAAATTGCCAGAATAATCTCTTAAGGAAACAGAAAGTGTGAAATCAGATTTGCATTATAAGTTTTAAATTTCCTTCTCCAGATGAATAAAAATCGTTGCTTCTTCGTTGCTATACAACTTGTATAGGTTCTTATTTCTTAATCTTGTCTTTTATTTAAAGTTCTCTAAACAATTCTAAACTGATTTGAGTCCCATGGATAAGTTATGGATCTGAAGACTTTAGGATGATAGCATATCTTCAAGCATTTTGAAATTCAAATCTTTCTACTTATCGAGAAATTCTTACAATTCTTACATTAATAATCATAATGATTAAGACATTGCCTTTGTTGCTTCTACTTACAATATGTTTATCTGAAGATACACCAGTAGCAAGATTTGCATATGGAAATATGAATTTACTGCCAAGATAAAGAGCTCCTTTCTTTAGTGCTATAGCAGTCACTCCAGATTTGAAATTCCAGAAGATATCCCTCTCTGATTATTCGGGAAAGTATATAGTCTTGCTATTTTACCCATTTGATTTCACTTACGTATGTCCCACAGAGTTGGTTGCCTTTTCAAATGCAATTGATTAATTCAGAGCATTGGGAGCAGAAATTTTAGGTATTTCTACAGATTCCCATTTCACTCATTTGGCATGGTTGAAAACACCAAGAAATCAAGGAGGAGTTGGTGATCTCTAAATCCCATTGTTGGCAGATATCTCAAAGAAGATATCAAAAGCATATGGTGTTTTGGTTGAAGATGAATTGGATGAATTATACGGTGCTTCATTAAGAGGATTGTTTATTATCGACAAAAAAGGATTAGTGAGAACAATGCAAATAAATGATGCTCCAGTAGGAAGATCAGTTGAAGAAACCTTAAGATTGATTTAAGCATTTTAATATACAGATACTCATGGTGAAGTATGCCCTGCCAATTGGAAACCTGGACAAAGAACTATTGTTCCAGATCAAGATAAAAAGGCTGAATATTTTGCAAAAAGTGAATTATGATCATATATATCAGGTTAATTCAACCAATAAGGCTTTTTTAAAGTTATATTCATTTTGTATTTAGATTATTAAATTAGGCAATCATCAAATCTATATCAGAGAAATTCACATTTCTCTCTAAATCTAATGTTCTAAATCTTTAGTCAATCTTGCTTATTGATCTTATTTTTAGGTTTTGGTGCTTCATTATAAACTTCATTATTATAATATGTGAATCTCATCAGCAAATGATAATTTTAATAGAGCATTACATCAACTGTCTAAGTCTATATTATTCTTATAAAAAAGTGTTTAGATTATTGAAGTCCCATATTTTCATCCAAATCATTATTTTTAATTAACTCTAAAGAACTATTTTCCAATCTCTTTAACTCTTTATGCTTTTATTCATCTAATTATATTACTCCAGACTATTTTCTAAAAATTTTATCTCTGTTTCCTTTTATCAGTATTATATTATAATTTACAATATATTTCTCTAATTTATTAAAGTTATTATCGAGATTGCAATTCCTAGATACTTCTTTTAAGATAATGAAAACAACAATTTGGCCTTCAATTCATATATTTAAGTTTCAATTTAATACATTTAATAAATAATTTGAAAATTAATCAATTAAAATAATTCTTAAAAAACGAAAAGAATGAATTCATTTACAATTAGTTCTTAAACCAATTCTAACTATGTATTTAATTGTCTCTAATTATATATGTTGACATACCTCATTCCATTAATAATAATCTAGAAAATTTACTGAACTTTTATGGAGTTTCTAATGAGCTCATGCTTAAATTCGTAAAAAAAATTAATAATATCAGATTAAAATATGTTCTCCAGATTTCGCTAAATTCTTTCTATTCCAAGTATTAACAATAACTTCAGGCTCTTCATTTGGAATTTCAGCCATCTTGAACTATTTCCCTGTTTCTCTATTTAACATCATTTGCTCTCTATCTTTTTGACTTTGTCCTGTTAAGAATAGAAAATTCTTGCAATCAACAAATTTTTTCTTAAGCTTATCCTACAGTTTTTGATTGTATAATGTCATAAGTTTGTTTGTATATAAACTTGATTTTGGAGACTAAGTGGCCTCATTTTCGATTAGTTCTATAATAAATAAAAACTATTTTACTTTTTTCTGAAATAACAGTCTCCAACTATTTAAATGGGTTATCAATAAGTTTTGTATTAAAATTGGCTTAAATATCAGACAACACAAATTATTATTATTGTGCAAGTCTCTCAGCATCGAAATCTGATAAAAAGCGATTCATTAACCTATTTTCAAACTGCTAGCAGCTCTTTGATTTATTTGTTTATGTAAGTAAAGTAAATTAGGGTCTATCGTCTTTGTGATCATACCATCTTAATCTTAGATACCAATATCTACTACTGTTCTTTTCTTCTTCACCTTTACTAAGTTCGATTGCTTAGATCTTTTAGTTTCTTTCCCTGAATTGATCTGCCCTACTCATAATTGTTTATTCTGGTTCCCTTTAACAATTAGACGCCACCTGAATATTAACATTCTCCCACTAAGTCTTCACATTTTCAAACTTTTTCATAGCCCTTTCTTCCCTTGAAATAGCATTTCTTAAATGAAAAGGTAGTTTCTCCTCAGCCTTCTCCCTCTCTATCTAAGCTCCTTAAATGTGTTTTTCAGCATCCTTAACTATTTTATTTAAATCTCTTTTGCTTAAATATTGTTAATCAACTTTATTCTTTTTTGGCGTTTTTCGAGCTTGTTATTTATCTAAAATAATTGATTATGCTTATTGATTGGTTCTGGTTGGAGGTTGTTCATCAAATAATGAATCATCTGTTGTCATTTGATTTGGATTTTATTAATTTTTCTTTATTCTCGAAAAGTTTCTTTGTTTCTCTTGATGAATTTTAAGAAACTAATTATATCCAACAACAGAATATTTGATGACCTTATCCGATTTATCCTTCTCAAATTATGGACCTCCTGTATAATCTATATACTTTTTCCTCTCTTCATTATTTGCCTCTACAATTCACGTATTATTTTACCCTCAAAAATATTCATTGTAGACTGCGTTAAAGCAAATGTATCAACACCTTATTTCAGCACTCTCTTACAGTTATTCTGCTGCTGCATTTGTTCTTGATTTTAAATAAATTATTTAGTCTTATCTCCTAATCCGTATTGAGTCTGATAAAAGTTGCCAGTTTCATTGGATCTAAAAGTACTTGTCTTTGTAGAGTTGTGTATTTAATCCAACATTAAGTCACTTCTGCTTGCTCCCTTCGAATGAAAGAGAATGGGTTATGAAACCAACAAGGTTTTTGTATGTTTTTCTGCTTTAGAAGGATTAATAGGTATTAGCATTTATATATATAATTAATTCAAGTTTTTAATTTCAATATTTTCTCTAAGATCGAATTTTATTCATCGATGGAGGTTTCTTTCTTAAATTGACCCCAAAGTTCCATCCAATGGGTTTATTGATTAACCCCCATAAACACTGGAATCTCTACTTTTTTGACTTCATTAAAACTCTTCTTTCTTTGATGCTACTATTGATAGCTACCACTTTTCCGTTCTTCCTTTGAAACATAGATCGTCTTTAACTACTATTAAATAACAATGTTTAGTTTCCCATATTAATGAATAGATGCCTCTGACATATTTTAAATTTACAGCTAAATTCAATTTTTAAAAAATTTATAGGATTTCGCGCTCAAGAATTTAAGAAAATGACACACATTTTAATTAATGTAAAATAGAGAATCTTTCCTTCCCTATTTATCTTTTTATAATTATTTTCAAAACCACTAGTGAAAGAATTAATAAACTTTATTATTATTATAATTATTTTCCAAACTGCTTTTGAAAGAATTAATTAAACTTTATCATTATTAAAAATTAATTGCATGCCTTTAAAGCCCTAGAAAACAATTAGAGATTACTTAAAAGTAAAACGCAAATTGTTCTTAGACTAACTGAGCCAAATCCTCTCTGAAATTGACCAAAACTATAACATTAAGTTATCAGCCAAATAATTTGTAACACGATACTTTCAATATATACTTGAATGTAATGAGAGAAAACTCAGAGGTGATACAAGTGAGTTTGTCTATGAAATGGGTGATTATTTTAAAGACTTCAATCTGAAATATTTTTTTCCTAAGCAAATTTGGTAATTCAGTGTTACAAGTAATAATCCATTTTATATTCAGAGACCTTGATCAATAGTCTATAAAATGCTTCAGAATTGGATATCCTTCATATCTTTATACTATTAAATTTAGTATTGCAAGGTAAATTTGCTATCTCGTCAGCATCACTTATTGAAGTCCTCCCATATGAAGGAGGGTATACCAAATATCCCTTTGAATATGATTATATGATAGCTTTCAGATACCGCAATCTAGTAAAAATAGTTATCTAAATTATTCCTGTATTGTATCCAATTTTAAATGAAGAAGGTAACCCTAAACATTTTGAATTCCATCATGAACTAATTTTGGTTGGATCGATACCTGATATTTAGAAGGATAACTATTAAGAAATAGATAAGTATTTCAGAAATTAGTAAACCTCCCCTAATTATTTTCCCAATATGAAATTAGTTAAAGAATAGAAAGGAGATGCATAAGTATTAAATGAAATAAAGATTGGTGAGAATCCTAAAAATTGGAAGGATTTGATGCATCCAAGGAAATTTGAACTAATTCTGCTAGATGGTAACGATTATGTGTATAATCCATAATTTAAACGATGGATTTCAGTTTCTACTTAAGATATCTTAAATAAAAAATTATAGAAAATGCAAGCATTTTCAGCTAACCATTATTTGATATAAAAATATAGTAAGTAACCATCAGCATTCTAACTGTTTAAAATAATTTAAAATATTCCAAATTTCAAAGTTAATTTAACAAAAGAGCAATAAGAGATTATATCATTTAATGGAGATGGATTGGTAATTGGTAGAAGTGGCACAGGTAAAACCACTTGTGCTTTACTAAGACTCTTCACGACAGATATTCTATTTAAAATCAGAAGTAAATTGGATTAAATTAATTATTAAACAAGTGAAATATAACTTAATTAATAATAGTAGGATTGCGAATTAAAGACTGTCTTTGTTACAGCCAGTCCCTTATTAGCATGCTAAGTTAAAAGATTATATGATAGATTAATTTCAAGCATTTAGGATGTCATAAATAAGAAAAAAAACAGGCAAAGGAATTAAGTAGACATTCAAGTGTAAGGTGACCAAGATGAAATAGATCAGAGCACTTTTTAAATAATAGATGCAATTAAAAATGATTAAGAACAATAAGAATAACAACAGTAAAATCAAGAAGATGATATTGATGACTAAGACATTGATGAATATGAAAAAGAAATGGGAGAGTATTAAAGATTTTCTGATATCAACCAATTTCCAATATTTTTGACATTGAGAAAGTTTATTTTTTTGGTTGATGGTTCATTAATGAATTCATTTTTCGCTGTTTTCGATAATAAATAGAATAGAGGATCTCAATGGCATAATGAATAATTTGGATAGATGTCCATATCTCAAATTAATGAAGCTATGCAAAAGAAGTTGGAGTAATATAACTAAAAATTGATGGATGAAATTGATAATTCCGATTTTATTCAAACAAAAATGCATGAAGTCACATAAAATGTTTTTGTAAGGATTTTTTGGCCAAAGATAGTAGGTGCCATTAAATCACAGTTTATAACGCTTAAATTTTGTGATCCAATTTTTGTTTGGTCAGAGATTTGCACCAAAATTAAAGGCCACGAAACATCCCATAAGTATCCTGATAAATATATAGATTTTGACAATTACAAAAATTTATCAGGATTAAATAAGGATGAATGTAGTTTTATTTATGAGGCTTTCTAAATTTATGAATAATATAAATATTAATTAGGATATTATGATTTGTTGGACTTGGTAAATCACATTAATTAAGAGTTAGCAAATGGGAATGATTTCATTGAAAATGTTCATTATCTATTGCTTGATGAGTTATAAGATGTGCCAAGAGCAGTATTAATATTGTTAGATCAACTCACAGAACTTGGCTTATTTTGCTGTGGAGATAATGCTTAAAACATAGCTAAAGGGATAGGTTATAGATTTTTCGAAGTTTAAAACTGTTTATTGTCTACTAGAAATGAAAAGAAGAAGACATATAGAAATCTGAAAATATTTGATTTGAGCATCAACTTTAGATCTCATAACCAAATCTTGTAATTAGCCAACTCAGTGATAAGAATGATCGAGATATTCTTTCCACAAAAAATAGATAAACTAAATAAGGAAACATCAAATTTGTAAGGTCCTAAGCCTATTATTATTAAGAGTGATGACGTTGGTTAATTGTTGAATAATCTATGTGATTTCTTCTCTAATGATAAAAACACAGTTGAATTTGGTTGCAATCAAGTCATTATTGTCAAAGATCAGGAATCTAAGACCAGATTGCCTATTGAATTGTAAAATGTCTTATGCTTAACCATCTATGAAGCTAAGGGTTTAGAATTCGATGATGTGATATTATTTAACTTCTTCCATGATTCAACTGCATCCATCGAAGATTGGTAATCTCTTAATGATTTAGAACCGTACTCAGAACATCTAAAGAAGATTGATTATGAAAGATTTATAACAAGTATCAATATCATTAATAACTAGTTCATCAAAATGAAGTAATATAAAGCACTGAAGGGAAGGATAATGAATTAGTATAAGTCTGGTAATTGAAAATGAAAAAAAAAGTTGAGAACTATACAATATCAATTGATTTGTGTTAAGAACTTAAGCAACTTTATGTAGCAATCACGAGACCTAAAAATAGATTAATTATTTTCGATTAATCTTCAGAAAAGAGAAGAAATATTCAAAATATATGGATTCAACTAGATACAGTCAATGTTATTGGCTAATAAGTACAACCAAAGGATGTTATTTTTTAATTAGAATCATAAAATAATAATAAGGAGAACTGGAAAAGGCAGGGTCTTAAAATGTTTAGAATGAATAATTATGACCAAGCAGCAAAAAGTTTCAAATTTGCAGAAGAAAAAGTATTAGAAAAGAAATCTATTGCATATAATATTGTAGCTAATAATGCTCATGTAGTTAATGATAATTTACACCTATTCCAAGAAGCAGCTATGCTTTTTGAAGAAATTGGATTATTTTATAGAGCTGCCTAATGTTATTTCACAGCTAAATAGTTTGAGAAAGCATAAGATTTGTATGAAAAAATAGGTAAAATGAATGAGATGGCTGAATCAGCATACTTTGCTCGCAATTACTCAAAAGCAGCTTAGACTTTTGAAATCCTGGGCGATATTAGAAGAGCTATTGATTGTTATAGATTAATACGAGATTGGGACAATGTTATAATCATATTAAATAAGTACAAAGATCAATTCAGTCAGAAAGAGAGGATGGCATTCTTAAATTAATTCTTTCCTAATTATTTATAAAGTTTAGCTTTGGAGATAGAAGAGACAGGTGTATCATAAAATGAATCCAATCAAGTATAAGAAATCTAAGAAACTAATACATAAGGCGAATTAGTTTTAAATCAATCAGATAGTTTCACAATCCAGAATTCAGTACTTAATAGATCTGAAAATTAAGGGGATTCTTAATTAGTTAGTGATTAAATCAATAATTAGAATCAAAATGAATCTAGTTTGGAGATATTAAATATTGAATAGGATGAGCAATCTCAATCATAATCATTTTAGATTGAAAATCAAGATGAGAATGAATAAAATATGGATCATTTGTCTATTTTTGATCCTGATGATGAATGGTTGCTATAAGATTAGAAATCATTGATCAAATCAATGTCATCTAAGATCAGTCATCAATCAGAATTCTCAAACATTATACTTTTGAATCAACCACCTCAAATATCTTTGTTAAAGTAAAAAAGCAATATATTTATTTCAAATAAAGTATTGTAGAAATTGATTAAAAAATCACAATTATTCTCTTAGGAATTTAGGAATCACTTAGAGTCATAAAAATGCAAGCAAGTTTAATTATCTAATAGAAAGGATGATGATAAAGAGTTTGATCACATGATCAACTTTGTTTATGATTTGGAAAACATTGATATAGATTCAATTTATATGATTTTGGATATTTTGGAGTAATTTAAGAGTTATAAATTGTGTATTTACTTATGCAATTACTTTAAATTAGCTTCATATCTAGGAAGATATGTAGTTTCCTTAACCTCCAGCTATTCTCCATTGACGAAAAATAAATCGTCAGTTTATATTTAGATGATTACTTTGGGATCTTACAGAAGGAATCTACTTGAATAATCAGCTTTATCTTAAATAGCATTTGATAATATAATCGAAACAATTAATCCGATATTCTCAACATTTAAATATGAAGAAGAACTAAATCTTTGTAATAGTTTAGGATTGAATTTTTATTAAGAACTAATAGGATTAGGTTTTTGGAAGGCATTAATATATTCATTAAACTATAGGCATTCCATGGATTTGTGTATGTCTTTTAACAACTTTTCAGATGCTATTGAAATATTTAAGAAAATGAAGTAACACAAAAAATCAGAATTATCAGAGGAGGAATAATTTAGATTAAGAAAAATTTAGTATTATCAATTTATTAAATCAATTAAAAGTTAGTAGGATAAGGTAGTTGATTTTACAAATACCCTTGATGACGTTTTTTAGATCACAAAGAACTATTATATGAAAAAACAAAAAGAAATAAACGAAGTTGATTTGGATTAATTAATAATTAATGCTAATATCAGTAAGAAAAACTTGACTTTTAATGAGCAACTAAAATAAATAGAGGCGATAATATTAAGTTTTGATATCCTTAAATCAATTAGAGATTTCTCATATGAGAATTTTGTAGGATTATTTTAACTACTGGAATATTTCCATGATAAGTTGATTTCTTATCAAAATTAAGAGAATATCAATGAAGCATTATTATTTTGCTATGGAATCTCAATTCCAAAGGGGGATATTATGAGTCATTATTCTCATTCTTTATTCATACACATATCATCGAAACTTATTAAACAAGTAGTAAAAGAAACTCATAATAAGGATAATGCTTAGAAATAACCAAATTGCTTAACTTTTGTAGATATTGGATATGAGTATATTTCTATTCCATTTGAACAAGCTATTGAAGAAATAAAAATCTCTTTTTTTTAGAGGATTTAGCAGATGTTGAACCATTAATCATAAAGGCTAAAGGAATTTTATAAAGTCCATGATGATGAATTTTTTTCATTGAGTTCCCAAGAATATTGGGAAGATACATTAGCAGAGCTCTTAGTATTTGTAATGCTGGAATAATCTATTAAAAAGCTTTAAAGCAAGATTAAATAGAAAAAAGAAGTGCAACCCATTTCTATTCATTATTCAAAATAGATGGAATCATAAGATAATTCAATAGTTGATTCTGAGACATCCTAGACTCTACAACTGATATAGCGGATTATATTGAAAAATAATTTTAGAATAATTGAAACTCCTAATTATATCAAAAGTATCGTTCGCGAGATTTCCTTAGGTTTGATTTTGCGTAAACAAGATAGGAATCATTCCAATATGATAATGGCAATTAACTTATTAAATTTGACTGATTAATTATCTTTTGGAGTTTTGATCTTTTCAAGTTAGAAAAAAGGATATGAAGTTTTTTTGCCATATCTCAAATATATTGAGTTTCTTGAATGCTAGCATTTTGGTATTATTGAGGATTCCGCAGGATGTTTTTTAGATTATAGTTAATATGTAATGGAAAAGTTTTATTTAGATGAACAATTATGTCATGTAATTAGAATAGGTTTAAATATTCTAGTTTCTTTATTGTGTTACAGTTAATAGAAATTAACAATATTGAAAGGCTATAAAGATTATTTAAATAAGATTGAGAATGTTGATGAACAATGTTGTAAATTAGAGGTTGGAGTATTCCAAATAAACAATTAATAAGTAATATTGGAATATTTAGAGTATCTATTTGAATTTTACTAATACTGTTGTTCAAATTATTACTAGGATAAAATCAAATAATTTTTGTTTATATTCGCTATAAATCTTCTAAATACCCAATAGGTTAAGGTTATAAAGAGCCTTATTTAATACTTGTAATAAGACGAAAAACTAAAAGCCTTTAAGAGATTACAGGATACTTTGGCTAAAGAATTGTCAGGAAATAAGAAGGAAGTTTAACATAAGAAAAATATATTAATATCTCATTTAAGTTATTTAGAGGAAGATATAGTAGAAGTCGAAATTGTAAATATCAAATCTGGGTAACAGTTGGATTAATAATATGATAAATGTATTTAGATATGGAATGATTATCAAGATAATTCAAACTCTAAGATGGACTGCATGAAATAGTTGATTAATAAGTGGAATGGGTATAGAAAGAATCATAAAATAAATCTGACTGAGTAGATAAAGTAGAATTTACAGTTTTGGAGAAGTTTACAATATTATAAGATAGGATATGATAGACATCAATGTTTGAGGACATGTGTAAATTTAAGGGACTTAAACAGAAATATGAAAAAGCACATTTCCAATTTTAATGAAGATTTACAATTGAGTGTATCTTTATAGAGGTAATAAGTAATTATATATGTAGACAATTATTAAAGGAAAGATAAAATTATATTAACTCTTTTGATATCCACCTATTAAATTCATTTTTGAATGATTTGGGAGAATATTTGAAAGAATTGTTTAGGGGAGAGGACGTGCATACAAAGGTGAAATAACTGGAAGTTGAGTTTAGAAATTGGAAGGAGAATAAAGAAGAGGATGGGACGTATTAAAAGATGATGGAATTGAATAGGTAGTTGATAGTTTAGAAGTGGAAGAATTTAAAGGGTGGAGTGAAGGTACATCATAAGGGGAGGAGGGATCAATTGACAACGATATAGGAAGAAGTTACGGATGAATTTTAATAATGATTTGGAGATGATTGATATATTAAGAAAGGGAAATTAAAATATATATATTTAAATAATGTTTCTTGGTCTATTGTGCATTACATATTCAGTTTTGGCAAATTAACCAATAGAGATTGGGGAGACTATTAACAAGTAATCGATTAGAAATACGTTATTTTAGTGCTATAATGCCGTGGCACGGAAATGCCAAATATGAATTATACTAGTTCGAGTTGAAGGAGGTGAAATAGGATGCGGATTTGGTGGTGGTGGTGAAACAATTGTCTGCCTTGGGGAATCCGGACATTTACATATCTACAACGGTAACAGAGCCTAATGAGCATACGGCTGAGTATATATGTGACTCAATTGGGATGGGTATGAAATTTAGTAAATTGATAGATATATGTGTGATTGATAATGCAAAGAAGGGTCCGTATTATTTGACAGTGCATTGCGAAGGCTATTGCAGATATGCTTTGAAGGTGGTTTATCAATCGGAACTATTGATGACGAATTGTAAATATCCCAATGTTCATTATTTTAGCTGACGACTTAGAATTCAAGTATGATAGCAAGGCTTGGACAGACGTAGTCAGAATTGAAACAAAGAACCTGAGTTGGGAGGAAACTCAGATGAAACCAACATTGGAGATTCAAGTACGAGTGAAGAATATGGAAATATTATAAGAATCCTTTAAATCATATTTAAATATAGGTGATTAGAAGCCTACGCCACAGAAATCTGACTTTGTTGGACAAGATACTTTCTCAGGAATGCAGAAATTCAAGATTCATAATTTGGAATCTAACAGCAAGTTCACATTGCTTGTGGAAGGTCAAGAAGGGGCAATCATTTAGATTCAAACCAGAACCTACGGAACCATTCGTTATATGTAAGTGGGAGACAAAGTTGAAGACATAGTTGCTGAGGATGACTACTAGTTCTATTGCATAGATCTTACTTAAGATTCTAAGGGAATTGCACTTGGCCAAACAGTCTTAAATATTCAACTCCTCCCTTTTAAAGGGTATACTGAAATGTATGTTAATTTGGATTTCCAACCCCCATTCTTGGATTAGTATTATTGGCAATTGAAGGACAGAATAACTGATGATCTGGTGATCACGAAGACAGATCTAAGTAAGGCCAATGCAAAAGGAAATTATGCATATGTGGCAGTGAGAGGAAAGGAATCAAATGCCACATTTGAATTGAAATCCTAAGTCCTAGATCCCAATCTCATGCTCCTAGAACTCAACAAGCCCACAACTGCTAAATTGTAAAAGACTAATCAAATACAATACAAGTTCTATGTTAGACACAGTAAAAAACAAACGGTTAGTGTGAGTTTGAAGAATCTCAAGGGTGATGCTGATATTATTGTAAAGCAATGTGAGAATCTGTGGATGTGTACCATACAATAAGATGAAATCCATGATAAGGAGTAAAGAGTGGTCACCAAACCTGGAAAATTGTTTTTGTATTCAGACAAGTAATTTCTCATTTGATATAATCATAGTCCTGGCAATGACATCATTGTGTTTGATAATGATCCAGAGATGTGTTAAAAGTATGAGAATACATATCAATGTTTTTATGATGTGGTTATATATCCTGGACCTAAAAATGATCAAGACGAACTTATTTACTCAATACTCATAACCACAAAGGGAGAATAGATCATTTTAAGAGAAAACACTCCACTGAAATAGTACGTAGGATTGGGCTTAAATAATTACTATAAATTCATAGTTGAAGAGTAAGATTATATTAGAAGAATGATGATTCAAATTACACCCATCTAAGGACAACCAAAACTGTTTGCATCCTAAACTACCCAGAATCCCACCTAACAAGATAAGTAGGCTGTGCAAAATGTCATCACTTATGGATAATTTGGGTAGTAGGGTGACTAAGAACCGATAAAAGGAACCTATTACATAGCTGTCAATGGGTACACAGCATGTCAATATATCATCACAGTGTATGTGTTTAGAAACAGGGGAGACTGGAGTTAGATTGGCAAATTTCCTCATCAATACATATTGCTATTAGATGGATATCCCTAAGAAATTACTTCCTAGAACAATACTGATGTCTGGTTATTTAAGATCGACTTGAGTGCTTATGACAATCCTGAACAGCTAATGCACTATGGTGTTGATGTTAAACTCAGAGTCATTCAAGGAAGCTTCTTAATGTATGGGTTTGATCGTCCTAATGTGAACAAGAGCTAAGCATTCTTGAATGGCTCTGATTTCTTATCCCTCAACACGTTAAGCAAAATCTATCCTCAATATTTGTATATCAGAGTGGAACCAAATCCAGTGATTTCCACAAATCAATTATCATTCCAAATTTATTATAGAATCAACAATCAACCAATTGAATTGATTTTAGGCGATAATTACAGAGGTTACATATCTAAAGATGATACCTAATAATTCGTACTCAGCTACTTCACAAATGATGAATTGGTGATAACAAAGAATGCTGAATACATGGATTAATCAGTTTTAAAGGCAAGGGTTTACTATGGTAATTTTGATCAAGACATGACGACCTCGAGTTTCTTATTAAAGAGTGAGGACTTAAACTTTGAGAAATGTAAAACAAATGCCACAGAAATCATTAAGTGTCAAATTACAATTTTCATCTCTGCAAAAGTCGACACTTATTTCTCTTTGTTGATTACCAAAGAAGCCTCTGTCGTTTTCTTGTATGATGGTGAACCAGTCACAAAACAACTCTAAAATAAAAAAGATCACTTTTTATTCTATTTGACTGATCAAGAAACTGAAATATCCGTATTTTCCATATCAGGAGAAGTCAAAATATTGGTTCAATTCTTTGAGTAATAACCTAAATTGGAACAATTTCCAACCAATAATTTGGATGCTGCAATTCAATCCTTAGATGATTCGAATGATATTGGCAGTTCAATCTTCATATCCAATGAGCATCTTGAATTAAAATAATGCAAAGAGAAAGGATGCTATATAGCTGTGACCTGCATCAAGGATCCAAAATATGATGCTAAAGGATAATACGTCATCACCAGATCCTCAAGCTATACAGTCCTATATCCATCCATCATATATTACGGTGAGGCTGAGAACTTGAAGATGAAATATTTCAAAATCTCCAATGTCTCACTGTCACATGGACTCATGGTCGTAGTGTCTCCCTTAAGTTAAGGCAGTTTAATAGTTCTAGCCAGCAGAAACGAGATGCCCACTTTAGACACTTATTAATACTCCTCTAATTCTATGTTAGGAGACCAACTCGTCATTCAGGCTTAAGAGGATGAATCTAAGTCAGTTAATTACTAGTAAACCTATTTATTTATTATTTTAGTGTGGGTGTTTATGCATTTGATAATGTGAAGTTTTCAATCCAAATCAATATTGGAAATCTTCACTTTTATCAGCTCAAAAAAGGAATACCTATGAACTTCTACGCTGAATACAATTCATTCACCTACCTTAATTACTACCATTCTCAAGACTCTGAATTCACTATCTTGTTCAGCTCCAATCTTGTGACTCAATACAATAGAGCAAATGTTCATGTGTACACCTATAAAGACATGTCAATGTAGGCAGATGCCATTCAAAAAGTTCAATAGGAGTAATTTATTTAAAAATACTTATAGCCCAATGTGGAAAATGGCTGATTACTTCTTAACAATCAAAAAGGATATCAAGTACTGTTCATCATGTTATTATTTGATCTGTGTTCAGAACTTCAATGTAAATAATGATATTTCGATAACTATATAATTGGAAAACGAATCAACTTAAATGTTAGACAACGTGGAAATTACCAATCAAATTTAGCCCAACAAACCCCATTATTATCATTACATAGTCGAAGATGACTTTTATTTGAATGCCACCATCTTTGAAGGCAAAGTCTAAATCTTAGGAGGGTTCCATAAGCATTTATCAGAAATCGAGTATCCCTTGCTTACTCTAGATGTAAATGAGGGTCTTACTGATAAAAATGGTCAAGTAATTGGATACTCCTACAGCGAAGGAAAATTCCCTAACAAAACCATTAAAGTCAATAAGGATAACTCTGAGAATCCAAAATATCTTTATAGATTCAAAATCGTCTCCAGCTCTGTGTCTACCTATAAGATTGAGTGCATCCAATAAAGATAAGCAATCGAACTCAAAGTTGGAGAACCCCAAAGCCACGAACTCAATTCAACACATACCGTTCCATTCTATTTTGTAATTCCTGAAAGAGCCTACGACAACTCAAATGAAGGCTTCTACACATTAGATATTGAAACCTATGGCCACTCACAAGCAAGAATCAGCGAGAAGACTTAACATCCCAATATCAAATTAACTTAAGATCTCTATAGCAATCCAAATTTCCTTAGTGAAAATCACAACTTCTAGGATGTTCAATTCATTAGACACAATCAAACAGATCAAATAATCCATTTCGAATTTCCAAACACTCCAGGACTGTATTTCCTACAAATCAGTCCTAGAGAAGCCTCAAATCTCCCCTATACCGTTACCTTGGGAAATGATTTCCTAAATATTTTGGCACCAAAACTCTCGAGATTTGCCTCCAATAGGATTGGGTAACAAAGATTCTGGGAATTGAATTTGTACAAACCTTCCAAAGTTCTCATTCAGGCCTAATTATGCGGTGGAATCATAAGTGTTTATGGAAGTGAGAACCTTGAAAACTTGCAAAGAGGATCATATTCCTAAAAAATGGACTATAAACATAACAAATAGATTATTGGAACCATACCAATTTCATCATCTGGCCCCTATTACTTGAGCACCAAGGCTGTTAAGAGCATGATTCCTTATAAGGATTACGTGGATTACATCCTGAAAGTGAATGTACTTCAACCAAGCAGTGTGGTACCACATGAGCACTTTGAACCTGGAGATGGAGGTGAATTCACAGCACATTACGATGGATCGAATATCACTATCTTTTTTAGTCCCATTCAAGTTTCTGAGCAATCCAGTTCTGAGTACAAGATCTAGAGTTTCTCATACAATTTTATTTACAAGTTGTATAATTAGTCAAGTGAAGAAATTCCCTTTTATCACTGCGATTCTTCAATAAGCTTCCCTTCCATATCGTTTAACAAAGAACCTCATTAACGTCTTAAGGAATTGAATCACGAATTCTATGTTGGCAAAGACTTCGAGAAGATATCTCTCAGCATTTTAGCTAAAGGTACTTATATCACTTATTACGCTAATTAGTCAGAGTAACTACAAACAATTTTGAAGAATTGAAGCTGTATTATTATTATGACACACTTTCTATGAAGGTGGATAATATTATATTGAGGTCCAATCCAAAAGCATATAGAAGAGGAATCATTTTCGGAATTATCACAATTCTGTTAATAGCAATTATCTGGTTATTTATAAGAAACAGAAAATTAAAATAATTGTATTATAAGTTTTTATAAAATTAGAATACAATTTGAATCTTCCTAATAAGGAACTCAACATTTAGTAAGGCAGGAGCAATCAATTGAAATGAATTATGCAAATTTACGTTGATAAGTGTGATATATTATATATGATGATGAATTGTTATATTTATACATTCGGAATATCAAGAACTTCCTATATTTCAGCTGAGTATGAATTCAAATAACTATCATTTAATTTTTGAATACTCAAACTCTTCTTACTTCTATAATAAATAGGTGTTATAATAAGCATTGATTTTAGGAGTAAATTTTAAATAAGATTCCACACACTATAATAAGCGAGGAGAAGATTGATTATTTTTATTATTTTCTCTTTATAAATTGAAATTAATGAGCCTTAGAGACTTCAACTGTATTACGATATCTGCATGTAAGTTTTGGGAAAATTAACTCAAAACACCAAAAAAAGAAGAGGAATCTACAGTATGCAGTGTGCAAAACCCACCTTAACCATCTATACTGGAAGTTTCGGCATAGAAGTGTGAGGAATACTTATTTGGAGGAGAAGAGAAAATTTAGCCTGTTGCTGAATCTATAGACGGTGATGAATAATTGGTTGAGTAAGATAGATAGCCAAAGGATGACAGTTTCTCTTAGATGTCCGAGAAGGAGAGTCGAAAAGAGAGTAGGAAGTCTAAATCCACTTCCACAAAGAGGAAAGGTTAGTTTTAAGTTTAATTGAAGGAAAGAAGAGATTTTCAATCCAATAGAATCACCTCATTATGGAAAATATAAGGAAAGGCTCTAATTTTAATGAGATTGCGCAGTAGATTCCAGGAAGCACTATAAGTTCAATCAAGAGGTAGTTCATAAAAAAGCTTCGAGTTGTAAATGAGGAATCTGAGGATGGAGAGATTGTAAATACCATGAATCGGATACAAAGGTTGCTAGAGTAAATGAATTTACTAAATATAGAGACCAGAGTATGGACAGAGAAGAAAAAATAAGAGAACTCAAGATACTGATTTCAAATATCGAGAATCATTTGCACATAACTAAACAATTAATTCTAAAGAAATACTTAACCTTATTTCAATAAGAGTGATGATCTTTCATACATTTCCAAAATTTCTAAAACTAACAATAACTAATTCAATCCTAACACTCACACCTTTCAAAGTCCTAATTATTATTTTTAACAATTTATCCATTCCTTCATCTTCCCTCTCATTTTCATTTCCATCCTCCTCCTCCCCTCTTTTAATCTTAAAAAACCTCTCTTCTCTTTTAAATGTCAACCAAAGTCTCCAATTCCACAATGCGTTTATATGAAAATACTATGAACTATCTAAATTAATGTTTAGAATAATACTGAATTTATAATTTAACTCTATTCAATCCTTCAATATTTCTCCTCATTTCTTAATCCAGACTCTTCTCCTCATGTATCTCTCCTTTAATCTGCTATGAAAATCCTTGAGCATTGATTACAATTCTCAAATAATATTTATATAGTCATTATTAAATATTTCATAAGTACTTCCTGTATATCCTTTAAAGTTTCTTATGAATGCTTAACTAATTTCATGTATAATTTACTCATTTGATCAAATATTGTCACTAGTACTCATACTTACTATAAGCTTTCCTATAAATTAACAAATTGTTTTAATTTCTTATCATATTTATAAGGAGACTATAAGACATATTCCATATAACCCTTTGCATTACTTTGGACACTATTTAGCGGTTTCATCTCCTTGGAGTATCTTAGTAGTTTCCGAATCTAACCCTTAAGACAAGATATGTTTTGAGTCTGATATACTTTTAATTGATAGGTCCCTCGTTCTAACCAAGATCCAGACCGTATAATCCCGTTTATTTTACTTGCCTAAGTTGAAATTTCATTTTCAAGTTATAAATAATCATATAAACTATTAATTCAATTCTTTATATTCTATTTTTCTCAACAATTACAAAATTTTAGTCATAAGATAATATTTATTATAATATATGGATGCATAAAGATTATTTATATGATAATTTTAGTGGATTGTGAATTAATAGCAATAAAGTAGTTAACATTGTTATTTTAATTAAATCAAGTATTCCTGAGTTTCCGTATTTTTTATAATTTGTACACAATGTCCTCCAGCCCCAGTTATTTGGGCGTCTCCTGCACTCTATCTGATTGTAATGAAAGATTTCTGATTCTCAGATGTTAGTTAGCTTGGGATTTGAATAGTTAGTCATAAGCTTTGTGATCAAACTTTGTTAATGGAGCCACAAGTAATGGATCAAGTCTTCGATAAAGTGCTGTGCGTTTTCTTTCTAAAAATAGGCTTGGAGGTTAATAAATAGTTTGTTTCCACTTCTCCATATTAATATTATTAATACTTATACACATTAATTCAACTTAAAACAAATGAATCATTTTAATTGAATTTCAAAATTACAAGATACTAGACTTTCGCTTTGTTGTTTAAGCATTATTTATCGTCAATTATGATCTCTTAAAATAACTGATAAATACTCTTGTTATATATCGAATGTAAAATGTATATATATTTTAAACAAACTTTATTAATAATTTCCTCAGAAAGAGTATATATTATTAAGATTCTTAAAAGCTATTGATACAAATTGAAATCAATCAAATATTTTGATGAGCACTCTTATTTCTTGTGATGTTTCTTCTGTGTCTTCTATGTCTCAATCTGACTAGTTCCTCCTCCTCCTCTTCGCATATTTCTTGAACTTGCAAGAATTGTGGTGACTATATCTCTAATTTTTATTCCTAATCTAATTCTCTGATTTCATCAAAATTAAATGAATAATTGAGCTAGAATATAAATTCATTTTACATTGGGATCGCTCCTTTGATGACAAGAAGTGCTTCTAATCATGCTGCTTTTACGAGAGGCTGGTTTTCGAATAGAATTGCGTATCTTCAACACATTAGTAGGCGAAATGAAACCTGGGGTTTTGGTACCATCATCTTGAAAAGAGTCAGTAAGAGGATTGAAGCAAGGGGAACCTTCAAAATATTCTTACTTCTCCCACATCTCTTTAAGAACCTAAGTAAATCTAGTAAATTCATCCTCCTTAGGTTACTAAATAGATATCGAACCATAAAATTCAATCAATTGTTTTTTTGATTAAAGAGTCGGATTGATGAGATTATGTTTTTCTTTGACATAATAGAATGCTTTTTCGTATTTCCAACCTTGGCTAATGAGATATGCAATTGCAATAGTGGGTGCTCCTTACAATCCGTTATTACAGACTACAAGAATAGATGATAATTTCAATCCATTCTAGATCAATTCACAAATATTTTAAAGTTATTGTGTAGATTTGTCATCTTATAAAAATACTTACTAAATGCTAAGATTGAAGAATTACATAGTATCGCGCAAAATCAGTGTAATGTTTTGAAGGACTCTTATCCACACAAATAATAGTCCTAATATTTCTCGATCGGAGAATATTCAGTTGATCAGCCTAATGGATGTTTGACATATATAAGGAATGAAATTTATCGCTGATTATGTGATAAACCTATGCTGAATTCATTTTGATAATAATAAAATATGAACATTAATAACTAGTTACTAAAGATCGTACAGGATGTATTGATTATCCAATATCTCTAGATTCAATTAACAATTAAGAGTGATTTCGATCTTAAACCCAACCTTGATGAGTTGATCACAATATTGAGATAATAAGTGACTATTCTGATTGAGTTGGTACAATAATAAAAGAGTGTTGATTATGATTAATTGGAGAAAGCAGTCCAGAAGGCTGAAGCTGAAATTCGAAACCATGTGAGAGTAATAGTGCAATTCCTACCAATTTAGGTTGAATAGTAAATGAAGTTATATTCGGACAGTCTCTAAGAGAAGATTGATTAATTGGAAAGGGAAAAACAGGAATTGATTGACAAGGTATCCCATCATTCTACTAATCCCTAAGAATAAGACCCTGATTTAAAGTCAGGAACGAAAGATCTCTTCACAAAATGCTACCAGAGAATCGAGTCCTAGTTTATTCAAGAAGTCCTACATCTTAGGCAATTAGGTGTATAATAGATAATAGGGTACTTCACAAGACAACTGTACATCAATCATATAAAATTGTGACAGTCATTAGACCAGAGAAAAACGAAGCTCGGGCACTTAACATTCATACATTATGATGAAAAATATGTATCACATCAATATATCCAATTAGTCGAGATAAAGTCAATATGAATGCTTCTTAGGAAAAGATTAATGATAAAAGTTCCACAATTCTCAAATCTCAAAATGGTTCCTCGCTCATTAAAATGTATAACATTTAGAAATTAATCATCAAAAATCAATAAGATAAAAATTTATAATAATTAAAAAAGTACTATTCTTATCCTAACCTTAGTTAAACTCTGAATCAAATTTTGGATGACTCTCAAGCCACAAAGAAGAAACCTTGAAATCATATAAATCATTATCTCATAAATATTTATTAAATCTTAAACAAAATATTTACATACAATTTAAAGTAAACTGTCTTCTATTCATACAATTCTATTAAGAACTTTTACATCATCATTTATAAGAACTTTTTGAAATTATTATCATTAGTATAATAAACTATAAATCAAAATTGACTTATGGGTTCTCCATTTTTTATTTTAGAAGTATCTTAACGAATACTATAAAAACCTGAAGGTGAATCTAGAAGAAAGAATATTTTATAAGATTTTTTCATTATTAATTGAATAAAAGCTGATTTAAATTAATTTTCAAATCCAGAAATTAAAATTCTTTTTTAATGGCATAATTCGCAGTTGAAAACCTTGCTTAAGTCAATGAATTCCTTTCAAACAACAATTATTTGAATGGAGATCTCCCAGGAGCTGATGATGTCAGAATCTTCAATGCCTTGAAAGGTGTTCCACCCAAGGATTAATTCCCAGAAGTTTATTTCTGGTATTTACTCCTCAGCTCATTCACACCAGCCGTTAGAGCTTAATGGGCACCAGCTGCTGCACCAAAGAAGGATGCCCCAAAGAAGGAGGCACCAAAGAAAGAAGAGCCAAAGAAGGAAGAACCAAAGAAGGCTGAGGATGATGTTGATCTCTTTGGAGATGATGATGTTGATCCTGAAGCTGAAAAGAAAGCTAAGGCTTTGGCTGAATAAAAGAAATAAGAAGCTTTGGCCAAGAAAAACAAGCCCAAGCCAGTTGCCAAGACTATTGTGATCTTCGAAGTTAAGATCTTTGAAGCTACAGATTAAGCTTTATTGGAATCCACAGCCAAAAAAGTCAAGGAAACCATCAACCCAGATGGTTTGACTTGGGGAAAGGAAGTCAAATTTGAAGAAATTGCTTATGGAGCCAAGAAGATTGTCATGTCAATGATCATTGAAGATGATAAGGTACTTTATTAAATCATCCTCTTAGATCCTTACCGACGATGTGTTTGATCAAATCACAGCTTGGGAAGATGATGTTTCCAGTGTTGACATTGTATCAATGTAAAAGGTTTGATAAATATTAAACAAAGTACATAAAAATATAAAATCACATCCTTCTAGTTTAATAATCTATGCAGATTAAGAGCTTATATTTAATAGATATATCCAAATTAATCTTGTTTAAGGATTTCTTTATTTCCTACATTAAATCAATCAATCTTCTTTTATTGATCTTAGTGAAATGATATCATCTAAAACAAATCTAAATATCTTGAAGACCGGATATTTTTTGCTTTTCATTTATTGTAACTATATAATACCATTATTATTATAAATTAATTGACAGAATTCCCTTAAAATTGATATAATAAAATCCTAAGAGAAATTTTAATAAAATGGATTTAAGAATAAAAGTAATCGATTACTAATGACTATCTCATAGTAATTTTGTTAATATGATTAAAACTATCTTTACTATACTTTAAGAATATAGTAATTAATAAATATAATTTAATTAATTTTAATACCAATTTTTAGAGATGGCTGATTTAAGAAAACGATAGCTTTTTTGAGGAGAAGCAAAAAAGGAAGTTTCTGCACTCAGAAGATATATAAATTATAATATCTCAAGTTGAAAAACATAATACCAATGCTAAGAAAAATGAACGGAAATATCAAATTTACCCTTTCCTAAAAATAGTGCTTGCTAATGATTGTTATTAAAAGATTGAATAAGATACTTAATTGATAAAAGATTTAATCTCAAGTATAAAATGATAAATATTAATTAATGAAAACTTCTTAAAGATAAATATCCTTTTTTTACCTATTTTTGAAAACAACCTTAGAAAATTATGGAGATTTGGATAATAATGAAGATTATTAAGAAAGTCATTTAATTTTTATAATTTCCTTAATACCATTTAGTTAATAAACTCTACCTTAGGATCAATATGAATGTTAGTAGTAAAAGTAATTTTGCAAATATAGATAATAATCGATTTAAGAGAAATTAATCTGATATTTTCTTATCAAATTGGAAAAAAGAATAATCTAATTATATAAATTACCCGATAGTGAAGGAGGGGAATAAATAATTGATTTTTACTAAATTACACAATTGAATGGACATCTTAAGTAGCCTATTCAATTTACAAGAGTTGTTGCAATAGGATATCTGATGACATTAAAAAATAAGAGTTCACTATTTATCTTTGAAGGTGTTTAGATAAGGGGGAATAAAATAGTGAATAAATAGGTTTATAGTTAAGTAGTGAGTTATGACCCAAAGGCAATAGTTAATAAGATAATGCAATAACGAGTATAATAATGATACTATAATTAATCAATTGAGCATATTTTTAAGTTTAAGCTTAAATTTTTTTAAAAAAGGTTCTGTGGTTGTTTTATTTTTTTGAGAAACTGGATTGATTGAAGATATGAAATTAAAATAATCAGTTGATGTATGAGTGTAATTACATTATTAACTGTTTTATTTTTGGGCGAGTAGAATATTCTTTAGACATTTCTATCGATATTGACTTGTAGAGTTCTTACGAGAGGATTTATGTTATGCCGAAATGATGATCCTTTGAAGTACTTTAGGACAACTTGCTTGAGGAGTAGGCACTCCCAACTCTGCAAATGCGCTTTTATGATGACAACTTTTAGGTCTTGAGATATTAGTAGGAGTTTCTGTTATTGATTGTCTTGGCATTAATCTTGTTATTGGTTATTTAAATGTAATGATCCTTTTTTTCTATTAACTTGATTTTGCAGGAGTAATGGGTACATCCCAAGGCTCAGCAGTGAAATCAGTTTCAATTTAATGATAGAATTTATTTGCAATTGGCATTTAAATGAATTCTCTCAAAGTTGGTTCTATATTCAATAATTCCAATTATGGATCTCGAGACATATATATGTCAATCAATTTATATATATATATTTAAAACTTATTTCAATTTTATTTAATACCCTTTTCATTAGCATTGCCTTCTAAGTATTATGAGGTATCTGCATAATGTTCTCTTATCCAACAGAAGGTGATCATGTTATGCATATACTCTCACTTGAAATAAATTTCAATAAACATATATTTGTTATTATCCAATTAATATTTATGCATATGTGATTATTTAAACCATTAACTCTTCATTGAATGCAACCCTCTCTCTGTTTTTAAATCATCTGGTAATGTTCTTCAATTCTACTTACTCGTTGTTTTCTTTCTTCAATAGATATATGAATTCTTAGTTTTTAAATTATACAATCATAAAACGAGTTATTATTTATCTCAATATTTAATATTCTTAGTTTTCAATGAATCTAATTATCAATCCTGATCTACTCCACTATTCTATATATTAATTCTATTCGTCTCTTGATACAAACGATGCTTTTAGATCTAAGTAATTGTCCAATTTGAATATTTCAGTCCATACATTCTCTCTTTATGAGTAAGAGTCTCGAATTCATTCAAATAAAATATTGCATTTAAATTATTAGCTCTCATTCCTTATAGTAGTTTTGGATATTAATTCATACAATTTTAAACACTTTGCCTTTTTTATGTATTTAGATCCATATAATCCTGGAGTCATTTCTTGCCTTTATTCATTATTGCCATAATTTTAATAATTTTATCGATCAATCAGCTTCAAAACTTCTTATTTTATTATACGTATTATAATTATTACTATCGTATTCATTATGTTTAACATAAACCACCATAGTAATCTTGCAATCCCTACATTCTCTCACAAAGAATGTTTGTAAACATTCAATTCATATCATTAGGTCATTCCAACTTCGATCAAGCAAATGAGGGAGTCCATTCAAATACCATACAATCAAGACATCATGAAAGCTAGCACCATCTTAGAAGTGGGTTTACGAACTCGTAATACTCATTACAAAGAGCGATTAGAAGGTATTTTACACCACTATTCTAGATTTATACCTCAAATATGCAGATGGTTGCATTTATAGGGGTCAAGGTATTCCACCTTCTTAAAGACATGGCATGAGAGTCCTATTCAATACTGAAAGTTAGGAGGTTTATTCCGGAGAATGGTTCAACAACCTTTATGAGGGATTTGGAATTTTGATTAACCAATCTCCACATTTGATTAAACATAAAATTGACCCCAAGGATTTAAATACTATTGAAGATAGTTGGAATGATTACAAAGGCTATTTTAAATAAATAAAATGCATAGGGAAGGTATTCTAACACTTACAAATGGTTAGAAATTTGAAGGTCATTTCATTAACGGTATGATTCATGGTAAAGGTCGTTTTTATGGAGACTAAATTATTGTTGGAAATTGGTTGGAAGGTGTTTTAATTTGACAGATTATATATCTATTTTACTACTCACAATTCCTTATAGAATTCTGTCAATCTATTTAGCATTAGAATTTCTATAATATCTCTTGATTAATTAGCATTCATTCTCTTGATTAAATTAGCATTCTTATTAGTTATTCATTTAATGATGAATCGAAAACACATAAGTGGTGACTATTTCTCTTTAAGATAATTAATTTATAGTAAATTTCTTTATCATGCAAATTTAATGAGAATAGCCAAGTAAGACTTAACAACTTAATAATATAATATATACATAAAATCTTAAAAAATAAAAAAATTAATTTATTAATTAATCTATAAAATAATGATTACAAGTCAGTTGAAAAAATTATTGAATTCTTCATAACTTAACACTTTATCGTTGTTTTTATCCACTTACTTAAATAGTTATTTTATTTCATCAGTTGAAAGTAAGTTGTTAAATTCCTTACAAAATATTCTAAACTCTAAGAGATTCAACTTGTTAGATCTACTTTTGTTATATTTCTTAAATATGCACTCATTTGTTAAATTGTTCTTTCTCAAATATTATTTAATATCTTATTGTATTTTTTTTAAAGTTATTTTATCTACAATCTTTTGCTCAGGGCTAACTATACTTTTAAAATCCTCTAAACTTATTGAGTTAACATTATTAAGATCAAATTTTGCAAAAATCTATCATTTGATAAATACGAATTTTTACTAATGCTATTTCATATTTTAACAATGTTGGTTTCACCCTTTAAATTAATTTAGAGAATTCTTCAAACCCTAATCTTCCTACTTTTTTTGTATCATAAAAATTGAATATATTTTCAATTTTCAATTTATTTGTTGATATCAAATCTTAAAATTCTTAAATAAATTTCTTATATATATCTTTAAACACATTTGTATCATTGATATTGAAAAGCAATTTAAATTAATTTTAACTTAATTTTTGCTTGTTTTCTACATTCAATTAAGTATAAATGCTAAACAACTCTTGATCAGTCAACGAGGGATCTACTCTTTGAATAAATATATAAAATTAATTCTGACTCAAATTTCCTTCTAAGTTGACATCAAATAATTTAAATTATTCTTCAAAATTTAATTTTCTAATTTTTATCATAAATTGTATATGCTCTAATATATAATTTTCAAATCCGTTTTAGTCTTAAATGTTCTAATTCATATAATTTAATGATTACTTTGATATTTTATTTCTAAGCCCTAGAGTCAAAGTATGGATGCTCAAAAAGTTCTGCCCAATTTAATCTCTACCTTTCGTCAATTTTGAGACATTGTCTTATGAAATCTATTGTTTATGTTATATAAGTACTTTTGTATTGATCAGAAACAGTTTTTTCGACAGGGAATCGAAGTGGATAGCACTTAATGTTCTTTAGGTATGACTTATAATCTCCGTAAGGCCAGGGTTGTTTTCCATAGACTAGTTAATACGCTATAATTCCAATAGACCATATATCACATTTGGAGGTGTAAGGAACATTATCAAGCAATTGAGGGGCCATGTACAAAGGAGTTCCTACGGGCTATTAGAAATATTCGTAAGTAGTCGCTTTCAAAGCAAATCCAAAGTCAGCCATCATAAAAATTCCATTTTTTATTAAAATATTGGCTGGCTTAACATCTCTGTGTATGTACCCTTTGGCTATGATTTCTCTAAATGCATTCACAATTTAGATCAATATTCTCAGGGCTGTTTCTTCATCCACTGAGTTTTAATTTATTTCGAGAAATTTCAACAAATCTCCGCCATCACAATAGTCAAAGACAGCAATCTAACGTATTTTTTAAATATACATTTTGTTTGTTGTCAGAGTAACAATCGATGAATTTAATGATATTCGGACTTTGGAATTCTTTGATTATGCTCATTTCATTTTGGAATTTGCAAATGGAGTCTTAATCCTACATGTCATCTGCATTCAGTACTAGTATTTAAAATTCAGTATACATTTTATCGCTACGCATTATTTAGTAACGCAATCAAGGCCTTTGAAGACTATACCATACGCTCCTCGACCTATTTCATCGTCTTCTGAATAAACATATTTATTTAAGATTTTATGCATCATTCAAATATTATAATTTAAAATCGATGTGATTTGACAACTTAAATCAATTTGAAGTTTGTATTATATTAGTATAAATCAGATGACTTATAAAATTAATATTAATAGCAAATATTTATTTATACTATCTGAATTGATAATTATCGAGAATATTATGAATTTCACTTTATCTCTATTGAGAATCAAGGGATAATATAAATATTCCATATTATTTTTTAATATAAAAAATGGATTAATTATTTAATTAATACCAATTTTATGATATAAATAATTTTTTTGTTCCTTATTTGCGTTCCTACTAGTTGTAATTCAGGTAACAATAAATAATCATAGGCTTGGGAGAAAGATTTCGATGTCAGAGTAAAAATAATTATAAAAAATCTTTGCCAATTGTTTTTTGGAAAATCTATTTAAAAAAATGACTCAAACTCTTCCAAATATTTAATTTCTTTCCTGATAATTATTTGAAACTAATGGATCAATTTGAATTTGAAAAATACATTTGATGAGCAAAGAATAAATTGAAATATTGAAAATTTTGGAAAGAGTTGTTTAGCAATTGGATCAGGGACAAAACCTGATTAATATCTCTATATTTCTAAATATTTCTTAAAATCAATTTGAGTCTAAGTTTGACTTTAAAACACATTTAATAAAATTTTAGAAAAATCTTTGGTCACTCCTTGTTGAGTCTAGACCTTAACAAATGATTTGGGCCTAATTTAATATATTTGTGGATTTTTATGTAAATATCATTCATTAATGAATTAATAGATAATTGAATAATTTTGAAACTTTCTGTGGACAATCACTAACCTTGATGAAATTATGTTCGTAGTTCTGAATATAGTGACTAGAAAAGAGTTCCCATTTAAACTTATATGATAAATTGAAAATAGGAATACATAGTGATTAATTATTAAAACCATAATTCCCTAAAAAATGTGTCTCTTATTTTATTTATTAATTTACAATATTAAACCATAAAATGAAATCAAATTTAAGGGAATTATATCATGTAGAAGAAAATTAAAAAGGCTTTATAGCTTAAGGCGCATTCTCACATGTCTATGCATGTAGGAGGAAAAATGGAAATTAACAGGAACCTTTGTGTGTAAAGATTATCAAAAAAAAAATTTATACAATGAATCGAACTTTATAAGAGATTGAAATATTGAATGAAATAAAACAGCTCAAATCTGAGAATCTTTTGCATATAGATCACATTAGTGAATCTGAATCACAATTTGAAGTAGTAATGGAAAGGTGTGATATGGATTTAGAATAAGAGTTCAAACTTTTAAAATCGAAAAACAAGTGGTACACTGAGTAAGATTGCTTAAATATTGTAACATAAATTATGAATGGAATCCGTGTTTTATATAATAAGAATATTATTCATAGAGATATCAAACCTGCTAATATTTTAGTGAAAATTATTAATACAGATAAGAATGAGCAAAAGAGAGTCTACTAAGTAAAATATTAAAAAATCAAAATAGATTGCAGATTTTGGATTTAGTAGAATTTTGAACGATTTTTGTGGTGTTGATTATTATACTTAATTGGGAACTCCACTTTATGCTTCTCCATAAATCTTTGGCTCAGAACCTTATTCAGGTAAATGTGACATATACTCTCTCGGGATTTTATTTTATTAATTATTTTTTGAAGGTAATATGCCTAATTAATTGTAAACAAAAGGAGATCTCTTAAATTTCCATAAGACCCTCGAAAATAAATAGTTTAAATTTAATTCTCCAAAATATCATAATGCAAAACTTATAACTCATTTGCTCTAATTGATGATCGTCTATAAGGAAGAGGAGAGAATATCGTTTGAACAAATTTTTTAACACCAAATTCTTAAAATCAAAATTTCATTTAATTATTCTGATTCAATATTCAGTGAAGTTTAGTAGGGCGATTGTCTCAATAAACTATACGCAATGCAATTATAATTATACCGGAAATACCTGTTTTATAAATCGGTTTCTTAAAAATTAGTTTAATCTCAGTAAATTGAGGTGCAAGCTGCTTTATATTGTTTAACGTAATTAGGATTTAAATAACTTCATTTTTGCTTAGGCTTCATTCATATTATAATATCTGATATTCATCCTCATTTCAACAAAGATAATATATACCCCTTATTGTAAGAATTGAAGTTATGCGAAATGAATATAGACAAACATCCTTAATATTAGTTGCTAATCAAAATAATAAAACAAAAATATTATTCTGAAAAGGGGGATTTGTAAAAATAAATGAACTAATTGGAAACTGAACAGAACTCTAATACATAGAAGAGTGAATCTATGAGGACTTTTATGGAAATTTTTCAATTAAGTAAAAGTGCAAATATTGAACAAAAGTAGCTAACCGACCTACTTCAATTATTTTTAGAATAAAAACTTTTAATGTAATAATTTTTTTAATTGAAGTGGATTTGAAGCTGATATCAAGAAGTCAATACTTTTGGAAGAGAGATTTCCAATTCAAAATAGTTAAGATATCAATCCAGATGACATTTTTAAAGTCTGAAATTAATTAGGGGTTCTTTATTCAATTTTTAAAATGGTTAGTATATTTTTAGATTTACAAATTTTGTTTAGAATAAAAATACTGTAATTTATAATTCACATCAATCCAAAGCCTTCTGCATTATCTAAAGATATCATCAATTTATCCCTTAATGTTTCTTTCTTCTTGTATAGTGGCAATAATAAAACATTGAAACAAGTGTGAGCTGATGGCAATTATTCAGTATCTAATATTATTAACGAATCTAACCTTCACCATGCTTTTAAATTACAAATTTTATTGACTTTAGTCCTCCTACAGGAATCCTATCTGTCCCTGTACAGAAAAACAGAAATCTCTTTTACATTTCAATACTCAAAGAATGAATACAACTCCAGAAGTACCTATTAATATTCAATTAATCTAAACCTTATATACTCAGACTTATCATCGTAGCCATCATATTTTGTAACTAATTCCAAGTCTTTTAAGTCAAAGTGTGGCAAACCAATAATTAGTGCCTATAACTCTTCCCCAGAAAATAACTATTTATTGAAATACTCAATACTTTTATTCCATCTCCATCAACCACAGATTTAAATCCTGAATGCAATAAATCAAACTAGCTTTTAACAAGTTTATTTAGGTACCAATCTGTATACAATTCTATATATTCTTCTCTATTCTCTTTTGTGACATTAACTTAGAACCCATTTGGCTTAATATATAGATAAAATATCTATACTTTCAAATCATCAAAATATGCTTCTCCCCAAACAACATAACTTGCATTAAAATTGAGAGCAAGATTCGCAATTAAATTAGAATCTGTTTGTTCTCTCAAATACTAAAAACCTGTATATATTTCCATATCCAATTCCTTTAAATCCTCCTCTGTAACTTTTTCATTCTATAATTTTTTGAATAGAACAGTTGGGAATCTTACATCAAGCAACACCTAATTATAGAGAGCCAACCCTAACAATTTTCCGATCAATGAATAGTATATTGGCATTTCAAATGACTTCGGATTAAACCAATACACTGTTCCATTGTTTTTCGGGATAAACATTCCATAATCTGGTGAAATCAGTTTCTCCATCATCAACCTGAAAAACTCTCTTTTTGGACCTCCTTCATCTACACCTTGTTCTCCTATAAATTACACTTTCAAAGGGTTCTTTAATGGAATATGGGTTATTTATAATTATTTTATTGCTGATTCTATAATATTGTTTCTCTCAATCTATAAACTAAGATATGGAGCTTGTCCAGTAAAATGGTACTTTACTGAATGGCTCATACTGTCGTGTTATTTGACTTTACAGTCTAGACTCAGCAACTTAGATTTAAACTCAATTGGAATAGACCAAGCATATAAACAAAAAGTAAACGAATAATTCCTCCATTGTTTTGCTGCATAATAACGAAATTGTGAAAACTCCTCTTTGTCAGCATCTTGTTTATACAATTTTGTTATTAGATCAATTACGAATTCTGAAGACTACAATCTAGTATTCATTTTGTTTGATTTTTGTAAGATTTGGAATAGTTCAAATAAACCAACCATTTTATAAGTATCTTCAATTTCCAGAAAAGGCATTAAAGGTGTGTGTTACTGTCTTAGAATCTCAGAGTTAATTAATTTTTTAATCTTTTTTGTCGTATCTTCGAACTCTGCTTTTGACAGATTTGTAAACCATCTAGATAATTATAATTTTTATTTCACATCAAGTCTTCTAATAATTTTTAATATTATTTATGATTTTTCATCGACAATATGTTCCAAAAATTAACGAAATTGTAATATCAAATAGAGCGCTCTCAATTAATATAAGTTAGTTAAAGGTTCATAATTTTTTTCTTTTTAAGAAAATAAAATATTTATAATTAGAGTGAACCCTTTTTTGTAATTGAAGAATTTTGATTATGTTTCAATAATTAAATTAGTATCTACATCTGCATTCTATAAATCAATAGCATAAACGCCAGACTTATTGTAGAAATTTTCAACAAACGATGCTCCAAATATTTCCAGTTACTGAGAAATTTTGATTATGGCCTCTGGTAAATCCAGTTAAAACTCTGACATTTGTAATGGAACCAATTTATTGTTGATGTTTTTTCCCTGATAACATAATTAATTCCAATTGACTTCCTCATTTTCTACCAATTATTAACAAATTCCTTTGATGTCATCTTAACTAAAATCTTGTTCAAGAAAACCATTGTTCAATTTACAATGCGGAAAGTCGCATACATATTTACCACAACCATTTAAAGCTCTATTGAACAAGAGTTCAGTATCAAGTTCAATTTACTATTATTCATCCATTTTATTAAACTGCCATTTATTTGACTCAAAATCTAAAATTAAACAATTATCTCTTTTTGATTATAGTTGAAAGACCATAAGAGTTTCTTGTAAAACATCACCATCAATTAGCATGGTTTGTTCCAACTATGATGTTATCAGATCGACATTGTAATTCTAATGTCTAGGTAACCAGATCCTGATGTTGGTTATTGGATTCTATTTTTATTCATCTTAGAATGTGGCTTTTAGTAAATCTAGCCAAGATTTAATTTCAGAATGATGGTCTACTTAGGCTTTTACACTATAAATTTTGTTGTCTCTTAAGGACTAGTAGATTAACGTAAACTAAAATTAATAAAATTGTATACTCGAGCCAAATTAGGATAGACAACTTTTTTTTTTTCATTCTCTTAATAGAATCCAATCCTTTTCTATGGTTCAATTGATGAGTATTTCTCCTTAAATAGATCGAAAACTTCCTTAAGAATCTAGTTGTTTATCAATTTAATTTTTACGTATTCATAATCCCATTCATTTTCCAAATATCGAATACTGGAATTGTAAACATGATCTTCAGGTATGTATTTAAACACCTTTTCATTGCTTTACAAATCTGAATTCATTTTATCAGGCTAATATATTTAAATTTCAATACTTTCTTTCTTGCCTCTTTCTATTGATCTCCCATTTCTTCATAATAATCCACATAATATTTCCATTATTTAACAAATTTTTTAGATACCAAATAGTACTCTATTCCACCTTTCTCCCTCAATGTTTTATCATATCTCTATTGTAATCAAGTTAAATTTACTCTTCTTCCATCATCATATCTTTTGATTTCTTCATACTCAATTGGATCTCCTACTGGTTGGTGCCAATTATGCAAGAAGTGATTAATCATCAAAATCAATATAATTTAGATTAGTATTAATTAAATTAATTCTCACATCTAAAAAGGTATTGAAAATGCAAATCAATTTCCTAACTACTATTCCATATTGAGGTTTCTGAATCCTTAATTTAGACGTTGAATCATTACATAAAAAATGGAAGGTTTGGATTACTTCAAAATATATTTGATAAATGGTACACTGACTTATTAATCGTTATTGCTTAAATTAGAAGAAAATCAGAGTTCTAGCAGAGTTCTATCTGGTCTCATATTTATATTAGAATTTAATTAGATTTTCGAATGTAAGAGAATTAAGAAATGAAAATTTATGGAAGAAAAAGAGAGTGTCCATATCAGAGAATTTTTGGACTAATATAAGAAATTTGAAGGGATGATATGTGATAAAGAAGCAGTTTCAAGCATTATTTAATTAACAGTTGATTTATATGAGTCATTATATTTGAACAATAGAATTAAATTTAAAAATATTGAATACTGTTGAATGTTATAAACATTTATTTTGTAGTAATGGATTGAAATAATACTACATAAAAAAGATCAGAAAAATTAGATCACTATTGAAAGAAATAAGTGAGAATAACATAAAAATAAAAATAGAGTTGAACTATTATAATATGGCATTTCTAATTAAATATTATGATTGATATCATAAAAATGCTATGTAGGATTTAAACAAAAGGTATAAATTACTGTATTTATGATATTATTAGCAAACTTAGTCATATATTCATTATAGCTCCAATTTTATTTTAATATCAACCAATTTTTCATTTTATCTCAATGGGATTACTTTTATTTAATATTAATTTTAATTTTATTTATTGATTTTTTTGGATTCACACAAAGGTTATTTCATAATAACATGATCAGTTTCAGGCTTTAAATCAACAAAATGCTTATATGGATATATTTTCCATTTTTAATTAAAGTCATTAAAGTATTGATTAATTTTATCGTCATATTCTACTTTTGAATTTTAAGATTATTGGCTCAATTTGAAAACAAAGTTTTAATGCTGCCATTCAGTAAAATCACTCTTCAAACTCGATTGTATGATATCAGGTTGAATGTTTTCGACAAGCTTAAGTGAATTCAGCAAAGACGCTTACATTTTTAAATCCATTCTCTTAGGATTAGGCTTGCTGATTGGTTTCTTTACACTCTATTATCCTTTTATGCTTGACTTATTTTAGGGTAGTTCTTAGGCTTTCGGTCTCTTTTTTATTGGTATTAAGGCTATTTCATCGTCTTCTCCGAATTATTCCATTTTATGAAAACCAATATGTTTTAAAGTATAAAAATTACAACCTTTATTTAGAACAATTTACCGCCTTGATGAAAATTATAGAATTCAAAGAATAAAAATGATATTATTCAATGAATTGTATCATTCCTGCATTAAAAAAATTATTAGATGATCATATATAATAGATCAGCATGATCTAATTTGTATTTTACATATAGCAATATAACTTAAAGGACGAATTTGCGTTCTTTAAGAAATTAAACATCAGGTTTCTGCAACTAAGAAGCATCGTTTAAATTTGAAAAAATAATTGTGTCTCTTTGAATGTGAATAATTAGTATAATTATCAAATTCATCGTTAAAAAGTCTAAGTATATATAATAAATAAAATTATTAAAAAATGTAAGAAATTGAAGCGAAGAAGCAATTAAAAGCAAGTGAAGGAGCTCATTTTTTTTATACTTTGATATTCCTTTCAGCTTCTGGTATAATTGAGACTCAATTTATTGAACAGAAATGTAATCAAAATCTGCAATTGTTTGTTCACTTAGTATTCTATGGATTAATTATCTGGGGTACATACATTTTAATTACATTGATACCGAGGTATGTGTTATAAGTTGAATTTAATTAGATATAAAAATGCAGCTATCAACTTATTTTTCAATTTTCTTGATATCTGTTTTGGTATATACATAGGACTGTTATTGTTTTTTGGAGGACGTATGTACATGGCATCTAATGATTGTTTAGCTGAAGCTCCTGCATTATACTTCTTTTTGGAGACATTTTTGTTGGTACTCTTTAATTTGAAATTATTAGGTTAACGGCATCATATTTGCAATATTGTTTTTAGCATTTGTGTCGTATGTCTTAAAGAGATTTTCTAAATCATAGCAAGTTTATGATGAAGGCAAAGATGAATTTTATGATGCATGATAATAATTTTTAATAATATATGAATAATTCAGTCTAAAACATACGAAGACCTGTAACATCTTAAAACTACAGATCGATAGATAAGTTAGGCAACAACAGCCAACAAAAACTACCAAATTTAAGTGATGTTATGAACCTGAAATTGAAGCAACAGAGTGAAAGAGAGTTACAGGAGCTGATTCAAAAATTGGTGAAGCAAGTTCAATAACTCAATTCAGCAGTCATCTAAAAAGACAAATAAATTTAACAATATGAATTCATGATTAAATCTCTTTAAATCGCGATAGAAAAAAGAGATTGCATTATTAGTGCATTGAGAGTCGAGAAGCAATAAATAGTTGAGATCGTGAATCCATTGAAACCTATGGTAAAGACTGACGATTCATCAAGAACTCCTAGTTTGGGTCCTAAGAAATCAATGAGGACCAGAACAAAAGACACTAATTTCGATGAAAATCTCTCTGCTATCCTTGACTCTGACTATGGTAAATATATTAGAATTAGTTTGAGCCTTGCTAAGTTAATATGTAAAATGTTATGAAGAATTAAATCATTTGACATAGATAAAGAATTTAGTCTCCAATGAAGATTAGTTCTTTGCTAACATTTAGAAAATGGAATTGAGCAACATAGTTCACATTTTCGATGCAATCTAATTAGTCCTGTAAGAACACAAGTTATTGTTCAAAAATGTTATCAAGCAAAATAAACTATTTGAAGCTTGTCTACAAATATATGAAGTAATTTATTCTTATGATCAATTTTCAGCAAATCCCTTTGAATGACTAATTAGAGAGCTTGCAGGGATTATTGAAAGACTCCCTAAATTGTGATAAGGTTTAGATCTACGTACTCGACAGCGAACACTAAGAGTTATGGACAAAAACTAAAGACAGAGTGTTAAGAATATAGGCAAATGAAGATATCATCGGAGTTTGCTTTTAAGAAAGGGGTTTAATCAATGTCCACAATGCGTATAACGATCCTAGGTTCAAAAAAGAAAATGATAAAGGATATAAGACAAATACTCTTCTTTTATGTCCAATTTTGGATAAGTAATAGAATTCAATTGGAGTTGTTATGGCAATCAATAAACTCACTGGGCATTTTAATAATGATGATCAATTGTTCATTTCCAAGACCTCAGAAATGATATCCATTTTATTAAGAAATCATCAGCAATCCAATGAGTCTATCAGTATCCAGAATGCTCTAAGAAATGTGATCTAAGTATTGAAATTGTTGTTCCACTTAGGCTTAACTTCAATTAGTGTACATGAATGATACAGAGCACATCTTATTTGAAGCTGAAAACCTATTGAAGAATTTGTTTCACACTTAAAAAGGCTTAGTTTATGTGGTTAATAATAATCGATTACTAAGAGTGAACGAAAAGAAATTATTAGAAGTGTCATAACTAGGAATTGGAATTGTTGGAGAAGCTCATAAAGTCAAAGAGTTCTTGTGGGTTTAGAATGCTTACAATCACTAATCATTTAACAACTTAGGTTTTTGCTTAATTTTATTTTTCAGTTGACATTCAAACTACTATGCCTATCTACTGCATTGAAGTCGAAGGGAAAAATCAATCGGTCATTTTATAAGTTATAAACAACAAGGGGATCAGGTCCTAGAAGGTCAGTTCATTTGATTAGGAATTATTAGAAATGTTCGGAAAAATTATTTTAAGTAAAATTGATTTTATATAATTATGATCTTTATACATTACAATTAATGATTCAAACACATTTAATTATAACTTAATTTATATAAAATATTATTCATCTATTTTGTATATTTAAGTTCTGGTTAATATCATTATTAAATTGATAGGTTATATAGTGTAAAATTCTTAAACCTAATTGTATGATAACAAAATTACTTTAATAATATTACTAACATATTTATTTAGCAATTAACTTTATTTACCATTTGATCCAATATATAAGTGGACAGAATAAGATTAATTTGTATCTAAAAATCTATTTTTTCTATTTTAAGAAAATTCATCTTCAGGCTACTTTAGTAAATTATAATATCAAACCCATTAATTTTATCGAAAATGCTTCTATTATAAGATCCACAAACTCAAATAATTAGTTATTGAAAGAACAAAAATCAAAATGGCAATTTATTTTTCAATAATTAATTTTAAGATCATACATCGCTTAATATTTTTAATTGATATTTTAAGCCTTGAATTGGGTAATGATTTAAAGTTATTTTGCAGTACATTTTACTTGGAGACTTGAGTAGGAAATGTTGAGATATTCTAGAACAGCAATCTCATTTATAGCATTTAATAAATCATTTATTAAGTAGAAATAAAAAAATAATAATATAGATTTATGTTGATTTGGTCTTATGCATTTATTGTAAAGATGGTTTCAAATGATGGCTTAGAAGGGTAGATAAAAAATAAATAGATTTGGAGGGTAGGTTGAAAGTCAAGCCTTAGTTTTTCAAACAGATAGTATTTAAGGAGGAAGTATTTGATTTTTATATGAATTAAAGATATTTAAAATTAGATGATTAATAAATTCAACATAAATTAGTATTAAAATTTGAAGTAAGGGATAGGATTAGAATTAGAGTGAGGAGGAAGGAGGAAAAAGGGGAAGATTAATAAATAATATATATAATAATATTTTATGGATAGTTCTAGAATAAAAGGGAATTTTAATAGTTAAGGAGATTGATTTTGATTAAGAATTAAAAATTAATTTGAGGTAATAAAATGCTCAGCAAATTATTGAGATCAACATGCTTAGGTGAACTAACACACTGTGAATGCATTCAGCAGCAAGGTCATGAAGGGAGAATATGTGATTGGTATCGATTTAGGTACTACAAACTCTTGTGTGTCAATTATGGAATGTATAGATATAGTGTATATTCAGCTGGAACACCCAAAGTTATTGAGAACGCAGAAGGTATGAGAACAACACCATCAGTCGTTGCATTTACCGCTGATGGACAAAGAATAGTGGGAGCACCAGCTAAGAGATAGGCTGTAACAAATCCTGAAAACACAGTTTATGCAACAAAGAGATTGATTGGTAGAAGATTTGATGACCCAAATGTTTAGAAAGACATCAAGCATTTAAGTTATTCAGTTGTGAGAGCCTAAAATGGTGATGCCTGGGTTAGTTTGAAAAGTAAACATAAAATATTAATCATTTAGGTGGCTAAACCTATTCACCATCCTAAATTGGAGCCTTTGTCTTAATTAAAATGAAGGAAACTGCTGATGCCTACATTGGAAAACCTTAATCAAAGGCAGTCGTTACAGTACCTGCTTATTTTAATGACTCACAAAGATAAGCCACCAAGGATGCCGGTAAGATTGCTGGTTTAGATGTTCTGAGAATCATCAATGAACCAACAGCAGCTGCATTGGCCTTTGGTTTGGAAAAGAAAGATAACAAGATCATCGCAGTTTATGATTTAGGAGGTGGTACATTCGATATTTCTATTTTGGAAATTAATGCAGGAGTATTTGAAGTCAAGGCAACTAATGGTGATACAAGTTGTGGAGGTGAGGATGTTGATTCCATTCTATCCAATTGGATCAGTCAAGAATTCAAGGCATAAGCCGGAGTTGATATTTAAAAGGATAAAATGGCTGTCCAAAGAGTCAGAGAAGCTGCTGAAAAGGCTAAAATTGAATTGTCATCAACAACTCAAACTGATATTAACTTACCATATTTGACTGCTGATGCCTCAGGTCCAAAGCATTGCAATCTCAAATTGACCAGAGCCAAACTCGAATCTTTGACTGAAGATTTCCTTAAGAAAACAATCAAACCAAACTGAAAATTGTATTAAAGATTCTGGTGTTGACAAGAGCAAGATCGATGAAGTCATTTTGGTTCGGAGGTATGAGTAGAATGCCAAAAGTCTAAAAGTTAGTCTAAGATCTCTTCAACAAACCACCCAACAAGTCAGTCAATCCTGATGAAGCAGTATCAATTGGTGCTGCCATTCAAGGAGGTGTTTTGAAAGGAGATGTCAAGGAATTATTATTATTGGATGTTACTCCTCTCTCTTTGGGTATTGAAACTTTGGGAGGAGTATTCACAAAAATGATTCCAAGAAACACAACCATCCCAACCAAAAAGAGTTAAACCTATTCAACTGCCAGTGACAATCAAACTGTCGTTTCAATCAGAGTCTTCTAAGGAGAAAGAGAAATGGCTGCTGATAACAAATTATTGGGACAATTCGATTTATCAGGTATCCCCCCTGCTCCAAGAGGAGTACCATAAATCGATGTCACTTTCGATATTGATGCCAACGGTATCGTCCACGTTTCTGCCAAAGACAAGGCAACAGGAAAGGATCACTCCATCACCATTCAATCATCAGGTGGTTTGAGTGAATCTGAAATTCAAGATATGATCAATAAAGCTGAAAAGTACAAGGATGAAGATAAGAAGAGAAGAGTATTATATAATATCTATCCAATAGGAACTCGTTGATTTGAAGAATGAAGCTGATGGAGCTATATTCAACACAGAGAAGTCATTGAATGAACACAAGGCTAAATTACAACCAAATGAAGTTTAAGAAATTGAAAGTGCCATTCAAAATTTGAGAGTACTCTTAACTGAAAATCTCACTGCAAATGATGTTCAAAGACTTAAGGATGCAGTTGAAAATGTCAAGAATTCAGCAATGAAAATCGGACAAGCAATGTATTCATATTCCATTTATGTCTAGGTATCGTAATACTGGAGGCTGCTAGTGAGTAATAGCAATAGTAATCTTCTGAATAATAGGGAGAGTAATAACAATAATAAGAAGGTGGAGAAAATAACAACAATAAATAAAATTGATATATTATGTTATTAATATTGTACATTCCTTTAATATCGGCTTCTTATCTTTATGAGAATTCAACACTCATCACATAAACATTGTTTTATGAAAGAGAAGGCAACCCCATGTACAATTTAAGTGTGTTAACAACCTAAGAATCATACAATTAATTGGATATCAAGATTGAAGATCTCGAAAAGCGATAATTTCATATTCCCTCAGAAATGGAACCATTTAAAAGCATTTATAATGATATCGTTAATCCCATTGAATATTCGCATTACGATTATGAAACCCTAATTGATGAATCTCCTTTTAAATTTAATGTAATCAGAGTCGATACTCAAGAAACTATACTCTCTTTATTTGATATTATAGTTTCTGAATTGTACAGTGAATTTACAGTGAAAATACCTACTAAATACTTTTTTGGATTAGGAGAAAGGAATCAAAAAGGATTCAGGTTCAAAGAAGGAATTTACACTTTGATGGCTAAAGACGTCCCTTAATTGTTAGAAGATGGCAAATAACCAGGGAAAGGTGTCTATTCATCTCACCCAGTGTATTTGATGAGAGAAAGATCAGGCAAATACCATGTGTTGTTTTTTAAGAATAGTTCGCCTATGGATGTCGTCTATAAAGAGGATAAGTTGACATTCAAGTACATCGGCGGAATACTGTAATTGAAACTCTTCTTAGGTGACTACGATCCTGAGACTGCAGTTAAATTATATCACTCCTATTTAGGAGGTTGGGCATTGCATCCCTTTTGGGCCATGGGATATCATCATAGTAGATGGCCAATTAAAAGTAGTGAGAAGTTGAAAGAGTACGTTCATAATCATAAGGAAAATGATATCCCCATAGATACTATATGGTCAGATATCGATTACATGAATGATAGATAAATCTTTTCTGTGGATGAAACGAGATTCCATAAGAGTGACTTTGAAGAAATATAAAATCAATTGGGAGTGAACTACATCCCAATTATTGATGTGGCAGTCGGAGTTAAGTATGGTAAACAAGATAAAGGATTCAGAGAGGGAATCAATTTAGATATCTTTTTAAGATCTCCAAATACAGGTCAAAGATTTAGAGGTAATGTATGGCCAGGATCTTCATATTTTCCAGATTTCTTTCATCCGAATTGTTCGACTTATTGGAGGACTATGATCAAACATCTCTATCAAAGTACTAATTTTAGCGGATTATGGATCGATATGAATGAGCCAACTAATTTCTGCGATGGGGAATGCGACCTCTAATCAGGAGGCGATAAATGGAATTCTACAATGGACTACACTGACATTAATGAAGATTACAAAAACAATCATATTAGATTCCCTTACATTCCTGGAGTGTCACCGCTTGAAAAGATGACTCTCCCTCCAAATTTATACCATTATGGCAAATACCTCCACAAGGATGTTCATAATCTTTATGGATTGCAAGAATCATATGAAACATATTAAGCTTAAAAAGAAATTGGAAAACCATTGCCATTTATTATCTCAAGATCCACTTTTCCTGGAAGTGGCCATTTTACCTAGCATTGGGAGGGAGACAACGAAGCCTCGTATACATTTCTGTATTTATCTGTTGGGTCCACAATGCAATTCAATATCTTCGGTATACCCATGGTAGGTGCTGATGTGTGTGGATTCTTAGATAACACTACCCCTAATTTGTGTGCTCGCTGGGTTTAATTGGGTAGTCTTTACCCATTTTTTAGAAATCACAATAATGATAGAGCCAAGGATCAAGAATTCTATTCTCTTGGTTAGGATGTGTATTAAGCAGCCAGAAGAAATATTAAATTAAGATATTCTATTATCAAATGGTACTATTCGTTGTTCCTGAGATCTAATCACACTGGTACAATATTTCGACCAGTGTTCTTTGAATTTAATGATGATGTTAATCTATTCAAGGATGAAGTGTTGGATACATAATTTCTAATAGGAGATGAACTAATCGCCACTCCTATCTTGATAGAAAATCAAACCATAAGAAAGGCATACTTCCCCAAAGCATATTGGTATCATTTCTTAAGTGGATCTAGATTGTAAAAGTAAGAAGATCCAGGATTGGAACATTTTATTGTGTGTAAATACACAGATTATGTTCCATTATATATAAGAGGTGGTAGTATCATCTTACAATAAAATATCACTAATGTAAGATCCATTAAGGATCTCAAAAATCATTTTCATGCTGTCATTGCTATTGGTGAAAAAGATTCCTTTGGTACGATGATCGATTTGGATGAATTCTCAGATTAAAAAGTATTTATTATCATCAGAATAGATTTTAGAGAAATGTGATCAATCAAACTGCATTCTTAATGTAAATTTCTCGATACAAGAAAATAAAGCTGAATTTACGATTGTGAGAGCTGATAATGGCAAACCAGCATCATATCCATTATTTATTAATAGATTAAAAATCTATGGTTTATCACCATCCTAAAACATTAAATGTTCAAGCAATGTAATTCTTAGATTTAAGTTAGAAAATTGTTGAGTGTTCATACAGCAATGATAATACATTCCCGTATATTTCCATCATAGAATTAAATGAAGGAATTGGCCTTGAGTTTGGTGAAACAACAGACATATTCAAATTAACATTATAATTTTCATGAATATAATATCACTTAAATTATTTCATAGACTTTTGTCTTCTACTTTATTACTTTTGATTCCTGTGTTTTGAATAAATCTGGAGTAAAATTAATTCTAGTCTCCTCTCACTCTGAGATTAAATAATAATATTCTATTATGATTCCATAATATTCTAATATCTATAAAACAATAAACTTATATCTTTTATAAAGTGAAAATAATTGTCAATGAGAAATATATATCATTTAATAAATGCAATTACTACTGTAATGTCATCTATGACTTCATCTTCTCTTTACCATGCTTCTCTTGCGGCTTGAATCAGTCTTTAGCAAGCACCTTGAGTATCATCTTTTCTATAATATTCATAAACAGTCTCAATAACCCATTCATTAGAGAGGAATCTAATATTTAGTATCAATAATACTCCCATATTCCATCAGATGCAACAATAATGAACTTATCACAAAGGCAAAAGTGAATGTTTTATTATTTCAGGCTCACAAATCACACCAACTTAACTAGCAACATAATCACCAAAACTTCTTGACATAGCTAAACCAGGGACATCCTCATCAGATTTCCAAACTCTAGCAGGTCCAACTGGATTGCCATCTTCATCACTATATGCTTGCACACGACCTCCTCTTTGAATGATTCTGGCTTACTCTAGAAAACAATCAGGTTTATGATCTTTCGACAATTCAATTACCGACAATTTATTATCGAATCTTCCTATAACTGCTCTACTATCACCAATATTGGCACAGTATAATACATTTTCAAAGGAGATTACTGTTACAGTGGTTGCACCTGAGTAAGTGACATCAATTCCACTTTCAAGTAATTCTTCATTGGTTTATAAAAAACAGTTTTTGAGGATTGTGTTAACTTATCTAGGAATTAATTAAATATTGTACTTATCTCTATCATAACAGGATGAAATGGCCTAGATTCCTTATTCAATGAAGGAAGGTAATACTTATTGTAGGAATTGAGCTACTTAGTGGCCATTTGTGCCATGTCCATCTGAAACTTAAATATACCAATCATTTTCTTTGTTGTTAAATTTGTTGATTAGTTTGTAGATGTCCTAATTGGTTTTAGTTTAACCATTGTAAAGCATTCCAGGAGCACTCAATCCATTTGCTTTTGCTATATAGAGGTGCAAGTTTGAAATATCAGGATTACTAATTGAACGAGGTCCTTTAAATAATTTCGATTTAACTATGGATTGTTATTGTTGCTTAGTCATTTCCATTAATTTCTGGTATTTTTTAGAAATGCCTTGTTGATTGAATAGATCTTTGTTTTACTAAATTACAGGTTATTTAGTTTCAGGCCTCTCCTGCTTGATTTTTAATAAGATTGACAAGGCATTGGCAGATAAGTTATGTGAATTTTCTTTGGTTTCAATTAATTTGCTGTTCTAACGTGCATGAGTTTTTTTGAGTAATACACTGCTAACATCTTTGAAATCCTTTCCACTGGCTGGCCTTGATTTTTTGGCTTCAATTTTTGAATTGCCACCTCCATTCCTATTGCTGGGTACTAGATATCTAAATAGTAATTTGATTGTTGTACTTGTTTGCATTTACGATTGGTGACTTCAATCGGGCTTATTATTCTTGCTCACTTTTCCTTTTTAGAAGTGAAGCATATAATTTATCTGGAGAAATTTAGGAGGCTTTAGCTTTCATGCAAAATAGTTGTTAATTATTAAAATTATAAATATATACATATTTTACTTGATCATATTTTTTCATCATTCACCTCTCCTCTCGAACCCTCTACTGTGGATTTAGCTTATCACTATACTACTTCAGGAGATACTCTACATAAGCCTATAATGTAATAATAAGCATTTTAATTGGTGTTGCATTCATTTATGTATTTCATCATCATTATTCTATTTTATTTTACAACCAAAATATTTTATTTAATTTTAGTTATTTTATTTATTTCTTAAATATAAAATCACAAATTCTAATCTCTACCTTGATAACTTAAATATTCCACTAAAATCTTAAGGTTTTCCCAATTAACTATATGAAAATACCAGAATCTTAAGTGATATTCAACAAGCTTTTTAATATCTTTATCTCCCTCTTTGTTAACTCCTATTTTTACAATTGACTATTCAATATCAGCAAAAGAAATGATATGCAGTTCATATATTTTTATAAATTATCCATTTTAATAATATATATGTTAAAATTTATTAATATTTATTTATTAAACCATACATCCTATATTCGCTAAATATATTTTATTATAAAAACCTTTGATTTAGAGATTATAAAATAAAATGTAAAATTAAGATTAAGAATATTTGCTCAATAATGTGAACCCCATCTTAGAATAACTAGCACTCTATTTAGTTAAAGAAAAGCCTGACAATGTGGTAATTCCTATTCATTATGATTTAATTAGACCCAAGCATCAATTGAATGGTTAAGCGTAACAGGAGGTATTGTTATTATTCATCAATTCACTAGCTCAAATTGAAAATGGATTACATCATAACCAAAATTTTCATAATGACACTGTTGAATCATCTGATGATACAGAATCTGATGAGGATGACTACGAACTCTATGCCAATAATCCCATTCGACCAGATAGAGCAAGCGTTAGTGCTGAAGTCTATGGAATTTATAACAAGAAAACTAATTTCAAACCTAAAATAGTTGCAAAATCTCACTTGCAAATTCAGAAAATCAAAGAAAAATTAGCATAATCATTTATGTTCTCGGAATTGGATGAACATGATCTGAGAATAGTCATAAATGCTATGGAAGTCATCCAATGTAAAAAGGGAGATATAATCATCCGATAAGGAGATGACGGTGACAATCTATATATTGTTGATGAAGGGACACTGGACTGCTCACGAACTAAAGCAGGCCAAGATTCAGTTCATCTGAAAACATACAAACCAGGTGAATCCTTTGGTGAATTAGCACTCTTATACAATTCCCCCAGAGCAGCCACAATAGTTGCAGAGGAAAACTGCGTTCTATTCTCCCTAGATAGAGGAACCTTCAATCACATAGTCAAAGATGCTGCCATCAGAAAGCGAGAAAGATATGAATACTTTTTAGCTCATGTTGAATTGCTTTAAGAGTTAGACCCCTATAGCAGATCTTAGATTGCTGATGCACTAAAGAGCAGAAACTTCAACATAGGTGACTACATAGTTAAGGAAGGAGACGAAGGAGATATCTTTTACTTCCTTGAGAAGGGAGAAGCTGTAGCCACAAAAGTCTTGAATCAAAGTATTCTCTTTCTTAATACCCTTTAGGTTAGCCTGCTTAAGAAGTTTACTTTTATAAGGAAGGTGATTATTTTGGAGAAATTGCCCTACTGAGATAAGCTCCAAGAGCTGCCTCTGTCATTGCCGAAGTAATCCCCATTTTCATTAAATCATAGACTCCGTGCACTGTTGTTTATTTGGATAGGGAGACATTCAAGAGATTATTGGGACCACTTGAAGATATACTCACTCGTAATTTTAAGAAGTACGAAAAATACATGAATTGAGATTATAAAATATCTATTTATTTTATAATAGTAAATTTTATAACTGCATTGCTAATTTATTTCATTTTTCAATCTTTACAAAATTATTCTGAACAAATTAAATAATCAATTCTTGAAATCCTATTACTTAAAGTAAATTTGTTCCATTTAATTTAATAATTTTATATATTCTATTTTAAGAATCAAAGTATTAAAGTTTTAAATTCCCTTTTGATTACTAGGCCTAAAACACTTGACTGTAGAGTGACTTTAGAAAAACAACAATAAAGTTATGTAAATTCTAAATTGGAAAAACTAAACATTAACCTAATTATAGAAATATAACAAAAATCAGTTTCAGCTCAGTATCTGAGATTATGCAAAAACCATTTAAGGTATAGGTTGTAATTGCATGTTAAAATTTAATTTGTACTTTTTAAATTAATTATGACTAAAAATTTTCATCACTTCTTTTGTAATGATGAATTCTCTTATTTATTAGAAGCCATTATTTATCAACAAATTTATGTTAATTTTTCGAAAATTATTGATTTCAACTTTTCCTATTCTCTGTTATATATTCCATTATTACTTAGTAGTATTGCTTCTCTCAAAATTAGTGACATTTTAATATTGCTTTAAATTTTAGGAGAATCATAATTTAATAGTCATAAATCTCTTACAATATTGATACTCAATTACTAGTAATAATATAGAATATTGATTTAGCATTTTTCTATGCTTTTCCATATATTAAGGGTTCTCAAATCGTATAGTAGAGTTTATATACATGTCACAAATCGTTATACGAAAAATTTTGATGATAAGAAAAGTAGCATATAATTTAATGTCATATTATTATTAATTATTTGTTAACTTTATGAATTTATCTGCCAGATCCTATATGCCAACATAAAAATCTATTTCTCCTTTGAATGATCGAACAACCAAGAAGCGAACTCTTACAATATATGAACTTACCAAGTCTTCAAAAAAAACAAACAAGATAATTACAGAAAAATCCACTCAAAAAAAATTGACTTCCAATAGTTCTCAAGAGACTTCAGAAATATGTTTAACTAGGAATGATTCTGCATAGGACAACACCAGATTATAATAATTGAAAATTTAAGTTTTAACGTACACATTTATCTCTCTAAAAGCTTAGAGAAAAAGTCTAACAGATTGAATAACTTAATTTCTAGAAAACTACTCTCCTGCTTAAAGAACTTCAATACTATCGCAATAAGCCCCTTAATAGTTCAAATACTTCGGTAATGGTTGCTTTGGCCTTAGCACGTATCTGATATTATAATTACTTTATAGATACTAATATTAATCATTCATAACTCTTAATTATTTTTACTTTAAATCTACTTGTTTTTATGGAAATATTATCATTACAAACTGAAATTTCAAAATCTATTATAACTGAGTCAAACATGAGTGATTAGTTATTCTAATAAATTCCCAAGATTTATCGACAGAATAGAGATTTTTTGATTAATTTAATGGATAAAAATTTTGATACAAATATTTCTAATTGTTATAAGTCAATAATTTCTCAATTATATTACTAATTCATATTTAATAACTAAGAAGTAAATTAGGATATTTCTAGAAATAATAAATAAAAAGCAGAATTAATTTATTAATCTTATCTGTGCATTCAAAGCTATCTAGGTAGAAATATCTTACCATAGAAATAAGCTCTTTATCTAAAAATATATTGATACCCTTAATTAATTATCATCATTCCAATTTTTTTTGAATCATTTTTATTAAGGATAATAGTTTTATAATGAAATATGTGGCCAAGTTTAATTTCCTAAAATTCATTTAGTAATTTTACATTTTATTATTCATTTTTATTACAGTCCTCTCTATCATAAACCTCCTTATCATTTATGTTTTCTTAGTATTAAAATAACCTTCTAGTATTTCAAATTTATTTTTTTTCACTCTTAATTACAATAAAAATAAAGATGAGGATAATCTACCACAACAAATATGAGAGTATAACTTTAAAAAGGATATTTAATTTCCTAATATTCGTAAGACATAAAAATTTAATAATTGTTAGATGTATTGAAAACAAAAGAATATTAATAATATGAATCAAAAAGAGAATTCACTGCGATCTGACTAAGCTTCAACTTTCTGTTAGCTAATCTTGTATTATACAATTTGATAGCTTGATCTCCATAGTTAAAGGATATTTTTGGGATTTAATTCCATCTATTCAGCCTTTTCTTTATAATACAGCTCTTTGTAATAATTATCTTCAAATTATTGTAAATAACTTCTAGTGGGTTCTTCAAATTATTATGAATTTGGAATAAAGAGTGTAATTCCAGGTTCTATTCTTTTTACTCTTTCCTTAAAACTACTCAATAAATCATAGTCTTCATTTTCTACTTTAATACTGAAATTGTATTGTGTTTTTTCTTAAATATCATTTTATTCATTATTTTCAGTATTTTTTTTGACTTTTTTCTTTTGAGCAGGCTCTGTTGAACAGAAGTCTTGCTTACAAAATTTTTCAAGTTCAAATTAAAATTATTTCATCTCATCGGACATTTTACATTTTAATTCTTTAATTTTTTCTAATAATGTTCTCAATTTATGATAATGGAGCTGATTTACAGGAACTATAGGAGCCTGAGTGTTACAAATTTGCATTTAAATGAGAATTTGTTTTGATTCACTAACAAAGTCTTATCCTTTGGACCATTTCTTTTATTTTACTTATTTCTCCTTTTCGTCAGCTTAAATTTATGGTGTTTCATTTGTTTCATTATCAATATTCGTTTGAAATTAAATAACTTGATTATCTTTAGTTTCTTTAGATTCTTTGTAGAAACTTAAGAAATCGAATTCATTTTGAACTCTTTTTTGAAACTCTATCAAAATAAACTGTTAGAATTTAGTTTCAACACTCTTCGCACTTTCTATTAAAAATGCTTTTAAGTCTTCTCTTACGTTTTCAGGGAGACTTCCTAAATGTTTCCACACTCCTTAGTTGGGATATGATTAAAGAGTAGCTCTTCTATTAGCAGTTCCAGGTTTAATTGATACACAAGTTGACAAAAGGTGATATGGTAAATTCTTATCATTAAAATATTTCCTCATTGTATTTAATGCCCACTTCATAAATAATTTCTTCTTTCCTTCTATTTCTTGAAAATCTTTATTTGGTTAATTTGACATTTTTATTATTGAAATTTGATTCATATAATAACTTGGTTAAAACACACTTAATTCTATCATCTTAATTCTATAAATAATGATACTTAATAAAAAAGACTTTGTAATACTATCATAATTAATAGAGTCTGAAATTTTGTAAACTTTTTTACTAAAATTGGAGTGTTAGATTAAAACATGAATGGAGCAAGTCTTCAATCCGATTTACTTGATACCTCCCTAGAAATATAGAATATCCAATTTTTGGACTTCTTATAAAATACCTGCCCAAAAGATGCACACCTCAAAAGAGTAAAGCTAAATGAAGTATATTTTTATAGAAACCTCCTTTCTATAAAGAAGTGTCAAAATAGAATTCCTTTTTACTTTTTATTTAAAAATTCAGTTTATAATTAATAAGCGTATTTCTATTATTGTAAAATTTTCCAATTTTCATATTAAAACCATTATTTGTTATTTGTGCTCAATATTAGGATCAAAACCTATGTTTACTTTAAATAAAGTGTTTAATTTGAACCTTTCCTTAATATGTCTAAATTTTTCACAATCATTATAATCAACTTTTGAGTTCTTCCTCAATTATTAAATAAACTACTCATTTAACTCATATTCTCAGCTTCCCTTTGATTGATTCAATTGCAATAATAAAATAACAAATAATAATTGCAAAAAGGAATAAAAAAATTGTATAATTCAATTAAAATGTGTTAGCAAAGGTATAATGATGCAAATGAATTAGAGAAATATAATTTAATGCTCTATTTTAATAATAATCATCATAAATTCCATGATTTCTTTAAAATTGCTTCAAAAGTCTCATCTTATTCTATTGCTGATGACACATCCTAGTATAAATATAATCAAAGTTACCTAATAAAATTCACCGAACTCTTAAAATTAAATTACTCTGTCTGGTTATGCCTTATTCCAATGAGACACAAATTCCTAAAACACTTATCTCTCTGTTTTATATCCCTTGAGTACATCAGGATGTTCTTTAACATTGATGGTTCTGCCCATGGTATCCAAAGTGACTTTGCCTGCTCTTTATTCAATAGATGCATATGCTCTTTAAACAAAGTAAAGTCTTTTATCGCTCATTTGTAACTAACTATGGATTAAAGTAATTTACTCTAAAGGCATCCAAAAATTCATTGAATTCAATCTTCCCATTGTTATTTTTGTCAAATGTTTAAAAGATCATTTTAGTTTCATCTTCACTCAGATTGAGTCCAAAGTTTCTCAGTCCCCATTTAAAGTCATCATACTCAACAACCCCATCTATTATAATGCGTAAATTATTACTATTATTTTGATCCATTTCAAAAAAGCCTTTAGCCAACCCTCTCAATCCATAAGAACCTTTACCTGTTATTTATTATTTAACTCTAATCATAAGATTCTTAACATTTCTATTGTCATCCATCACTGATTCATCAAATTATTGACTTTATTTAGTTGCAATAACAAATTTCCATAAATTCTAAGGTCTATAAAATAATTTTAATTAATATCTACTCTTAATTTCTTAATGGAATATCAATAGTAGTCCTGCCCTCTTTTTCTGCTATTAAATTTTGTGTTTTATTCAAACATTAATAAGAGTGCACAAAAACTTCGCGTTCTCTACCAAAATCGTTTTGATACACTATATCATCACTTGCTAACCAATGTTAGGTAAATGAATGTTTAACAAGTACAACGTCATCAATTCTAATAGGTTGCCCTTCCATTTCAAATCTAATTTTTGGATCTGAATGTTCTAATTTCCACACTGTATTAAAAACATCGCTCTCTATGGCACAAACTTCTTATTTTCTTGATATTTTAGCACATCTGGTAGGTGTCTATGGAAGTGAATGGAGATAAAAAGTTTTATTGTTTGATATTCTTGGATTTGCAAGGATTCTGAAATGTTATCCATAATGTAAAATATCATCACCAAAGTAATTGGGTTCTTTGTTATAAGGCACAACTACGAATACAGATCTTACTGTTGATTATGCTGTTGGGGCTGTAGTAACATTGTAGGCTTCTTCATTTATTTTCAATCTTTCTTAGATGTCTATTGATAAAAAGCCTTATGTTTTTAGATTTTAAAGCATAATATGGAATCCGAAATGAATGTATTCATCCTTTGGATAAGTAAGTGATGCTAGTCTAAGACTGAAGTTAGTTTTTTAATCCTTGACAATGCTTGCCAGTTACCCATTTTATCTATTTTTCAAATAGTCCTTTTTCCTAATAAATTCATGAACAAATTCTCACTTGGTCTCATCTAACTCCCACTCTTCAAACCAATTACCGATGCGTGTCTAGAACTTGTATTTGTGATCGACGTTGAAATTGTGCATTTAATAATGATTAAATAAATTATTATTGATTAAAGATAATATTAATAACTAATATTTTTCAAGACCAAAGCCCTGTAGTATTTCAAATAAAATTGAATTTAATAGATCGCACTTGGTAACAAGCAATTAGAAATTATAATAAAATTATAGATCCTACTTATGTTCATAATGTAAATAAATACAAATTTTACAAATTCTTTGCTTTGAAAATAAGGCTAATTTCTTGAGAAAATATATAACATATATAATTTTCATACTAAATTAACATTATGATATTTTAACAATTTGCAATTATTTTCAATAATTTATTATTTGATAATATAATTATTGATATTAGAATTGATTTGCGTGATAATGAGCTTTACAAATACTGAATTGACGACTGAAGCTTCATCATTTAAGATTAAAATGTTTGCTTTACTCTCGGGGTATAATTTATAGACCATGTTGAAATTATAGCATAGACATATGTCTTGTTGTGTTTATGACTTAAAATTTAAATCCATTCTCTGTAAAATGCATTGTTGTATAATCTTTAACAATCATTTGGATTTAAAAATTGAGAAATATAATTTTTTGAGAATTGTGAAGCTTTTTATTTGCATGCCAAAACCTATCAAATTGAGTGTAATTTAAAAGATTGTTCTTTAACGTTATAAATGATTGATTACTGAATGTAAATTTCCTAAAGGTTGTTTATAAACGCGTCAGCTTCAACATTTGAATGCAATTAATAAATCAATTTTGCTTTTTATTCCAATTCTACCTTTAGGGTTTTAAATGCATATGAATTTGACTTAAGAATATTATAACTAGTCTGTTTTATTTCCGTGGAAATTATAATAAATTGAATCAGCCTCCCTTTTTGAAAGAATGTAATATTTATTTGAGTTTAACTTGCAAATTATAGTTAGATTCATAAAAAGAAAGTTCTTGATTGTTCGCTTACGCTTTATAAAATAAAATGAATACGTAATCTTTAGACAGAAACGTATAAAACTGTTACATCAATGATTCATTTTAGATATTCCTATAAATATTGATGATGGATGATATTGAAAACTAATGAAAGAATGTTGAATAAACAAAAAAATAATTTGAAAAATTAATAATTTATAGGTGTTGATGAAAGCTTTGTCACTACTTTTAAGTGCACGCACGGCTTTTTCAACCCCTCATAACTGCAGCTACCAGTTTGAAGGGTCTAATTCACTACTACTAATGCTACAACCTCTAATATTCTTCGTTTGGATCATATTATTTGATAGCTTACTTCACAACTCCCTCACTTTGATTACTGGCATTATTAATTTAATTTGTGTTATTGTTTTAATTGATATTTGTATTCTTTTAAATCTCTACATTGATTACATTGTTCAAATTAGTTATGGATGCTAAAATTAAAAAATAATAAACATGAATGTTATGTTGAGGACATTGACATAATACTAAAATCTGTATTGATAATAGGTTCTGGTATAGGCTGCCAAACTGAATTTTCAATATCCTCATGCTTATTCTCCTCATCTTCTTAATATTAACCTTCATAATAAGGATAATATTTAAATTAGTTTAATTGTGTTGTCCCACTAAAGGACCCTTCCTAACCTTAACTTCCCGCTCCTTTTTATCTTCTTTATTGCTCTCTCATTAGCTTGCGAAGTTTTCGTTTTAGGATTCTAAGTTTTTTGGTTTTCCTAATAAAAGTAAATTTTTCTAGATTAAATACTTGAATACAACAGACTCTTAAACTGTCTAGATGATCATGCTCGTAGTGTTATAATGAGCTTCGAACATTTAAGCGAATATTTCTTTTTCTGCTTCTAATTCTAATTCTTCATCGCTGAAGGTTTATATGTATTAAAATGAAGTTTATGAAGATAATGTAGAATTACTGATTGATGAGGTGGAGAATGACATTTGATTGATATTATGATTTTTTTTTTGTTTTAATTAATATCTCTATTGTTATATATAAATGCTCAAAAATACAACTTAATATTATAGTATATGAATATTGACCTAATAATGCCTTTTTAATAAGTTGTAGTACTCTAGATTGAATGTATTTTGTATTAATATTATTCTTTTTCTTTATATGTTTTATTACAAATGGAATTCTTATGTATGTGTGTTATCCAAAATTTAAATTCTATTTTTCTAAAAAATAACTGGAATTTAGTTTCAATTAATCATTCTCTTGAATAATGTAAACATCAATTTAACCAGAGAATACTCAAAAGTCTACCTATCTTGAAAAAGTACAAGATATTAGATGCATAGAAAACATTTTAGTTGATAATAATTTATGCCATGAATAATATTGTAGAAATGCTTAAGATTGGATCTTTTTCCCTTTTGTTACAGATGTAAATCAGTCATCTCAATCCAAATAACAGTATGGATCTATTTATTTTTTAGAACAATTCAATATCCTCACTTAATAAGTATCTATTAGAATTTTGCTAGAATTCTTAACTTATTACAATCAACTTGAATAAATTAATTTTTAATATCATTTATTTTATATAAATCAATTTAATACAATTATCATTAATCAAATTCTAATTTCTGTTTCATGGTAAAGATGCAATATAAATTCCAGTTTTTTCTAAAGCTGAGGTAGTTTAAAATAATAGTCCATCAAGCATTCTGTTAAGCTGTCTCTAATTTCATGAAAAGGGTTTTATAATTACTTTCCACTAAAAGATCCATTCCTAATCTTAATTTAATATACTCTCTAGTTCTTGAATAAATCTCATGATCAATTTCAGATTTAAAAATAGCATCAACAATCTCTTAACTATTAATACATAAAAAGTCTTGAGTTCTTATATTATTTTCTAATTTTACCTAATTTTAAATACAATAAAATAATTCCATCAAACTATTTTATTCTTTGGTTTTAGATAAAAGCTCATCCTATTTTGAACATAAATTAAAATTATTTTCTATTGTTTTGATTTATTTTTAAACTCTTTATACTTAAATATGGTAATAAAAATTTGAATTTTATTCAAATTCTTGATTAAACTTCTTACAAACATATCTTGTATTTTAGATGTCTTTCAATGAGCAATATGATAATATACCTTTAAAAAATAAAGTTCCTAAGTTTGAAATATTTTCTAATTAATTTAATTTTGATCTTTATTTTGTGAGTAAATTATGTAAAAATATTTATTATTATTATAGATTTAGAACTATTTTTTCTTTGTTATATGCATCACAAATTAATTTATAATCTGATTGTGTTGTAAAATCGTATAGATTCTTTATATATTTTGTTAAGGCTATATTCTCTTTTGAATTTATGTAATTCTTTTAATTCCTATTTTTTGACATGTAATTCCTAATCAATCTTCTTTCTTTTTCAAGTAAGCCATACCAATCCAAAGGTTGATACTGAAGGCAGATAACAGTTTACAAGATATCATATTTTGTCACATATTGTTTTTATTTTTATTCTTAAGATTTAGTTGCCATATATAAATCAGCAAGTAAGGTGAATTAAGATATCTGTTGGGAGGGAATTTGAGAAATGCTTCCATTTATCGACATCAGTTTCCTCAATTATTTTAAAATATTATTTAAACTTGGAATTACAGGTTGCTAAAAGTCTTGAATATTGAGGGATTTTACATAATTCTATCTTTGTATTTTAATATAATATAGAAATTCTATATTTGCTTCTATTAAATGATTTGTTAAAATGCTCACAAGCCTTAATTACATGAGGTCTTGTGTAGATAAAAACACCATAATATTTCTAAAGACAATCTGAGAAACAAATCTCCCAAAAAGATTCTATTGCTTTTAGGTTTTTACATATTTTTCCAACTTAAATTTTGGTTAGGGTTATTTTTTATTGAGATTATCTTTTAAATTACTTTTTGGAAGTGTTAAGTTTTAGAATGAATAAAATAAATTTTAATATGCATTAAAAGCTGTTCTTGTTTATTTTTATGTTATTTGCTGTTTTTATCTTAATCCTTATTGCGAATGCTTTAAAAAGATATTATCTTAACTCATTTATTTTTTTATTAAAAGTTTTGCAAATATAATTATAAAAAGAAGGTTCTGATTCTGTTGAAATCTATTGGATGCAAGAAGCATAAAGTTTATTGATAAATGAAAATTCACCTAGATAAAGAGTGAAAAATTGAAATTTAACAATCATATCCAATGTTATTTTGAATTATTAATACATATTTTGCTATTTAAATCGTTTTAATAGGTTTTTATAATTATTTATCCCTAAGATCAGTCTATGGAAGAGTAAATAAAGGTTTAGGTACCCAATTGAAAAGCGATGATAATAAATAGTCTCCCATTCAAAGGGGAAAGGAATGGCCAAATGTCTGAGTGACCTTATTATGAATTCGATAATATATATTGAATTATTAAGATTTTCTATAGAAATAGGCAGATTTAAATTGTTAAGTGAACAATTCCTATCTAAATATTCACTAAAAGATATGAATACTTTTTAAATGACTTGATATAGTAATATCAACTCACAAACAATTAATTATTTTTGCTACAAATCATAAATCATAAATCATATGGGGTTATGCACATCAAAAAAACACAACTATCCGCTTCAGAGAAGCTAACCGTAGAGGAATATTGAAATCGACTTTGTCAAATTGCTAGAGTATAATCGTAAAAAGGAAGTCAAGGATAATAAGAATAATTAACAACAACAATCATTCTGTTAGATTTTCTTACAAGATAATAAAACCTCTAATCCTCAAACCTTAACGTAAAACTTAGCTCCAACAGCATAGTTAGACTACAAGAAAATATGATTCTATTCTTGGTTAATCCTTGAAGCTCTATGAGTTATGAATATATTTAATAAACTGAATTATTAATAACAATACTCCTGTTTACTCTACTATTTAAATACTTCCTAATACCCACAAAGTTTCATATTTACTGTATTTAATTTGAAAACATCCAAATTAATCAAATAATAATATATATAATCAATAGAAATAAAGAATTGTTCAAAGATCTTGATTTGCATCACAATTTGAACAAGTAAACTCAAGCTCTCAACACTTATTAAGTGTAGTTTCAAAAAAAAATTTATTTTTTACTAGAATCTCTTTTTTTACCAATATTACATAAATAAGTTCTTCTCTTTTCAACATTTGAGCATTTAACTAATAAATGATAAATTTATGAAGTTCCTTTGTTTAAATTTATCAACATTTAGGTTAGAAAATTTAAATATAGTAGTTCATTTTATTGTTAATAATTAACAACTCTTTGTTGGTAATCCGATGTTTTTTCAACCTTAAATTGTTGGTCTAATATTTATAGTATTCGTTATATTTAATGTATTGTTTCTATGATCTTTCAATATTTTAATTTCATCAAAAATTTTGACAATATTAAACATAATGACGAAATGATTAGTCTTTCTACTACTATAGTAAGTTTGAGTTTAATAAATAAAAGAAGAAAATACAAACATTACAATAAAATAGATTCAAGTAATCTTTCGTAATTACTATTCCATACATTAATTTTTATTTATATTTTACTTTTCATTAATAGAAACACATTTTAAGCTTTACCTAATCCAATGACACACTCAATTCACTGATTTGTATTTATATGGCATCGTTTCGTAAAAATAGGATGGTTATCTTATTGAATATTTAATGAAAATAATTTATTACGATTTCCATATTATCTGACTTCAAATTCATTATCGTTTTTTATAAAATTAATATTTAAGTTATCGTTATTTTAATAAATTCTTTTTGTATATTAGACCATGAAGAGTTAGAATGAGTACAACAATTATTGATTAATTTTCTTTACGTATTTATTCATGTTAATGTATATTTCACCACTCAAGGAAAGGATCATCAGCTGGCTTAAGAGCAGGACTCTAGGTATCAGATTCTGGATAGGATGAGAAATTTGACGTATCATTTGCAGCTCTAATTTTGAATTATAGAATAATTACTTAACAACAGGTTTATAGGGAACTGGTAATTTCTTTTGGGTAAGCAAATTCCAATCTAGATTTCCAAACCATCTATGATTCTTAATATCAGCAGCTCCTATGAAATATTTAAGGCTATTGAGATACCATTTTTTAAGTTTCCATATCTTTTCGATAAATCTGCAACTAATAAATGTTTGACCAAGGATTTAGCATTTCTACAATAAGAAAAAAGAAGTGTACTTGTCAAATGTTTTTGGAAATTTAACCTTGCCCTTAAGAATTTTTTAATAAATAGCCATAGGATCCTCATCAGAGAAAGGATCGATTCCTGCATTCATTTCATAGATTAAAATTCCCAAAGTCCACCAATCAACAGCTTTACCATGTCCCTTATTTAATAAGATTTCTGGAGCCAAATATTCTGGAGTTCCGCATAATGTATAAGTTCTTCCTTCAACTACTTTAGCAAATCCGAAATCTGTTAATTTTAAATATCCATCATCAGCAATCAATAAATTTTCTGGTTTCAAATCTCTATAGATAATATTTTTGGAATGAAGGTATTCAAAAATTGAGGCAACTTATGAAGCATAAAAACTATAAAATTTAATATAATATTTTACGCAGCATGTGAAGTATCAAGTCTTCCAATACTTCTCAAATATGTAAATAACTCGCCACCTGACACAAATTCTAAGACTAAATATAAATATCTTGGATCTTGACAAAATCCTTCAAAATTGACCTATTAAAGATTAATCTATCAATTTACGACGAAAGGATGAGATAAGTTGCCCAATATAGTATTCTCGTTAATAACATGATCAACTTATTTTAATCTAATAATTTCAGCTTTCTTTAAACTTTTCAAAGCAACATATTTATTTGTTTATTTGTTTCTAGCCAATTTAACTCTTCCGAATGATCCTAAAGATAAGAATTGCAACTCAATACCTGTTCCAAGTGTTTGAAACACTTCATAATCTGTCAATTTCAGCTTCTTTGGTTTTGCCAACCCTGTACTCATATTCCTTAAGATTTATGAAATAAATAAAATATATAGATATAAATTAATAGCACACGCATAAGAACTCTATACAAAAATGAATATTAGAAGTACTACTTGACTCTTGTAATCATTTTATCAGACTGTAAGAGGATCAAGACAATATAAAAAATATTCGAAATTACAGTTTTCTAAAACAGAATCAATAATTTTATTGTATTGGCTTCTTGAAGTAGTATAGAATATCTACTAAGATATTTTATGTAAATGTTAAATATTTATACATCCTTAAATTTAACAAATATCAGCCATCTCTTTAATCTCCAAAGGTTTCTTGGGGCTCGTCTTCCCCTCCTTAACGTCCTGATTGTTATTACTTCTTTTTGATTCCCGAAACAACGTCATCTATTCTCAATAACATACAAGCTGATTCAATGGCAGTCTTAAAAACTTGCCTATATAAAATAGATCATTATAACTGACTTTTTAACTGAAAGTGGTTCCCAAACATTAATTTCATTCATCTTGGCAATCTTTCCAGTATTCCCATCAACTCCAAAATAAAGACCTCCAGTTTCACTGTGTTTTGCTCTCAATTCAGTTAATACTCGAACAGTATCAGCTCCACAATTGGCTGAGAGAGTTCTTGGAATGATTTCTAAGGCATAAGCAACTTTATTATGATGAATTGATTAAATATACCTGCTTTGTATGGTAATTATCCTAATCCTTCAACCTTATTAGCTTTTTCCAACAATCTAGCACTAACCTCCATTTCAACAGCTCCTCCTCCTGGTAATAGTTTTGGATCCTAATAAATGTTCTTAGCAACAGCCAAACAATCATGTAAATTTCTTTCCTATTTAATTAATTCATTTTATAATACCATTTCATTGAGTACATCTTTTGAAGCTCCTCTCAAAATGATTGAACAAGCAGTAGGATTTTGGCAATCAACAAAGAATGCAAAATAGTCATCTCCTATCTTTTTGACTTCGAAAGTTCCACATAATGTACCAACATCAGTTTCTTACAATTCTTCTGGTCTATTGACAATCGTTGCCCCAGATACTCTTGCTATTCTAGTATTGTCTGTTTTTCTAACTCTTCGAATGACAGAAACATTGCCTTTTAATAGGAAATGTTAAGCCAAATCAGAGACTCCCTTTTCTGTAATAACAATATCAGGTTTATGTTTCAAAATATCATTACACATTAAAGCAACTTCATTAATTTCTTATTAAAGTGCATCAGTCATATCTGATTCTTTTGTCATCTCCATATTAGTCATAGACTCTCCCTTTTTGTATTCTAATGTACAATCCAATAAAATGATTCTTGGATTTTTGATTTCTCTTCTCATTCTTGGATGAGTGACATCTTTATTAATCATGACTCCTTCAAGTACACAACTTTCTTCAAGAGTGCCACCAGGAATCTTCTCTACTTTTGCATACCTCTTGATTTCCAAATTCAATTTATTAATATTTCCACCTTCTTAAAACTATCCTTGTTGCTTGTAAGGAGAGATCACTGATTAATGTTCCCCATCTGAATGCAAATTTAGTACCAATACAAGATTGTAAGGCTTTCATAACTTCTTCCTTTTTGTCAGTGTCAATCTATTATGCAATTTCATCTAAAATTGAAACTGAATCTTCCAGAGCTTTAAAATAACCATTAACAATTTCAGTTGGATGGATATTCTTTTCTATGAATGGTCTTGCTGCAACCATCATTTCACCTGCCAGAATAATAACTGATGTTGTGCCATCTCCAACCTCTTCATCTTGAGCCTATAAATTATTATCATTAGCCATACTCTTGCTAATTCGATCATGCTCTTGGCTGCTGGATGTTGAACATCTATCTCCCTTAGGATAGCATTTCCATCATTTGTCATTACTATTCCTCCCATTGGATCTAGTAACATTTTTAACATCGAACGAGGACCAAGAGTCGTAAGGACTATATCTGACACAGCCTTAGCAGCTTATATATTTCCCAATTAAGCTTTTCTTCCTTATTCTCTTTTTGTATTAGCATTCACAACAATCACTGGAGCTCCTTACATATATTTTTTAAATAAAAAAACTTTTAATTGATTTTATTATTTTCTTTTATATTTATTAATATATATAATCATTTGTATATACAAAATTATTCTTATCAATTTTATCACATCTTCTAGACTAGATCTAAGAACTATTCAAAATATTGATAATAATTTGGAAAATCCTCCAAATTGAGTTTTTAAGTATTGATGATATTGAATTAATATCCGATCCAGATGGTTTTCAATATTTAACTTGCTCAAATTGCTTTTTATTGTAATTGAAATAATCCATTTATTGATTGATAATGAACTTTAGGCTTTCTAGTTACCATCCTAATTTATTATTATTAAATAAAAACAAATTTGTATTGAATTTATAACTATTTTTACTTACATAAATTAAGGATATATTATATTAAATTTATTATATTATAAAGGACTTATTCTATTTTAAACTCTATAAATATTGATAAAAATTATGCTTCAAATCATTAAATGCCTCCTAATAGCTTAAACAATGTACCTCACATATGCAGATATTGGATATAAAATATAATGGGAAGACAACAATTGGATGAATTGTGAAACCAAAACCTAAATTTAACCTACAAAGTGTTCTGAAGATGAATTGCATTGGGAAGAATGCTATAAAGTTCCAAATGAAGGTCTTTGTACAATTAATGATATTAAAACAACATTTTAAGGAGAATTATACTTTTACATTGCTTTCGAACTTGGATCGAGAGATGATATAATACATTAATATGATATTGAAATAAATAGGAATAGATATTAATGGTTATAATAAGCAATTTAAAGTTTAAAGTTGGACTCAAACTCGATTAGCATTAAGATAATAACTCCAGGTTTAGTGATATCTGGTTTAACAATAAGGAATACACCATTTTCTAATAATTCTACTTGTGACGACACTTCTTTTTATTTCAATTACCAATGCTTACCTGAGTATTGCTTAGACTAAATCTCTTCAATCAATTCTAGCACTCACACTGGTTCAACTAGTTAAATTGATCAAATTACTAATAATTTATAAATAATATCCACCTTTAGCATACCTTTAATCTACTGTTTGGTTCCTAAGGTTTATTTAACTAAATCTATTGAAGATAACACAATAACAACTATATTACCAGATGAATAAGTTAATTTAGATGATAATGATAACAGAGTCTTATATTATTATTTGACTCCAAGCCAATATTAGAACTGCGAAAACTTTTAAACCTAAGAAGCGATTGTTTATTAATGTTATATAGGAATAGCCCTTGCAGTCAATAAAGTAACTTAATACTTACTGATGTTGATTTCCCAGATAATAGTTTAAAAGTCTACAAATGCATACACAAATTCTATTTAGACTTTCGAGATACCAACTTCAAATTCTGAATCTTTTACAATTGGACCCATTATTATTTTCAGTGATGCTTCAAACTCCATCGTTGATACAAACAGTATGCTCATCTAAACTACTTAGACTATTATAGATCCAAATTATCAAGATTATTAAATACATTTCTTAAATGCAAAGATGACTCAAAATTCAAATACTATTGATTTGAAATTAGAAGAGGAGCAATAAACAGGATCAATAAAAGTGATTACTCTATCCTATGATAGCAACAATTTTGATCAATAATAAAATTATTCCATCTCTATAAGATCCTCTTTGACAATGAATTCTACGAGAAGATTGTTAGGACAGAGAAATATTATTCCACAACTATAAATACGCAGTAGTGTTGATGGAAATAAAGTAGAATATTAAAAGATTAAAATTTATTCAAACCAGGAGTCTACTCTTTAGGGAGGATATCTGGCTTTGATTTTTATTGCTGTTCTACTATTTTCATTGCTTTTCATAATAGTCACAATCTTACTATTACAAAAAGTAGATGATAAATACTTCAAAATAAAGTAAAATGAAGATAAGAAAACTCCAACAGATATATAATCCAATTGATTTTATACAAAATTAAAATAAATATTTATCTCTAATATAATTCTTAATTTTACACTTATAATAACTCTAAAAGGAAGCTCTACCTATTAACCGATATAAATTATTACTTTTTATTAAGAAGTAACAACATCTTTGATATTTAACAACTACTTAATAAGCCAAATGGATATAAATTCTATCCATTCTCATATTATCACAAAAATATATTTTATATAAAATTATTAGATTATGAGTAATTTTGAATAAAAAAAATAGTAAATTATGAATAATTGATTATTTTCTTTTTGCAATAATTTGACATAACAAATCCTTTGAATTTATTAATAGACTATATATTTATAATATGTTAATGTGATGAGCCTACTATTGGCTTATTAGTAATGTAGCAATATTTAAGGAGGATATATTATTTTTGGCTATAAAACATATTATAGATATAATAATTATTTATTAAGGATGATAATTAATTTGAGTGAAAAAAAAATAAATAGAGATTTGAATTGAGATTCTTTTGGCTTTTGAAAAAATGATATTTAACTTTGAATTTGGATGTTTATTGACTATTTGATATAGAACAAGTGAACCATGGATTAACAAATGAGATCATTGTGAGAGGAAATTAAATTTAAAATATGCATTAAGAATTTATTAAAGAGAAGTGATAATAAACTTATAAATAGTTCTAATATATTTTTAATTTATTTCAATGTTTTTGGCTATAAATGGTTCTGCTTTTCCAATAAGGAATGAATTCAGATTACCAAAACTACGAGGTTAAAAAGGTAGATATCGAATTGTTATATAAAATATAGGTCTTCGATAATCGAAGTCTCGGTTGCAAGAGTAACCAGAATCTCCAGATAAATCAAGTAAATGTTTGACCAAGCCCTGTAGTCTACTAAAATATCAAGTTCCTGGTTCTATGATTTTGATTGCCAGATCTATGAAGTTTTCAAAAGACTAATTCACTCACAGGCAACGTGAAAAGCAGGAGGTTATTCCTGAGATTTTAGATGGATACAAATATTCATTAGGGTAAGGAAATAATCATGAGTTGGTACAGAGAATCATGGATGCAAGAACTGAATGGCATCTATGTAAAGAAAGTAATTCAATGAGTATAAATTTCAGATGGCAACAAACTAATAGAGGATATAAATATGATAGACTGATAGCAAATAGTTAATACAAACAATGTGTAAATCACTTTGAGTAACATTTTGAAATTTCTAATAAATAATATCTATTTAGAAACCTATGCCAACTATGTGAAGTAATATCTATATAGTTAATGTGTAGAATAATAAATAAAATGTGTTTGATTTTGTTCCTGTTACTTTTGTCCTAGATTTCAATGATGAATCTATAGATTCACAATTTACTTAATTTATAAAATTTTTTGATAAATTTGCTCCCAAAGATAAAAAAATAGAGCAGTTGCCAAAAAAGTTATAAGAGTACAAAAAAAAGTTGAAAGTACTTTCAATCAACTATTATATTTTAGATTCAAAGCACTCCCCTATTGGATAAAAAATTGCATTCCATTCCTCAAAAAATACCCAAGTGTTAAGAAGGAGATCAATATCTTTGGCTCCTTAAACCTACTTTCTTAAATAGAGGAAGAGGAATTCATGTAGTGAATGATATCGAAGCGATAATCTAATTAATAAGTGAGTTGTAATTGGGATCTGCAGAAGATTTGGAAGAACAAAAGAAAAAAAATGCCATCAAGGCCAACTCATTTGTAATTTAGAAATATATCGAACACCCATTCCTTATAAACAGTAGAAAATTTGACATCAGAGTTTGGGTCTTAGTCACTATGGATTTGAATTGCTACTTCTTTAAGGAAGGCTATATCAGGACTTCATGCGAAAACTTTACTACTGATAATGTTGATAATTAGTTCATTCATCTAACAAATAATGCTATTCAGAAGTACAGTGAAAAATACGGAGAGTTTGAAGATGGCAATCAATTGTCATTTGATGATTTTCAAAATTATTTAAATGATTAAGGATTCAAGGTTGACTTTTATGGAACCCATGTTCCCAAAATGAAATAACTTGTATGGACGTCATTGTAATCGGTCAAACGAAAATTGAATCTGTCCTAAAGAAGATATTGTATGGAAATATTTGGATATGATTTTATCATAGACAGTGATTTCAAAACTTGGTTAATAGAAGTCAATACTAATCCGTGCATTGAGGAATCCAGCAGTATTTTATAGATGCTCCTTCCAAGAATGCTAGGTAAATTCATTAATATCTACTTTATTATTAGATGATGCCTTTAAATTGACTATAGATACCATCTTCCCACCGAAATATTAAGATGATGAACCCACTGATTCCAAATATCCTGTTAAGAAATATCCCAACAATGAGAATCTATGGTATTATATACTTGATATTTTTAGGGAGCCTCTTGGCTGCTTAGACTCTCCAAAACAGTAATCTAAAGCTAATGTAATGCAACAATAACAATTATTATATTAATAGATGTATTACTAAAATTAATAGTAATAATTTTAACAGCAGATGCAACAGTAATATCAGTAATCTAGCAGTTAACATCATAATTAATTACCATATTATCTACAACCTCTTACGCCTTAATCATCATCCTAATTTTAATCAATTTGAATATATATTAATAATATGTTATATAATGTTATAAAGATACTAATCATTCTCCTTTTGAATCAAGATTTAGTTTCGCTTTTAAATTTCATTATTAAATATAATAATTGATTTATCAAAAGTTAAATATCAATATCCCTTTCAAAATGATTTCTTTAGATGTATTTTACTTTAAATTCAATTGAAATTAAACGCTTGATTTAATCGATAGGCAATATATTTAAAATCTCTTAATTGTATTTAATTTTAATGTTGAATGATCTTATTAATTTGAAAAACGAAATTGTTTAACTCTCATCATTATTATATCTTAATATAATTAGAATAATCTTTTAAATTCTAAGATCTTGGGATGAAAATAAAAATTAGAATGAAATGGCAAAATGCAATAAATAATAATTATGCTCTGTACATTAAAATTTTATCATCTGATTATAATAATCAATCATCACCTGTGTTTTTGAAAGTAATAAAGTTTATTACATTGTCTTTGATAGCACCTGGATGCAAGTTACGTTTGACTTCATTGTTATTACCAGCTGAAAGAAGGATTACTACTATCTATTAATTCTTGAATATTATTGATGTACTTTGACTATCATATTAATCAGGGCTGTTATCATGATGGTGGAATGCAAAAGGGAATCTACCTTCGTGTCTAAAATTTTGAATCTACTCCATAAATTGTGCCAGTACACAGCATAGACAAAATCAATTATGAATGAGAATAACAATAGATAAATTATCCGAGTATGGAACTATATTAAATTGGAATAATTTGCACTTTCTAAAACTCCCACAAAAATGCAGCAAAAATAAATAGAGGTAGATTGTAATCAGCTCTTCCAAATGAGCTAATGAGCGACGTCAGAGTTCCAAATATGAGCACCTTCTATACTAATTGCCACCTAAATGTCTCATTAAATAATCTACTAGGTTGGTTCAGACATCTACGATAATTGAATTTATATTAATATATAATTAACTATGAAACTTTATTATTACATTTCCAGAAAAATAAGTAACTAAACTTCATGAGAGTGGCAAATTACATAATTTGACCACAGTAGAGAATAAGAAGGATTAATAAGTTCATATTTAAATATTTTTTCAATTTTAGAGATTCTAAATAATATATTATTAAATTTAATGATTGTGAAGTAAAAAAGAGAAATCTTTCATGTTCAATTAAGAAGAAATTAGAGAGAATAGATATTTTCAAAAAAAAGAATATTAGACTTGCCACAATAGTAATAATAATAGGGGACTTCAGAATAGGCCATTATACTTTTAAAAGGAGGAATGTCTAATCAAATGAGTTTGTCAGAGATGTTTTAAGAATTACATTAATTGCTACCTAAATATGGTGATCTTCATTTGAAGACCTTGCCGTATATAATATAAGGGGTTAAGAAATATCTGTAGGATGCAGATTCATCTCTACTTTACATGAATGACGAAGATCGTGAAATGTCAGAATATACGGTACTTGAAATACTTTAGTATTTGGGATCATTAACTTATCACATTAAGGTGGAATTTGATTTAGAAAATTTGATTGATATGTTAGTGGCAATACTCAACTCAACAGATGAGTTCAAATTGATTGAAAGAGTATGCTAAGTTTTTTAAAATCTTCTTTTTGACTTCGAAGATGCTTCACCTTATTTACTTAAGTGTGAGATTGTAACTAAGTTAGCAAATAAGTTTCTAGACTGCAATGTAAGTTATGACTTGAACAACCTTGCTCCTATGTTTAGAGTGTTATAATAATTGGATGGAGTTAACTATTACGATTTCAATTAAATACATCCGTTGCTGCATAGATTGTAGAATGACTCAAAGGTTGATACTTAAATGTATTGTGAAATAATTGAAGGATTCTTTGCTTTTTTAATAAAATGCACAAATTAATTGAGTGTTCAGGATGATTCACAGAAACTGTTACAATTTTAACTATTTAATAAGTTATTTGAATTTTAATATGTCAATTGGTCTGTGAGTTTAGTGTTTAAGTACAAAAATCAAAAAAAATTAGTATCAGTAATATACTCATTTCTTCAGAATTTGAGTTAAGGAGATTGTGGAAAGAAATTAATTTCTTAAGGTGTTTTAACAGCAATAAATGAGCATTTGGCTGATAAGAGTGTCTCTTAAAATCAACTCTATTCAATATTAACTAATCTTATAGTTGATGATTTTGACAGTGTTATGAAAAATGGCATTTTAAAAAAAGTGCATTCTCAATTTGAACAAGGATTTTATTCTGCTGATTACATAAATGAATTAATGTATTGCATCTCAACTGCTTTTTACACAGCAAGTGAGAGTTAAATCCTAGAGTTAATCAAGCTTAGATTGGCAGACTGTTTAGTTTTATATATCAGTTAGTAGCCAATGGAGCTTTTAGACTTAGAATTGTGTAGTGCGATCTTTTCAGCAATACATTCAGTTTTTGTGAAGTAACCCTAGAAGTCGGTGTACAGTTTAAAGAAGAAATTACGAAATGATTCTATATTTCTTGCAAGGAGTAGTTAAATATACGACATAAGTTAGAAGGATGAAAATGAATATGAAGAAATGGTAAAATATTTGAACAAAAATGATTGATGTTTTATTTATATTGGATTACTTTTAGATGTTATATATTTTAAATAGAATTTTATATAATTTATAGAAGTGGTCTAATCATAGATAATTGAAAATAAAAACAATTTGAAGATTTAAATCAAAGTTTTATTAGTTTTCTTCAACCTTTTTTAGTTTTCTTTTTAGCCACAATTACCTCTGTTGATTGCTTAGAGAAAAAATGTTATTATGAATTGGCTTGTCCTTTATCTACTTAACTACCTGATTTAGTAGATTTTCTTTTGACTTAATCAGTTCTAGGAGTATTAATATTTTATGCATTTGTTCTACTAGATTTGTTATTGTTATTGATATTATTATTCGTATTAGTCAAGTTAGCATTTGAACTATTTGGAATACTAACTTAAATATTCGATTAATTATTTGACGGTATTTCTTTTGACTAATTTCCGCCAGTATTGTAGAATAATTTACTCTTCATACCATCATGTACTTATTTCATGTCTTCTCCCAAAGCATCAGCTAATTATTTAGATAATTCACTTATGTTTGCTTACTTGTCCTAAACAGGTTTTTGCTCTTATTATTATTTAGGGATGGTTTTTTTCATCTCCAAATTTTCTATTTTCTCTTTGCTTTATTCTTTACCATTTTAATCCAATTTTTCACTAAGATCATCTAAGATTGGATCCTAAAAATGTTTCAGAGTAATTTCATTATCATTATTTTCCATCATTTCCAACCATTTATTTTCTGATGATGCATCATCTGTCTATTTGCAAGTCTGCTTTTTCTCATTTGGTTGTTTTTAATTGCATTGTTCTGAACCCAATAATTAAATTCTGATTTTTTTTATATCGGTGTCTATTTATTCAAACCTTTTGTCCAAATCAGTCTTAAAAACAAATAAATCGTCTATCTGTGTTCAATTTAATCATTACTTCTTAATCAGCAACTACATAAACAGGTTTCCTTTTGTTCTTATTTTCCTTTAACTCATTAATTTATTGTATTAGTATAGCATTTATATCTTGGATTTCATCTATTTTCACTTACTGCGATATATACTATTTCTTACATATTCTTCTATTTATTTCTCTATCTCTTTGGAAGCACCACATCCCATTTTACTTTATAAAAATAAATTCAATTGAAATTAATAAATCAATTGCAAATATAGTATCAATTAAGACAACAAACCCTTTTATATTAAGAGGCAGTTTTTTGTAATTAAAATATTTTAAAATTGTAATTTAACCCAAAAGTTTAAACAATTATATTTGAATTATTCTTTCTATTGATCAATCTCTTATATAAATTTATTTATATTAGATTACCTATCTACAATACTTAACCTATAGTGAACCTGATTTTTATATAAACTTCTCAAATGAACTTGCATACAATATTTAAAAGAAAAATCTTACAAGAATGAATTTGAGATATATATCGATAATAGACAAAATTATGGAAGGGGCTTTTTAAGATAAAACTGCAGGTCTGTAATTAGATATGAACTTCATTGGTTCTATGTAACATTAATATTAAATTAAGAACCAAAAATTGAATTTTCGACATTATACAAATGGTATAGTTAAAATGTTATTTTACTATCTTTTGCATTAGATAATATTTATAATTTTGACAAATTAAATAAATTTATATAATGAAAACAGTTCAAAATCCAACTCAATATTTCTTTGAGTAGTCAAATAATCCTTCAAGTGAATATTTACCAAAGATAAATGAGTTTCTTAGTAAGTTGTTAAATCAAAAGCAATGTGTTTTATGCAAGAATGATTATAATATGAAGGATAGATTGCCACGAATATTGATTCATTGTGGTCACACAATTTGCACTGCTTGTCTCTCAAATTTCTACAGGTAGTGATTGTTAATATGGTAAATGATAGAAATAGAAGAGTTAGATGTCCACTCTGTTTAAAGTTAATAAAGCATCTCGATTCTATTGATAGATTACCTGTATCACATTATATCTGATATATGTAGATCAATCATTCGATATTCACAAGAATTTCTGATGATATTAACAAAAAGAGTAAATTGCACGGTGGTACAGAAGTGATAGATCCGCAACAATACTTATTCAATTAATTCTAATAATCGGCGTTATAATCATAAAAAGCAAGATAACAAGAGTAAAACACTCATCCTTAAGTTGATCCTGACTCAGGATTAGAGTTTTGTGAGTTCCACACTGACAGAGTGAAACACTTTTTTTGTATGAAACACAAGGTTACGTGTTGCAGAATTTGTTCTGAGATGATTCATCAAAAGAAAGTAATTGAGTAATTTAAGTAGGATTGCATAGTGGTGGATTTGTATGAGATCGAGGACGTACCTTAGTTTTTGAAGGAGGCGTATCAACTCAATGAAGAAAATAATAATAATCAGTAAGTGAATTAGGGGAGAGAAGACATGGGTTTTATTGAGGATTGTGAATAAAGTAAGTGTTTTGAATACAGTAGATGATGGGGAGAATCAATTTAATGATGATGATTTGGAAGGGGAATTTGAGGAGAATAGCGTTTAAAGCATCTGAGAGATTCATTTACAAGATATACATATATATAAAATAATCGGTCTTAAATCTTTGGTTGTTGCAAGGTGATTATTCTTAATTTTACTAATTCAAGTTATTGTTGGATTTTATATAATTTAATAATATTGAATGGCTCACAAGTTATCTTAGAATTGGGTCTTCTGGTATGCTCCAAGAGGCAGGAAGGCTATAGCAGGATCAGATCATTACGATGTGAACCTAAAAGAGATTGGGGAATTTAATACAGTGGAGGAATTCTACAGTTATTATTGTTATTTACAGAGACCAAGTGAGGTAAGTATAAGTTGAGATGTGATAGGTGGACATCGATAATAAAATCATGATGTTCAGAAAGGAACATAAGCCAATGTGGGAGGAGTGTTTGGACGGCGGAACTTGGATTATCCACTTTAAGAAGAGGGAAAGCGAATTGCTGAATAAGAAATGGGAGGCTCTTCTTTTAGGTTGTTGGATTTGGGTTATGAGTAGCATGTATAGGAGAAGAGTTCGATGATGACAATGTCATTGGAGTGGTGCTTTCGATTAGGGAGAGAAGGAATTTGCTGGAGATTTGGTTGAAGGACAGGAAGGAGAGTGAGAAGATCAGAATAGGCGAGAAGTTGAGAGTGGCACTCGAGATGGATCCCAACAATCTCACCTTCTTTTTCAAGGAACACAGTAAGAGTTTAAATGTATCCCATCACATCTATGAGTCTAGGATAAATCGACCATGAAGGGAGCTGAATCCTACACCTTTGTCAAAACTCCCCTTGAAACTCCGTAGACAGAACCCAAAGGGCAACATCCAGATCTAGATTAATTCAAGCTTTGATTAATTATATACAAAATAAATGGACTTACATATTTTAATGATAAATCAATTTGATAATCCGTTGGAACGAGTATTCAAGGGTGCAAATTGTACGGAATATTAAATATGATATAAATGCACCTATTGTATTAAGAATAAAATCAAAATTTAGAATATCTAATTGTATATCATGCAGATTCAATCTGAGTACACATTTAACTTTGATTGGGAGACTGTAGTTAAAGGCTTCTGGAGGAAGTATCCATGCAAAGAATTCGATTTCATCAAGTTCAATCAAGTTGTAGATATGATGCTTAATGACAATAATACTATGTCCATTAAGAGAATCGTATGATCTCATTCTATCTAAATTTAGGTCTACGCTCGCAAATTCATGGTTTGGTGTTTGACTCTGGAAGAGATCACCTTTGATATTGAGAATAGAAGCATGTAGATGCAAACTAAATTACTGAAAGCCTGCAAGTATTATCCCAACCTTTCAGGAGACGAGTCAATCATTTATAAAGCAATAGACGATCAAAAAACTCATTACTCTGTATATAAGCATCATTTAAATAGAAACTATTGTCCAATTTCCATCAAACCTTTGTGACTAAATTGTTATCTCAATTCAACAGTTCATTTAAAAAGGGCGTTGAGGTAGTCGAAGCTAGATGTAGAGAACTTTAAAACAAATAATGACAATAAATAAATTTTTAACTATTAATCAATTATTATTATTATAATATTTTATGATCTAAAAGAAAAAACCCTAATTCCCACAAATTCAAGACGTCGACATAATGGATAAATTTCAGTCTAAGAAACAAATCAAAGCCATTCCGTATTCCCATAGCCAATCTATCCAGGAGGAGGATGAGCAGTCCTCCTCTTAGATCAATTTGTTTGGCCACTCTAAGCCGTCTTTCTTAATGACTTTCCCTCAACAACCCAGAGATTGTCAAGGCAGTGAAGAAATAAAGGCTCCCACTATCATAACTAATTTGCTTTCCAACAAAAGTCAAGAATAACTGGCGATTAAAAAGGAGTGTCGATAACACAACCCTTTTAAATATCTAGATGAAAGCTCAGAGTTTTCATCTAAGATGAATTCAGTAAAAATACAATGCAAATAATTATCTAGATACGCTCCATTTTTGAAGATAAAAAACCTTTATAAATTAATTAAGAGAGGGTTAAATTACTGGTTAATCAAATGAGAGTTAAATTTTTGAATTTAATTCATTATTCAAAATATAATGATCCTATCCTAACTCAAGAATATTAGGAACGTAAAAAATAATTCGTAATAAATTATAGTTTCGCCTCTAAAGTACCATTATTTCACCATGTATATATTTTTATCCACCACCTTATCAAACATACTTTCATGTACTTTTATTCCCCTTGTCCAATTCTTTGATGTCTCCTAACTTACTACTATTATTTCTCAAATTGTGTATGGATTGACAAATCTAATCATTATCTAAGATTTGATTTTTCAAAGAGGCCCATACAAAATGTAGAGGGGAGTCATCAAAGTGGATTTCAAGGATAGCAATAAGAAATTACTTGACATTTTAAGAATGTTCTTTTTATCTTTTGCCGCTCTCATTGAAATAGATGAGAGGATTAAATTAGTGTCAGTCTTACTAATGATGCTATTCTAATTCATAAGATAGGCAGAAAATTTTGAAAATATCTATAGATCCACTCATCATTTCATTTTTATACTTTAACTGTGGATATCGATCATAATCTCCTTCAGTTGCATCTACTAAGGTATTTATGCAGAATAATAAGAGTTTCTCATTAAGAAGAAGATCCGAATCTCTACTTTTGTCTTACTCTTGCCGTCTCTCTATTGACTCATAGTGGAACTATTTGTAAAAAGATATATTAGCATTTTAGAGGTTGAAGCCACAAATAAAAATGCTTTTCTGATATCCTTTTACATGATTATATGTTATCTTTGTTTAGCATATACCACTATGATATTATATGTTTGGATGAAGCCAGAAATAGAAATTGAGGAGGAGAAATAAAAGTTACTTAAAGGATTTGTGGAAAGATTTAGAGAGAAATGCGAAAACGATGGACTTTTAAAGAGATGCTATTCCTATTTGGAATTCAGAATAGATGTAAATAGTATCGTAAATATTCTAGGAAGATTTAAACAAAACTAAGGATCAACTAACTAAGAAGCTCAGTCCTGAATTAGAGGATGAGATAGATATATCCTTGAGATCAACCATGATAGATAAAATTGAATTGCTGAATAGATTCTCTCCTTAATTTAAATAATAATTGATTTATGAAATAGAATAAGTGACATTTAATCCAGAGGACAACATTATAATTGTAAAATATGTTACTATTTAAGGAACATCAAATAGAGGATCTAGGGTTGTTTTACATATTAAAAGGATAAGTGAAGGTTCAATTTTAAGGTTCATCTTTTGGTAATAATAAAAGGGCAGTTACAACTTTATAAGAAGGTTCGACATTTGGATAGTATTCTTTTATCACAGGAATTCCTTCAAATATTAGTATTTTCAGTTCTGGGGTAACAACATTGATGAAGATAAAGAGATCTGATTTCATTTAAACAATATCAAATTATCCATAGGACAATGAAATATTTTGCACACTCAAAGACAATGCCTTTTATAATTAAAAGCTATTTGAATGTTATTATTGTAAAATCAGAGGGAATTACATAATAGAGTGTAGACATTTATAATATTTTCCTTAAAGAATAAACACTATAGAAAAATATCTATATACAGCAAAGTAATAGAGAAGGTAATTCGTTAGAAAATTAAGAAAATATTTTGCATGGCAAGACATGAATCTAAATCAGGATAGAGCTAGATAATATGCTAATAAATAAAGCTAAGATTTTGTCTCGGATGAATTGCCAGAACCTTCTCAATTACCATATTCTGAAAGTAAAGAATCCTTTAAATTAGATTAAACATACTAATCAGTAAGTTTCGTAAGTAATTCCTTGGCATAAAGAAATTAAAGTCCAGATTAATATCAATCAGTGAGCGAAAGTTTTGATCAATTTAATTTTGAATATGAATGCTCAGATGAATAAACTATCCATATCTAAGAGCCATAATCTAGAAGTATTAGTAAGAATTCCAATAAAACCACTTTAAAAACAGCAGGTTTCCCTATTAACGGTGAGCCAAATAACTAAGCAAGTGCAGGGAATAATATAACAGTCATAGAAAAGGATGATAGAGATATCTTAAATCAATTGCAAGAGGCTTAGATGAACAAAGATAGAACTATACTCTTCCCTGCAGTACGTAACAACAGTTAAAGCAAATAAAAATTTCAATACCTTAAAGAATCATCATAAGGAATCTTGCTAAAAGAGGATCATACTTATCAGTAATAATAATAGTAATAATAACTATCTCATCCTACATTAAAATAATCCATTAGACAACCCTCAAGTAGGTCTTAAACATACTCGAATTCCTTGTCTAAGGATGTCTCCAATAATCCTTCATCCAATTCCAAATAAAATAAATCATAAAAATTATCTATGTAATATAGTTAAAGCAGATTCTAAGATTAATTAGGACTTAAGAAATAAAACAGTTCTAAATCTCTAAGTGATTAAAACAAATAAAACAATAATAGAAGTCTAAAATCAACCACTAGACAGAGCACTCCTAATTAAATTTCCTAGTTTCATGCTATCTCCACTCCAGAAGTAATATAAATTCTTACAATAGAACCAAGGATACTTCATTAACGATTTGTTATTCAATAATTTTGAAACTATGAAGGAGTATAAAATTTACTATCCTCATAATAATTACGCTCAAGTTATTGATCGTTACATCAGGTTCTTAGATTCTAACCGATAAAACTAATTTAAAAGGAAAAAGCTAAATCATAGTACTCCTTATTCTATTAAATGCTTTGTTGCGTCTAAAATTAAAAGAGTTAAAAAGCTATTATAAAACTGACTAATTATTTAAATAAAAATAATTATTAATTCAATTCGAGGAGGTTAGTTCTGACAAATGTTTTAGACTCTAATGATTTTTTTTATATAGTTCTCTAAGATATTAGCAATATCCAGTGCAGCTACTACTTTCATTGCAAAAGGTTTGAGTTTGAGTCTAAAATGATTATGTAAATGGTTTATGATAACACTCATTTTTTAATTAAGTTCTGGAGTACTTGAATCGATCATCTCTATTTGTAAAACTAGCAAATTGGTTTTCCCCATAGTACTTGTAGACTACTTTATCTTTGGTTGGTATATTTTTAATGAAGAATGTTTTAAGATATTTTGCTTTGAGATCTTCTACCTGCCTCTTCTTTTTGGCATCTATGGCAGTTCTAAAATTGAATTAAGTCTGAAAGCTGTCCAAAAGTTCTCTAACAGCAGCATCCTAAGCGGGAGATTGCTGAGGCAAATTATTATTGATTATATGATCCTTTACTGCTTATTTCGATTTAGCCAAAATATTTATTTGAATGTATTTGTTTTTTCTGGTTGAATTCATTAATGTGAGTGGATCCTTGGGTATCTTTTCGAAGAAGGTGGGTGGTTACCTTTTTAATTTGTCAAATTTATGTTTCTTCTCATCTGATTTATTTTCTTATAATTGCAATCCCTCGGCAGTGGACAAATCTGTTCTAATAGGATTGTCATTGCTCTATGTTTGCAGTCTTTGATTCAGCAATCTAATAAGGAGATCTAATGTACTTCATCTTCATCCTTTCCTACAATGCATCAGTATTTTGTTATTGTATCATCAATTCTCTTTGAGAGCTCTGTCTTTGCAAGCCTAATGAGATATTTCCAAATTCCACTTTTTTCATTATTGCTGGACATCTTTGAGTCAACATGATGACAATAATTAAAACTTGAAAGATTATAAATATTAATTAAGTGATATCTCTAATGGCAAATATATGAAAAAATTTGTTAATCAATTATGTTTCAATTGATTTAATAAGGTCAATATAGATTAATTTTATCATTACTTAATCTTCATTTTTAATTCATGCAACTATTATTTCAGATCGTAGTTCTCTTTCAAAGCATCCTTAAAAGTCTAATTTGATATATTTTCTCAATAATTACTTGAGGTGGCATTAAAGTATAGTTTTCACCAAACAATTCTCTTCGTTTATTTTAGATTTGCTAATATAACTATGTCCTCTCATTGAGAGGCGTAATGTATTGTTGCAAATCTTCTAAATGAGGGATGGATTGTTTTTTGATATTATATTGACTTAGTTCATTGTTTGTTTTCCTCTCCACCTCGATTTTCTTTTCAATGTCCTAGGATTCCTCTTCTAGGAGCATTTCCATATTTTTGGTCAATTCTTTAATTTATTCTAAATTCTCTCTTTTGACTTGGACTTATTCTCTCAATTGGAAGGATTGAAGCTTCATTAATTCAAGTCTTGCATTATATTACAAATACATACTGTTGCTTGACTAAAGCAATATCTTGAAATGATTGTATTCCTTAATGTTTGATCTCACAGAGATCATCTAATTCTTTGGTCCTGATATCATCGTAACCCCATTTGTCGAAAAAGCTCATTTTGCTTATTTTTTAAATTTGGAATATTAATTTAACAATTATATTAAGTGCTCTCGTTATTTTGAAAGATCAATACTACACCGAGAAATCAGCAAAAGGAAGGAATGGTCACTTTCTCTTAGGGAGATTAATTATAGGGGATGCGAGTTCTGGATATTGCAATTTTAATAGTAATTACAATTATCAATTTGAATAAAATTATTATAATAATGGAAAAACATGGTGTAGCTTAATTATTTTTAAAGGAACTTCAAATATTTCTGGCTCTGCTGTTAGGTGAGAATTGCATTAGCTTAGGTCTACAACAATCAGAGGGGGTTGACTCCATACTACCAATAATTTTGAATTTTATTTCTGGATTAGCATTTTTCATAGTATAATACAAAGATTACAATAACGTCAAACTGTTTTGGAAATTGAAATTATTAATAATATTGATATAAGTATCTTTGAACGTGGAGACGAGTCAATATTGCTTGATCGTTGTTCATTTGCTGGATGATTAATTGTTGAAGGGTTTTATTTTGGCAACAGCTCTATTAATAAACATAATACAAGATCAGGAAATAAATTACGTAACAACGATTCCAAATGCCATTTTGCTATTTTTCAATATCCTCTATTGGTTGGGGTTCTTTTTGGCGAACTGCTCGTACAACAAAGCTAGAAATGCCTACATTGATTAAGGATTTCAACAAAAGTCTCTTTAATGTATTGAAAATGTTGATATGTAGTGAAGGAGTCTATCAACAACAGAGATATTGGGAGCAGAGTTAATTAGCAGCAATCAATGATGCAAGAATTGAACCCACTGAAAATGGAATGCAATGAAGATGAGTAGATTTTAAAACATGTGGCATGGATATAAAATCAATCAGTGTTGGTCTACAACAATAAGCTTAACATTGTTTATTAGAATATATTTTTAGGGAAATTGTTAAGGTAATCAACTTTAGACGAATAACAAACCTAATAATAATCAAAGCCTGATTATGAAGAGCATTTTCTAAGTAGTTAGATATTGATGGGCAGTAAGGAATTGACTGACATCAATAACAACAACGAGCAATCAGTCAATAGCGAGTATGTTTATCACAATATATAAATTCTTAAGTGGCTCCTTCCTCTTGAATAGGATGAATGACTCTCACAAGTGCCGCTTGAATTCAAAACTCACAATACGCGACTTGATTTTGATGATGCATATTTAGTTCGATAAGTAGTTTACTTGGAATTAAAGAGATGGTGCACGTGTATGGTTACTCTGTTTGCATTGAAGAGCGAAGTGCTCGACTTTGAAAATGTCCAAGTCAAAACTTTTGTGAATAAGATAAATGAGTCCTTCTATGTCTTTTTTCTCTTTGAATAGAAGCCAATTCAGCGGAAAACTATCGAGGGCAGCCTTCCAATAATCAACGTATTCACTACCTTTGTGCACGAGTCGGTAAGTTATATAAATTGTATTTTAACCCTTATCTTATTAACCCAAAGCGATTATGAGAACACTCTCAAAATATCACTCAAACAGAACTATTACACTCCCATCAAACTCATTAGTCAGCGCTTCTTCCTCTTCGTTAACAACATGAGGGATTACATATTCTACATCTAGAATCAGTTGTTTCTGAGGATCTCAGCATTCAGAGTGAGTGATCTAGCCGAAGAGATATCAAACATCTTCGAGGACAATTTAAAGGTCAGAGATGTGAATTTAATAACCTCAATTGACTTGAGTGATAATAATCAAGTGATATTCACTGATATGGATAGAGTAATTACATCATTTAATTAGTTAAAATAAATCTTAGCTTGTTTATTGACCTACTGTTTGAAGTACACCTCAGGATCATCCTTGAAATTGGACATCAAAAGTTATACTGTTAGTGGAATTATGATATCTTTTAAAGACAGCATGATAGCCAAAGACGAAGGACTCAGAAAGTCTATAACCAATTTAATAAAGACCTTGAATTCATCCCTCAAGACCTCCTCATTTTATTAGGTTGATCTCAATAACCTATTGGAACTACAAATTTGTGTTATTTTATGTTGGCAATTAAGTGGCTCCTTTAAAAGAGGAATAGAGTTCCTTTATGATAGTTAAGGATATGGGACCTTCACTTTTGTCGTAGAATCATAAACCAGTCAATAGAGAATGCAGAGTCGTCAAGATACAGGCCCAATCAAGATCATTGGACAAAGGAAATATTATGAGACATCCCTATCCTTGTTGTTGGCCTAAGACAGCAGTGGCTATAGAGAAGAATCAAAGTATAGATTTTTCGTAATTAGATATTACACGTTAAGTCAATTATCTAAGTAATTCTCTATGAAACCTGGGGATGCTTTCGATGTTCAGAGTGCTTACTTCTCCTAAATCTCAAGAATCAAACAGGATTCCTCCAATTCCAAGTAGGTCTAAAATTCAGGTTCAGTTCCAAAGCAATCGAAAGAACAGAGCAACAGTCACTCTGGCACTTGGAAACAAGCCTTCCCAGATTCAGCCCAGCATACCTATAAAAAGAATAGGAATGAAAGAAGCGAATCTTAGTAGGATTCTGTTAAGACTCATTCTGCTTATGATTTGGGATTGGAGTAGAGCACTCCATCTATACATCCTCCTGAATTCACTCCCAAATTGCTTCCGTCTGTCATTAAGTATAGATTGAGACTCACATGTTGTTCCAAAGTCTTGATTGTTGATAACGATCATTATAGTGTGCTATCCTTATAGAAGGTATTGGAAAAATATAATATAAAATGTGACAAAGCATTCAATGGAGTGGAGGCTCAATAAATGATTTCAAATAAGTAAATTAAACCTTGTCGTTGTGGAAATAGGTCGTACTTGTTGTTTTTCATTGAATTTTATCTGCCTGTAAATATTTTATAAGGATTGTAGCTTTTTTCAGGAATTGAACTAGTGAAATTTCTGAAGGATGAGATGAAAAGTGGCTTGATTGATAAAGGGTTTGCAATAATAATTTCAACTTTTGTGGATTTGAACTCGAAATTGGATTGTTTTAAGAATGGGGCAGATTACTTCATTGCAAAGCCTTTTGATTTGATAGATATCGGAGCTGCAGTTTAATATTTAGATTTTTGATAGTTAATAAATTTCATATATCTTTAGATAAACAATTTGATCGTTTTCTGATCTCTATAGTTTTATCAAGTAAAAGTTCTAACTGTATATTCGTGCAGTGTTTCTTTTTTTTCGTATTCTTCATGAAGTCTATTTCAGAAGCCTTAAATATTTATTCATTCGGGGATAATGATACAAAAGTTGTATTGAACCAAATTTATAACATTTTGGACTCTGATACAATTGACTTTTAGAAGATCTACAAGAGCACATCCCCTTAAAGGTATACACCATCAAAAGTGAAAATCACTTCCTTCTCTGATATAATCTGTGCTTTTTCTATCAATTGCTTGCTATTATTCTACAATCGTATCAATGTTCCGTGGATCAAACCAACCAATCTTACTGAAAGCAACTCTACTTAAAGAAATGGCCTCTTGATTAGGTCGTTTTTCAAAGCAAAACTAAAATAATGAACATATCTAATCTAACTCGGAATGGTAACTCCCTTCTAATTCAAAGTACGAACTAGTCCATAATATGCTAAGGCATCTTGGCTTGAAACGTACTTACCACAGTATAGCAAATAACAACAAATCATCAATCCCGTTCGCCCCTTGCCAGCCTTACAATGGACTGCAATTACATTATTTGGATTAGACATCAACCAACTGTGCACCATAGCACAAAATTCAACTATCAAATTAAAAGGGGGTGCCTGATGATCGTCAAAAGGAAATTCAGCCACTTTAAAAAATGATTCATGCTTATACTTTCTTTCTGAACATCTAAGTAGCAATCTAAATTTACAAATTGATGACCATATAGTTGTTGGGATGACGTGTATTTAAGAATTTCTACACCTCTGACATGGGATTCCTATAAATAGCTTCAAAATTCTCTGCAGGAAAACCCATTGCAATTAAATTGTCTTCAATATCTGGATTAGGTATTATTTATTTACAAGTTAAATCCAAATTAAAACCATCCACCTTAAATCTTTTCTTCGATTTGGATACGATTTCCTTTATATAATCCCTCGAAAATGCTCTCTTAACATTCTTCATTACCTTCTCCGTAATTTCATCCGCATGATGTTGCAACACAGCAGTGTCGTTAATCCTTTGATCTATATGTCTATCGAATGATATTTCTATTGGAATTTATGTAATTGCCACCTCCACTTCACATTAATCAACACATTCTTATTTCATTTCTTGAAACTTCTAACTAATTAACGGACTTTCCAAAGATTCCTCATCATCACTAGAGATCCGATTAAGCGACGTTGTGTCTTCTATATCACACATTGAGATCATTAATAAAATTTATTTCTTACTATTATATTAAAATACTTTTATAACTACCCACTTCGAAGAGTCTTTCTAAAACCCAAAATGCTTCAATCATTTAATACTCTTGGGTTTCATCTTCCTTACGAAAGAAAAGTGAGAGCGGTTCTTTTGTTTAAGGATGAATTTATGTGTTAAAAAGTATCATATATAATAACTATTCCTTGAAACAAGTGATCAATCTGACATTAATGAAATATAAATAGTTATCAAATGATAATCAATGTTATAAAGATTATTGATAGAAATCATGCTATGAAAACTGAATTATTCTAAGATACTCAAATATAATTTGAAATTTTTAATAATTAACCTTCAACTAGTAGTTCATCTACAAATTTAATAGCTTTAATTTAACAATCTCTGATTCTTTGGTTTATATCTAGTTTTATTTATTTTAAATGATAATTCTACTTCTAATTTTTGATATTTTTTTTGTAATTTTTGTTTTGATACATTACAGAAGCAAAATAAAAATGTATAGGTATCATATAAATGTTATAATCAATTAAATGGATGCAATTAAATAATCTATTATAATTGAACTTAGAAATTATTTGCAATAAAAGTTAATTATATTCATTTTTCTCAATGTTCTAATAATTTAAGACCATATTGCTTATGGGTTAATCATAGACAACTTAAGAAATTAAAATATTTATTTTATCATACATCATAATGAATTACTATTACTTTTCTCGATCAAAGTTATAATTTATGATATCTAATTAAGAGTTTGATTTTATTCTAACTTTTGTAAATAAATTATATTTGTTAGTAATATAAAAATCTATTAATTAAGTAAAATGATAAGATTTTTAAGTTTTGATTTTCAATACATAAAGTTATAATACTTTTTCACAAAAGTTCATTACTAATTAATAATTATTGATTAAAAATTTTAATAAATATTTTAACTATCTGTTAATGGAGGTACAGCAATGCTTATCTTTCAGCTCTTTTCTCTTTATACCAAATTTAGATATGAGCATATAATCCATATTGACACCGTAAACAAAACAAATTAAGTAATAATAAGAGGATTGTAAGTAAAGGGAGAAAGAAAATAAAACATTAAATGTTAAGTTCAAACTTTCAGATTTATTACCGAATGATCAAAACATTACTTTATAAGAAATTTAAAATGATATCTAGCAGATAAAAAATAGATACATGAAATAGATTGTAAATTGACTATTCGGAAAACTTATGATGTTATTTATAATTCTTATTATAAAATCTAATTAAAAATAATAATTCAGTTTTAGCCATTTTGATTATTGGTATTAAAAAGGATTCTAATATTTTCAATTATTTATTTTTGACATCCAATTTATTGAAGTGCATTTAAATATTCATCATGCGTATACATGATCTAAGATGTTTTTACATCTAAAATTATTAAAACAATTTACAATTTTCTTTAAACATACAAATTTTTTGAGTAGGCTGCTTCTTCAAATTCATTGCCTAATCAATCCATATTTAAGAACTTTAAATCACTTAATGGTTCATTAAACCCTCTATTAAATTTAACCTATTAAATACCGAAAACACTTAGCTTAATTTCCTTATTTTCAGTTGGTAAGTACACTCTCTTAACTATCTTTTTTGCAAATTAACAAGCTTCCAAAATAACAGTTGCATAATCTTGATATTTGTTACAATGATCGAGTAAAGTAATTAGTAATTTTTACACTGAGAGATATACCTCGTGAGACACTTAGTAATTAGAAACATTTTTCTAATACTTTTCAGACGACACCTTAGACAGCACTTATTCTAAACAATATGTATAACTATATGGCAAAGCTACTTCCAACAATTCACTCAATTTCTTTATTACTTCATCCGTAATACTATTGTTTAGAAGAACATTGTGAAAGATCTTCTGATAACTTTGACTTTCTTCTGATATGTATTCAAAATTTTCTGAATCTTTGGATTTAATTTAATCGAAAATTGGTTTTTTCACTTTATTCAATAATTGGCTTTCTGGCTTAAAATGAAGCTATTAATAAATATCTCTTTTAAGGACATCAAAGTCAATCTTGTCTATTGATATATTTTTCTATAATTGTTATTCCATAACACCATTATTTGGTTGGTGCTACTCTAGTTTTTAACTAATGCCTGTTAAATCGTATTACAAATTCCTGATTACTGAAATCTCAAATATGATAAACTTCATATGAGAATCCTATAATAGGTTCTTTCTCTCTTATTCTAAATTGGAGAGCTTTAGTTAATAATTGATAACATCCTTACAACAGGCATCGATGAATTAGTTATAAATAGTAAGAAAATTTTGAAAACTTAATTCACTAACTGCAATGCTCAATTTTTTCTTCTGCAATCTATTTAATTAATGTTATTTTTCTTCCTCAATTGCATTCCTAAATTCTGAAGTAAATTAATTCAGAGTTTATAAATTTTACTAATACTCCTTCTTATTTGCTAAGTTAAATTAGAGTATTTCCTTTTATAAATTATCTTGCTTAATCAAAAATTATTGTTATTCGCTTATTAAGGTATTATTTAACTACATGGCAAAGCATTTAGTTTATTCTGATTTAATAAGTAAATAACTTCTAAGAATTGTGTATAACTCTGTCGTTCCGTCCTATTCATTGATTAATTTGGATATCTATAGACCTATAATATTCAAGATTTACTACCAATATTTTCAAGACTTTTCGAATAGGATTCCTCCAATTTGAAGATTTATTATAATAAACCAATAAAACCTTAACTGGATTTCATTTTATCATTAAGCATTTTCTAATAGGATTCGAGATGCTCAGCTATCTCTTTATACCAACTCATAAATATAATTTTCAGAATAAAAATAACTGAATATATTAATTCCTTTATAATTGAATAATTATAATTAAATAAACAATCAATTTCAATAAAAAACAGTAGAGATTATAATAAATAGAGTTAGTTTTATTCACTCTTTAGAACTTACCTTGAAAAAAAGTAGTATGAAATGTATTCTAAATAAAATTTAATTAATTAAGAGTTTATAACTATAGAAATATTGTTTAATTTGATATAAAACCTTGATGGATAAAGGGTTAGAAGCCTATTATGGTTTTAATTCAAAATAAATAAATAATTTTTTTCATCTATTTTATAATATTATATCATTATTTTAATAAATTAAAATAAATTAAGTAGTTCTTATTATTATTTTAAAGAATAGAAATACCTGTTGGGAATAACATCATTTAATCAATTTTTTTAATATCTTTGTTAATATATTTCATTTTCATGGGTTTGTTCTTATGACTCAATAATTCATATTATTTTAACATTACTCTATTTATCATTCGATCTATGCTAAGTTCCTCTTATTTTAATGAGTTCAACATCAATTTAGCCTGTTCTTTAGTTATTTTTACTGTTTATTTTCGAAAATTACTCGATAATCCAAATTAGTATTATTTATAAATAGAATATTTTTTTCAATTTGCATTTTTATACTGTATAGAATATTATCTTTTCCTATATATTTAATTGTTTAAACAATGGAACTCGCTATTGTATTGGGTTTATTAGGTTTTGAGCCTGCTGGAAAATCCAGATTGAATCAACTTTTACCCAGAGTAACTTGTGAGGGATGCACTGCTTTTAGAGATGCAGTCATCAAGGGGAATTAGTTAATGTTGGAACTTTTTGCTTTATTTTGTTAGCAAGGAATGCATGAAAAGTTTAAATTTGTTCATGTTATTCTGACCGATGGAGAAGATAACAAATCATAAACAAGTTTATAAGACTTTCTTGTATATTAATAATTTCTTTAATAAAAACTCCCACCAAACATACTTTAAACATTTTATATAGGTGTGAATGTAGAGAACAACAATACGGTTTAACAAGAAATGTCAGCAATTTTAAAATGTAGTGGAAAGTCTGCTTCGTATTATCCCGTAAGTAGTAATTAAATTAATGACATCTTTTAAAAAATTTAAATGCAGATTGGTATCAGAGTTTAAGAATAAGGAGTTATAATCCAAAATAGCTAAGCTAGAATTGCTTTAAGGTAATAAACTTATTAGCCAGTGGTGTCAATGTAAGTTAACAATTACATTCTGCTTTTCACTCTTGATGTCTCTGGATCAATGAGTGATCATTGGTATAAGGTGTGCTCTGCAGTTAGAAGCTTTCTTGATACTCTTGGATCAGGTGATTTGGTACTAGGAATTACATTCAATGATAATGTATAAGTGTTAACTGCAAAGTAATAATAAGCAGCCAAAAAGACTTAATAGACTTCCACTCCTCAAAGAACCAAAAGTTCTCAGCCTTAATAATAAATAAAGTAGACGGAGAGAACAGGGGTAGATAGTTGCTGTTGCCAAATCTTTTGAACTTAATAATGATGCTTTTTTATAATATATAATTGCAAATATTTATAAGTTTCTAAGCCTATGATACTGATTTTTTTATAATTATTTTATTCAAGTTTTTAGGGTATAACATTATTTTAAATTTATAACAGTGATTATGTTGTGCTATGATTTACAGACTCCGAAGCATATGAATTCAAGCACTAGATTTACCTCTATATAAATAATTGTTATATTTATGTTAAATTAAATAATTGATGAATTTTAAAATTTTAAAAACAACAATAGGATGGATTTCTTTGGAATATTTAATTTATTAAAATCATTTTAAAAAGGTTTATGTCATTATAACTAGGTAATTAACTCGTTTCAAACAAAATGACCATTCTTAAATATAAATTTTACAAAACAGTGTGAGTCTTCATAAATTTGTATTTGGCATCTAATTTTGCAAATTGAGAAGAATTATTTAATTAAATTATCAGACTAATTTTATATATCAAAATATGTGAGTTTTTAATAAAAATATGATACTTCAATTCAAATGTGAAAGATTACATTATATTCTAAACACTCACTACATTGTATCAGTGTATAATGACAAGTTGACTATTGGGAATAAGGTAACCTATCTATCGTAATATGAATTAGAGTCATCCTAAATATGAGTATAAATTTACACTTGAAAATGTTTTACACTGGTACGTGGAGAATCTAAAGCTGCAGGCTTTTGGGATTGAGTATAATGGGGCAATCAAGTTTTTTAAAGCGAATAATAAAGATTTGGAAAAGTTAAGAGGGTTGAGTAGATGTCTTCTATGTTTCGATAATATTGTGGAGCTCTACAAATAAATCGATATTAATGAGCCATCGAGGTTGTAGGATCAAATATCCCTTTAATTGTGCAGCATGAAGGTTGTAAGCTAGTAGCAGTTGTTGACAGAGGTTCCTATAGTTCGATAGTTGAATCATTAGGGAATAATTTCATACCGTGAATGCTTTCAATATAAAAGCCAATATTATATTGTAACAGAATTTGTTGGAGGAATAACATTACAGAAATTCATAATTTAAAACCCTAAGTTGAGTCATCTATAATGCAGAGCCATAATACTTGTAAGTGTTCTTGTTTATTGAAAGCAACTGCTCAAGGCTGTAAAATATTTACATGAACATTACGTCATACATGCGACAATCGATATTAGCCAAATTGTCTACAAATCAGATTTCATCAAAATTATTGATTTTTCTGAAGCCAAACAAACTAACAAAATAGATGACAAGGATATCAAGAATTGCGGTCGCATTCTATTCTATCTGTATCAAACATTCTCATCTTAATTTAGGTACACTGGCAAAGAGTACAGCGACAAGGATCAAGAACTAAATTACAAGACTCTTTAGAGTGCGTAGACACCTAAATTGGCTTAGGAACTCATTTTAATTATGATTTGTGACAACAATGTAACGGTGTCTCTGATTTTGGAGCATCCGTATTTCTCATTCTCGTTGGATGCTGAGGAGAGGAAGAGAAGATTCTAAAAGTTCCAGCGAGTGTAGAGGTCAACTTCAGAAATGGATGAAAGTGATGCTATCTCTCAGAGTATACCAGAATTGTAAACAAATAAAAGTAAATCATTAAGATAATTGATGTGAAAAGTATTTTATTATTATTATAATTAAATATTAAATTATTTATTAATGTAAACCGAATCACAGTACCCCTAAATAGATGTCAAGGAATTCAAGGCATTTGCTGTTTGGAGATGGAAAGCTGAACAAGTAAGTAAATAAATTGATTATTATAGTTAAATCAAAATTGTTGTTCATGCAAAAAATTGATGACTGAACCATGCATTGATTGCGAAGTGAATGATTAGAATGATGAGCAAGAAAAATGCATTGCTGTTTAGAGTGGAAATTGCGGTCATGCTTTACATCAGCATTGCATAAGAAAATGGATTCAAACCAAAAGTCAGGGTGGCACATCAGGCACCTGTCCAATGTGTGACTTGATTTGGGAAATCACAAATGAAGTCGAATTATAGAATTGACATTCTGAGAATCAATATAATTTTACAATTTTTATTTTAAATATCTTGTATTTATAATACTACTAAGTCTATTCATCAAGATCTACGAATCGTTTAATGAGCATCATCCTATAGACTTTAGAGTGTCATTCGAACAGTCTTTTACATCAAATGAATATTGGACTAATAGGTTGGCATATTGAAATACACATATAAACATGGTAAGATGATTAATTAACAATATTAATTAAAATAAAATTCAAATTTTCATGAGCAGAAGTAAGTAACAACCTCAAAGATAAATCGCTCCTTAAAGAAAAGCTCGTTCTGAACTTAATGAAGAGTAGAAGCAAGAGATTAAGGAGGCCTTTGATTTATTTGACACTGATGGCACAGGATACATTGATGTCAAAGGTACGATGTAAATTCATATTTTTTAGAACTCAAGGTGGCTATGAGAGCTTTGGGCTTTGAAACCAAAAAGGAAGAAGTCAAATAGATGATTAAGGAGGTGGATCGTGAAGGAAAAGGAGTAATTGAATTTCCTGATTTTCTCGAATTAATGACAGTCAAAATGGTAAGATGGTTAATAACTATTAACAGGGTGAGAGAGATCCAAGGGAAGAGATGCTGAAAGCATTCCGTTTATTTGATGATGACAACACAGGAAAAATCTCATTGAGAAATTTAAAAAGAGTTTCAAGAGAATTAGGAGAAACAATGACAGACGATGAATTGTAAGAGATGATTGACGAAGCTGACAGAGATGGCGACGGAGAAATAAGTGAGGAAGACTTTATTAGAATAATGAAGAAGACCAACTTATTTTGAAAATTAGTTAATATAATTATATAATAATCATGGCATTTGTATATTAAGCTTAACGAGATCTCAACCAATTATTGACATCTGTGCCAACTAATGTACTCTCATTATTCTATTCATAACAGGTGGGTCCAGGTTCCTATGGGAAACAAAAGAAAAAGCTAATCAAATAATCAGTAGCTCCTTTCAATACACAATCTACCAGACTCAATCCATTAAAAAACTCCTCATTTCCAGGTCCTGGGAGTTACAATGTCAATTTGGCTAATGCAGGGTACAAAACTATTTAAATAGCAGGTAGAAAGTGCTGCTTCAATCCAATCAATCAGAACTTAAGATTCTCGAAATACACAAATAACAGTCAGTTTTTGCATCCAAATGTAAGCGCTTTTAAGAAGTTAATACAAGCGATACTCCAGGGTAGAGTCTTGTATTTGATATCTTAGTCCTGGTTCATACAAACCAGAAGCAAATTAACGACAACATTATCAAAAGGGATCATCTGAATATTTTATAGAGTCACTATTGAAATTAAATAGAAATAAATCAATACCATCAATCCCATCCAACGAATAAGCGTATGGTTATGATGATAGTGGAAGTATGCATATAATAATCTATTTTAATACAATTTAGCACTGTAATTAAATAAGAGTCCCCAAGACATCATTACAGGATTAAAGAATGACTCAGTGGGACCTGGTCACTATGATCTTAGGAACTCTTTCGATTTAAATAAAGAGAAGGGTCACAATTGGCATTCCTCTAAACAACCAAAACTTGCTCCTGTTGTTTCCAAAGATTAAAAAATGATAGTTGGACCAGGAGCATATGCTATTGAAAATGAGAGTCAACCCTTATATAAATTGTTGCCATCAGGATCCTTTCAATCCAATACATCTAGATTCAATAATTTAGACAAGGGACAAAGAAGCAAAGAAATCCTTAGACTTTAATTTGAGAAGAAGAAATCAAAATTGCTACAAGATTCATAATTTGAAGATTTGAAAGATGAATAATTTGATATCTCTCAAGTATGCCTATTCAACATATTAGAATGATGGACCTGGCCCAGGATATTATTTTAAAGATCATAGTACTGTTTCAACTATATCAACTTCTAAATTGGAAACACAATGTTTTGGATCAAAATTGAAAAGATTTCAAAGTGATTCAAATTAAATAACCGTTGGTCCTGGAGACTATAAAATTGAAACTTAACTATCAAATAGCAGTCTTGCATTAAAGCAACCACCCTTTTTATCCTCTAATACTCGATTTGAACAACAACATTTCAATAGGAAGGTTGGCCCACAATCTTACCACATTAATAAAAGTGTAAGACAATTAGATATTTCATCTAGTTGGAATATGATTTGATTAAAAAACTCGAAAGATCTCCTGTTGGTAAATTTGGATAGAATTAACCTAGATTTGTGAATGATCAAAGTAAAGAAGAATTGCCTGGTCCAGGTTTCTATGACTATTTATAGTAATCCACCTAACAAGGAGCTCAAACTATGTTTAAGTCTTAAACTAAGAGGATTGATCCAACCCTATTAAATAAATCAGAAATACCAGCCCCTAGCTAATACAATCCCAGAAATCACACAATCGAATATAACATAAAGAAAGCTGCAGAGGATCTTGAATTTGATATCAATAGACCTCCCTTTTAATCTTCAGCTCCTCGATTTAAAAGTAATGTGGATGTCAAAATTGATGAATTGGATGAAGATCTTTATTTGAAAAAATAGAATCAAAAAAAAGAAGAGCACAAGATTCCGTATAAATAGAAATAGCAACCGCCTCCATTTAATGTGCAAGTACTTATAATGACAAATGTTTTTATAGGAAAAACGATTTTAATATGGTAAACTAACTGTTTAATCTCCCGGTCCTGGAGAATATAATGAGTCCACTTAAATTTCATGGGACAAACCATCATTCAATGTTCAATATTCTTAATTTTGAGTAGATGACAATAAATATATTAAACGATATCATTTCTTAAAAAATCTATATCCTGATCTTGTGTGTTGATGAGCCTTTCTGGATTAGGGAATGCTTTCTGTAATTTTAAATTATTTGGATAGAGAAACACTTGCTTATTGTGATCGATGAGTTTGAATACTACATAGAGAGGGAATGATGATACTTGAGTTTTTATTGAAATTCTGCTGCATGTGGTGAATTCATAGTATAGATGTGAGCAGGACTGAGCATTTTAGATAGAGGATCCTTGATTACTCTATGTGTGGATGGGCCATTCTGAGTGAGCAACTGTTCATCTTTAAATGTTTTAGGAGATAGATGAAATGTTTGTTTGGTTTTTGAAGTTCTTGATATAATCTATTTGATAGTCTATTGACTCACTCCAAATGGAATTCTGTTAAATGTTTTCGGCGAATGCAATTGGATGTGCGATTAGACTTTAGGCTTTTGTTTTTCTGCTAGAAAGTGAATAAATTTCTGCAGTTATTCTTCTTCCCTGTTAGAAGGTAGAAATATTAATTCTCCAGTTTTAATCTAAAGACCTTCTAATTTGTTATTAATTGCTTCTATTGTTGTAGAGTTATCGACGAGATCTTGGAGTAATTTGCTATAGACTGGATTTTGAACTTTAGGAGATGTAGGTTTGAGTTCTTCTGGTTAATCGCCAGCAATTGCTTTTTTAGGTTTGTTAGGATTTTTGCGATTTTCTACTTCAATAATTCGTTTTATGCGATAATATTCGACTCGTCTTTTCTTATCATGATAACTAACTTATGTATATTTTCGAGATACTTGCTCATAATATTGCTGATTTTATGCATAAAGAATCTTGGAATCTCATTATGATATTTGTAGTACTCAGTAAATAACTGAAGTTTATCCCTCAATTCATCTAACAATTTTTGTATAAAATATACTGGCAAAATAGAACCGTCTCAAATATTCCTGGTTCTCATTATATGCTAGAGCCTGGTAAAACTCTATCACCTCTTTTGTTCTGGCTGAATTTACAAAATCATTCAGAGTCCTTGAGTAATAATAGGATTGACAATTGGAGTATTTCTTTTGGAGTAGTATCTGAACATTGTACTTATTCGCCATCGGATATTTAAGTTATGATAATCAATTTAATATAATTTAATCATTGCATATAGGATAGATCAAATAAAAATACTAATTCATTGGAAACCTAATTTATACCACATCTGTCTTAAATCATCCTTTGTTTTCGTCTTTATTTCCTAAGCAATCTCAGTCCATTTCATAACTGAATTGAATGAATTCGGAATTTAAACTAATGATCTGAGAATATTGAATGTCTCTCTATCAAAATCATTCATCTTTCTGAAATTTAGACAAAACTTAGTTTCAATGAACTGACTCCCAAATCTAGTCTAAAGTACTGAATCGTAGTCCGAAACCAGAAGCATTTGCTATGTTATGTTCTGAGTCTGCTTCATTAATATTAAGAATTCTCCTATTTAGTTCTGATATTGTCAGGTGTCCGATTAAAATGCTTACTAATTTCCCTCCACTTTCTTCCGTATTATTAGACATACTTAATCAAGTCTGCCTCCTCATTCTAACTCCAATAGCCATGTCGATTGTTGCTATCATATTTCCTTCTAATCAACTTATAAATAGAATCAACACTTCTATTTGGTATTTATTTTGCAATACTGAGCCATATCTTAGAGAGTCCAAACGACTTTAATTCAATGTACTCTTATAGATCCTAATTACTAAGATTGTTTTACAATAGATATTCATTGACAACCTTCATAATGCAGTCTACTTCTTGTTTGGAAAACCGTCCTTCTTTCATTTCTGAGTGATTAACACGGCAATCTAGTCTTTTGTGCCAAGATCTACTTTTAGTTTGTCGAATTCTATTTTAATCAATTTATTATTCTATATTTTACTAGTCTTATTATGCTTATGGAATGGCATCAGTTTTTGAATGATTGTTTTGACTTAATTAACGTTCCCTTGAACTGATAAGATCCTCGTACTCATTCTATAGTGATTGTTGCTAATTTCTAAGTTTAATAGTTTGTTTTTAAATTTTTTTCATATTAAAGTTAAAATAAATTGTTTGACTGAATAATTATTTCAATTACGCACTAAACATGCATCCTACAACACAATTGCTAGAAAATGCAAGAGAACGCGTAACATTTCCAACTGAAGAATTAACAAAGCTCATTTATGTTAATGATGAGATATATGAGACATTCATGAAGGCTCAAAAGATAATAGCAAATGAGCCTACCATTCGCAATCATCCAGATTATCACAATTGGAGTCGCAAACAATAAATCATAAAGTCCTATGAGAAATTGAGGATTATGCATTAGCATTTCAATTTGGCTAATGCTGTTCACTGGGCTCCCCTTTTGAGCATCTTCCAAGGAACAACACCCACAGCAGTATCCTTTGCAATGACAGTGCCTGCCTTGAGATTTCTGGGAACAGACGAGCAATTCAACTTATGGGGACCCAAATTCCTGACCATGGAGATCGTTGCCGCCTATGCCTAGACAGAAATAGGTCATGGAAGTGACGTGCAGAATTTGGAAACTACTGCCACCTACGATCCCTAAAGCAATGACTTTGTGCTTCACACTCCGTCTGTTTCCGCAGTGAAATGTAAGTGACTATGGAAATCTATCTAGTTTGGCCTGGTGAATTAGGCTTTTTATCTAATTATGCACTGGTCTATGCCAAGCTCATTTTTAATGGCAAGAATAAGGGAGTCCACCCTTTCATGGTGTAAATCAGAGACAATTCCACACACAAACCATTAAGAGGAGTGACAGTAGGTGACATTGGGCCAAAATTAGGGTATTCAACAAAGGACAATGGATATTTGGCATTTGACAATTACAGAATCCCCTTAAATAGCATGTTGGCTAGATATGTAAGGATAGAGAATGGTCAATTCTCAAGACACGGAAATGAGAAGGTACAAATAATAATGAGTTCATCATTAGATCTCCTATGCATCCATGATGGTCTCTAGATAATTGATTATTTTCATCTACCCAAGAATGGCTGCTCAAGCTCTGACAGTTGCAATCAGATACTCTATTACCAGACAGCAATTCACAAACGACAAGAGAGAGGAGAATTCAGTGATTGAATATTAGACTCAATAGGACAAGTTGTTACCAAGATTAGCCACTTGCTATGGAATGATTTTCGCAGGAATTAGGATAATGCAATTGGTTGATGACAATTTCCATAGGGTCTAAAAGAAGGACTTCAGTACTCTATAATAGTCACATGCCATCTTAAGGTATTCCTGATAATATAACAAAATTAAGTGCAATAAAAGCCTTCTCCTCCTAATGGGTCGTAGATACTACAGAATGGTGCAGATTATCTTGTGGTGGTCATGGTTATGCTCATTATTCTGGTATTCCAGCAGTTTACTTTGATACTGCTCCAAATGTTACACTAGAAGGAGAAAACTAAGTGATGTATCTACAAGTGGCTAGATACTTGCTCAAGGTGTTATAATATGCAGAGAAGACTCCAGAGAAAGTACCCTTTTATTTCAGCTTTGTATTACACGTCAAAGAGACTTTAGCAAATAAAGATTAAAGTATTAATTATCACAACTTATTGTAGACACTTCATTAGGACACTGGCTTAAGTTAACTTTGACAATCCAATTGATCCAAGTTGGTAAAAGAATCAAAGATTTAATGAATACAGGTAAGACATTCCAACAAATATGGAATGAACATGTTGGTATCCATTTGATGTCTCTTGCTTAAAGATATGCTGAATATTTCATCTATCTTGTCTTTCAAGAGTATATTGCAAATGCTAATCCTTCTGTTAAAGAGATATTGCAATAACTTTGTGACTTATACTGTGTACAAACCATTTTGGACAATCCAAATACACTCATTGAGTCTGGTTAAATCACACAAGAATAATTAAAAGCCTTTAATGAATTGAAAATTGAATTGTTTGCTAAAATTAAACCATAGGCAATTGGGTTGGTTGAAGCATTTAATTTTAATGATAATGCACTTAGAACTTGTATTGGATGCCATGATGGAAAACCATATGAATATATCTATGATTGGGCAACAAAGGAGAATTCAGTCAATAAAGTACCATAAGCAGTAATTGATTTAATGGGCACAAAAATCAAAGCAAAATTATGATATTAATAATATATTAAATGGAGAGATATTATATGTAATTTCAAATATCTTCATAGATGATTATTATTTCAAAGTCTTGAATGGTAAAATTAAAATAGTTAATACTTCATCTTAAAGAGATTACAATATTTAAAGTGATTTGAATGAATAAAATAACACATAAATAGAAATAAATCATTTTAAGGTAATGTAGTCTTGAATTCTTTTATATACTTCCAAAAATTTTGTAGAATCGTAGAAATCTGAATTAAAGTAAACTCCATTGGTTTTTGCTTCTTTTTCTAATACTTATATTGGAACTCTGATGTCACCATTATAATTTTTGATATTTTAGTAATAATCTTTCTAGAATGAATAAAAACAAAGACATACCTATTATCTATACAATTTATTTAACATATTTAACAAAAGATCGAAGGAATCTTCATTAAATGTCAAATAATCGCTAAACTTGCGTCTTAATTATCTGGCTACAGAGTATTTCTGGGATTGGAGGAAACTCTCCAACATTACTTTGATAGCAACTGAGATATCGAAGTCCATCACATTATTTCTTAAATGCATTCTAGCATGAGCTATTGAAATATAGAATTATAAATTACCTTCAGCCATTCTTATGATACTTTCTAAGTGTCTGATGGCAATGTTGATACCACCACATACTTCGGATTCCTTTCTCAATAGATAATAGAATTTGGATATCTTTTCATGATCAACATTCTACAACTTGGGTCTGATGTGTGTACGAGCATACAGAATGTATTTTTTGAGTAATTCCAATGGGATCACTTCCTCCTGAGTCTACTTGTTCTCCTTTACAAAATATCCTTTGATTTATTGACTCCATTCAGAATCGGGATCATTATTCAACTCATAGGCAGCCATAGGATGATGTCTAATGTGACTGTTGATCACAAACGATGCTAATCTATCATCTGCCTCTTTGATTACTTCATCTTTGACAACACAAAGAATGTCAAATCTACTCAAGATTGGATCAGTTAGATCAACATTATCATGAAAAGATTACTAGGAATCATACTTTCCACCGACTGGATTTGCAGCTGCAATAACACTACATCTGGCTTGGAGAGTGGTGACGATACCAGCTTTAGAGATTGAGATACTTTATTGTTCCATGGCTTCATGTATGGATGTTCTATCATGTTCATTCATTTTATCAAACTCATCAATCAAACAGATTCCTTTGTCAGCCAAGACTAGTGCTCCTCCTGAAATGCTCCACTCATTGGTCGAATAATCTCTTTAGACTGAAGCAGTGAGACCAACGGCAGAGGCACCTTTGCCTGTTGTGTATATTGATCTATAGAATGTCTTTTGTACATTCTTCAAAAATTAAGACTTGGCAGTACCAGGATCTCCCAACACTAAGACGTTGATGTCTCCTCTGATTCTGTGTTTTCCTTGTATGTCTTTAGCTTCTCCTCCAAACATAGCCAAGGCAATAGCCATTTTGACATGTTGATGGCCATAAATAGAGGGAGCCACAGAGTTGAAAATAAGTTTATCAATTTTAGGATTTTGTGACAACTTCAAGATTTCATCCTTAATTTTCTTATCTATATTCAAAGACTCACTCTCATCTTTTCTCCTTATATAATTGCTTTCAATGATCGTGGAATAGAGTGGGAATCCATGTTTTACATTGAGAGCATAATCATATCTTTAGGTGTAAACTCCAGTGACTTCAATTTCATCACCAGGTCTTGCAATATCGATTTGATCTCCCAAGACTATGACTTCCTTTTATCTGGGCACTCTTCCTGCTGGCACTTGTCCTGGGGATTCTTGGAGAGTCAATCTTTAAAAGTTTCGATACACCAATTGATTGTATAACTTTTCAAAAGGTCCACTGCTCTGACATTGAATGCATACTCCCAATTGGATACTATCATTGTTTTCCAGATAGAATGGTCCCTTCTTCATTCCGCATTTAACACAAACATATGTGATTTCCTTCAATTGAGAGTAGACTGCACTTCTTCTAGTAACCACCCCGATCACACGAATGAATTTATCCAAATGTTTGTATCTGAGATCTCTAATAATATCCACCACAGGCAGATTGGTGATTCGCACAAAGATCTCTTGATGAATGTTATGGTAATGATTGAATCGCTTATTGACTTCAATTCTCGCAGCTTCATTCAAATGAGGCAAAATAATCTTGGGCTCTTCTGCAACCCACAAAGCAATGGTGGCATTTGCACTCACCAAATCAGGATACAACACTTCAAGTGATTGCTTATTGGCCTTACACATTTCCTTAATCAATTGGATGTAAATGGGTTCCTAGTCAGATCCCCTCTTGCATTCATTCAAGATCTTTCTAAAAGCTCGCTTAATCCAAGCCTCTAACATATATACATTCAATACTTGTTCTGTCATCCTTAATCCACTCGTTCAATTTGCCTCTGCATTCTTCAATGTTCAAATATCGCTCCTCTTCAACCACATCGGTGTCCTCCTCCTCAAAAGGGTCTTCGATGTAAACTCTTTCACCGAACTAATCCAAAACCTCGTCTTCAGAGTCACTCAAATCCTAAGCAGCTCTAGGAATTCGCCTGTCATCCATATTTATTCTTCTCCTCCTTTGAATCTCCTCCTCTGCTCTTCTACGTTATTCATAATCCATCTCCCCGTGGATCTCATCGTCATCTATTCCGTCTGACTCATATCTGTCCAATTCAGGTATAGGCTTGTAGTCATTCAACATGTTATCATTAATCAATTCCTCCCCAGAATCCTCCTCACCTGGAGTTCCCTCTGAAGATTGTACTCCCACCTATTCCTCCAAAGCCTCCTCATCATCAGAACCTCTTTTTTTTTCCTCCTCCTACTATCCTCTTCTTGGTCTTCTACTCATCCCTTTTTAATTACTTTATTAATATCGATTAAATTCAATCCATCCCAAATATAAATATTCCCGCACTACTTATTTTTGGCGCAATTCTGTCCCAATTTCTTTTACTATTAAAATTACAGAAATCTATCTCATTTTTATAATTTTACATCTCTCTCAACACTCCCTGTCCTCACTCCCCACATTAATTGTCCCTTTATTTCACTCGCTCATCCACTCTACCACCTTCCAAACTTCGTCTTATTCCCCTGCAACTATCCTCCCTCATTCACTGTGCAATATCGACGTCCTCATTCAAAATGCAAAGACATTCGTCCTGTTTAAGGAGGATTATTAATTTCTAGAAAGTCATTCGATCTAATTTTTATCGTTAATCCATAATTTAAAATATGAGTGATAATATATTAGTATATTTGAAAGTCAAACCAGACTAGGAAGAGGAAGGAGGACTCACCATTCAAGATAATACGGTCAAAGTAATCTCGCAATCCTCCTTTGAAGAGAAGACTTATCAATTCAATGCCATCTTTCAAGAGAACCACGAATTGCAGCAACATTGCATTCCGATCATCGACTAAGCGATTAGAAATCAATAGAATGCTTGCATCATCACTTATGGATAGACGCAGAGTGGGAAGTCTCATGCCTTAGGGTTCTCACTCTACAACGAAGGATTACTACATTCCTTCCTCCAATATCTGTTTGAACAAATGCAAATACAATAAGTGTCCATCTCAATGCTCTAATTATACATGCAATCGGCTATTGATTTATTGACTCAAGACAAATCTCTCAAAGAGTTGAGAATAAGAAATAAGCAGAATGAAACTTATGTTGAAAATCTGACTGAGGTACTTGCTCAAAATTATCAAGAATCCTTACTTATCTGCTAAGAAGGAATCTAAAAAACTCAATTCTCTAAATTACATACCATCCTAACACTCAAAGTCATGAAATCTAAAATTCAATTCGTTGAGATTTTGGGCAACAACTCCATCAACGCTAAATCTCCCCAATCTAGCAACTGCATCACTGCTCTGCTCAAAGTTTTCAGTGCCCTTCTCAAACAACAAGGAACTTAATCATAAGTATTTATTCCTTTTCGAGATTCTAGTTTGACTATGCTTCTCAAAAATTCATTAACACCCCCCTCTAAAATAATTGTCATCGGCACTATCCTCCCTAAAAACTCTATTGAAACTAGTTAAACTATCAAAGCACTTTCCTCATGCATCAAAGTATTCCCACCCCAAGACAATCCTAATAACACCACCTATCATTACAATGCCACCAAGGCCAGAAGTGTAACACCAACAATCACTAAACAAAAACCCTAAGACATCGTTGTTAATAACGGGTAATAACAATAACAGCACAACTCAACAAATTAATTATAATACAAAGAGTTAAGTGAATATTTATTAAAACTATTGACTAAGATTAATTCCCATGCTTGCAAACTTATCAACTAGGAATGTTTACAACATATCGATATCAATTAGAATCTGGATAAGATCATCTCCTAAGTGTAGTAAGTCTCCCATTAGTTGTTGTAAGTTATCAATGGTAAAATTACCTCTTAAGTCAATCAGACCAAAACTGATGGCTGGCAAAAGGCCCTCAAGTTTTTGTACCATACATATGAGGAAGAAATCTAACGCGAAGATAAATTACTTAAGGAAAAACTCCTATATATCATCAACGAAGAAGAACAGTATGATCTGGACAGTCTCAGAAAGATCTTATTTCCTCCGAAGTAGGAGTATACTAATTCTTTATTTAAAACACTTACGACTTTGAGAAAATACACAAACACCATTCAAATCCCGCTTAGTCGAGAAAATTACAGGAATCAGTTGACCAACGACATCATGCAGAAGGAGTTGGGAGTAATGAGCAATCAGAATTACGAGTCAAGTGGCAAACAAGAATTGACTAGTGTACAATTAATTATTATAATATAGTTCCAAAGTTACACGGAGAATTTGATGAGCAAATTTAAATGGCAAAGTGCCTAGAAGCAAGACTATTACGGATATCAACCCTGAGTGAGGCAATTTTGAAATTTAAATATTTTTACTTAATCATTTCTAATTAAGTGGGTATACACACATTTTATCTACAATTTAACAATATTTTGAACAAGGAAAATTTGATCAACAGAATCTTTTTGTTGTCAATATATTATTATTAATAAATAAAATTTTGATTTGCTATGTTAATATTATTTCTTGTATTTAATTTAATTGAATTATTTTTTAAAGATTAATTATTAAATAAATGAAATCAAAACCATTTTCGATTACTAGTTCAATTTTTACTTCACCCAATTCTTAGTTTTGGAATGACTAAGATTTTTAAAAAACTAAAGAAAATTTCAAAGACGATTATTTTCTCTTTTTCTCGAATAAAAAGCTAACTTACTTGAATAAGCCTCTATAAAAAGCTGGTTCAATAATTAGGAAACAAAAAAAAAATGTAACCCCCACTTTAATTTATCCTAGGGTCTGTATTTATGGTGTGATGTCAGTAATGCTTTAATTGAGCTCATCGAAATCCAACATGTAGGACATGGTTTAAGAATCACTAAAAATTAACAAAGTATTCAATTCTTTGGATATGTGGATGCCTGGTTTAAGGATTTAAAGAAATTTTGTATTCAAAGAAAAATTAATGAATCATATATAATCAATAATAAAATTGGATGTGGAAGTTATGCTGATGTATTTAAATTTAAATTAGCAATTAGGTTTACAAAGTTACTCGAAAGGCTGATAACAAAGATTTCGCAGCTAAGATCTACGACAAGTCATCAGACAAATTCGACCCTGAGTGCATCATTAAAGAAATTGACATTCTAAGAAAAATGGATCACCCTAATGTAATTTCACTTCTAGAGACTTTCGAAACTCAAAAATATATCTTCCTTATAACAGAGCTCTTTATATATGGAAGCTTAGATGATGTGATCACTAAGACACCATTTACAGAGGAGGAGGTTTTAAGAGGGATGTATAAAATAATTGATGCCTTATCAAACATTCATTCCAAGGGCATAATACACAGAGATATCAAACCAGAAAATATCCTATTTCGAAAACCAAATCTGGATGATATTTTGATTTCAGATTTTGGTTTAGCAGATTACTATAACTAAGAAGGATTATATTAATATCAGAGATGCGGTACTCCTGGAAACATGGCACCAGAAATATTGAATGATCAACCTTATGATTATAAAATTGATTCCTACAGTGCTGGTTTAATATTTTATTAAATGCTGAGTTTCGGAAGATCTCCCTTTATAGTTGAAGATTATCAGGAAACTCTGATTAAAAATTAATAAGGTCTCATTGACTATTCAGAAATCAATGCATCACCCTAAGCAAAAGCCTTGCTTTAATAGATGTTAGAAGTGGATCCAATTAAAAGATGCACAATTAATGATGCCAAATTTAATCCACTTTTTAAGAAATTCAACAGAATGACAATCATTATTAAAAGAAAAAGAATTCTCCAAGATCAAACTGTGTCAAGCTATAGTCCAAGAAGCACATCAATATATCAGACTCCATCTAATTCTCCACAAGTTCTGAAAATTCCGAAAAATAAAAGCATCGGCCTCAACACTCTGCATTGTCTACCAAATCGAGTAAGAAGCATGGATAGCTAACTCTTTCCTTCTCCTAGATCATGCAACTCTGGAGGAAATAGTGCTAAAGCTCAATGTAAGCAAAGAAATAGGAATTTTAAGATTAATGTCAAAAATAGTATTTACCAAAGCATGAGTTCAACAAAAGCCATTTGAATCATTGATCAACTTATTATGATTAATGATATCTAATGTATTCATAAATATAATCAAACATTATTATTATCCTTATTTTTGAAATAGAATTATTAGATATCAATATTCAAATTTATCAGAATAATTCAAAACCTTATACATTTATAGATCATTTTCATTTAGAGATTTAATTAATAAAATATATTTATAATATTATTAAATAAAATTAGTAATTTTTTATTCACAAAAACCTATATAACTACTATTTATAGAAATATATTTTATAAATTATTAATATCAAAGTTTTTTCAAAATTGTATCCAATTTTAATACAACATCTAGATCTCCCTTTTCTATTAATTTATTTAGAACTATTTCTAATATATATTGAATGGCACAGATTGATAAAGCCTTATCAAACAAATAATCATCTCCACTGATAGATGACACGATGATTAAGTTCCCCAAAATAAAATAGAAATAACCAACTAGTATGAATTTTGTGTCAATATTCTCTATCAATTTTTTCTTTAGTATTCTATAAGCTAATAAATATGCAAACAAAAATATGATTAGCTATATTAAATTGTAGATTGGAACAATCAATAAACCTAAAATCCAAGATGATTTATTAAAGTCCTCAATACCATAATAAGCATTCATGATTGAAACAACCATCAGATTGTTGGAGATATATAAAATGTATTATCCGATCTTAATTAGCTCAATGTCTAAAAGTTAATTAATATTAAAAACTTTGTTTATTCTATTTGAATTATTTGTAGCTATACAAATACAGCTCAAGTAAACCAACTTACTCTTGTTTTCCTTGACTAGTCTTGGGACTATTAAGGTCTGGCTAATCTACTGGATTATCCTCCTAAGCATTATTCTTGATGGTTTCTAATTCTTTTGGTTTTTCTTTTTGTTATTCAAGTTTTTATAAATGTCTTTACCAAGAGTACCCTACACTAATTAGAATTGTGTATCCCAATAGTAAAGAAATACTATCGACAATCTCTTAGTTCATAGATAATTTAATTAATGATTCCTTAGGATTAAATAATTTGTTTAAGTAAATACATTATAAATAAAATGAATGACAAAATTTTCATTAAACTTTTTAAATTTATTTCTTTAAAGCAATCTGTTGCAATAGTTCCTAATGTAATACTTTAATTTTTACCTATTTCCTGCTCTGAAATTCTTCCAAATACATATTGCGTTTCGCTTGTTATTCTTCAATCTTATATTTTAATTCTACATTTTAGTTTTCTATATTTTCTACAAATTCTGGAGAGTAGTCTTCATTTTACATCAAGTCTTCATCCCAAAATGCCTCCTGTGGTTATGATTACAACTAAAACACTTATTGTTAACCTTGTATTATCTATTAATTCTATTTAGTCTCTGATTTCTTCACTGATAATCCTGTTGGTGTATGAAAATAAGTTTATACTTACTAATACTTCTGTTATAACTCTGAATTTTCAACTGATAATTATTTGTATTGCTGGACCAATAATTATTGATCTTCTTCAAGTTCTTTGCTTTGTTAAACGATTTTAATTCTCATCTAAAAGTTAAATTAATGTAAGGTTCTTTTCCACTTTGTGAAGAATTTACTCATCATTTTATCCTCATTCATAACAATCTTATATAAATATTTATAGATGATTAGATTCCTCCTCTTCCTCAGATATTTCATATGGGCTTGATTTAATGCCTAATTTAATTTGCTTGAAATAACAGACTAAATATTAAATGGTAATTACTAAATTTTTTATTATGTCAGCATTTGCACTTTAACTATTCTAGTTATTCCTGTTATAACAAACTATTTTATAAAAGCCGTATGATATATTTTTTAACATCAGCCTTCTTAATACGATTTTAAAATTCAGCATCACGACCAATTTTTAAGTATTTCGTTATTTATATTTTTTTAATTCTACGAATGCGTTTGAAACTATCTAAAATTTCTATTTGTTTAATAATGCAACAATTTAAAATGTCAGTTATAAGACTTCATTTTACTTTTTAATATCAATTTAAGACTGTTCATTGTAGTTAATTTCAAATTTTTTCTTCCAATAACAAAAACAATGCATTTTTTTATTTTCTAATGCCATAACAAATTTGGATATAGCTTCTTGTTTTTTCATCTCTCTTTGTAAATGCATTTCTCTATTTCTCTAGAACTTTTGTAGTATTTTAAGAAATCTTGATTGGTAATTGAATCTATAAGCAAACACTTTTAAAAATGGAATTATTTTTCTTGAATTTTTATTCATAAGCCTTATCATCAAGTGTCTGTAATGATTACTTACTCGCTTTTGCAAAATGTAAATCATCCTACACAAAGTCTCTTTTTTCAATATTTCCAATTAAACAAGGTTGTAATTTTACAATTAATGCAATGCTTCTCTGAATTGATTAGTATTTGAAATATTGATTTAAAATGCTCCCTTTTCATCATCCTTTTCTGAGAGCATTTTGACATTATTTCGATTAGCCATTTTGAAGTTTTTGATTTTTAAATACGCATAGTTTCTTAAATTGTACAGTTTTTGCACTATTCTGCGATCTATTATTTTAATCAGAGATTTTAATCTCTCTTCCTTTTATAGTTACTTTTTTTGAAGTAAGGAAACTAATTGTTCCATTTTAAATAATTGTTATATAAAATTATAATATAGTTTATTAGAAATTATAATAAAAAATAGATTCATTTCAAATTTGCATTTAGGTTACTTTAGTAAAGATTACTCTAACGATAAACAATTAGATTTTTGAATTTGTTGTAATCTATTCAATATAGTTATCCTAAACAGGTTTAACCTTATTTCATAGAAAATAATTAAATTTCATTGAAAATTATTTTTTTTATTAAAGAGTCCTTTGATTGAAACAAGTTCAGTTCAAATTCTTTAATTCAACAAGAATAAAAACTCTAAGGGTTAGTGAAGTAATTAATTTAATAGCTGATGCAAATAATTTAACATCTAAAGACCTTGTTTGAGTTCTTGAATAATATTTATTCGTCGATCTTTTTTTCCTACTCATTCATATAATATTAAAGTCATTAAAATAATATTAAACTAATTTTAACATGGTAAGGATTACTTTACAAAATAATTATTTTATTTTTAAATTGTATACCAAAACGACAATCAAAATATTATTTATACAACTTTAAGAATTTTCCCGTTCCAATAGGTAATTTTATTATATGTTACTTAACTCTTCTAAGTGTGTTTTATTCTGGATTTAAATAAATTGCCAATGAGATGAGGACATTGTGAATTAATTTCTTATTCATACTAAAAGTCTGTTTTTTTAATATTAATATTAATATTACTTTATAGAAATGAAATCCTTTCAATGTACAGATCATAAAAAAGATATTATTTATTATTGTAATGACTAACATTGCGAAATGAGATGCTTGTGTGCTGATTGTGAACATGAGCATGAGAAAACTGCAGTACAAAGTTTGCTTGAAGGTTACAATATAAAAGAACTGGTTTAAACCTTCTAAAGTTTTAAATACATTATAAATGATTTAATGGCAAAGATGGAACATGAATTGAGCCAACACCTTTAATAAATTAAATAACCTTAAGCGACTGCTTAAAATTTAGAATAATTCGATAAATAGCTGAGTGAGATCTCAAATATCTAAAATACACTATAATTCAAAATTAAAAATAGATTGCAGCACATTATTAATGCATTAAAAGGATAGGATTTAGATTCAAGTCCTAATACCCTAATTGATGCTCGTAAAAAAGACCATTCGAAATCAATTATTCTCAGTTAGGCCTAATTATAATAAGATATGATTAAGAAAAGCAGGTAGTCAAAAATATTCAAAATGAACATTCCTCAATCCAATTAGTAAGAAACATAACAGATTCTTTAATAACCAAACTTAAATTTGGACAGAGTTGAAGTGGCAAGATTGTAATAACTGAGTACATAAGACTGGGCTTGGAAAATGAGTTCATCCACTGTGTTTTGTTGTATATTCTCAGCCTTACGAGATTTGAAAATAATAGGATTTTTACAGCCCTGCTTATTCAAAAGTAATACCAATAATTACCAAAAAAAATCAGCAGTCATCAATTTTGGCATTTATAATAAAAAGAATTTGACCAAATAACCCATACACATGGAGAAATACACATTGAGACATAGTAAGATGAAGATAGTCAATGATTGTTATGAGTTGATGTTAAGTAAACCTATCAGCATTAAGGAATTTACAGAATATTCTATTGCAATATGGCCAAGCAAAGTCTTGTATTGTCACTATTTTAGTATTGCTGCTCCTATAAATCCATTCATAGCATTTCAAACTTAAGATTTCAATGACAATCCTAAAATAAAGAGATCTGAAGATTTTCCATAGGTGATATCAACATTTCGTGCAGGTTTAGTCCCTTATTTGATAATTGATCCAAGAGAGTAATGAATGACATTAATTTACGAAATTAAGAGTCTGTTTAATATATGAAATATGGCGATATATTATTAAATTCAATCATTAACACCTTTACCTATAATTTTTAAAGTGTCTTAGATGGTCTTAATGACACTACTTAGATTGTCTATTATTTAGTTTTGTTGATTAAATCTTTAGTTCATTTCTTCCTTCAAATTGTAAGCCACATGATTGAATTCATCAATTGTTTTGACATGGAAATCTTGATTATTCTTTCTTTGTCTTTGAATCTCTTAATCAGTGTGATCCCTTAACTCTTTGCTTTAAAGAATTCTCTCTGACTTTTCATTGCTCAGTTTCTCATTTAATTGATAGGCTTCGTCGTCCAATTTTCTCAAGATCTCCTTTTCCCTTTCAACTCTAGTGTTTTTTTCTGTTTCATAATGCTCAAATAAAGCTACGATTGGTAATTAAATGTACTGGTTAATTGTTTCCTGATTTCTCTAAGGTTTTCATCAGATTATCTCATTCTTTCCTATTTTTCTTCTTCCAATTTTTAAGTGAGATCCTTAAGATAAACATTAGCGTCAACAATCCTTTAGTCTGTTTAATGTGCAAATGTTTCATGTTGGGTTTATAATTTCTGATTTGTTTAATTCAACACTTGAGTAAATTTTGAATCATAGGCAATTAAAGTATTATTAATTCTTTCACCCTCCTGAGTGATGAATTCCCTAGTATTTTGAATTTTCCTAAGAATAGAGATGAGAATAACCTATGTACATCAAGAAATTTAGCTTCCAGTTATTTTTTTGCCTCTTCTCTATTTCTTTTCATATCTTCGAAATCATTTGCCAAGTCTCCCATCTGATTCTCGAGTAGTGTGAGTTTTTCATTGTCTTTAGGCAATTGCTTGTAAGGTTTTTAAGTCAAAGGACCTGTTGCTTATAAATTTGCTTATGTTTATTACATAAATTAATTTAATAATATTTTGACAAGAATAACAAGTAACATATTTATCAATGCTAAAAATTTTATCTTCTTTTGATTACTACAGCTTTCGGATTGACAATACCCCTAGCAGTGCTGGGTTCATCCAACTAAGTTTTCACTCTTTATGCTAAGCAATCAATTCTATTCTCATGAACTCTATCATATTTTCTTTCTGATTTTGGATCTTGATGATTCAATTTGATCTTTAATTTAGGTACTTCCATCAATCTCAGAGGTTACATTTTAAAGATAGTTTGGGGTTTCAAGATATTGCCATTGGAACTATTGACAATACTTGTTTTGGTGACAAAATTATGATTCACAGTACTCTGAGTATTCTAAACCTACGTGGTAGGATTGAGATTATGATTGAAAAAATGGAAATTGGGAGCAACAGTCCTATGAGTAGGATTGGTAGATGCTCCCGCATTAGCTTAGTTAATTTATGCTCGAATGGTGACATTCGAATGAGTATGAGTACTGGATCCTGTACTAAAAATATTAATGATGGCATTGCTAGCTTTTCTGGGAGTCCCTATTGGTAGATTGAGTTGTTTTTTCACATTTCCAAATTAGACTGTCCTTGAACTGGCGGTAATTTCTCTATTCGTAGATTCCTTTTATTTTTGCTATTCCATTTGTTATATAAAAGTAGAAAATTGCATGGCTTTGGTTAAATCTTATTCGACTAGAGATTGAGTGAATTACTTCTGCAGATCTTTCTCAAGTGCTCTGTCTGCCTCTACGTTCTTGAGTAATTATAAAATTGTAGTAGATCTTTGGGTATCACTCAAATCTTTCAAAAAGCATGTCAACTCCTATTTAGCCATGGGAGTGCTTTTCTTCTTAGTTTTCTTCGGACTCCCCCCACCATCCTTATGGGCCTCCATTTCTATCTAGTTCATGGCCCATTGGTATTCAACCTAAGATCTACTACTAATGTATTTTAGAATAATGGCTTTTAGTTCCAGAAAGTACAACATGGGATGATCAATGCTAAACTTATAAGTAATAGGAGATGGTTACTTTGTAATATTGTATTAGTTATTTGAGTTGAAGCTGGCATTTAGACAGATTATAGAATTATCTAAGATATTCCTCTTGAGTATCCAAAATTTTGTAATCCTCCACTCTAATGTAGATGGTGCGCTTTTCCTTCCTTATAATTTGGTTGATAGGGCGAGAATAAAAATAATTTTGGCTCTGTCCATGCTTATAGTAGAGACTCAGATTCATCGTTTAAACAAGATCTCCCTTTTTGGAAATTTCATCAATCGAGGCATACAAGCATTGATTTTTATGCATACAGAATCTGCAATTGTGATTATACATTAATTATAATTCATTATTATTTCACTTAATTGATCAAATTATACATATATATATAAATAAAATAAATAATGCAATTATCTCCTATTGATTTGGACTATTTACACTAAGAGAGCATTGGGGGAGTCATTGCAGATGGTTTGACAGTACTTTACAATACACAACCTGAAAAACCAATTGAATTTTTAGCCAAATGGTTATTATAATATTGTAAAACTTCCACTCAAAAAACTCACTTCCATGATGATGTATGATAATCTTCACTTAATAGTTAACAGCTCTAGAAGAAAGAATAAAACATTCAGAATTTTATCCAATAACAAAAGTAAGAGAAGGAAAGATTGGAAGAATTGCTATCATTCAAATAATAAACTATGTAATAAGAACAAAATTACGTTGATTATCTGAGAAACCACCCTTATCATTAGGAATTGATTATTCAAGAGTTTCCAGATTTTTTGATGAAGAAATTTGTAAGAATCTCTTATATTATTTCAATTTAGAATTTATCCGGAGTTTACATCTGTTATTTCACCCATCAGAAATAAGACGTTGATGTTGACTTAGTTGATGATGAAAATGCGTTTATCAATCAAAAGGCACCTAAACTATTGAAATATGTAGGAACCTCTTTAAATCAAAAATTCCTTCTCAATTTAAACCTAACTGAATAAGCCATTCTAACATATGAAGTACTCAAACCACCTCCTGTTGAAGAAGGCAAAGTTCCTGAAGTATACAAGGGCTGCTACGTCCCTGATGTTGTCAAAGAACCAAAGGTTTATTTTCATAGGTTCCCAAAATTGGGATGTTATTTTGCCATGCCTATGAATTTTGAAACTTCCCTCTTTGAAGTACTGCATTTTCAATTATATTAGGATGCCTTTGATGCAGGTTTGATTAATAGGATAAAGTATAATTCTGAAGTAGAAACTCAAAAGCAAGAAATAAAAGCTAAAGAAGAAGAACATGCAGAATAATTATAAAATGCAGAAAACGAAGAGCAAAAACAATAATTGGAAGATGAACACCAGAATTATCTGTCTTCATTGCCACAAATCGTAGAACCACCCTTTTTAGGCATCTAACAATAATACATTGTGTGTGGCGATACATTAGGATAAGACAGAAGATTGTCAGAAGAAGAACGCAATGAATTATATGAGGCGATTCAATAATTTGGACAAAGTTACCAAGAGAAAGAGATAGCCCTTTTATCAGAAGATATCAATTAATAAATTGAATATCAAAGTACTATTCCTGAAAAATTGGAAGAGAATTATCTGGATTAAGAAAATCAATTTGTGGAGTAATAAGCTGCCAGCTTAGAGGAGTTAAAGTAAACAAATGAAAGGGATTACAATTATGAAATAGAGTGCATCAAATTCGATTTTCTAAAGTAACAATTTACAGCCAAAGACTTTGCCTCTACTTTTCTAAACCTCACCAAGAGAAGAGTCATCAAATTCCCAAATATTATTAAGGCATTATTTTATTTGCTAGGCTACAAAAAAGAAGAAATCACACAAGAAAACAAATTGAATTGGAAGATTGTAGCCTCCTATATCGATTATAGATTTTTAGCAAAATTAGCACTCCTCAATCATAGAGGACCCAAAGAAGCCCCACTTTAACATGCTACCATAAATCGATTGGAAAAGTTAGTTGATATTTATGATGAAGAAAAAGTTATGAATTACAACTGGGCTTTAGGATATTTACAAAGATTTCTAACCTTGTACTGTAAGTTGAGAAAAGAGGATGTGGCAATCAGGAAGGAAATCTTACAGGAAAAGAGAACGTAATTGTCAAATGCCAAAGAATAATTGGCACAGTTATTAGTATGAAATTAATCAAATAACTCTAGGAATAAAAGGAAACCGATCTATAAGCAGCTAAAACAAACTTTTAAGGAGAGGAAGGCGAAGAGTTTGATGAATAGAAATGGATCGAATAATGGGAATCTGAACATAATCTACCTGAAATTGGGCCTGAACCATAAGATGAAATTGATGATGACTTAGAATGATATTCATAAATTAGAAATAAACATTATATATCTAAATTTTGCATTTACTCATTATTTTGTAATCAATTATTTGGAAGATTACTTTTTCATTATGATAATATTTTGAAGTAAAGTTTAACTTATTTAAATTAATACAATTATTATTTATGATAAAAAAATTCTCATATTTCACTTATGAATCTCTCCCTGTTTACACAATGGTGACTTCGTTAGTGCTGGATAGCAACGTTATGTAATTTTTTTTGGTCAATGTAATTATAAAATTGAATTAAAGCCTACATTTGCAATATCAGATGAAAATAGTATGATGTCTTTTAGCAAGTATTCAAAAACTAAATTTGCCTTATAATTGAGATTATCTGCAGAAATAGAGTAAATTAATGATACTTTACAAATTAAAAGATGGACAACATTCGGCATGAATTATGAAGAATTATCAAAATTGCTGTATCCAGATTTGCTACCAGAACAAGAATTTGTTTTATGTAGATTGATTGATTATGCATTTATATAGAAAATCAATAAAAATAATTATTTGGAAAGTTGTATGACAGACAATTCAAATTAGTTTTTAAAGAAAATATTGATCAAGAAAATCAATAAACTTATATCATAAATATGGATTAGCATGGACAATTGAGAAAGCAAATAGAAGTAAGAGAATATTTTCATTTTAGAAATCATTAACATGGGTAGCTGGTTGGCATCATCCAAAGTAATTTATGAAAAAATAAGAAGTATAATGGAAAACAATTTGATTTTAATTTACAATATGTAAAACTAGAATTTGATATTTGATTTTGCTTAAATATCATGATTTCATTAGACCAATTGATGCTTTGGAGTGAAAGCAACTCCACTTGGATCTAGACTGTAGAGTACGATTTTGTCTTCTCCTGGAGCCAACTCTATCAAATAGTTGTCTCCAATTTCAGGCTTCAAGAACTTAACACCTTACTTATTCGATAAAGTGTTCTTTAATTTGAAAGTCTTCTGTGAGGAGTTCTTATAATAAAAATAGCCCAATCTAAACAATTAATACAAACAATATGATACCCTTTAGAAACGACTGTTTCCATAGCACAAAATAGTCCAGTGGTTAATTGTTACAAGTTCTTGTTTTCTCTGGCTACTTATAACATAACTGCTTTTCTTAAGTCAGCATCTCTAGGCACTTATTTTGGTCTTAAGAATTCAGATCCATAGACACTGAATTAATATTCATGTTCATTCCAAGTAGGAACAGCCCATTTAATTTTAATTTAAACTGAATACTTACCCTTTGTCAATTAGCCTCCTAGATGTACTTCAATGTCCTTTTATTATTTTTAGTCAATGAATTAATATTCTCCTTTACCTGTATTTTTAGCCAATAAGATTCTAACATAAGAATATTCATATTTAATATCTTTGTTCAATTTGTATCTTCTTATTGCCTCTTGATGAACTGTGAAATAGTATTCGCCATCATTTGGAATATCAATATCGTATTAAATAGTCTTAGTCTTTTTGGCCATTTATTTAATAGAGTTGTATAAATATTCCTTTCTAAAATAGCCAACAAAAATTGCTTAGAAGTATCTTTAGAAATCTTTGATTTCCATAAAGAAGATGCCATCATCCTCCTTCTTACCAAATTTGACTTATTCTTTTAAATCCTCTGTCCATAAGGAACTTCCATCACTCCAATCTCCATTCCATTCCTTATTTCCCCAAGGATTCCTAATTTTTAATAGAGTGACTTCTCCTTTGGTGGGATGAGTCACATTATAAACCTTCAATAATGAATATGCATGTCCAGGCTCCAAACCATAATTAGTATAATTCGGATTTGATCCAAAAGTACCACTAGTCATAACACACTTCATATCTGAACATTTTTGTAATTGTTATCTTGAAATCAGCAGCATTCGTAAATACAATCCAAGTGGGACCACCAGTGATACTCTTAATAACTTCTCTTGGATCACCACCCTCTATATCTGTGTAATCTATATTCATCTTAGCCCAAGCTTTTTCTAACAATGCAACCCACATTTCTGCACCTGCATTTTTAGAAAAAGCTGGATTTCCCTAACCATTAACTGGGATAAAGTCATCCAATACAACTACTTTCCATTCACCATCTAAACACAATCTTACTGCATATAGTTTTTCCTTATTTGCTCTTTGACTTATGAACAGGTCCTTAATTACTTCAGGCCTATCAATAATAACTATATGAATACCATCTGCATGCTATTGTACTAATCGAAGATAAAAAGTAACAATCTCCTAGAATTCCTTATTTAATATCTCTGTGAGAGATCCACTTCCCTAATCCAACTCTACTGTCTTATGAATCATCTACATTAAACATTTTTAGGTTATTCTAAAATATGTCACTCATTCTTTTCCATGACAATTAACAAAATTTCATCCCTAAACTTCTTACTGATGCTGGGAAGTCTTTGTCAACAAAAGTTTATTTAGTTTTTTTTAATCCCTCTCTAATCTATACTAACTCTTTGGCTCCAGTGATATGTAAGTCAATATTAATGAAATCAGCAAAATCTACTTGATCATCTTTTACTTCTTATTGTTCAACATCTTCAACTGGTACAGGAACAGGTACAACTTCATCTTCTTTTTTTTTCTCTTCCAATTAAGATCTTATAGTATATTTAACTTATTCTTATTGTGGATTTTTATTTTGATTATCCACTATTTATTCCCATTATTGAAATAATTATCTTAAATGATCACAGGAAAATTTCAAATTTCCAATCTTATTTCTAAGTGATTGATATCCCTAGGGAGTAATTGAATTGTGATAAAATTCAATGAGTTCTTTGATTTCTCTTTCTTCTAAGGACAAATCTCTGTTTTTATCGAAAAATTTGAATACTCTTACAATATCAAGTCTTTTAGCACGATAATTTTGGATTATCGCAGAGATTGTTTATAAATCTTATTTGGATAATACAAGTTCGACCTTCTCTTAATTCTCTGTAATTTTTTCTAGGATCTCAACTGTCAATCCTACCAAACTTTTGTGATCAATCAGAGCCTTTTAATAAAATCGGTCACAATCTGTAATTGAAATTGACGGGTCTATTTATATAATTAACTTTCTAAAATGCACTTGTGCAAGAGTTGGGCGACCGAAATCTTGAACCACCTATCTAAATGGCTTTTGAACGGCCAATTTATACAAGGCTTTCAAAACCTAATCTTCAGATCCCATGAAATATTAAAAATAAATATCTTCTCCAATAAATAACAACACTTGTTTTAATATTGTATAAAATTATATTCATTAATATGTGTTTATCTTTTGACCTTATTTAGTCCTTCTAATTAAGCAAGATACTTTGGATATTCTAGTTTTTTCATGGTAATTATGAGTCATTGCTTTTTCGAGAGAAGGACAGGAGGAACCGCCCAACTCGTTTGACTTAGGAGCACTTAATTGGGAAAAATTCTCATTTGAATTTTACTAAGCTTATTGATAATTAAGTTAATTAATACATAATTAATTTAGCGCATTTTAAATAAGAAAAATAGTTAATGAGGTTTCTTATATTAAATTAATAATAAAATGAAAAAATTTAATGGAGGAAAGAAATAGTCTTTTGTGCCTGCAGTTGTTACTATAGAATTTAGAATTCAAAAAAGAAATCAAAGTAAGAATATCATTTATGTCTATTGTCTAGTTGCTGATCTAATTTAAGCCAATTCTCTGCTTAAAGAAATCAATGAATAGATCATTTTGGCCAGAGTTAAGGAAATTGAAAATACAATTTATATAGAGCATGCAGCCAATGTTCATTTGTATAGCAGTAAAATTGAAAAGGTTGTTTCTCTATTTAAAGGCATAAATTAAAATAATTATATAAATATTGCTTAAAAATTAAAAAAGCAGGAACTTGCTACTTAATCCATCCTCAAATTATTGGAAAAGAAGAAATAACTAAAAGATTATGATTAAGATATTTTAAATAAAACTCTTTAGAAATCAGAATATGATCCTCTCAATACCAAATAAATCAGTTCAAAAAAAACAGTTTTGGTCGCCAACAAAATCACAATTGTGAAATCTAAAAATTCAACTTCGGATCAGAAGGGAAACTTTGCAGCATAACCAAATATGGTTTTTGCAGGATCAATTCAGCCTATAGAACCAATTCAAGAAAAAAAGGTGAAGATCGAAAAAAGCGAAAAGGAAGATGATGATGAAATAGACATAAGAAAAGATGATGGAATGTAAGGAGCTTCATCAATAGGAGTCCATTGCTCAAAATAACTAATTTTATTCGATAGCAAAATTAAAATACCCGTTGTTCTGTTGGTTCAATTCCTTCCTCAATACAGGGTACTATGTGAAAAGGTTGATTTTGCCAAACTTCATAACGCCAAAGAAACAATTCAATTTTTATCTTCCAATCTAGAAAGAAAGATCGTATTTGGGTAGGTCATACTGAAACCCAGTGAGTACACCAAAAACTTGAGGGAATTGAGTGAGAAATTGACTAAGCAGGATAAAATAGTAGCTTAAAAGTTTGACAAAGACAATGCATCTTTCTTAATATTGCATAAGAATCAATTAGAATAAATTCTGAAGGCTAGAAAATAAAGTCTAGCATTTGATGCATCTGACATGGTGATACGAGAGTGGACAAAATAATAATCTTATTTGGAATGGTGGGCATTGAATAAACAAGATCATAATCTTCACTTTTTGATATCATATAAAAGTTTAACAAATTCTAATGATCAAATTTATGACAAAGTCATACTTTAAAAACCTTCTTGTTATCAAAAAATTTAATAAACAATTGATTCATTGAAGTAGAAGAAAGACATAGATGATTTATTACAAGGATTCCTTAAATAAGATCTTTTTTAAAGTTCATAATTGGGAGATATGCTTTAAGAACCAAATTAAATATAATAAGTTGATTACTAGATCTAAGAGGAGGCAGAGAAAGTGCAACAGGATTTAGAAAAAGAATAGGAAAGTAATAAGCAAGACGACAAATTTGAGACCAATAAAATTAGTGAATAGGAAAATAATTAAATCAATTTCAATATTAAAATATCAGATCTAACTCTGTAATTATCGAAAGAAGACTATTTCTGATATTTTGATCAAATATAAGTGAGGAATAATTAAAAATTATCTAATTATAAATAATTTAATAAATTTTATTGAATGACTAAATCCCACTTACTAATACTTAATGTATTTTAAGTCACAACTATTAGTCATAAAGTGAATACTATTATTAGCTAGGCAGTCTTGGTCTCAATCTTCTGTCTGCCTTTTTTTATAATAGTAACAAAAATATATATTAATAAATGCCAACAAAGTCATTGACTATGTAGGATGACTTCTTTGTCTTATAATCTTTTCGTCTGGCGATAGGTTTATCAAATAGAATTGGAGTAGAAATATTTTGGGTCTAGATTATTATTTTTACATCAATATATTTATATTAAAAATTGAATTTGATAATGGAAGGTACACTTAGTTTCTATCTAGACATCTTTAAATCGCCCTCTAATAAATTCTTCATAATTAAATACAAGACCAGAGGACAAGCCGATCTAAGTCTAAATAATTAAGTGATTTTCCTCCAAAAGAGATTTGATTAGCAATTAAGGAATGCAGCCTAAGTATGCGAGTAAGTAGGAGTCTTTTTGAGTTGTCTGGATCAACAATCATTTATTGCTTTTGGTACAATTTAGAATGAACCAACTGATTTTGAATATCTCACCGTATTTCTAAAAAGTTAACTCATTAGGAGGAATAGTAGCAGAATTTGAGTAAATTGCAGGAGTTTTTCTAATCATTTGTGAAGGTAGAGTGGATATTTAAAGGTGTGCTTAATTTTGAGAAAACTAAAAATATTAAAAATGATTTGAATGAAATGAAACCAGTCAATCATTGTAAGGATGTCTAGGAATTGACTTGTCAGACTGCAGAATAAGTAAATTATATTGTATTAATCAAAGTTATTATCATTGCTTTAAAAATAAGAACCTTATAAGCCTTAGCCTTAATGGGGTGTTGTAATACCACAAAAAATTAATGATATAATCAACTAAAATCTTAGAACTCATGATAATGATAAATAAAAAAGTAGTAAGAGTAGAAGTAGACACAAGGATAAGGAAAAAGACAAAGAAAAAGATAGAAGAAAATCAAGCAAGGATAGAGCAAAAGACAAGTATGATCGTAAGAGTAGAGAGAGAAGGAGTAAAGACAGAAGAAGTAAAGAAAGAAGTTAAAGAAGAAGTAAAGAGAAAAAAAAAAAAAGCAATGAAAAAAAAGATAACAGAGAAGATATAAAAAGCCAAAATATATCAGAGTTTGTTGTTTATGATAGTATTCTAATACATAATAGATAATAGATAAGGATTAAAGAGAAAAAGAAAGACAGACAAGAGAAAAAGAATACTTGAAAGAAAAAGATTAAAGAGAACAAAGAGAAAGAGACAGAGCAAAAGAATAAATAGAATAGAGAGAGAGAGACAGAGAAAAAGAGTAACGATAACAAAAAGAACAAGAAAAAAGAGAAAAGGAAGAAAAAGAAATGATAGAAAAATAAAAGTAAAAAGAGAAAGAAAGAGAAAGAGAAAAGGAGAGAGAAAGAGAAAGAGAAAGAGAGAGGGAAAAAGAAAAAGAAAAAGAAAGGGAAAAAGAAAAAGAAAAAGAGAGAGAAAAAGAAAGAGAAAGAGAAAGAGAGAAAGAAAGAGAAAAAGAGAAGGAAATTAACAAAGATAGAGAAAAAGATAGAGATCGATAAAGGGATAAAGAAAAAGATTATAATAGAGATAGAGAGAAATTTGATAAAAGCAAATATGATAAAAAAGATGATCATAGATAAAAAGAAAGAAATGAGTCTAAACATGATTATGATAAAAAATAAAAGGATAAAGAGAGAGATAAAAATAGAGAGAAGTCTAAAGAGAAGTCTTTTGAGAGATCGGATAGAAAAGATAGAGAGAGAAGGAAAGAGAAAGAAAGATCAAGAGGTGGGGACAAAGAGAGAGATAGAGATTAAAATAATAAGAAACATAAGGATTATAGAAGGGAAACAACCAAAAAGAGAAGTGAGGAGAGATCAAAGCCTCGATCTAGAAGTGAAGACAGACGCTAAGGTCATAACTCAAATAAAAATAAGAAGATCGTTGAATTGGCTTCATAAAGCGAACAACCAAGAGAATTCTAGTACCAAAACATTAATAAATAGTTCATCTGTGTCATTATCATCCCATAAATAAGAGTAAGAGCAACAAGATCATGAATTGGAATAAAATTCTGTGAGACCTGAATAGAAGGACCAAGTAGATCTTGGAGTTATTTTGAATGTTTTGGATTCCCCAAACCAAAATGCACAATAATTTCAACCACTAATTTAACCAGTTATAATTACACCGGCTGAATAAATAGTGTTAACAAAGCAAAGTGAATCCCAACAATCAAACATTCTAAATAGTGATTCCAAAAAAAGGATATTATTAGTGAATTAGGAGAAAAGTTAAAGTGTGCCAGATAATGTTGAATAGCAAAAACCATTAAATCCAGGTTCAATGAAGATCATAAAAGATGCGCCGTCAAAAAGTATATAATAAATAGCAAATCAACAATGTTAAGCAAAAAAGTCAGTGGTAATTTAAGACTCGAAACAAGTATTCATTATTACATATTCAAAAGGGCAGCGGAAGTTAAATTAGAGATAGAATAATACTTAAAAAGAAATGAGATTAATTTAACATTCAAGCAATAACTTATTTTTTTACATATATCTAAAATTAGTTTTTAAATCATTACATATCAGATTGGTTATCCTGAGTGTTTAAAGTTTTATTAATTTATATAAACTCTAACTACAACTCAATAATTAATCAGAATGAGGGAAAGCAAACATACAGAATTCTAGTTTGATGATGATTCCAAGGATAGATCGTTGCCTCAGCCAATAGATCATATTAACAAAAGTTATTCTTTGGAAAATGACATGGTTTTAGGATGGGTTCCTGCATAATATTAGGAGGAGATAATAAACGTGTAGTTCTATAATGAATTAAACGATCAACTCATAGAGTTTTACAATTAAAATGACCCAAATAAGATAGTTTATTTAGGTTATAGGCCAAATGAAGCAATGCAATTTCATAAATAATTCTCTGCATAATCTAATTATAAAATCAGAAATGCTAAAAATTACAAAGTCAAATCCTATCAAAACTAATAGTTATTTGTAGGAATGAATCCAAATGTCGAAAATTAAATAAAATTCAATTCTTAATTTGAAAGTGGGAACCTAGATTTGGCAATTTAAAAGTCTGAACTAGAGTACGATCTATACATGAGAGTTGATACAAATACTAAAGGTCATACACTTTGGTATTACTTTGAAGTAACAGGTTTGAGAAATTTTGATTCAATTAAATTTAACATTTGCAATTTTCGTAAAAAAAGGTGCTTATATGAACGTGGAATGAAACCTTACATCTAAAGGGATTCCTAAGATTGGTAGTAAGAGGGAGAGAATGTGAAATATGGGGCATATAAATGTTAATTTAAAGAAATTCAAAAGTAATATTATTGTCTGACATTTACTCTGATGAATAAAAAACGGGATGATAAAATAAGGATAGCCTATTGTGTACCATACACATTAAGCAAGTTAAATAATTTCTTGAAATCCTTAAATTCGTAGTATTTGGAATAATCCTTTTTTTGTCACTCTTTAAGTGGAGTCTACATTCCAAAGTTAACTTTCTCTAAAGGAAACATCTTAAAGAAGAAAGTAATAGTAATATAAGCTCGAATTCATCCTGGAGAATCAAATTCATCATGGGTCATGTAGGGTTTATTAGAGTATTTGAGTTCAAGTCAAGCAGATAAATTATTAGATTAGTAAGCAATAAAATAATTATAAGATTAATTTTTGTAATTGTCCCCATGATGAATGTTGATGGAGTAATATTTGGTAATTATAGGACTGGTTGTGCAGGGAGAGACTTGAATAGGCAATTCAGAGATAGTTGTAAGAAATTGTATCCGACAGTTTATGCAATGAAACAATTGATTTATGACTTGTATTAATTATATGGAGATCAAATAGTTGGTTTTATAGATATTCATGGGCATTCAGGTATTATATTTCCATTTTATTAGAGCCAAAAAGAATGCATTTTTATATGGACCCGAATTTTAATTGTGGAATTGCAATTATTATAAATCTAGATTATTTGCTAAAATTTTATCGCTCAAAACTCAAGTTTTTCGTTATTATTCTTGTCTATTTAGAATAAACAAATGTAAAATAAATACTGCAAGAGCTGTCTTTTGTGAGAAATACGAATTTATTAATTGTTTTACTTTAGAAGTGTCAAACAGCAGTTACTATTATGAGTAAACTACAGAGAATTTCTCTGAATAGAAATGGATTTAGTTTGGCTAAATAATTGGCGAGTCATTTAATGATTTTATAATTCATTTTTAAGAAATAGATACTCTATTTTGTGATTTTAAGGATAAGAAGGTAAACAAATAAACAAAAAAAAAATATAATACTCAAATAAATGATGAAAAATAATAGAATCTTTAGAATATTTGTTAGAATTCAAAATACTCTGAGTTATTTGAAGAAATGAAGAATGATTAACCAAATTTATCTTTCTCTGAGGGTGAATCTGATAGTGAAAGGGAATCGGATGATTTAGATGATGAAATCTTGAATTATGTAGTATTAACTTCAAATAAATAAAAAAAGATCAAAAAGTCTAAAAAATCTTTAAAAACTGAATATAAAAAGCAATCAATCAGGAGTGAAAATAGTTCTGGAGTAAACAATCATACAGTGTTTTTGAATAAAAAATAATTTTTGGAAGATTAACCAAATAATATTTTCTAACAAACCTAAAATTAAAACATTTATAGAAGAACAAGTTTTAAATAATACAAACAAGAGGATAAAATTAAAGATAATTAAACGTTTACGTTGACTAGCAAAAATTCCCTTGAGTCTAGTAATATAAAAACATTTAGAGCATCATAGCTTAGTGGACTTCAACCAAAATTTGAATAAATAGGCGTCCAGAACAGAAATAAATCTCCGATAAAATTAAAAACATTAATACATGAAGGCAAACTGGGAGAGTCAATCGAATTAAATGGTGAAATTAATGAGGAAAATATGGCCGATCAAATTTTTCAGCCTTACATTAAAAGACCATTGTTGAATTAAACAAATAATGCAAACATTAAATTTGGAAATATTTGCTCTCCCACAAAAGATTTCGTGTTTCTAAACGAATTGAATACTAGAATAATGTAAAATACTCACTTCCCTACAGATTAAGGTTGCACTTATAACGTAACTGCAATTTATCATGGAATAAATAAACATTAAAAAAAACCTAATAACTATAGGTTTAATAAAATGTAAAAATTCTAAAAAACCTAAAATCCTTCAATTAATTTAAGAAATACTCTGCAAGTATAAAAATTAGGAACAACAACGGAAGATTCTTTTGGAATAGTAATAAAACCTAAGCTATTTTCATCACCTTAGATCGATGAATCATAAGGTTAAGCTGAATAATCGAAAAGTGCAATGAATTAATATTAGAATACTTCAATAAGTCAAAAACCCTAAAAACAATTGGTTCCATCTTCATTTTATTCAATTAAAAAGCATTGGACCAACACTAGGGGTATTCACTAATACCTTAATCTGAACAATTGAAAATGAAGTTTAATTTTTGTTTATAATAAAAATTTTGATATATATTAATTGGGTCACACTTTAGAAAAAAACTTTTTTTCTTAATTTATTCTTTCTAAAGAGAGTTTTTGTCCTGACGCCTTATAAAAATTTTGTTTTTAATTAAGCATTTACCGAGATCTAGGGTTATTTTTGACTGATTAAATCAATGGAATAATATCCTAGGATTTAGCGGATCTAGATTAATTGATTTTAATACCTTCCTTAACTATGATATGATGCAACACATGGAGTATTAGGCTATAAATTTGTATGTGAAATCCATTCTTTATAGACAGATTTTGTTTGAGCTTCTTAAGGAGATTCGTAAAAAAAAGAGGAGCCAAAAATTACTGGTAAATTCATAGTTTTACCTTAGGCAATTTTTTTTCTAAAATCCTATTCTCCTCTTTAAGACTCTTTTTCGTCCAAATTCATTTTTAAGGGATCAGGTTTAAATGGAGGCTTTACTTTTTTAAGTGCTAATTATTTAAAATCAATTTGAGAGAAAAAAGGATGTTTCAAAATTTCTTATACCCCTCCTTTGGCACCTAATCTCTAAATTGGATCTTTTTCAAGAAGTGCAATCAGCAAACTTTTAACTTCTCTCGATAAAGTCAACTAAGAAAATTGTATAATTATACATCATTTGGAAATGACAACTTAGAGTACAAAATGTCTTAGTAAATTTGATTGGTATTTGTTGAATAATAGGGAGGTAATCCTGTAAGTAATTCATACAGTAAAGCTCCCAAACAATAAAAGTCTACTGTTTATGAATGTCCCAATTTTAATAACATTTCTGGAGCCATGTATTCAGGAGATCCACAAAAACTGTATGCTTTTTCTTCTCTTCCAATTTCAGGTTTACTTAAACCAAAATCGGCTATTCTAACGTGACCTTCTATGTCCATTAAAATGTTTTCAGGCTTGATGTCTCTATATAATATGTTAAGGGAATGAATCTCTTATAAACCCTCAGAATAAGAATTAATTTACATACCAAACAAATTTCTGAAATGTAAAAGCAGGCTTATTCTTCACTCATTCTTTTAATCTATTTAAGTTGGAAAAAGAGTTCCCCTCCTTGACAAAATTCCAAAACAAAAACTACAAACTATCTTGATTCAAAGGCATATGATAAATGTAATAAAAATGGGCTGTTGAGTAGCGTCATTATGTTTCTTTCATTTAAAACAATTTACTATTTCTTTTTTGCAATAATAAACTCTTTATCTATTAACTTCAAGGCGTAGAATTTTCCGGTATCCTTCTTTCTGACAAGGTACACTAAAGAAAAACCTCCCACTCCTATATTTTTTAAGAATATAAAGTCTTTAAGACCAACTTTTGGTTCAGGTGAAGCCTATAACAAGAATGCTTCTAGTTTCAATCCTGAACTCATAAAAACGTTAAAGGATAAGTCTGGTTATGCGATGTAATAATCTATAGAGATTGAATGTTATTAAGATACAAAACTAACTATTTAATTGACTGATGGTTTATCTTTAAGATTAGCATAGCATTCTTGTGGATTAGCGAATTCTAAATCATGTAATCTTTGCAAGATTTGAAACCAGATTTATCTCATATTAAGACTAAGGATATATAACTATAGGCTTACTGAGAATCGAAATAGAAGTAAAAGTCTTGATTACCAAATCTGACAACAACATTATGATGTTTGACTTATTGCATTTATTCATCCGGACCTAAACTTTTGGCTTTGCTCAATACTGAAGTAGGATTGCCCATATCTGTTTTGATTGTCCTTTTTACTGATTCCATAGCCTCAATCGTAACAGATTGGGCAGATCGCTTTTACTATCCACCTTAATTGTTAACGAAATTGGCATTAATGAAGAACTTATTTTATTATGCAATAGAGTTCTGCGTTGATCTTTGTGTCTATTTGCTCAATTATTATTTCATTCTAATATCATTCTTTTTCTGTTTGTAGAGGTAGAATTTTTCCAATGCATTATCTGGTATTTAATCTATTGATTGCTATTTATTTTGTGAGGTTTTTCGATGACTGGGAGTTGTGTGCAATTGATTCATTTGGCTTTTGCGAGAAAAGGAATCTTAGGATCCTATTCTTAATACACCTTGATGTTGCATGTTAAATTTTGTAGTTTAATTTAATAAAATTCGGAAAAGCAATATAAAAAATTTGATTGTTTTCAATGCCTGTTAAGAGAATTTTCAAATATTTTTATAAAATTCAAGTAAGTATTTTTAATATAAGATCAGTTTTCGAAATTGAGCGATCTCTGTTTTAAACTTTTAATATTGAAATTTAATAACGTATCTAAATTTAAAATTTGATAATGCCAATACTTTAATCGAACCGGAAAATACTCATGAAATAATCATAAACACTCCAAATTAATAACTTAATTATGAACAAAATACTTACTTTACTTTTAAAGTCTTTTAAGGCATTATAAAACAGGAAAAAAGGCTTTAAATATTAGTTTGATGGGTAGTTTGATATGATGTTTTTTTCTGATACTAGTTAATAGGGCATATCTTATTTAATTATAATATAATAACAATTCAGCAATCGGATATCTGCAGTTTATTTGGTTAAGAGGACAAACTTTCCATAGATCTGTTTGTGGAACTTTAAGCTAAGAATTCATCAGCCATCTTATTCCAGAAGCAAGCCGATTTTATTACTACTCTATCCACTATTGATATTTTTTTTTTCGGAATAATGAGGGTTGAGGTTTGATCTCTAATTGTTGTGTGAAGTCGTTGTTACCAGAAGTTTAGAGAATTCTCTATAATATTATCCATAGAAGCAATTAATTTCTATATTTATATTATTATTATTAATACCCTAATGTGTAAAACTTAATGAGTACTAAAAATTCTAGAAGGTTCAGAAATTTATAAGAAAGTCAAATACAAAAAGTTTGGTTTTAAATCGAATTATTTCAATTGTTTGTAGAGGTTAATTTGCCCTTATTATTTCCAATATTTAAATAATAATAAATATTTATTTTATTTTTATTACTCTAATGATGAGACATTTGATTAAGTGACATTCATGATCTTTGATCTAATCTTCTCTCTGAATTTTTGAAATTTGCAATTTTTCTTAATATAATAATTATATATAATATAATTAACAATGGAATAACAACCCCTTAGCAATAATAGAGTAAAAACTCATCTTAGTTTACAATTAGTAAAATATGAATGAGGATTAATTAACTTAAAAAAGAGAGTTGACATCATATGAATCTTGCCTCGATTGTTGTGGAAATGTTTCCGGATGTTTGAGAGTATAACCAAACAATTGATTTAAGGCTTGGCTCCCTTGCATATTTTGTTGTTGCGAAAATCCCTTCTACGCAGTCCAATAGAGTTCTCTAGGATTGGTTGAGAAGTTCGGAAAATACCACCGAAGTTTACCACCAGGTTTAAATTAAATTAACCCTTGCACTGTATTTTTGTAATTGATTGCACAAGGATACCGTCATACAAGTGGATATGAGAACAAGAGTATTGGATTTAGATAGGTAAATTATCCTAACAAAGGATAATATACAAGTTAACATAGATACATGCATGTATTTTAGAATTATCGGTAGGTAACTAATATTCAAGCATTTTAAATAGATGCCGTACGTGCAACCTATAGGGTTTCTAGACTGACATAATCTGTTAAGGACATGACATACGCAGCATTGAGATAGGTTTGTGGAGAACATCAATTGCAAGATTTATTGGAACATAGAGAAATGGTCTAAGATTCAATTGAGGCTTACTTGGATAAGTAAACAGATCAATGGGGAATATACATTGAAGAAGTTTTCATCAAAGATATGGTTTTAACTCCGCAGATGCAATCTGATTTGGCAGCTGCAGCCAAAAATAAGAGAATCGCTTAGGCAAAAGTCATTTCCGCATAAGCCGATGTTGAAAGTGCTAAATTGATGAAAGAAGCTGCCCAAGCCCTTGATAGCAAGGCTGCAATGTAGATCAGATTCTTGGAGACACTTCAACTATTAGCCAAGGGACCATCATAAAAATTGATGTTCCTCCCTCTAAGTCCAGAATCATAAGGAGCTCATAATGGATGAGTTATGATAATAAGATAGATATAATTCAAACTTTGAAATCCTGAGGAGAAATCCATTTGTCTTTTTCCGTGATTCTAAATTGATGTTGTGGCACTGATTAATTTCTACTGATGTATGCTGTAACCAAATTAGATTATGAAGGAGTGCCACAACGAAATTATTTAGGTCCAATGATTTTTTTGCATTTCTCTCTCTCCTCTTCCAATTCAAGTTGTTTCTGTGTTTTGTAAATATTATCAAATTATGTCTCAATTTGCATTGGATTTTAGTAGGTCTTTCTAAAAGCTAATTTTTAATTCCAAGATTCTTTTTAACCATGATTTGACAACTTCACCCCCCGGTTTTGAGACAAGAAGCCAGGCACCCATATTTGTTTGTTATTTGATTCAACCAAAGAATCATCGATTGATGGGTGAAGCAATTTCATAATCTCCCCGGAAGTTTTGTGGAATTAGGGTTTTTATTCAATCGGATCATCAAATTAAGTTAATATTTAACCTTTTAAAGGGGAATTTAAGCCATTTTGAGAATTAGCAAATGAAACAAATTTTCGAGATTAATTGTTCGAAGTTCTAGCAGTTTATCTATATGAATTATCATTCTAAATAGAATTATATTTATACTGATAACATTTTATCTAATTCTTTGGTTGGCATTTTCTACATTTACTATTTGAATTTTCTCTTACCAATTGCATTGTTTACAACAACATCCAATTTATTAGATTTCTTGGCAGCATAACCAGCATGATGAAACTCTGTAATCACATTAAATTTTATTGTTTTTTAATGTGCTTAATATTTATTTTTACTCATATGTTCTAGATAGATGTCCATAGCATTATCATTTTGTTTAATTGATGCAATTTCAATTGGTATCGAGTGAGCCTATCCTGAACACAATTTAGTCAATTGATATCCCATGTAATTCTTTAAGACCACAGTTGTATCTTTGTATTTTCTTTTTATAGCAAATTGTGTCCCAATAATATTGTCTGATATCTGTATAATCAAAGGGCCTATAAATAGAAACATTCTATAAACCTTTGGTGCAATCAGCCAATGTTTAAAATGTCTTCTTTGGATTCACAAAGTTGAATGGATGCACATCCCAAGAATTCTTATAAGGAACAACAAATTCAAATGGTATATCATTAAATAAGAAATGATGCATTTGATTTTTTCGTAAAGAACAAACAATTTCGTTTTCTTTGGACACATACAGAGCATCCAATTCTTTCATTCCTTTAACTTTGTATTGAGGTGCTTTCATTATGTATTTACCAATAGTTTTAAATTCCTCAGCAGCTTTTCTAAAATGAATTCCAGCATTTCCTTTACTTATCCACTCCCCAGTATCATAATTGAATCCATATAAGTCACCTGTCACATTGTCAAGAAAGAAATCTGTCTGTTTTATATCAGTCAAGTCCTTTTTGATCTTCGAGAGATCTCCCAATTATCCTCCATTTAATCCATTAATAACGCTTATTTACTAGTAAATATCATTTTTAATACACACTCAACATTTGATGCTATCAAGAAAACCAGACCTTACATGGCAAATGAGGATGCAAAGAGGATTTTGTTGCTTCTGAGACACATCCTTAGCAAAATTAAATACTAATTCATGTTGAATTGAATACTTTATATGCATTAGGAGACCAAGGTCTAAGATTTGCATCTCCTTCAAAAAATATAATATCTATTGAATCGAACATTTTCCCACATTCAACTCTCACAAAAGAACTGTCTATTTCATACAACAAGTCATCGATAGAATCTCTGTCTCGTATAATGAAATCAATTTCAGTATCAATCATCTCTTTCTTACTAAGTAAAGCTTCTTTTATGATCAATTTATATTGCTCAAAGTTTTTCATTCCTTTGTAACTCTTCCCATAACCATTTATGATAAGAATTTTCATTTAATTAATAATATAATTTTTACGGTTTTGAGAAATTATCATTAGAAATAAACATGAAATTCTTATTGTATCTATATCAGAACAGAGCGAATATTCAATTAATCAAATTAGATTATGTGCATCAATTCCAAAATTACATAGACAGCTATTTAAGGATAATTGTCATAGTAAATTCGAAATAAACACCTCCATTATGAATTTAGTTTATTCAGTATTTTAAAGAATTCTAATAATAAAATCTCATAAAATTTTGGTTACATAACAAAACTCATAATTCATTGATCATTTTTCTCACATCATCATGAGTTAATTTTCTTGAGCTTGTCAATAATTTGGCTAGATCCATTACATTTTTATAATGGGTGAATGAAAAATCGATACTTTTGTTTTTAACAAACTTATTAGCCCAAGTATCAAATAATGATAATACGTCTTCTGCACGATTTGCCATCACAAATGTCTTTGCATAATGATTTCTGTTTTTTGGTTCTCCTGGAAAAGCAATTACAAGGTGCAATAAAATTATTCCTATGGCATAGAATTCATCTGCCATGCCATAATGAGAATCCTTAATATAATTTGCAGTCTAATATCCACAAGTGCCTGTTGTTATGGTATTTTGAGACGTAATAGAATTGAGTTCTTCTTAAGGAAGTCTTTCATCAGTCATTGTGGATAGCTTTTCTTCTCTAACATCTTTTCCCTAATCAAAATCTGCTAAAACAACCTAACCAGTTTATTTGTAACATATTTTACTTATAAATCGCCTTTAATGTTGATAGTGACAAAAATGTTTTCAGGTTTTAAATCTCTATGTATAATCCCTCTTTAATGAATGTATTCTAGACCATCTAATATTTGATTTAAAATGGATTTAATTTTATGTATTTTTTCTGCATTCTGCATAACATTTAAATAATAATAAGAAAATGTTAACAAGTCAGTTGGTTAATATTTATAACCAGGAAAGGAACAATATTCAAGTTACATATATAGATAATAGCCATCGTTTGTTTGTTCGATCCACCATGCAAAAAGTCTAGAATTACGAATAAGCAATACCTCAGGATATTTGGATGAGTTAACTTAGAAAGTATTTTGGCTTCTCTAATCTTTCGAATATCTGGGGTTATTGGGGTATTTGATGCAGTTGTAGAAAATACAGAAAAAAAATCAAGTTGAGTGGCTTGAAGTTTGCTCTAGAATTTAAGTAAGATCATTTCTTACTCGTTTTAAAGCATATATTTAATCATCTTCTGGTCTGTACACAAAGAAGATTGATACGCCACTCCTTAGTTCGTCTTGATTTGTTTAGGACAGTATTATGTAATCATTAAAAAATTTGTTATTTCTAATAAATGCACTTCTAGGATCATATAGTTTTTATGCTGGTATTATTTGCTAAAGAGAATCTATTGCAAAGAATGTTAAGGTTATTTTAAGAGGAATCTTTTTAAATTATAAATTAATTTTCTTTCTGTTTATTAATTCTATTATTGATTTAAGAATAAAAGCATAGGCTGTTGATTTTATTTATCCAGTTGATGTGATAAATCCGATATTAATATCTTGATAAAATATCTTTATCAATTTATCACAAGCCTCTTTAAATTGTTGTTTATTTTCTAGTTTCTATAATTGCAATAAAATATTTCTGATTGCCTTCTTTATTGCTTTCTCGACATTCATAAGATGTTTAAGAAAGGGATCGTCATTCGTAAAATCCATTCTTATCTAAGATATTATTAACATTTATGAATATTCCTTGCAGTCATTGTTTTAGATAAATTCTTATCTTTTTTGCAAACTATCATCCTATGCTAATATGTTAATAATCATACAAGCATCTTTTAAATTTATGTTTAATCTGGTTATGAAACTACCTAATCAAAGTGTCTTTCCTCTTCTGGCACTTCCTCAATAACTTTAAACCCATAGAATTAATCTATTATTGAGTCAATCTTCGCCTTTTCATTATTACTATTCATTATAATATTAGTTATATTAAATTGAATAATAATAATATATAATAACAAATAAATTTCAATAAATACAATCGATAACACTTCGAACTTCAGAAGAAAGATTTAAATATAATAATATTTATATTATCTCGCTAAACATGTATGACGTTAATAATCCTTTAAAATACTATTAGGCATAACTAAATTTTGAATTGTAGTTTCTCAAATGGAATTTACAATCATAATGCTTAAATGTGTTCTATAAAAATTAAAAATATATAGTTATTATTCTATTTTTTGATAATGAAAAAATTTTAGAAGAATTTTTAGATTAATTTTTTTATTTAAAATGAGAAAATTAGAAAATTATACAGGAGAGTAGGCCAGGGCTTATAAGAAATTCGCTTAAAAGGCAAAAGGAAGCAGAGCTGACTTTGAGTCAGATTGTAACTTTTTTATTTTATTTTAAGTAAATTTTAATGAGGCTCCGAGTAAATTTGTGAAATCTAATGAGTCAAAGTAGACTCTAAAATCAATTAAAGATTAAATAGATTATTTTGGATATGAAATTGAACCGTTTAATATGAAGAATGAGAGAGATGTGGGTAAGTTTGATGATGGTGGATATTTTGTATTTGATAAAGCAAAAGACAAATCAGTAAAGTATAAATCATTTTTTATTAGTGATGCTTGGTTAGATTAGTTAGATTAAAGTAACATGTTCTAAGAGCTTCAAGAAAAGGCATAAGCTGAAAACACCAAAAAAATATAGAAATAATTAAAGGAGGCGAACAAAAATTATGAAAGAAGGATGTAGAAGATAAGGGGAGATGGTTTTTTTAGTTCAACTAAATTTGCTTCTAAAGCTGAAGCTGAAGAATTCTATTAGATCAAAAAACAAGAAAATCAAGAAGAATAATAAGAGGTAGAAGTAGAAGTAGAAGCTAAATTATAAGTAGAAGAAAAGCAAAATGAATAATAAAATAATTAATCAGAAGAACAAGAAGTTAAATTGGAACTGTTAAAAATTGATTAGTTAAAAGAAATTCTTTATGAACTTCTTGAAGAAAATGAAAATGCAAATTAGGCAATGAAAAGAGTGAGAGCAAAATTAGCAAGTAATCAAAAGAAAGTGTTTAAAAAAAATGTTAGGAAAGATAATACCGAACATAATGATAAATAAGATCAAAAGACTTCAGAAAATAAAAATGAAGCCACAGATGAAGCAAAATAGACACTGGATATCTTGATTGATATCTGTACAATAATAGTAAAGAAATCAAATGACCCTTCTATATATACTATAAAGAAAGAAGAATTAGTACCTTAAAGGGTCTCTCGTTTGGAAGAAGATGATATATTTTGAAGATTAATTTTAGTATTAATTTGTTATATAATATTAAAAATGAGTTAGAATATTGATTAATTTTTGAAATTTTTCGTATTCGAAGGAACGCAAAGTATCACTAAAATTCTAAATTTAAAATAACTCTAGTTTGCAAATCCCAGACTCATAAAACGATAATAACCTAATCACTTTGAACTTGCTGAATTAAACAAGAAATCAAAATTAATATCAGAGAATGTATAATTATTTTCTAATAAGGCTTTTGATGTAGTTTCAGAATTTTATATCTTATTAAAGCAATGCAAATTTGAAAATGTGAGTACTAAAATAATATTCAATTATATGTTGAGTTTGCAGTTAAAAAGAAATTATATCGATTGTCTTCATTTGAATACCACTGACAAGAATTATATTATAAGTGTAGATATTATTCCAGAATACAAAGAATAAATTATTAGATAAATGTATAGTTTTGTTAATTGGGTTGTTCTTTATTAGAAGGGATAGATTACTTGTGGGGAATTTAAAACAGATTACTAAGATTATGCCCATATACAAATCTTTGAAAACTAAAAGAAATTAATCTTAGTTATAGGATATAACAAATTAGAGTCTGAACTATTTTTATCCCTAAACTTAGTAAGAAACTAAAACTATTTGAGAAACCATTTATCATTATTAAATATACCTGAATGTAGATAGGATACATTTTGTTCAATTCTATACCATTTTGTGTCTATTATCAGAAAGATGTTAAGATTCTCAGATACAAAAAGATATGATTCTGAATTAAGATAACTTATATCTGCAAATGCTTCGATTTTGATAGAACATCCAGAAAAATAAAAACATATTCCATATTTAGGAACATTCAATCATTGTGACTTTGTGCTCTTTGATTTTAAGGTAGCTAATCAATTAGAATTTGATAAAAGACTTAAAAATTTTTAATATCAAAAAGAATTAATAATGTCCATTATTATCAATCTAAAGACTCTCTATGTAAAATCTAAAGATGATATGTCGTACTCTTTTGTGCTTTCTGGATAATATTTGCTTGTCACATTTTAGTATAATATTGATGGGGCAATTTTATTGAAAGAAGGGGAATTGAGAAACAAATTAATTTCAGAATGCTATGAATTTGTGGAATAGGATTTCGAATATGGAATAAAGAAAATAATAATAACAAACCAAGAGAAAAATTAAAAAAAGGAAGAAACTTTGAAATCATAAAGAAATTAAAAGATTGCTGATCTAATAACAACCTCAGTTAATACAGCATTCTCATGGTATGATTACGCCAAATCGGTTAATTTAACAAACAAACCACAACAACTAGCAAACAAATCGCTTACTCCAAGAAGACAATGAACTATTGTTTTTATTATAATTTTCTATAAATCTATCCTTATATCAATCAAATAGGAATCTTTTTTTGCCAATTTTAGCCTAGCATGCTGGACAGAAATGAACTGCATCTTTGCAATCTTAGACAAAACATGGAATCAAACAACATCTAATGATTAAATTTAAAAATACCCTAACCAAAGACCAACAGCTGCCAAAAGTCCTCCAATTGCGTAAGCTCCATTTCCGACTTCATAATTAACCTGTGTTTATACCTATCTCTAACAGTAAGCACAAGTAATTATGTGAGGGTATTTAGAATAAACTGGTTGGACTTTAAATAAATTTTGATAAATACTTTGTTAGACAGCAGTGGGATTGTAAATAACTTATTGTTATTATTACATTTAGGGATATTACTATTATTAGTAAGGGATCTATCTCATAAATTATTGAGCTGGAACTATTGGTTGAATAGGTTAACCAATTTATAAGTTCTATTCTGGAAGTTATGGATACACAACCTACGAAACTGGTCCTTCACAAGGGGTTGGATTAATTTCTTATGCAAGTCTTATATGTTGATTATTCTGCATTAGTATAGTTTAATTATTATTTTTAATCAAATGACATGTTAAACAAATTATATAGACTAAAAATTATTAACATATCATCAGTATTTATTCTGAGACTATTAAAATTAAATTAGATAAACCATTAAATCTAAGTATTTGATGTTAACTTCCTCTCTAAATAGAAAAATTTAACCTTGAAGATCATTCAAAGTAGCTTAATTATAAACTTGATGCATTAATACAAACCTGAAAGGTTATTCAATACTTATATCAAATAAAAAAGTATATGATATCAGTGTTGCTTGTAAATTTAAGAATAGGATTATTATTGTTTATATTTTTATGTCCAGGACACGACTACCTACAGTCCATAATGACACGTCTTTAAACAAGGAACTTTAGAAACATTTTATGCCATAGCAAATAGATATAATACTGATTGGGGGCTGAAAAAAATGCCTGATTTGAAAAAAAATATCCAGATATGCAAAGTCAAAAAATCGATCAGTTTTTAAGACTAAGCATAATTTTAGCCAAACCTGCAAAACCTCCAAAAAGCGGAAAATTTTATTGAAGATTTTATAAGAATATCAATTCCAACTGCCTTGCCCAAAATTTGAATATTATTTATTTTGGTCAGAGCCAAAGGAGCAAAAGAAAACATCAAGAGTTGTTAGTGAGTAGGTTATAAAATAAATAAAATCTCAATCTCCAGTAGTTCATTACCCTGGATCTAATAGTTATTCAGCGAAGTATCCTACTTACTTCACTTGTGATAAAAAATTCAAAGTACAATCAATTAGAAAGCCTTTAAAATACTTAAAAAAAACAATATTAACAAGCCTAGGCCTGTTCTTGATTAATCAGATTAGAACAAAGGCTCGATGTCTAAATTTAGCGAATCTCTATTGTTTTCCAATTATTACGACAAATGATTATCAATAACTATAAACTCTAATTTTTTTATGTTAACTTCATTAATAATGACATTTAGAAGGTTTGTGTAAACGTTAATAGTATGTTAGTTAATATTTTAATATTGCTCATAAATTATTTTATGTATAATTTATAAAATGTTGTTATTCATTCAAACATTGCTCCAATGGCTACTAGCAATCCGCTTGAGCTTTAACTTATAATTGTTGTATTCTGGTCAGCTTTGAAAGAGGTTTTCTCGTAATCTCTTTATTAGAATCCAATTAGCGGATTTTCCAAACTTTATTCGTTTGATATATTAAATTTAACATCTTAGTCACTTTTTATTTCTAAACTATAGCATTCCCCTTCCTTTAATAATATATTATCTTGAATTTCAATCTGATATGAACCATTTATGATTTTCATATTATTATGATCAACACTTGTTTTCCAATTATGTAATTTATCTTGCAAATTCCTATTAAAATGAATATATTTGATACATGTTTTTGAATATTGAGAATTCTAATTCAATTTATTTATCGTGGAAAGATTTCTCTAATAAAGATATATTTAATTTAGTTATTTTTATGTTTTGTTTAGGGTATAGTACACTAATATTTACTTTTGAAGGGCTCAATTCGAGTTCATTTTCACTTAATTTTTCGAATCTGTTTAAATTAATTTATAGTGGGACAAGGATGGATTTAAATGAATTCAGTTTATTATTCCATTCACTTCTAAATTCTTCAATTTTTTATTTGCATTTGTTTTGTAGATCATTCAGTTCATCTTCTCTGTCATCCCCTATTTGTTGTAATTTATTATCTGTATTGTTCAGATTGTCAAAGATTTATCGTACTTTTTCCTTTAAAATGAATTCCAAAACTTTTAATTAGTTTATGATATCATTTTACAATTCATTGAACTTACCTATTATTTCATTGCATTAAGGTGCCCCTCTTTATTTGATACAATTATTGCGAATGAATCCTTCTACATCCTCAATTGATGCCAATTCCCCTTTATGAGTTTTATGAAATTCCTCTATACAAGTTAAACAAACCTTTCTTTTATTACAATCTTTGTTAAAGCAAATCAAAATGATAGGCTTATTATCATGATTGGCTTCCTCACATTACAATTTCTACACTCTGGTTTAGAAACTTGACATTTATGATGTAAAATTTATTTTAATGAAAATTAAATGTTTCATAAATTTAAGATTATTTGATGAAAAATGAGTGTGCTTTGATGAATTCTTTAAAAATAAATATATAAACATCTTCGATTCGAAAATTAATAGAAATATTTTTATCGTCAAATTTTGAAGGTCTTTGAATCAAATTTTGTTTGTTTTAGAGTTTGGCCAGTTTAAAAGAATGAAGCGTCATTGAATTCTCATAACTTTAAAATAGCAGTGCTACAAATTTATTTTGAGCATTATTTAACAATAATATAAATTAAAATTGAATGGTACCCTTCATTAATAAATATATATATATTAATTCTAATGAATTAATTTGAGAAAGAGACAAAACAATTTATTGATGAATTAAAAAATGGAGTTAGCAACATCTTAGTATTTGTGTATTTATACTTTCAGGTAGCTATCCGAGTAAGACCGTTGAGTTAGAAAGAGAGAAGTCAATCAGAATTTGAGACGATTAGAATTTTGGATAATAAAATGATTGTTCTTTTGGATCCTGATTCAGAAAGAGAGGATGATGTATTGAGATTGATTACAATAGTTATTAAAAAAAAATAGGCTAAAGGAAACAAATTTTGCATTTGATTTTGTCTTTGACTAATGGGCTCCGTAATAGATGATTTATGAAAACACGACCGAATTTCTATTAGAAGGAGTATTGGAGGGTTACAATACTACTGTATTTTGTTATGGAGCAACAGGTTCAGGAAAAACCTTCACGTAGTTTTGATCTATAATTATTAGAATGATAGGCACTCATCAAGAGGTAGGAATAATGCCAAGAGCCTTATAGCAATTATTTAATTTTTCTATATAAGATAGATTTAAAGATACTTAGTTTAAAGTTTGTTATGTGGAGATTTACAATGAAAACATTCGAGATCTGCTGACACATGAAGATAAAAATCTAGAAATAAGAGAAGATAAAAATAGTGGAATCTAGATTGCAGGAGTGACAGAAGTAGAAGTAAGAACAGTTTCAGAAGTTTTGGCACTTTTAAAAGTGGGCAACAAAAATAGATCAAAAGAAGCAACTGATGCAAATAAAGAATCCTCTAGATCTCATGCAATTTTGTAACTTTAAATTGAAAGCAAAGAAAGAGCGACAGGAATACAAGAATAAATTATTTAAAGCAAATTTAGTTTAGTAGATTTGGCTGGCAGTGAAAGGGCTGCCAACACAAATAACAAAGGACAAAGAATGATTGAAGGAGCTAACATAAACAAATCTTTATTAGTATTAGGAAATTGCATTTAATCTCTATCTGAAGCAAATGAAAAAGGTATAAAAAATCCTTTTATACCTTTTCGTAATTCAAAACTAACTCGTCTTCTTAAAGATTCTTTGGGAGGAAATTGCAGAACAGTTATGATCTCAAATGTCACTCCAGCTGTTAATTGTTTTGAAGAAACATATAATACATTAGTTTATGCTAATAGAGCTAAGAATATCAAAACTATTGCAAATCGAAATGTGTTGATGGCATAAAATCATATAAGTAATTATGCTCAATTGATTTAAAATTTAAGATAAGAAAATGAGGAATTAAAATTGTTAATTTAATAACAATAATATAATTAAAATAATCCACAATTAAGTATGAATTGAATTAGAATTTTAGAACTGCCATCAATAATTTAAAAGAATCCTCCAAGTGTTCAATAAAGTTTAAAATAATAGGTCTCTGAATTGGAATCTATTATTCACTAAAATGTTGAGGATATCATACAAACAAAAAATTAAATTTATGAAATGGAAGAGCAATAAAATCATTTCTAATAGAATATTGGATTTCTGTAATTTTAAAAAGGGAGAACATAAGACAAGTTTGAATAGATGAGATTATAAGAAAGAATGGATAATGCAAAAAATTAAAAAGCTATCCTAAAAAGAAGTCAAGATGATCTGGAATAACAATTAGTGGAATATGAGGTCCAAAAGGTTGATATTTAAAAATAGGTTTAATAAATTCAAGATTCCAATTACAAGAACTATTTATATGGAATAATGAAATAGGGTGAATTTAAAATTGTACGATATAATAAAATCATTTTAGGAAACAATTGAAATTAAAATATAAGAAAAGAAAAGGAAATACCAAGAATAAATATAAGACGAACAAGTCAAATAATTAAGAACATAGATTAATAAATAACAAGCCAAAATTACCTAGGGTATTAAATAGAAATCAAATGTCCTTAAAAAAGGTATTAGAATATCTCTAATATTTATTAAGTACCAAGCTTACCTGGAGTTGATTCTCCTTATTATTAGTTATAAAATGGATAAACTTATGGTATTTAAAGGTAAAATATTCATTCTATTAGATATTAAAAAAATAAATCTCATTTAAAGTTGCCCCCAGTTGTTCAACTAGCACAAGTACACAAGTCACCAAAAACATAAAATACAAGTTTACAAAGTATTCTATTTTTTCAAATAAGATAAAATTGATGATCCAATGAAATATAGAATATCATAAAAATATTCTTCCCGACTGAATCGCCCTCCTTCCTATCATCCACCAAGTTCACAAAGAAAATCTGCTAAAGGGCGATATATTAATCGTTCATTAGATTTAGGCTCAGGTAGAGAAAGCATAAATAAGAGTTCTGGAGAAATACAAAATGAGATTAGTTTGCAAAAACTTCATCGTCTTCGTAAAGAATACTAACAATAAAGATTTGAAAAGGCTATGAATAATAAAAATAATTAAAAATCGTAACCTTAATTTGGCAGTAAAATTTTACTTCCAGGTATGATTCACAAATCACCCTATGTTAAAAACTTTTAAAACAATAATGAACCAATCGAATTAAAAAAAGATAGACTAAAAATGTTTAATTTGAATCAAAAAATATAAGGAGATGATAAATTTTAACTTTATAATTGAATATTATTTAACTAATAGTAATGAAAATGTCCTAATACTAAAGTACAGTCTATTTTTTAATAGTCAAATTGACAACATACTTGATTATTTAGCCAAAATTACTAAAAATCCCTCTGAATAATTTTATTTTGTATCTAAAATGAGGGGCGAACATTTGGTACATCAAATATCAACAAACAGCTATTATGAACCTAAAACTATTTATCAAATGACATTGAATTTATTGATCTGTTACATCTGTGTAGTGTCTATGTATTTGAGATCAATTATAATATTTAATTGTATTCAGAAATATAATTTAACATTCTTTTTTAGTATTGGTATTGAAATAAAATTAATGGAAAAACTTATTGCTGGATATGCTATGAAGGAGATGATGAAATAGAAAAAATAGATCATCCCTACAGATCAGAAATATCTATATTACGGTTGTTGGACAACAGGAATTGCAGTAATTGCATTCATGGGTCATACAACCTATTTAAAGAAAAAATATGAGTCAAATTATCTCTACAAAATTTAAGGGAAGCAATATTTAAGGTCATTAATATAGCTATATCTGCCCATTATATGCAATTAATTGTTAGTTTCATTTTGCTCTAATCATTAAGAAGCATTTTTATTTTCTCTCTCCTCTATTGTTCATTTGTATCAATACATAATGGGAATACCACAAATTTCATACTTAAGTGCTGCTTTTACAATACTAGGATGTATTTTGAAATTTAAAATTGAGTGAAAATTATAAATATATACAAGTATCAAACTCTATGATTTATTCTCAAATAAAGTCATCAAAAAAATATTTTCATTAAAATAATTCAAGGAGTCAAGAAATTAAGCACTGGGGCCCTCAATTCTAAGGAATTTAGATAAAAATAGAAATAAATCACCAAAAACCCTAAATATGCTGTCAGGAGTCAACTTTTTCCATATGAAGAGATTGGAGGAAGCTGATTAATTGGCGAACTTGGAAAATGATCAAATTAATTTAAAATATGACTAATATAACCTTTTTCTAAATATTCATTTGAATATTAAAAAATAAAAATAATTCTACGAAAAAAGGATTATAACTATGGTAACCTAATGTTTGATTTCAACAATTTTATTTAAACAAAGGAATCTAAAGCTAACATTACTTTTGCTATTTACACTTTTTTAATTTTTAATATTATTATAAAAACCCTTGAATTTTTATTCTGTTAAAGGGACATATACTTACAAATTCTTTTAAATACAAATCAATTACTTTTTGTTCATTTTGGAAGTTGCCCAAATTTGAGATCATTTACACATCTAGAGTAAACATTTAAAATATTATTTGATAATTTTTAGATTGAATATAAATAAGCTTAATATAAGAATTATTAATTATTGAAATATATAATTGCAGATAAAGGATAGTTTATAACATTGGAATACATATCATAAATTTAATCAAAAGTATATTAATATTAGACAAATGATTGAGAAACAGTTTTTTTGTTTAGATGATCTACCAAACTTAATTTTAAATGGGTGCATTGAACGTAAAGCAATAATGTTTGATACTATTGAACGAACTTGATTAAAATATACTATGAGATTAAAATCTCCTCTGAAAAATAATAAATATTGTTGATTATTAAGGATCGAACAATATTAAAATATTAAAGCATTAATAATTAAACAATAGTAACAAGCTTTCAGCATAATGATTGTTTCTCTTTATAAATCCTTGTAGTTTAGGAGGTAGATGTAGCAAAATAAAGTTCTAAATCAAATATTTTGATATGAGTTGTACTCTAAAGAAAGGAAAAAATAAGGAATTTAGAAAGAATTAATAAAGAATTTTAGAAAAGGGTACAAATTTCCTTAATTTTAATTTAATGCACGGAGATCTTTGAGTATATTAATGGCATTAGAGTTAATGTTTGAAGATATAATTTCAAAAATTTAGAAATGTACAATAACATTATCAAAAAGCAGAGGACAAGGTAATAAGATGAAAATGGAATAAAGGATGGTAAATGGATTGAATTAAGCGAGAATTGGGTCATGTATGATTATTTATTAAAATTAGTTTTAAAGATAAATTATTTATAAAGGCTAATATAAATAAGGGATTAAAGTAGGGAGATGGAATATTATTTAGTAAAACCATAATGGTTCCATTAATATTATGTAAAATGGAGTTTATTATTTTATAAAGGTTTAGGGTACTTCGACTAAAAAGGTTTGAAATGAGGGTTGTGGATTGAAATTTATGAATTTTGTAAACAGTTTTACTTATATTATGATAATCAGGAAATCATTTAGAAAATTTGGTAATGGGAATTTATAAAAATTTTGATCATTTAATATCTAATCTGTATTATTCAATTAATAATAAAGTAGTTGTGGAGAATATGATGAAAATGGGATGAAATAGGTAAATGGAATTTTTATTTAAAAAATTCGTAAATACAATTATTATTTATAGCTTTCAACTTGTTGGAAAATTAGAAGTAAGTGGGAAATAAAGTGTACGAAATTTCTTCTTCTTTGATAAATTTTATAGAGATGGAGTGTTGATGTAGATTGGAAAAAATAGGGTTATTTGATTGAAATTGAGTATAATTTGGAAATGGAATTCAATCATAGAATAAAAATGGGAAAGTTCAGAAAATATAACAATAAGGAAAATATAATAATGGAAGAAAAGTTGGAAGATGGAAATTTATAATTATTAAGGCCAAATGAATAAGATATTATCATATAAGTTTTCTTTGCCTAAAACCTTTTAGTTCCAGTGGATCGTATAATGATAATCAACTTTAAGCATAAAAAATGGTTTATTTTATTTGAAAGATTTGCTAAGTATATAATAAAGAAACTCTTTTAGTTATGAATCTATTTTGGCTGATCATGGAGAATATAAGCATGGAAAAAAGTAGGAATTTTGGAAATAAAAGAAAAATAAAATATTTGGTATTATTAAATTGATTTTGAAGGGAAATTATAGAGCCGGAATAAAATTGAAAAGTGGTATCCTTAAAAGCATTCAACGAGGAAGACTTGACTCTGTAAAAGCTTCAATTATTAATATAAAGCGGAGGAGCAGAATTTAATCAATATGGATCAAGGGTGATTAATGGGGAGCTTAATTTAGGTGATATTAATGAAATATCTAAAAAAAATTCATCAGTTTAATAATTATTAAGAAAAAATTAGTCTATATTCTTAGATTTATAAAATTTTTTGTAAAATAAGTAAAAGTTAATTTTCAAAATACTTTTGATTGGAACATTTAGTTAGAGTAATATATAAATTATTAATTTAATTATTTCAAGCTCAATCAGATATTGGGTCATTTTTAGGTAAGTATGATCAATAATTGTTTTATGCCAACACCTTTAACAAGAATAAAAATAAAATTTTAGTAGAATAATATAAAAGGATGATTGATTGAGAATGACTATTTACAGTCATTTCATTAATTAAATTAAATTAAAATTTATGTGAAAAGTTATCTCATTAGTTTACATTGGGTTTCTTTTCGAATGGGTTGATTCATTTAGGGTAAGGTTCTTTATTTTCCTTGTAATCTTTGTCATGGACTCCTTCATGTCTTTTTAGACTTATGAGTAGAATTTTTCTCTGTTTCTTGAACACACTTCAGGATTTTATCAAATTTTTCAATCCAGTTTCCAGCCTCTCTATGTAGTTGATCCATGATATTTTTGGGAGTCATATTTTTGTTATAAGTCCTAAATTTCTCCAATTGTATTTGAAGGGTTCAAAGAATTGGTATCCAGGTATTCTCCTTATTACTCTCGTGTTTATCTTTCTTCCTAAATTTTAATTGGTCTTTAAGTGAACCTACTCTTCCAGAACTTTGATTTCCATCATTTATTGCTATTCTCCCAACTAAACTAAGATTTAGAGTTGTCTTAATATGAGACGTTACTTATTTATGTTTGACAGAACCTGGCTCGCATTCTGATCTATAATATAATATATGAGGTAAAAGTATATATATTAAATATTTCAATTCCCACAAATTATTATTTTTTTTACTTTCATGTATTAATTGTTCCTTTTAATCTTAACTTCAACCCAAATGCCAACTTTTTTTATCATTATTATATTCACCATTCTCAGTTATTTACTTATAGTTCCAGCTTTAATTTTTAGATATCTAAATCCACTTCCCAATCTTTATTTCATGACCTCCTTCATCATATGATCCTCCACCACTAGCACATTTTCAAAACTCAATATTTATATTTTTTACATTAGCTTATTTCTTTCATTATCACACTATATTAGACTGATATCCCATCGACCAACTTTGTAACCGTTTTTATATTCACCATTAAGTATGAATTTTTTCTTTTCATCCAATTCAATCCACTACCCAATTTTTTTGCCATAACCTTCTTAATCATAGAATCCTCCACCACTATCACATTTTCAAAACTCAATATGATATATTTTACATTCGCTTATTGTGTTTATTTTCAAACTATATTAGATTGATATCCCATCTACCAACTTTGTAACCGTTTTTATATTCACCTTTTTAGGTTATATATCTAAAATTTTAATAGATAAATATTTCATCCAATTCAATCCACATTCCAAACTTAATTTCATGACCTTCTTCATCGTATGATCCTCCACCACTATTATATTTTTTCAACTTAATATTATATATTTTACATTTTCATATTTAATTTATCGCCATGCAGCAACCAGGAATCCCACTGACCAACCTTTTTCCCATATTTATATAAACCAATATTCTTTTGTTTGTAACTATTCACTTTATCCAAATCAATCCACCTTCCGATTTTAAGACCTCCTTCATCATACGATCCTCCACCCCTAAATTATATTTTGCTTTTTACATAAACTCATTATTCCTACTCCAAATTTCCCATTTACCTACTTTCTTTCCATTTTGAATATTCCCTATCTCTAAAAGATAACTATAATATGTCATGCTTCTATTTAACTCAAAACCACCAAAACCATAGAAAACGCAAGCTCTAATATAGACCCTCTTGAATACATCAATTTATTTTCATTATCTATATCTTTCCAAATACCAACTTTTTTACCATTTAAATATTCACCAATTTAGCTTATCTCACTTACTATCTCGACCCACTTCCCAATCTTAAGTCCTCTAACTTCATCATATGATCCTCCACCACTAACACATTTTTTCCAACTTAATTTTATATATTTTACATTACTTATTTGATTCTTTATTAAATTATATTAGACAGATTTCCCATCTGCCAACTTTCTATCCATTTTTATACTCACCATTATAAGTGATATAATTATTAAAATGATTTATATATATTTTCTGCCATTCAACCCACATTCCAATTTTAATATTACCACCTCCTTCATCATATGATCCTCCACCACTAGCATATTTTTCAACTTTATACATTTTCATATTTAATTTATCATTATACAATAACCAAGAATCCCACTGACCAACTTTTTTCCCATATTTGTATACACCAACATAAGTTGCGTTATTTAAAAAATCTGGTTCATTCCATTTACCAATCTTAATACCCCCTCCATATGAACCACCACCACTATTACTTCTTAAGGGGAAATTTACATATATTCATCTTTTACACTAAAACATTCCCATTTACCAATTTTCTTACCAATTTAGGTATCGCCAATAGAGAAAGTTCCACTATTGCTGAAATAACCTCCTCAATATACATACATGTTGCTCTTCGTTTTCCTCTTACCCGCTTGCTCGACACATTCACACGCCCTCATGATCTTACCCCCACCGTTATCCTACCATCTTCTTTTATTCTAAACCCTTTTCCACATCCCCCCTTTATTCCCCCCTTCATCTTCTCCCATCCCCGTTCGTTCTTTTGCAAAACTAACCCTTTCTACTATTTCAATCAACCTGCCGATCTTAATACCTCTATCCTCTTCAT